TGAGGCAAAACTATGAGCACAAATAGGCTGCCAGCGTATTATACTCTGTATCGTGTAAATTATCTGCCCTACCCTCCATCCTCGTGTCCTTCTCGGCGGGCACAACGGCAAAAAGGAGGCATGGCGGCTTTCACACTTTTTTTTTTTTTTTCGTTTTTTTCCCTCATTTTGGCTAATGATAGCCAACCCTCCACCCTCCACATTTATGCTCTCTCCCTCCCTGGGGAGGGGGCGGGCTCGCTCGCCATGTGGACCGAATTAAAGAAAGACAGGAGGCGCAATATAAACGCTAGTAAGGAGTTTCCCAGTACTGTCATCGTAAAGTCATAAGTTTTGGTGGACCTTGAGTTAAGCATCTCCAGACTGGTCGGCTATAGGACGGGAAAGAATCATAATATGAAGTGGAAACAGACCTCTAGTTGCCGAGAAGAGACGGTTCTAAACACCGCCTAAAATAGCAGAAATGTCTCATTCCCGAGCCGCATGTCACAGGACGGAGTACACCTAGACGAGCCGATATCTGTTTCATCCAGAGTAATCCGTGCAAGAAGGCATCGAAGTAGCACTCCAGAGTAGCAGTATGATGTAAGTTGTATGCGCGTTGAGATGGAACGGTGGGCGATCTCCCCTGTTGTCCGCGCTCCCCCGCGCACCACAAGCCGAGAGGAGCAGCGATCAAACGGCGGCAGATTCATGCAAGCACCGCTCTTATAGCAATATTCGATGCTACATGACCCTATCCAGCAGGTATGGCTCCCTGCAGGCTTCCGCCAGGTAGCATCTCGCAAACACCGTCCAGTTCTGTCGAAGGATGGGATCAAAATGATAAAACTGGCGTGGAAGCCAAAAGTTTCCTCGGCAATAAAGTTGCGGTAAAGATAAAAATAGTAGCCGAGCTCCAGCCAACCAGCGTGCGAAGATGTCTTACTAAATGCTTAGTTATCGGGGGCTTGGCTGCGTTCTGGAGCGCTGATTGGCTGGAGGCGCGGGGGTGGGCAGAACGTTCACCGCTGGCCCCAAAAAGGAAAAAGGACGTCAGAAAAAAAAAACAACCCTCCACTTAACGAAGCCACCACAACTTTACATCAGTTACAGTTGGCCCCGGCCAGCAACGAACGGACGAGCAAGCGAGCAAGGGATAGGCCAGCAGAGTTCGGGGTCACGACACTCGCTAGCCTGCTTTGGGGAAGTAGTGGCAGCAAGCCGATTCGGCTAACATGGGCCATGAGTGGTTGGGGGGGTCCCTCGACGACGTCCTGGTCATCAAAGGTGCAACATTGCTGTCCTACAGGCCCGACTTGTGACGGAGCTGGCTGCAGGCGTCTCTTGTGGCTGGACTCTTAGGGCCAGGACCAAGCAGATTTCACAATAAGGTTGTGGACTAGCAGGAGCTTTGGGAAAAGCCAAGCGTACGATCATTCGAGACGAAGATATGGATACTTCAGATACATCAGAAAACATCGGAAACATCAAGCATCAGAAACAGCAAGACATATTTATGCAGTTTCATGGAATCATACGGAGTACACAGGGACGATACTAGGGTCATAAAAAGTCACCTGGGCGGTAATTTATCTGTACGGTCCGAGCAATCTGGTTGAGATGTTCATTACTGATCAGTACGATACTTAGAGTCTCATGTACCTTAAATTGGCCCTATGACCCGGGGTCTGGGACATGCGACATGATGCCATGTAGGATGACATCAACTGCCATGCATTCTAGAACTAATTCTTCACTTCACCCTGCGTCTTTCCTTGACACCTCGAAAAGCAGCAAAAAAAAAGAAAATCAAAAAATTCAAGGGCCTCCCTAATACTGATATTGCATCAAGGAATATGCGGGTCTAGATGGGCCCTCGATAGGGCTATCCAGTGGACACCGATAATAATCGTCATCACATACTTTCCATGTTCCTTTTTATCTATTGATACTATGAGGTTTCGCCTACCGTCGACGGGGCCCTCCGAATATACGACCCAAAAGGGGGCCATAGTATGGCAGATAGGCGGAATAAAATTAACAATAGGACTGGCGATCACATCCAGCGCAGAGGTACGAAGGTTGAACAAAACATGCGGACAACAACGGAGTTAAAGTGACTCCTAATTGGCAATAATATGCTATATTCGATCTGATTATTCATGGGTAGCTTGAAGTTGTCTCTCCCATGTATACAATGTATCTCTCGCTAGGTAGGACCGAAAGTGTCCATTTTTTGAGCAGCCGAAGGGGTGGGTGGCACGGACGGACTTTCAAAGCGCCAAAAAACAAGCAGCCGGTAAACGAAAGTGTTCGCTTTTGAGCCGTTCACCGAATCTTCATATACATGCCAACAATGATTATACGCCATACCCGCGGTGAAAGGGGTGGGATGAACATGGCACAGTGATTGACACCTAGCCCGTCCAGCACGTTGGCGGAGGAATGGCGAGGTAAAACGCATCGCATCCCTGGGTGGGTACTTGCACGCCTAGTTCAACCGTCTAAGGCCCTAAACATAGCCTATTGCGGAACGAGCCATGTCAAGAGGAGTCCCGAATAGGAAGCATCTGATAGAAACTCCGCCTAGACCAGCGCTAGGTCGAGAGTTTACCACCTCTCTGCTAACATTGCGTGCAGACCGCAGCAAAAGTTCATTGACCGGTTCTCCTTGATCCTTGCACACCTGATGGTGCACACTAAAAGAGGCCGTAAGGCTACCTCTGGCCAATTATCGCTTTGGGAACAGGATGGTGTGGATCAGGAATGTTTACTAAACTTTGACCAGGGTTTGCGGAACGACGGTGAAGGAGGCGAGAGGGAGAAAGAGTTACTTTGTTTCTCTCCTGGTACTGTCAGAAAGGTTAACTCTCTTTCCCTTGCGGAGGAATGGACGGAGTTTCAAGATCGAAGGGAGGCTTCTGCATAGCCGGGGTTGCACATTACGTGGGACGACAGAGAGGTATCCATGCGTTCTCCCTTTTTTACCCTCATTCTATTCTTCTCGGTATTTTTGCAGTCACCAAATTATTTACCTCTGACTAATGTTAATAGGATATGCAGGATTGGCAGGAAAATGGAGAAACAAAAAAGAAAAAACGAGACGAGAGAAAAAAAAAAAACAAAGGCCTATAGACAAAGTTCGTGCCGGTTGTTGAACTTGTCGTCTTGTCTTCTGGTCTTGTCTCTCGGGTGTCTGAACCAGTAACCAGTGCGCGCCGGACCAGTTTCCCCGGAGGGCACTCGATTGGCCTGTTTCTATTTTGGATTTGAAACAACCATCCGTGTCTTTACATGGTAAGTATCCGCGCCATAAGGCTTCAAGTTAATACTAAGGGTTGATGCCTGGTGTGTCTCTGGTGACTCCTTCGAGTTCACGATCGGAGATGCATGTGGCCACGAGTGAGTCTGGGTAACATGTTCCGGCGGTGATGCTGCTTGCTGGGCGTGGAAGAACGAACGTCTGGAAGGATCAGAAGGGTCACAACTGAAGCACGACGATGGATTAGCTTGTTCATCCGTGCCCCCGCTGTCTAAGCCCTACGCAACATTTTAGCCTCTAAGGAGACTCCGACACCCGCATGACGATTCATGGTGATGAATGATAGCCCGTATTGCTGTTACGCGGTTACTTCCCGTGCGACGGGGAAGCCGCCAGCCTGTACGGAGCCTAAACATAGCACCAGACGCCTATCCAGACAGGGCCTTGTATCCCCAAAACCAAGTCTCTGTATGTAATGGCCTGTACGGCCAGGAAGTGTAAGTAAAGGTCGATAATATGTATGTGCATCCCTGCCCTGCCCTGCCCCCCGGCCCTCCTCCCCTGCCCCATGCACGCAGGCCAAGTGGATGCTCTCACGTATACCCATCTCAGTGGAAGCGTCCCGTTCGTGGGTAAGCTACCTGGTGGTACCTGATCGTGATTGAGTTCCCTAGCTGGGCTCGTCTTTCCATTCCATCTGTACCATCTGCCCTGAGCTTTTATATAATTGTCATGCTCTGCTGCCTCTTTCCTCCACCACTCCTCCACCCTCTCTCCACCATTCATCTCTGACACGCCAGGCTGCCTGTGTAATCAAATCTATATATTCTCCCAGTGCCTTGCTTTCCGGAGGACGCCTTTCTTCTCCCCCACTCCTCTCTCGGGCATACTTCCCCTTGCTCACCCAGTCGCCAAAAATCCGCAACTCCGTACTATATGCACTCTCAGAATCGGATCTTCAGCGTCAAACTAGCAGGACGACCAAATACTTGACTGACCGATCAGTCACAAATACGACCCTGTCCGCCTTCTGCCCTTGTTTCTAGTCCACTGCTCAGGCTGCCACTTGCGCAAGCTCATTGGTCGCCGCATTGCATCCTCCCAATTTTTCGATCGGCTCTTCGTGGTTCGTTCTCCTATCCCTCGGTCCCTCTCTTTTTCCCTTGCATTCGACCTCTCTCCAGTCGTCTTCTCCCTTCCCTTTTCACGGCATCCCCCCGGAAGTCGATGTGTTGTCGTGGGTGATCATGGCTGCCCTTTAAAAGCAGCAGCCTTCGCCACCCTCTTGGGGCCTAAACAGCGGTGCGGCCCGCCCATCGATCAACTCATCTTGACGCCCTGAAAGCTGGCTTGGCGATATACTCCTTGCTTTTAGTACATATCCATCACTTTTTGTGCCGTTTTCACTCGTTCTGCCTTATATCCCTTTCCCTTTTTGCTTTTTTCTCCTCGTCGATCGACCTTCGGTCTTCAAAAATCGAGAAAGCAGCAATTTCCTCAAAACGACGTCCATCGCTCATGTGCTGACCGAACTTCCTCCAACCAGGCTTTATTGGCGCCACTACTCTGCTCCTCGGTCATACGCATCCGCGAGACTCCTTATTACCGCGAATATAGGACACTCAAAAAAGGGAATTAAATTCACGGACATTCCCATTACTGTTTTGGTTTTATATATTTTCCTTCTGTTGCGCCTCTCTTGCATCACTCTTGTCTTCCGAACGGGAAGTAAGAACGCAATATACAAGACCCCGTCATGCTCGCCCTGGAGCGCCCTGCTCGCGAGCAATCTTACCTCCAGCAATTCCCCATGGATTCGTCTTCCTTTAACAACCAGCTAGACTCTCTCGATCAGCAGCAACAGGCCATATTTGGAGCATACAGCAGCAACAGTGGTCTTCCATGTGACCCCTACCCATTTATGCTCCAGCAACCCTTGGCCCTGGACTCTCCATTGTTCTACCCTGCCAAAAGTGAACTAAGGCTTGCGCCAAAGCCTACGGGCTCGCCACAGTTTCTCCCGCTCTCTCAACCGGGCGATCAATACTCTTCGCTTAGTTCCTCGGCTTCTACCCACTCTCTCCCCAGTGCAACTACCTCGTCGATAGGTTCGCCTTATCAGGACCAGTGGCTTGACATCGACGTCGCCGTGGGTGCGGAGCAGGTCGCCATGGTTGGTGAAGGGTATCCCAACGACTTCGTGTCAAATAGCATCGATCCTGAGATGCTATATGCTAGCGAAAAATTTTCCACTTCCTACGTGGGTAAGTTATTTCTACCTCTCTCTCTCTCTCTTTCTATCCTATATTCCTCTTCAAATGATAAATCTTGTGCCCGTTGGACGGGTTTTGCAATCCAATCTCGTCCAGCAATCGCAAGATTTATATTCTATCTCGTCTATCAGTGACTACAGTCTACCGGGGTGTACTTCATGCAAGTGGAGGCGCCGCGGATCGTGATAGACGTAGGAGCTGCATAATGCCCAAGGACAATCAGTGAATGCTTGGCACGTTCATTGTCTTCCTTCTCAATAACCCCTCCCGTGTTTATTACTCCTCCATCATATCTGTTACCATGGACTTTCCACTTATAGGCGAAGTGGCGCGTCTGCCATGTTGGAGTTGAGCATGAGACTGATAGCGCGTATTAGATCCTGCATTGTTACAGCCAATGCAACAGAATAACAACTTCCATGGAGTAGCTGTCTCTTACCAGGAGGACTCACATTATCCCTTCATCTCTTCACCCGCTTTCGCTCCGCTCTCACCTCATTCACCTCTGCATCTCTCACATACCCCCCAACAACAACACCAGGCCATACCCGCATCTCAAAAGCAGGAGAACCTTGATGTGAACCCTCCATTCGTACAGCAAACCAGATTCTCAACTCCTCGACCATTCCAAGGACGCAGGTCATCGATATCATCAATCCACTCTCGCCACTCCACTCGCACCTCCCCAATCGGAAATGAAGCCGAGGAAGATAACAACGAGAAAGGGAGATGTCCCCATCCAGAATGCGGTCGTGTCTTCAGAGATCTCAAGGCACATATGCTCACTCATCAATCGGAACGTCCTGAAAAATGTCCGATTGTGACATGCGAATACCATCTAAAGGGATTCGCTCGAAAATACGATAAAAACCGTCACACCTTGACCCATTACAAAGGGACTATGGTTTGCGGTTTCTGCCCCGGATCAGGCTCTGCTGCTGAGAAGAGCTTTAATCGTGCAGACGTATTCAAGCGCCATCTCACTACTGTGCATGGTGTTGACCAATCTGCTCCAAATGGTAGGAAGAAGACACCACCGTCCGTTCCCGGTGGTGGGAAACTTTCCAGTTACTGCCAGGATGCTACCGGAAAATGTTCAACATGTACTTCAACTTTTGCCAGTGCCCAAGAGTTTTACGAGCATCTTGACGACTGTGTTTTGAGAGTTGTGCAGCAGGAAGAACCTTCCGAGGCAATCAACTCTCGAAGGTTGACCGAGGTTGCTGCCGATGAGGCTGTCCGCGACACAATGGAGCGGCACATGCTTCTCGACCCAAACACTCCTCACACTGAACAAAGTGAAGACCTCGATGAGGCTGCCGAAAGGCAAAATGATTCCTCCAACTCCTCTACCAAAGGAGCCCTGTCTAAATCCAACTCTACCAACAGCAAAATTACCAAGAACCGTCCCGCCGTCTCAAGACGACGAAACAACCGAAACAACTACCCCCCCTCATGGAGCTGCCCCAATAACAAAATCAAGATGAAGCGCCGTCTCCTCTGTCTCTATGATGGTCCTCGCCGTCTATGGAAGGACGAAATGATGCTCGACAACGAATTTGAGGTTCGCCTCAAGCTCCCAGCCGGCGATTGCATGGGTCGTGAAGCATACGTCACTGACCTAGATATTGAGACCCTCAAGCGATCAGAGGGAGTACACAATGCTACTGACGAAGAAAAGGGCCCATGGATCAAAGATCCAAATGCACCCGAGGGCCTTATCGGACCCTCTGCGGTCCCAATCGTGGAGCATCCCATGAAAATCGGCGACGAACTCAACATCGACGATCTAATGGCATAATCAAAATCACTTCTGGGAGCCTCGTGTCTCCAAGGAATGAACCACCAAACGAAATCCCCCCAATATTATTCATTACTTCTTCTACATGATACGTCTATATACCTGGACGCATTTTACATATTCCCCATCTATAATTGGATTTTCCATATCACCTCCATAATACGGCACGACATTCCTCTTTACATCATTACACTCTACCTCATCATCTTCATCTTCGCCTTGCATCTTATACTTTTTTTTTGGCCAGAGCAAGAATGCTCTTCATTTTTTTAATATGCTTACGATTTTCATCCATCGTTTACGCTTTTAACTCATGACCCCATTTTATCTATTTCTTACTGCCATTTATTCACTGGCTTGTGTGCATTTTCAAGGGTCGCTCGTCATTTGATATTTGTGATCTTACTATTTATCTTGCGTTACTTAGCTAGCGCTTCATGTTTCCTTATTCTTTTGCTCTTGTTTTGGCTGGGCTCCAAGGGGGAAAAAGAATCGGGAACCAAAAGATGGGACAGCGGTATATAATTGACTTATGACCATATATGAAAATGCTTATTTATTATCCACAATCACCTCATCTTCTTTCGAATAGAATGTGTTTTTGAATAGAATGTGTTTTTACAGAGCCGCAACAAGTAGATAATCACATGACTTGGAGTAGATACTTACGTAACCATGGAGCTGTTGCGCATCTAAAGGTCCAACATCTGTACTCTATATCGTTCCAACACAAGATCTTATGATATTACGATCCACGACGGTTCGAGTAATGACTGATGAACTTGATTTTGATTATTCCTGAGGATTTGTACGTATTCCCTTCTTCTTGGCAAATGATTTCACTGAAGACCACCCGACCTGGCGCTCCCCGCGTTCTACCGCTTTATCAACAAACAGTGCTGTGATGAGGCCGACCTGCTAACAACTCCATAATTTGGCACAGAACCCAGTCTATCAATAAATAGCCTCAAAAAGACGTTCCTATCTGATACCAGCTAAAGAGTGAGCTCACGGACCTGGCTCTTGCCGAGCCTTCACTCTCCGCCTGCTGTCATCCCACCTCCCATCGGCCACCGTCAATCAGCTCTACCCGGACATCATTTTTAGGCCGAGCGAACATAGAAAACGAAATTATGGAACCATCATTCCGAACCAAAGCTGCCAGCAGTGCAGCCAGTTCAGCAATGGATATAGAAGGCGGGGAGAACCCAGGTCGAAATCCCACGGGAAGCTCGCCTGGCATTACTGTTGACGGTACACCCTTGTTTACGAAGATACTTGATATAATCTTGTGCATCACTGGTTAACTAACCATTTGCGCCATGTAGAACCCCCCAAATTTGATCTTGAATCCTACATTTCGAATTATACCGGTACACCACTATTCCGTCCTAGTTGAAAATCATTTGCCTGTGTAGCGTTGAGACTAACTCTTTTGATTTTTCAACTGGATAGGAAGGACCAAATTCGCCCGGTTATATCTCATTGGAACTTGCTCGAGTTATCTTTCTGTGGATGCTTTGAAGATGGCTGTTACAGAAGCCAAATCTGGAAAAGATGTCAGATGCTATGAAAATGCAGTGGAGGCTCTGAGCCGTGTTGCTCCTTCAGATAGCGAGGCCATACTCGACACAGAATGGATAAATCATACGACCAAAGTTGTCAAGGCTGATACGAACCGGTTAGAACGTGAACTGAAGGGGTATAAAAACAACTTGATCAAGGAGAGCATTCGAGTGAGTTCCACAGGGCTTCTCCATCTATCTTTCCTTATATTATATTTCACGTTCCATCCTAACAATTTCTAGATGGGAAACGAGGACCTTGGCCACCACTACCACCAGATAGGCGATTTAACTGCAGCCTCGCACGCATTCACAAGGATGAGGGACTTTTGCACTACAACCTCCCATATTGCCTCGATGCTTTTTAAAAATATTATTGTTGCTGTCGATCGCGGTGACTGGCTTGGTGTCCAAGCGAACATTCATCGATTACGCAGCCTCCAGTTTAAACCGGAAGATGAATCGAAGAGTAAGGCGAAGATCTTCACATCGATGGCCCTATCTCAACTCGCAACGGGATCCTACCTTGAAGCAGCGAAGACATTCCTATTAACTGACCCAGCGCTTGGAGGCAACTACAAGGAAGTAATCTCACCAAATGATGTAGCAGTCTATGGAGGGCTCTGTGCTCTAGCCTCGATGGACCGAATGGAACTTTCCAAACAGGTTCTTGAAAACAAGCCGTTCCGAAGCTTCCTTGAGCTAGAACCTCACATCCGCCAAGCCATTTCCTTCTTCTGCGCTTCTAAATTTCGGCTTTGTCTAGATATCTTGGAAGCTTACCGAGCTGATTATCTACTTGACTTACATCTACAGAAACATGTTCGGGTATTATACATGCGCATCCGCACAAAGGCAATACAACAGTACATCATTCCCTTTAGCCGTGTGACGCTTGATGGTATGGCTAAAATATTCTCACCCAAGGAGCAAGTCAGGAATGAGCAGGGATTGATCAACCCAAATGGTCCATTTGTGTCAGAATTAATCGGCCTTATCCAAAGTGGAACTCTGGATGCTAGGATGGATTTTGAAAAGGGTGTAATCGTCACTAGACAAACGCTGATGAGGGAGAAATTACACCAGGATGCGCTGGAGACTATGAGAGAGTATATGGAGAATGCGCACATGCAGCTCTTGCGCATCAATGTTTTGAATGCCGGGTTGGAAGTTCCGAGTACTCAAGGATATGGCATCAGAAACGAGGCAGATGCAATCGCTATAGCGCAAGCGGCTAGCCTTGAGGATCAAGAACAACACCTTAAGGCTGGGTCTCGAAAGGGCATTGCAGCAAAGTTGGGAGCAGCGTTTGGTGATAGATAGACAAGATACACCTCTAGACGTAGCATTTGTGCAAATGGCATTACTTACGACCCATGGTCATGTGTATGAGAATTCGTCTACACTGAATCGTCACATCTTCGCCTTTTGCGCTGGTCTAATCTTCACATCATCAAACGGCACGCCCAAAAACTCCCACATAAAATGAAACCTATCACTGCCAAAAAATGGTTCCTCCTTCCCTGTTTCATTATTCTTAACCCAGAACCATGGTGCCCCAAACGCACCCCTATCCAACGCCTCCTGGGTCCTATCCGTCAGTGCCTTTTTTATCTCGTCAGTCTTCGTAGATGCTAGGATACGCTCAATTTCCTGGCTCGAATATTTGGCTTCCTTGAGCAGCTCGATCATGCCCTCGGGTTTGCTCAGGTCGATGTGTTTGAAGAACATATACTGCCAGTATAGCAGGAATGTACTCTCAAAGCGATCGCGCGGGTAGTTTTGTTTAATATACGTCGCGCATCGTTGTGGCTATTAGATAGACGTTAGTCGACGCATCAAAAATGGCAGCAGCTAGGGATTTCGTACCAGAATAGTTAGAGGAGGGAAGAATGGCGGGACTTCGAAATCATCAACTCCAAAGTGCTTCGATGCTCGGACTCTGTCGAACTGCCCATACGCTGCTTTGGCTGGGAGAGTCCATGGCGGTTTGTTGCCTATATTAACAGATATAATTTAGAACGTCATTCGGATATAAAAATAGTCCATCGTAGGGGTAATTCGCTTATACCTGAGCCTACATTTATTCCACCTAGGAACACTGGATGCACGCTTATTTTGATATCATCCCTTAGCTGTGATTACTTCTTCTCGATCGGACATGAAACAGGACTTACTCTATCTCAACCCCATAAGATGCCAGAGCTTCACGGTTTCTCAGGAGATGGAGAAACGCGAAATAGGAGTATGGAGAAGCTAATGAGCATTGTCAGCTAGCTGAAGGGCTCTCATACACTTTGCAATGAAGCTGGGATGAGTTTGGTAGACATACGGCAATCAACGTATACTTCAATCTTGCCTCCCATTTTGAATTACAGCGATTCAGTGGATGACAATAAGTGACTATGGAAACAATTCAACTCTGAACATCAAAAGAACTTGAGATAGCTCATATTGGCCTGTCGAAGGTCGTCGGCCTTAAGGTAAAGCTGGGGAAGCTCGAAGATGCCGAGGTCCGGATTACTCAACTTTACAACTGCCGAACCGGCCAAACCAGAACCATTATCTACATACCTAGGTCTTCAACACTTGGTTATAAAGAACCGCCTTTGACTATTTATGTCAGTAATATAATCAATAAGGCCATCTACGAGCCAATATATACTCCTGCCAGCTAACCCATTCCCGTACGGTGTTCATCGTTCATCGGTGAAGAGATCTTAACTATGGAAGAATCCAAGCCAGTCGCACTCGTCATCGGTGCTTCCCGAGGCATTGGAAGGCAGATTGCAATCGACCTGGCAAAAGAGGGATATGCCGGTTTGTTTTTAACTCTACTAGATGGTCTTGTAAATTGGTTAACTGGCTTTCACTGCAGTTGTTATTGCGGCCAAAACCACATCAGATGCCGCCAAAACAGTTCCATTTCCACCAGATCCAAACTCACAGCAGTCGACTATCAACACGGTAGCTCGAGAAATAAATGAGTCTGGAGGTGAAGCCTTTGCGCTCCCAGTCGATACCCGGGATGTTGAGGCTGTTAAGAATCTTGTCCAACGGACTGCTGAGGAATTGTATGGCAGGCTAGACGTCCTTGTCTATAACTCCGGTGCGATATGGTGGTCATCCATTGAAAACACACCAGTTAAACGATTCATGTTGATGCAACAAGTCAATCCGGAGGGACTTTATGCTAGCATTCATGCATCTCTTCCTTATTTTGAAAAGAATGGATGGAAGGGAAGGATTATAGTTGTCTCTCCCCCGATATATTCTCGGTTCTTCAGGGGAAAGACGGCATATGCCATGGGTAAGTTGTTCACACTCGTCACAACGTATCGGCCATGAGCCAACTGGACTGATATCTGCCTTATAGGTAAGGTTGGAATGAGCGTTCTGACAAAGGGACTGGCGATGGATTTTATTCGGCAAAAGAGACATGAAATGGCAATCACAAGCATCTGGCCGGCTGTTGTAAGCATCAACCAAGACGCAATTTGGACTACAACCTTCGGGTCTCATGAACTTACGAATCCATCATGTATAGGCGATCGAATCCGCAGCAACTCAACGGGACACAAAGCTCGATCCATCGGCTCTGAAAAATCTCCGCAAACCAGTAAATCTTCCTCGACCCCTTAATAATGTGCCTTACCCAGCGCAACTAACTTGATCCATTAGACGATCTTCTCTGATGCCATTCTTGCCATGTTGAAATCTCCAACCTTTGTTGTCAATGGCCTTTTGGCATTAGACGAAGACTTCTTACGCGAACACTGCGGTCTCACTGATTTTTCGTCTTATTCTGTCGTTCCTGGTTCTCAATCACGACGAATCATGCCACAAAATCTTCCGGTTCTTGAGGTCGAGGAGCAGGATGACGAAGGTCAACGAAGGGATTCCACACTTTTGCGGCGCAAGGAGAAGGCGGATTCGAAGATTTAATCGGTTCTTTGTTTACCTATATAATATATTATATTGTAAAGGTTATCATGAACCCCAATGCATAAGAGGTTCAGATATGATTGATAAAAGGAGCTAATGAATTCATTAAGAGCTCGTATCTTAATGTCCCTATCTGAACTAAGTCCGTATCTACTTCGTTCATAGGTAAAGTCCTCTTTAAGAAAGGTTCATACACAACCCTATGGCTAGTGCTAGAACTGGCTAGGGGGCAGAGAGGTTGCTGTTGGCCCCATTTCTTCATTAATTTCCATCTCCGAGCTTGCGTCTTGAAGAGCTAGTCGATGCCATAGTTGGTCGCTCAAAAGACCTAGAAGAGGTAAGATGGGTTAGAACAACAGACAACCTGATTTATGATGAGCAGGAAGATCATACCTATAAGTAATGACAACGTTACTGTAAACAGTATCATGGGATTGGTCATGAACTTATAAGTCAAGTCAAAATTGGCCACAAAGGCGATGATGCTGAGCAAGGAAAGCCCTAGGACCGCCCGGGTAGTTGTGGCCCCAATTCTATAAATATTTTTCTCTGGACCGTGATAAACCAGGAAGACAAAAATAGCGAACATGAACAGGGCGAGCGAGGCCACGACAAAATAATACAGGAAGACAAAACCAAGAAGTTTGAGATACATCGTTAATAAGTGATCACTCCTTGAGACCGTATGGCCTTCTGGAGGGGTGATACCCATGCTTAAAAAGAGTGCCACTGTAACATTTCCCATTATATCATGAGATCTCACCATGTTGAGAGAACCTTCTCCCGCTGTTGATGCGCAGAGACGAGAATGACGCCTTAGGACCCATAAGAGACTTTCAATGTTATACTTCTCTCTCAAGGTCCCACGGCTGAAGTTTATCCGCATGTCTGCAATCGTGCTATTGAGGGAATCGATTGCATCTGAGGCACTGGGGCGTGGGATGTCGCAGGCGGACAGAATCGTATCGCGTAAACGCTTTAGTTTTAGTGACACATCGAGAGTTAGTGCTAGGATCTGTGTGCCCTCCGATAAAAGAATCAGGATGACGTGTAACGGGAAATGCAAGCAAGTCCATATCTGTTGTCGAATCTTTCCTAGCTTTTCTCCTGGCGTGATATCGAAGTATGACTGCCATAATAAATACTATATCCATTTGTTAGATTCTAGATTCTCAAATTTTCTATGAAGAATATTGTGGACTGGGGGTGGATTCCTACCACTGAAGTTGTGACTCCGAGTATATGAACGAAAGACCACCGGGTCCAACCGTTACCAACAGTCCTATTCACAATCCTGGTGACCGAGATGATACCATCACCGATAATTATAAGTGTAAGGAGGCCCATCCGAACATTAAGGTGTGTATCTTCAAAACCCATGCCTGATGTCTGGTTTGCCCTTGCCATTACTAATATGGTCTCAGCAGCGAACATAAGCCACCAAATAGTCCAGATATATGGTCCGATAGTGGCAGTGTGGTAGTCGAAAAGGAAGTAGAGCTGTAATTATATTTTAGATACTGATCTATGAAGGGTGAGGGTAATGGTGGTCTTACCCCTATGTACCCAAGGCTTACACCAAACAAGGATAAAGAGACTGAGAACAGATATGTAGCGGCAGTTTGCATAGATGGGGCCAAGAACATGGAGGCGATGAAATATTCCAGCGACAGCATCAGGCGACTTATCGCTAAAAGTATACTGAACGAATGGAATATCCACAGATTATCTGGCCGAACATGGGTCGCAAAACCAGAGCCTGCAGACGCGAATCCTACCATAGTTGCCAGCTGTACGGCCTTACATATTCGTTCGAAAATGGAATCTCGAGCAAAACGAATATCGAATAAAGTGACCTGGAGCCATGTAAACCATATTATTCCTAGAAAACCAACATACGACCACAATGCTACCATCCTCATTAGCATTCTTAGCTAGTCGTCACTAGGGCAGTAATCTCACACCTTCTATTGAATTTATATCGTTCGAAGATGTAAATGTGGATAGGTTTGCCACGAAAAAAAGATCGAAGAAGAGTTCGATAGGCGTAGCATCTGATTGTCGATAAAGGCGAGGAGGGCCATCGGTTTTGTCAAGGGGAGATTCGATCCAGCGTACACGGTAACTCATATACCTATGGCCACGTTGGTATTCAAAGTTGTAATCAGGGTCCGCGTTAATAACTCTTACTTATCAAACTTGACTCGTCTTCCACGAGTGCCCGTACGGCTGAACGAAAGGAATAAATGGCGAGCCATGTCCTATGACCAAGTTTATCCTTCAGAACCTCGGCTGTGAAAATGCCCGATATCTCGATACTTCGAAAATGCAACAAATCAACAGTAGACCTTAGTTAGGTATCATGCAGGTGGTGGTTTCCGTTACATCAGGACCACCGCAAGGTGGAAGGAGCAAGTTGTAGGAATAACAATTACTCTGAACAAACTCTTGACGTGGCGATATTCAATCTTCTTCGATTTCAGCGCCTGGTGCCGGCATAGAAACGGCTCCAAGGTTGTCAAGACCATGGTCAGCCTCAACATCGACCCCGGTAATGAGCTTCTCCGTTGCTGCAGTTGATCCGGCCTCCGCTCTGAGTTTCTCATACTTCTCGCCCGCCTCCTTCAAGAGATTCTGAATCTCGGTCTCTCTTTCTGCGATTTCCACTTTCTCCTTACGGAGTTCCTCGAGACGGTTGACGAATTGCATTCTGGAATTCTCCATTGCCGTTACACTCATTCGTAAACCGGCTAATTTCGATGCAAGTGTCGGAAGTGAAGTTATTTTAGGGGGTGTTTTTGGACGTGCCACCGCTTCTCGGTCATCTCTCTTTAAACCGTCCATCCCTGCGCGAGTCTGTGCAGACTCATACGCAGCTCGGCGTTCCGTTTCGGAATCATCATCGTCAGAGAGATCTTCTGCATCATTTATAAGTTCCTTCATATCTGCACGTTGGCGCCGTTTTTGCTCAATCTCCGCTCTCTTCCCCATTGCTATCCGCCCGTCCTCAACATAGTCATCAAATCCCTCCGCAAAATCCTCGTCATCGCGCACTAATCTTGTGTCGCTTTCTAGTGGTTTCTTGGATAACGTCCAGTCATCCTCTTCATCTTCCAACCCAGTATCATTCAGAGATATGTATTCTTGCTCCTTGGCAAGTCGACTTCGGCGTTCCTTTTTCTCTCGGATTTCGGCTTCACTAGGGATAGCAGACTGCCCGGAAAATTGTACTATTTCTCCAAACTTTCCAGCAATATCTAAAGCCTTGTCCTTTTCATCTTCGGTATCCGGGCGAGATACATTCTTCGGGGTAGAGTGTGTTGAGTTTCGTAATTCTTGAAGATAGTCTTTGCTATAGCTGGGTCGGTCTTCGTCACGACCTGCCCTGACAGGAAGTGCCTCTGACGATTTCGAGGATCTCAAGACTGAAGATCTCTCTAAAACATTGCGCCTTATCCCCGTTTTCTTTGGAATGACGACCTCTCCTTCGTCAGAAACGTCGTCCGTCATAGAAGTCCCACCGGCCCCAAAAGAGAGGTGTAACTTGGATTTCTTCTTTGGTTTAGAAGACGGCTTCCGAACAACAGGCTCTGGTTATAAAAGGTCAGTTTGTTCGTTCATCAAAGTAGCTCCATTAGAAGGTAAAGATATAAGCCTACCTTGCTCTGCATTCGCGTCGGCTTCTTCATCATCTGCGCCAATCCGCCGGGCCTTGCGCCGGCTCGCAAAAGAGGAGCTCATACCGGTGTCTAACTTGAAATAAACACCTAAACTCCGAATAGGTCACCATTTATATTGAATAGTAGCTGGAGAATATCTACAGATTGCGTGTGTATCCATGAAGCACGATATCACGGGGCAAGGTTTTTCCGCTCCGGCCTTCTTATCGCGTTCCTCCACCAGAACATTGAAATATGCAATTGTCGAGACAGGAGCTCTACAACCAATTGACGAAGATAAATATTTCAAGATGCCTCAAGCTCAGCCGGAGTTGAAAAAGGTAAGCCGGACGTCCTTGCTCGCAAGCATGATGTGGAGGAGGAGCTAATTGTCCACCGCATGATAGTATATGGAGAAGCGGTTGTTTGTCCAACTGAACGGCAATCGCAAAGTTCTCGGAGTTCTTCGAGGTTATGATGTATAGTGCTCTCAATACTCTGTGGCCTGTCGCAAATGCATGGTTAGCCTAACGTTGGAGTAGGTCTTCATGAATATCGTCTTGGACGAAGCTGTTGAGGAGAAGAATGGAGGTGAAAAGGTTCCGCTGGGCATGGTGGTAAGGAATAGAATGCCATACAAACGAACGCCATACCAGAAGCTAAGGATGATTTACGTATAGGTTATCCGTGGAAATTCGGTGGTCATGCTAGAGGTTTGTGCTTTCCTAGAAACGAAAGTGAATATACTACGCGGGGAACATTGCTAACCAGGTTGCTCTCTAGGCGCTGGAACGTATCGGTGATCGGTGATAGCAGCTTTTCAAACGCATGCGCGCGTTCCGTTCCTTTTTTGTTCGTCTCGGAGAGTTCATTCGGATTGGGTGGGATAATACATCAGAATTAATCAGCTATTTGATCCGTTTCCCGAATACCTGTTTCGTCGTTTTAATGCAACGGAGTTTTATGCCAGGCAGGTCACATATCATGCTTTGAAATGGGAATGAAATACAAAAATGGGAAGCCAGGGAATAACATTTAAAAGAATTGTTATTACTAGTATAAGTGTTACACTGCTTTGAAAAAAGATATGATATGCAGGAAAATTAGATCCTCCCCATAAACCAAACTCCATGCCTCTCGCGTTGTGATTTTTGTCGATTTAAAGTAAAAAAGTAATAGGAGCAAATCCAGGAACCAGAAGCCAGCCTCTTCCTCCCGTTGCGCCATTTTCATAACCTATCCGATGATAAACCAGCCCACTATCCGGGTTCCGAGCGCCGTCAAAGATGAATGTGATAATATGGCAAGCGGCGCGAAATAATGATAATTATGATAGTTAAAAAGACCTGAACGCGCATTTATGGGGCGGGAGAAAAACTTGAACTCTTGGTCTTAAGTTTCAATTTAATCTTTGGTTTGGTAGTTGAAGATGGGGGTGGTTGCGATGATGCGGCGGACACCGAGCCCAGCTTAGGGATTTTCAGTGTCACTTTATGGCTGAGAGGTGGAGGCGCGCCATTCATATCTTGTTCGCGCTTCCTCTTCACTGGTTGAGTAGATGACGGCGCAGCGCTAGGCTTCAACGTGCTTGTACTGCCAATTGGACGTGTGCGGAAACGGTTCGTTTTCCAAAATTTCATTTTGCCCTTGAAAACAAAATATGTTAGTTGATATCAAAAGTAGACGATTAATTAGACGGTGAGTTGTAAATCTTACATTTCCTAAATGCTGAGTCTTCCAGTAGCGAGGGTACTTTAACTTGACCATCGCGTGGTCAACGGGGTGGTATAAAGCGCCGACCAAGTAAACGAAATCACAAAGCTCGACGAGACTCGTGCGTGGCGAGTTGCATGCAGCCCATAGTGCCTCCTTTAAAGCTTTATTCGCGCCAAGTTCCTGTTTCAAGGCATCTAATGCTCCTGGGACCGTTTGTCTTCTCGCCAGCTGAAGTTGTCGGGCTTCCGTCGAAGATTCTTGTTCGATCACGAGCGAATCGTTTATCAACGAGCCGGAAGGCTCGGCTTCGGTGCCAAATGCAATCGTCGCGAGTGCCTCGCCGAATAAGCGATAAAGGTTGCGTCGGATCCAAGGGGAAGGATCTGCGGACATATTGTATATAAACCATGTTATCAGCTCTGGATGTTCGAACAGTCGAAATTCCAACAGCATCTCGAACGCCTTTAGCCTTAATTCTTCCAAGATTCCGGCACGGGTGTACTGAACCAACTGAACGAGGTCAATGTCTAGTACATTTGCCTTCATGAGTCGTTTTTGGCATTCAAGTGACGTTCTTGAGAAGATATTTTTAAACGAACCCGCCCACTCGTCGATTCGTCGGTATCGATCAATCTCGGCAATACAGTCTTTATCTAGCTGGTCCTCTGCTTGACGTTCGATCTCTCTGTTGATATCGAAGTCCACATCGTTGGAACTAGTTTCTCGTCTCCCAAGTAAAGCGTTGCAAATGGATTTGAGGAGAGTGGAAATGTAGAAACAATCAGAGAACTAACATACATTAGTTATTTACCAAATATAAATTTAGCATGTGTCCGGAGTAAAACATACCTCGTTATTGGAGTTGTCGTTGAATTTCAGTTTCTCATATAGAAATTGCTTCACTCTCACTGGCGTTGTACCATTATCATCCCTCACTTCTGCAATAGCCTCAATAAGCGCAAGTTGCACAGCATATGATGCTCGGTCTGAGAAATCGTTTGAACGAGCCATAGACGAATTTGGCAGACAGTATAGCTCCTGGAATGCGTTTTCTAGATGAAACAAGCCAATCCAATCGACCTCTTGCTTAGCATGTTTGACAAGGGCCTTGGTGGCAGCCGTTCGGATTCCATGAAAATATCGCCGGTCTAAAATTGTGCGAACAAAAATGGTCGATATAAGAGCATGCTCTCGCTGTGCAGCCATATGTTGTATTGACTGAAAATTATTAGCTTCATGTATACAAAATCTGACCTATAAAGCTGGCTTACCTCGAGTTGTGCAACCACGTCACGATCCTGTTGCAGCTGGGACAGGTACATATATCCAGGCATACCGAGGGACATTTTACATATCCATTCAAAGTCGGCATCCATTCTAATCCATTCGTAGGATTCCTGGCCCATTCGACTCTCGTCTTCTTTAGTCCACTCAACGAGTTTCCATTTCTCCATATCTTCATCTGACTGTAGCACGTCTCCCAGGCAATAAAGCAACACGTCATCTTGAGCTTCAATATTAGGATCCATACCCGACATTGCCGCAGCCCGTTCTTTCTGGCGTTTATTTCGTTTGAGGCGCTTATATTTTGTATTATAGGGGATATCAAACTTCGTGACCGGCTCTTTGATCTCAACAATATGCTCATAAGGTGTCCCATCTGCCTCGTGAATTTGAATGGTCATTGACCCTGTGAACACATGCTGCACAGCACCCGCATATACATTGCGGATCTCCTCTTTAACGTCCCTCATAAAGGTAGATCGCTCGAGGTCTCGAGCGGTTGGCTGTTCTGTTTGAACTTGAGATATCATCATCTCAACCACGAGTTTCTTCTTGTTGAATCTTTGGCTAGCCGTAAACCGCGGACAACCAGCTCCATAAACCCATTGGTTGAAGAAGGAGTCCAGCTTGGTGTGGCCTAGGCGTTCACACAGTTTTTGAAAATGCGCCGATGTAAGTTCGCCGTTCGGGATATCACCCATTCGTGCATTTAGAAAGATTCGAGATATAATTCGGGAGACGGTGGCCTTACCGCTTGCCTTGGAAAGTCGGCGTTCAAGGATGTAGAGGACAAGCGGCGCCTTTAATGAGATAAATTCCATCTCAGAGGGGTCAATCTTGAGAATGGCTCCCATATCCCAGAGAGACGGTCGCAAAACATCCAAGTCGCAAACTTTGTCTGCCATCATTTTCTGTCGAAATCTATATTCGTTGTTTCCGCCAATTTTTTTCATAAACGTGTCAGTGATGTAGTAAGCTATACCGACAATCACCCAAGTATCCGTTGGTTCTTTTGGGATGATACTGATACCGACCCACTGGCATGCTAACGCATGGACTATGCATCTCGTTGAATCATACATCATGTCAATAATATTTTCAGGGAAGAGTATGCGGTCACTGCATATTGATAGCCCCGCCGCGGGTAGGGTATCTGTGCGAAGGTCATCAACGAAACATAGCTTGTAGCTGGCAAACGGATAGGAGCCGTAAGTTAGTGAGATAAAGTCGACAGCTTTTGCCATCGGTAGACATGTATTCCTCACTTCTTCCGCCCTTCCAGGAAGACAGAAAGCATGGATGGGAACAGCATTTGCGCCAAGTTGATCATCCTCATCACTTTCGCGAAACTGGGATAGGTTAACGTATTCGAACGGTCCAATTGCAAATCCAATCTGCTGAGCCGATAGTGGTGAACTGCAGGAGAATGACACGGTCTTCCTAGTTTGGTCCTTAGGGTCAACGATGTCATCCGTCATGTCCCCCGAACAGGCAACAACCATATCCAACGCCGCATCTTCTGCCGAAAGCCCCGTGTTCCTCGAGCTATCTGTTCGCTTTGAGGTACCGTTCACAATCGGGGCCTCGGATGATTTGGAAAGTACATCTCCCAGCGTTCTAGGGCACCTTATCGAGACATCCCAGGTATTTCGAGAAGACATGTCATCCACGCAGGGGAACAAGCAACATGATTCCCCAGTATCTGAAGAATTAGCGGTAAACGCATGTGGATACCGCAAGTCACGGCTCTCCACGCCCACAAACTGGAACCCATCTCTTGGTTTCTCGATCGTAAATTCCATGTATATCGTTATCGCGGTAAACCTGGGAAGAGAGGCCTCAGTAACACGCCCGCTATCTGCCACATCCTCCGCACCGCCGGCCCCGCTGACGCCTCCCGAAGTAGCCCGTAATGACAGCTGAGTTTGCGCCTCGACCGAGAACGGATCGAGTTCCTCTATGCGAACAGCTTTCGGTATCGTCACTACCAACTCCGGTTCCGGGGGCGTTTTCAAAAGGGCGTCCACCTTCGAGGAAAGCTTTCGGTGGTACTGAGTGCCATACAGTTGTAGCGCGTCGTATGGGTCGACATATTTGGTCGTAGCTGCCCTCCCACCCACGGTTATGCGCTTCAGCTGGCCCTGACGGAAATTCAAACGGATGAGCCTCAGGTCCTTGTGGTCCGGATGGATGGTAATCTCGGTTTTCCCCTTCAAGCTCCGGCTGGCGAAATCGATATCAAGCTCAACTTTCTGATGGCTAACTGAGTATCCCAGCACCGGCGGAGGTGGAACACCATGTGTTTCGACCAGTCCCGGCATCATGATCCGCGCGCCCAGTCTCAGAACAGTTCTCCTATCGGCCGTTATATGGCGGCAGTATCATATCGCGTATGGATGGGGGCGTGAACGGAGTGCTGCTTAGTTGCGAGTCTGCCCAACCGGGTGAGCAAATCCTGCAATAGCATTGGTGAAGGAGAGCAGTGAAGGCGAATCTAAGACCGGTTAACAAGCCCAACACATGCAGCGAACACGGGGGACCATTATCAATGAGCTAAAAAAGAACACGGCGGTATTGTTGGGCTGGTGAAGCTCTCATTCACCCTTTTCTCCTTCAATACGCAAGTTCGAGCTTCGCGATCATTGAAATGCGCACAAACACCGCTAGTCCTTAAGAGGCTTAGCGCCAGATGAGTGCCACGTGATATTTTCACATGTCCGTGCTGGTCTCGTGACTTGACTTTTCTCCTTTACTTTTCTCTACCCCACGAACATTTTTTGAGCACTTGATCGACTTCAACGGCTTCGTTTTTCTCAAGAGAGAAGACGCAGGAAGAAGTGCTTGTCGGCTTCGATCAGTTCAAATCTCAGCATGTTTTGAAGCTTAGCCTTGGCCTTGCACGAGTTCTCAGGTATTTTACCATGGACTCTATCAGGAAGCTTGCCGGTAAGTTCTTGCTATCAAATAACCGTTGGGGGCTTTACCCTGTTAACTCGCACGCGACAGGATTGGGAGATTCCTTGACGGATGAGACCCTGGCTCCTTTAAGGACGTATAAATACTCGAGCGTCGATAAGTCATATATCTCTCGATATATACTCAAACATTATGTACTGTCGCTCTCTCATCCTCAGTCGACGCCTTTAAAAAGATTGAAGATCCAATATATTCTCCCTGTATGAAATGTACATAGGTCGTGTACTGATCAAATACGATTCGAACGTTCTAGTGGAATGCCTTCGTCGAACTCTTGCCGTTATGGATTGCTCCCAACATGGTCACCCTGCTCGGGTTCGGATTCATTGTTGGGAACGTAATGCTACTCGAGATCTATATGCCAGATCTCGTAGGACCGGTATGTGTACTAAACTTAACGCCATAAGATGGCACTTGCTTTATTGTAAGGTGCATAAATGCTGATAGTGGGCTGTTGGTTTGATCTTAGGGTCCATCGTGGCTATATTATAGCTTTGCTATAGGCATCTGGATGTAAGTTTACCCCTTAAACTCCGGAAGACTATATCTCCTTTTGTGTTTTTTTGATAATAGACCGCTGACAAGGACACTAGGTATTCTACTATGGATAATGTCGACGGCAAACAAGCTAGACGCACGGGCACGTCAAGTCCGCTGGGAGAGCTATTTGAGTACGACTACAAAAGATAAACCCCTTTTCCGTTGTAGTTGAAGAGCTAATATGTGATGTACCTGGGACAGTCATGGAATCGATTCCTTGAACTGCACACTAGCGAGCTTGCTAGAAGTTGCCGCCATGGGCCAAGGGTCGACAAAAATCGGAGCCTTCACCATGCTAATCCCCTGTCTACCAATGTTCTTTTCAACGTGGGAGACGTATCATACCCATACTCTCTACCTGGGCTACTTCAACGGGCCCACCGAAGGATTGATAATTGCAACCACGATTATCATAGCAGCAGGCTATTACGGACCAGAGATCTACTCTCGCCCCCTCGCGGACGGACTCGGCTACCGGGAACAGCTCGGAGATATCACCTTCTTAGACCTATGGGTCTTCGTTCTTCTCACCTCCTTCTTCACCGCTCACTTGCCCGAGTGTGTCTACAACGTGGTCCAAGCACGACGACGTCAAGGTCTACCAGTCTTGCCGATTTTCCTAGAGTGGACTTCCATCATCGTTTCAAGCATATCAGCCATCTCCTGGATCTACTCCCCGCATTCCTTCATCCTCAAGGATAACCATCTAGTCCTGTTTGCAGTCACCCTGTGCTTCGTGTTCGGGCGAATGACAACGAAAATAATCCTCGCCCATCTTACCAGACAGCCATTCCCTAACTGGACTATTCTGATCACACCCCTTATCGGTGGTGCTGTCCTGGTCAACCTGCCCGTATTCGGTTTACCAGCCATTAGTGCACGCGTCGAACTATGGTACCTATGGGGCTATCTTGCTTTCGCGTTTACTGCATACATGCACTGGGCCTTATACGTTATCGGCCGCATCACGACATTCTTGGGCATCAACTGCTTGACGATTAAGCATCGCCGCTCATCGCTGAATGGTCCCGTCCTCGGTAACGTTACCAACAGCAAAACCCAGGCAGGATATAATAAGCTAAACCTGGAAAAGCCAGTCAAGCTGAACTAATTCTAACCATGAAGAGTTGTGATAGATGCTGGAACGAAGTTTTTCCTTTTTTATATAATATAGGCTCAAATTTCGTATATTAGAGGGCACACTGTACACAGTAAGAAATATAGCTTTTCATACATCATGTAAATGTTGACGACCATGCAGTGATCATGTTTTACACATTGTTGGTACGCTCTAGTTAATGACTACCTTTCAAAATATATCGCCGGATGACTCTGTTACCACACTCCCATCCATATATCCATGTTACATGGATTGCCTGAGCTAGATGTTCCTCCGCTGCCGCCTCGCATGAAATAACGTACAGCTAATTTGCACCCTAGCTTGCCAGCCTATGACGAAGCTCGCATATGCAGGGCACACGGCTACCGCTATGTATATATATACGCCTTGCTCTCAGCTAGGCCTCGGACTGATGCAATATGCCTCGAAAAATGAAGAAAATAAAGGCCATTTTCAACAGAAGGAAAGGCTGGCTGAAATCAATCTTCAGCCATACAGATGATAAGACTAGCAGCGACTCTACCTTACATGCACAGCCTGACCTAGCACCCGAGGTGACTCCCGCCATCAGGTTCCCCGATGGAGTTGAAGTCTTGCATAATTGCGTCGACGCTAGAGTTGATATCTACTTTATCCACGGTTTGACCGGTAACCGGGACAGCACCTGGACAGGCCATGGACAACTTGAGCCCTGGCCGAAGACACTACTTCCGTCCAGGCTTCCTAGAGCTCGCATCCTCACGTACGGCTACGACGCATACGTGCTAAGGGCACCGTCTGGATCATCAAACCGGTTGATTGACCATGCCATGAATCTTCTAAACGACTTGACGAGGGATAGAGCTCGTAACGATGCCTCGTCTCGTCCGCTCATTTTCGTCGCCCACAGCCTCGGGGGCCTTGTCTGCAAGGAGGCCATCCTACTCTCGCGAAATAACCCCGAACCTCACCTTCGAGGTATATTCGATTGCACCAAGGGCATTATATTCATAGGCACCCCCCATAAGGGATCCTGGATGGCTAGTTGGGCAAAGATACCCGCTTCGGCTCTTGGTCTCATAAATTCTGGGAACAAAGCATTGCTAGATGTCCTACAGACGGATAACCAGCTTCTAGAGTCTGTTCAAGTCAGGTTCTGGTCGATGATACGCGAAGTGCGAGAGGCCGGGAGACGTCTCGAGGTGACCTGTTTCTTCGAGGAGCTTGGTCTGGTGTTAGTTGGAAAAATCGTGTCTAAGGAATCAGCGACGCTCGAAGGCTACAGCTCTTTTAGCATCCACGCCAACCATAGCGACATGGCCAAGTTTAGTTCAGCGGAAGATAACGGATTCGACAGGCTACTCGGTGAGCTGGTCAGATGGGAATCGCAAATCGAGGATTCAACCGTCGACCAACCGTCACCCTCGTCGGCTGAAGAAGCGCCGGTCGACAAGCCAGCCAGTACGACCATTAATAATTTCGGCTCTGGCGAACAATTCTACGCAGTAGACGGCGTCCAGAACAATGCTTTAGGCAGTGGCAATCAGTTTCCCGGGGCTACATTCAACGGGCCGATGTATTTTTCCTAGATCCTCCACAGCCTATAACTAGTTAACTATAAATACTAACATCTCTCTGTCTCTTGTCCCGCTTAAATTCATTTATTTACACTCAAAGCTGCCAGTGTAGCAACTGTTTCCAAAACATCAGCATGGCTATTCAACCGGTAAATATCCATCAGTTATGGGATGAGAAACACCCTTAAGGAGCTATCGCCGACTTCACGTTCCCTTCAGTTACGCCAAAATGAACAGCCCCCGTGAAAGAAGCCCCAGGGAACTGGTTTCCACTGCCTCTGGTGTTGTTCTGCGTTCCCCCGATAACGACATATTGTTGCTTGCCGTGGTTGGTGATATTGTAGCCTGCTTGTTCGTCTGGTATGGATGGCTCCATCTTTGACAGCTTCTCGAGAGCTTCGCGCAACACCTTAACGTGGGATTCCATTGCTGCTTCGATCGTGCCATCCTTAGCCATCTCACAGACGTCGGTCATCATACCCATTACCAAGACCTCTACCCGGTTCCCTTTGCCCTCTTTCTGTACGGCTATTTTGTAGCGCTCGAAGCTGGAGGCTCTTGGTGCCTGGGCAACTTCCTCGAACACGCTTTTGGCCAATTTTGATTTTGCGTTGCAGGCCTCCAGTGAGCTCATGGCGCTTCGGCAGCCTTGGGCTAGTTCACCCCCGTTCAGTTGGGTTTTGGCGGCCTGGAGTGCCCCCTTGATAAGGGTTAACCCTCGACCTGCTTCGTGGAAGGCCGGCCGGAGACCCTCGTCGTCGTTGACAAGGTCGTATACTTCCGCGGCGCCATTCAAGTTGGCGATGGTGAGAGAGATTAGCCTGGTGGCGGTGGTAGTGGTGTTGGTGTCTGCCATATTTGCACGGAGGACGTGACGACTATCTGAATGGATATTTGCTAAAGAGACTTGGGTAGGTATAGGAGAAAAAGCCCGTGGAAGGTCTTCAGTGTACGGAGTAGGGTTTCTGGTATTACTCTCTTTATAGCGATTGAGAGGCTGTCTGCTCTACTTCAATATCCAGCCTCTTCAACAGCAGCAAGACCTCCGCAATTGGTGAACCAGACAACTCATCGGCCACCCCAAGGCTGGCTCAGAGGAATGGCGTCCTTTTCCTTTCTTTTTGAGTTACTGCGACATCTAACGGCTGGTGGCTAATAATAACGGGTCAACGACTACCAATAAGCTCGCTAATATCCAGCCTTCCTGATACTCCTTGCAGAGGATCAGTCAACTTGCCATCTAATTGCATAAGGGTAAGCAGGGATGATAGGCTGCGACTCTACTTCTATCTGATAGCTGTATGAAGTCGTTCCCTGCAGTCTGCATAGGCCCTTGTGACCAGCTGGGTTATTAACTTATACGAGATGCATAGAGAAGATGTCAGGCTACCTCAAGAGTTCATGCGCTACCTGCATGGTAACTAACACCTAGCCAGTTATCGACTACGAAGAGTAACCGCCCGTTATACGCTGAGGACTTTCTCCTTGATGAAGCCCAACATTTGGTCAATGGATCGGACTGAGGTGTTATTATTGGATCTGATGGCGAGTAGTCCATTAGGCTTGACCTTACTCTTCCATTTAGCTATACGGAATGCTTATTCTTTTCAAATGGCAGTAGTTTTATCCCGTTACAAGATAAAAATAAACGGCTGGCTTCTGCTGAGGAACTCCGTACCGAGTACATGTACATGTCATCGCCATGTTCGCATGCAGATGGGAGCCTCGTCTGCAATTTCTCATGTTTCTGTATGAGAGCACTGCGATGCTTGCATGAACCCTCATTGGCGACTCCTAGTTAGCCGACGACGACCCTTTCAGCCTTGCTTGCGCTTTTATGGCAGGCGGCTACGCACTTCTTGCATATTTGTTCGCTGTTCTTCGAGCACAGACAGACGAGATGCTACCCTCCCTCCTTCAACAGCCTTCATCATTTCGACAGGAATACCGTTTATTTCAGGAGTATCTACTTGGTAAAAGCTCCCAGACCTATGTGTGCGATCAATCTCACATCCATAACTCTGATTACCCCAGTTCCGCCTTTGATTCCTCCCCAATTGATCCAAGTTACCCTAGATGATGGAGTTGGCTGGGAGTTCTTCTGAGAGCAAATTCTCCGAGAGTCACGGCTCTGATAACCAACCCATCACTCCTGTCTCATCTCACAACCACGGCGATATGGCCCGAAGCATCGCTCCTGGAGGAACACAGAACAATTCATCCGGCGATGGCCCACAATTCCCCGGGGCCATATTTCAAGGGCCCGTGAACTTCGGTAAGAATACCATTTTACTATTCAATGAGCTTTATAGCATTCTAACTGAGATCAACTACCTCAAGCTCAACCTCCAAAGACTCCACAGGAACTTTCCTTGGAATCACAGGCGCCTTGCTTGCAATCGCTAGCCTTCCTGGACATGGAAAAACGGTTGAACGATATCGGCGCTGCCGCTGAAGGTACCTGCGCGTGGCTGCTCCAACGCGAGGAGTATATGAACTGGATCACCAATGATCGGGGGCTGCTTTCGATCGAGGGAAAGCCTGGCTCTGGAAAGTCAACTTTGCTAAAATACGCTCTCAAAAACATCGAGGAAAGATTCAGCGGTCAAGGCAACCCCGTCATCCTCTCATTCTTTTTCCATGGCCGTGGTTCTGAACTCCAAAAGACACCACTCGGCCTTTTCCGGTCACTTCTCCATCAGCTCCTCTCCGAGGTCCCCGATGCACTAAAAAATCTCCTTGATCAGTTCGAGAAACGACGCGAGAAGCTGGGCGAGCCGAATAAAAACTGGCAGTGGCATGTAAATGAGTTACAGGACTTCTTCCAATCCTCACTGCCAGAAATTTTGGAAAGCCGCCCAGTCTGGCTATTTGTTGACGCACTGGACGAAAGTAGCGATGACTACGCGCACAACTTAGCAAGCGAGTTCAAGACCTGGCTCCAGAACCTTCCACCCTCTTGTCTACAATTTCACATCCTCTTCACTGTTCGTCGCCATTTGATTCTGGAGTTGGAATATGGGCTCAATATTTGCCTTGAGAGTGAGACTACAGAGGATATTTCAACCTATGTGGAATTCAAGCTTTCTACTAAGCGTAAAGCTCCGACTACCGTCATTAAATTGATCACCGATCGTGCCTCTGACGTTTTCTTATGGGCTCGCCTCGTAGTCGAGCGTGTTATTAAGAGTGAACGTCAGAAGGTTGAGTGGACGACTATTGAAAAGGAAATTATGGATATCCCAGAGGAACTTCACGAATTATACGCCGAGATTGTCAGCAATATGAGCAGGAAAGCAGATTCCCTCAAATTAATCTAATGGATATGCTTTGCCACGCGGCCCCTAACCCTGGACGAATTGCGATGGGCCATGGTTATCGATGCTAATATTAAATGCCCACATCGGTCGTTGAGCGAATCTCAGAAGGCGGGCGATTTTCCAAGTAGCCTTGAGAGCATGAAAAGTAAAATTGAAACTTTTAGCTGCGGTATTGCTGAGGTTGATCAGTCATCCGGCACAGGTATTGTGCAGTTCATCCACCAGTCAGTCAAGGACTATTTCGTCGACGGGGGACTATCGATCCTTGAGAACGGTGTGCTCTCAGCTGAGACCCCTAAGGGTGATTTGGTAGGACGCGCACACTACCAGCTGTCTAGATCCTGCCTACGCTATTTGGCAATGGAGGAGATGTATCCGGTAAAGGAGATCACTCACCTAGGCGCAAGTTATCGCGAGAAGTTAGCTTGTGACTTTCCCCTGTTCGAGTATGCCATGTTGTCATGGGCATTGCATGCAAGTCAAAGCGAGATGGGGGGTGTCCCTCAAGATGATATTCTAGAATATTTTAACTTTCCATCGGAAGATTTCACGCAACTTTTGAAGCGGTTTTCCCACATGGTATATTATCCGCTTACCGATGGCCCAAGAGACATGACTAGCCTATTACACATTGTGTCGCGATATGGGCTGATAGGACCATTACGGGCGATCCTTCGACATGCGGAGCAGGATGGTTTTGATATCGACATGCGGGATACTTACGGTCGGACAACACTGATGTGGGCCTCTATCGGTGGGCATGCTGATGTTGTCAAACTGCTCCTCAAAATACCCGAAGCTGAGGTCAATGCAAAGGAGGGCATCAGTTTAAACCCAGCCAAATGGCCTCTATTCAGGCGACTCTTCAACCTGGACAAAATTGATGTTAATTTAAAGGATAATGGTAGCATGACACCACTGGCTTACGCTTCAAAGCAGGGAAACAAGGACGTCGTTGAGTTGCTTCTTAGGATACGTGGAATTGATGTTAATACCCGCGATAAATTTAACCGTCGGACGCCGCTCATGCACGCTGCCATGATGGGACATAAGGCTGTGGTTAAGAGCCTTCTTAAGAGCCCGGACATTGATATCAATCGAGCAAATCGTTACGGTCAGTCGCCACTAAGTTTTGCCGCCCAGTTTGGCCGTGACGCTATGGTTGAGCTACTTCTCAAAACAGGCAGATGTGATATCAATAGCAAGGATGGCTGGGGTCGGACGCCGCTCATGGCCGTCGCGCGGGTGGGACATGAGATCGTGGTTGAACGCCTTCTTGAAATAAAGGATCGTTGGGGTCGGACGCCACTATTTTTGGCCGTCAAGTGGGGCGATGATACTGTGGTTGAGCTACTTCTCAAGACTGGCAGGTGTGATATCAATAGAAGGGATAACTCGGGCCGGACGCCGCTCATGGCTGCCATTACCAAAGGGCATAAGGCTGTGGTTGAGCGTCTTCTAAAATTGCCTGGGATTGATATTAGTGTAAAGGATAGTACACTATTAACATATGCGATCTGCCAGGGGGAGGGGGACATGGTTAAGGTCCTCCTTGATACGGGCATGTTAGATATCAACGAAAGGGATCCTTCTGGTAGGTTACCTATTGATCACGCTACCATACGCGAGGAATACAACACGGTTAAGCTGCTCCTGGACGCAGGCTCGTTAGAAGCAGGCTCGCCGTGCAATCACAGGGTGCTGGTGCACACCCAGAAGCCCTAATATACCCATGGTGCTAAATAATACTTTAGTCTGCATCTCTTTACATTGCTCATTTCTTTAGCGACTGGTTAGTCAAAAATTCTAAATGACTAAATTTGGGGAAATCGGCAGTAATTTCAGTTAGAAATGGGGATGGCAGCTATTGCACACGGAAAAAAGGTCAGAGACTTTCAAGGAAAAGTAGAATAACTAGTTCAGTAAACCTACATAGTAGAGGACATTAACTGGTAGATCAAAATGCTCAACCCATTTTCTAGAGTGCCGTTGGCTCGTATTATCTGTAGGTGCAAACCGCCATATATGCGGCCTTGAAATAAATGAATGAAGAGAGGAGAGTTAACCAGGGTGATGGGATTCGATTGAGGCGTAAATAAATTCCCAGTGAAGGCGGGCTTTACAGTCAATGGATATATTAAACGCCTTGAGATATGGTTGAGATGTTGTAATTATGCTTCTTTGTGGCTTTGGTGGCCGAGGTTAAGGCTGGCCAGGCGAAGCCGCAATCTATTCACGGATCAACGGATGCGGGGAAGTATATAAGCCGACGCGACTCATGTAAATATGAAGATAGAAAGACGTTCTCTTGATAATTTGATAATCAACTGAAATAGTAATAATCATTTCTACTATAGCCATCTAGATCACGATGGTCAATCTACCTGAAACCTTTGCCGCTATTCCACGCCAGGAGTTCCTCCTCGGCCCTTCGCCAATCCACCTCTTACCCCGGATGACCGCAGATCTCGGGGGCCAGGTCAAGATATATGCAAAGAGAGACGATGTCAGCTCCGGCCTAGCATACGGCGGCAACAAGACACGCAAACTCGAGTATCTGGTCGCCGATGCCATTGCCCAAGGATGCGATACTCTCGTTAGCATCGGCGGAATCCAGAGCAACCATACCCGTCAGGTTGCCGCAGTGGCAGCTCGAATGGGGTTGAAATGTGGTCTGGTGCAAGAGAAATGGGTTGAATGGTCTGACCCAGGCTACGAGAAAGTCGGCAACATCCAGCTTTCCCGACTGATGGGCGCTGACGTGCGGATCAAGAAGATGACCACCTTTGGAATCGAACACAAGGATACCTTGAAAGCTTTAACGAAAGAATATGAAGCCAAGGGCCAGAAACCTTACTATATACCCGCCGGAGCATCCGATCATCCCCTGGGCGGCCTCGGTTTTGCACGCTGGGCCTTCGAAGTTCGTGAACAAGAGAAGGAACTGGGTATCACTTTTGATAACATTTTCGTGTGCGCAGTGACGGGCTCCACGATGGCAGGAATGGTCGCTGGCTTCAAGCTGATTGAAAAGTTATACCCGGATGAACCAAAGAGGAAGATCATTGGAATCGACGGCTCGGCTACCCCGGATAAAACCCGCGCCCAGGTTCTTCGTATTGCGAAGGGTACCGCAGAGAAAATTGGTTTAAAGGCAGATGATATAACGGAGGCAGATATCGTGCTAGACGAAAGATACCATGCAGGAACTTACGGCATTCCTGATAAGCAGACCTGGGAGGCGATTGAATACGGGGCTAAAATGGATGCATTCATTACGGACCCGGTGTATGAAGGGAAGAGTCTTGCTGGGCTGATGGGGTATCTGAGGAACGGCGAGATAAAGACTGGGAATATCCTCTATGCGCATCTCGGTGGACAGTTGGCTCTGAATGCCTATTCTCAGCTTGGACATGTTGAATGATAAACCTCTGAAAGGAAAGGCAAGTTAACATGCATCGCTATCTACTTTTTCGACGGGGATTTGGAATAGCATTCAGATAGGAATTTAATTGATCCCAGCAATAACTTTGAAATTCCAGAGTTTTATACACAATCTTGACTCTAGCTCTCGTATTTATTTAGTTCAATGGCTCTCTCCTGCCAAGACGTGCTAGTTCGACGTGATGCTTTCGAGGTACAGGCAACATCTCGACCTTACCTGAACATAGCCATGGCTTCACTGCTGAATTTACCAAATGAACTTCTCTTGTTCATCTTCAAGGAACTCGGCGATTTAGATGATGTAGCCCACCTTGAAAGAAGCTGTCGGCACCTGCACAGTCTTTTGGAATATGGTTCTCATCGATTGGACATTTTCAGAGCGGTGATCGTATGGCTTCATCCCCTTGATTAACTATATAGTAGTGTCTTGGATCTAATCAACAAGCCCAGATCAACGCTGAACATCATAAGTATGATGTTGACTTATGCTACTTTATAGAGGCGAACCAAGCATACGCATCAAACTATATCGACAAGCTCATACCAGCAGATGACAGCCGACCACGGTACTCTAAATTTTTCGAGATATATGATGAGGGTGTGAATACCCTGACAGACGAGTTTGTGTGGTGGATTGCCTGTCGTTGGCAAGGACTTCGAATTTTACAGGATCTCTACCTGAATTCATCGATAAACGCATCATTTTGCCGTTCAGTGTACACTTACAACGAACATGATACCTCCTGTACTCACACATGCAACCGTTTGGCAGCAGAAGGCCCTCTGCATAAGCCCAATGTCGGTCCTCTCACTCTAAACACCGTCACTTCCTTCAGCTCCAGGCAGACTCAGCGATTCTATCAGGCATTAACTGCTATCTGGCTTCCCATCGAAGCCTTGGTTCTGGCAAGAGTGTCTGTCTATCCGACATCTGATGAACAACAGATAGTATTTGACTATGTAACCGATATCTGGGAAGGTGACGGTAGGGGCTCTCTTTCGGAGTCGTTTGACATACTGGAAACTTATGATTTTGTCTGGAGGTTCCTGGGTCGAAGGATATTTCCCAAAGTTGACGACTATACTTCCTGGACTCGGAATAGACATTTTAAAGCTCACGGTAGTTCTGAAGTTAAGGCGTGGGACAACTTTGTCAAGTTCACTCGGCAGTACCTGAGACCTTCGAGCATCATTGAGTTGCTTCTGCTTTCCGCATGGAACAACGGGTCGTGGCCGTCGAATAAACCATATTATCTCCAGCAACTTGGTCACGCAGACGAAGCGTTAGGCGTTGTTGAAGATGATACTGGAGACCCAATGAGCCCATACTATTCACTTGCAGATATCGAAGTCGGTATACGAAGAAAGCTCAGAGATTGTGGCCGCAATTCTCCGCCAGGTCTCGGTGAGGCGTTCGATAACTACCGGGAGAAATGGTGGACGAGCGATGCACGGGGGAAAGTTATTACCTGGGAAGAAGACGAGGCCTTCATTATTAACCGCATCACGGTGGGATTGAAACGAACGCAACCTCAGCCTTGAACTCTTGCACATGCAGTTAGCACTAGGTCTTCTTATTATCGTCTTAACATCCAGTAATGAAGTAGACTGCTATCCTGTCCCTTATCCGTAACTATCAAATATCCTGCTTCATGTATATACTCCCACCGTATTATCAGTCACGTGATATAACCCCCGGTATAACCCCTAGTTATTTGCACTCTATAACTCACCTCAGTCCTTTCTTCCACTTGGCATGTCCTTTTTCTCTCTTGGCTCTTCTCTCTTCTCTCCTCTCTCTTCTCTCTTCTCTCCTCTCTCTTCTCTCTCTTCTCTCTGCTTTCACTTGGTCTCTTCTCTCTCTGCTTTCACTTAGCTCTTCTCTCTTGGCTTCTGGTTTTGGTCCAGTTGGTTTACGTTGAGTTCTTCACCTCGGTCCTTTCGTGGTCTTGGTATGAGCTTACCTAAGCCACGTATTACATAAGGACCGCGTTATCGATAAGAAGCTTGCTGATATCAACAAGGGCAAGTTCATCCTCATGCGACGTTCGATGCATCCTCAGAACCCAACACACCGCATACAATATGCCGGTTAAGCAGACACCCGGGTTAGATGGTATCTCAGCTAAGAGACGGCAAGATGACAGCGGCGAAGAGGAGGAAGACGACTACATGTCCATGTCATTCCTAGACGAACCTCAAGCTAAAAAGGAGACGTTTACCCAGAAGAAGCTCCGGAAACTAAGAGAGGTAGGTGACATATCACCTCTCTGAAGGCCCAGTTATAAAGGTGAATAGACACTAACCAGCTCCCTTTGTTATCTTAGGCCGAAGAAAAGTCGCGCGTCCCCTCAAAGGCCGAGTTAGCTGCTGCAGAAGCTGCACGTCGTGAGGCCGCACTCTCAACGAGCGCAATTGATACGTCCAGTAAAGGGTATCAGATGATGGCGAAACTGGGCTATAAACCAGGTAGCGCGCTTGGGAAGAAAACTCCGTCTGAGACTGCGGGTACCGAAACGGATCAGCGCCTTACCGAACCTTTGGGGATATCTGTGAAGGAAAATCGAGGAGGAATAGGACTGGATACGGAGAAGAAGCGGAAATTCCGCGAGGAACTGGAAGGAGAGGCAAAGCGGGTGAAGGCTGTGGAAAGCGATTATCTGGAGCGCGTGAGAACTGAACGGGAAGAGAAGAGGCAGGAGGGACAGTTTCATGCAGCTCAGAAAGTCATTGAAAGATTTGATACCGAAAATGACGAAGACGGAACCGAAGCAACTAATATTAATGGCAACGGTCAACAAGTCATCGCAGAAGAAGGGAATTCTGATGACCAAGACGCAACGGCTAAGAAGGGGAAAACGCAGGGCACCAGGCCCATCGCAAGGGTCAACATCCTTTACCGCGGATTGGTGCGGGCTAGGGAGGTAAAACTACGTGAACAGCAAGCCATCCGTCGTCGATATGAGTCTCTCTCCTCGCGTGACTCGTCGCAGCTGTATTCCGAGAAAATTCCGGGGTTACCCACATTTGCCGACGATGAGTTAGAGGTCGACGATAAGCTGGCCCTGGGTCGCACGGCCGAAGGCGAGGTTGTTGAGGTCGAAGCTGATGACGAGGATGATGAAGAACTGGAACAGTTCAATTCTCTTGGTGTGCAAGAACGGCTATCCCGTGCTGTGGCATACCTGCGGGACAAATACAACTACTGCTTTTGGTGCAAGTATAGATATGAATTGCCGGATATGGAAGGCTGTCCGGGTCTGACAGAAGAAGACCATGATTGAGCGTGGGGTCTCATTCTCCAGGTCTGTATCTGGTTCCATCCTTGGGTACCAGCAGCAGAGCTCTCCATTACTCGTGCCAGCAGTTGGCATCTCCCTTTTTGCCACTGTGTACGACTTTTTTTCCTGGCTGGCGACATACGGCTGAGGTGAGAACCTCTCGTCGATACGGAGTACGTACGACACTGATGCTTCCCCATGACCAGGCCATGCTGTCCGTATACCTTCATCTTATATCGTACAGGGTCATTGCTAGGTGGTACGTTTTCTAACGGCTAATCGTTGTATATAGAGCATGGGTTACGTTTCCTCCGAACCTCCTGACACGGGGAATGCAGGTGTGTATCTGCGAGGATAATCGTTATTGAGCCTCCAAGACTGTTAGGCAACATCTTGTCCGGCTATACATGGGTGTCGTGCCCTATTATAGCTTGCCATGTTATTATACCGCATGTTAAGCATGTCGTGGGACATAAGAGGCCACAGCTAGGTCTCTTTGCCAACGGTTGGGCCCCATCTCAACGTACTTATGCTGTGACACAAGTATTTCCCGAATATGCGGAACGGCAATGACGTATCTTAACTACGAACGATGTACCTTGCACGGAGTTGAAGTCGGATAAATTCAGTACTATCTAGTGGGCGAAACATAATGAAGGACATGTACGGTTATTTTTAACTCAAGAGATGGCCGGAGCATTGAGCCGAATTACTCCACTATCTTGTCACATTTAATGTTGCATGTGTTGCATGCATGTTATATTGTCAAATAAAACAGCCGAAACCACCACACGTCTCAAGAACGTCTACTTTCACAAGCAATCTTAAACACCAACTTGAAGCTCTGTTTACGTACATGCTGCAACGTAGCGGCTCACAGGGGAACGAATTGTGAAGAAGGGAAAGAGGTAGGAGAAACAAATAAAATCGCTCGTATCAGCAAAGAATTATTATTCTTTTGACAATTAATAAACGTAATGAAATTAACTAGAGTGTATCCTAGTGAAATCAGGTATATGCAGAAATTAAGTAATGTAAAATCAATCAGAATCGTCATTAGATTAGAACACCGTGTAAACCCCCTGTTGCCTTTGAAATTCCAAAAAATAAATAAAGAAATAAAAGGAGAGAATGAAGGGGAAAAAAGAAGAAGAAGAATTGAAATAAAACCATGGTATCATCCTTATGTCCAAGAAATTGTTTGTAAACCGAAACTATGGACAGTGCGTGTGTGGCGTTGGTTATAACGAGTATATATGCGAAACAGATAAGAAACGGATAAGAAACGGGTAAAAGGATAGTGTGCCCAGAGTACTCTACTGGAGTCTTTTTTGGGGGCTAGATCGAACGTGCGGCTAAGTCTCAGGATGATCTATGTCTCCAGACTCAGTAGATTCGACGGTATTCATAGATTCGGCCTTTTCGGATTGAGATTTTTCAGATTCAGCAGCGCTGGCAGCTTCGAGGTCCATGACCAATTTCTCCATAAATTCCATTAGAGAACGGTCCTTGCAGCTCTTGATTCCCTTGACGCAATCGCCGCAGATTCGTAGACAGCAGAACACACATCTCCATCGTACTTCTTGATCAGACTTGAGGCACGTCATGCAGTTCAATGGATATAAGACGTTGCTGGATCGCACGAATGTTCGGTGGAAGTGGTAGCAGGAGAAATGGGATTTGTTGAGTGGTGGAGTGTGGTATTCTACTTTCTTTGGTGGTCCAACTGAATGGGCAGAATGGTCTGAGGCGCAATCGCTTTTCGGCTGACTTGTGGCCTTGACTGGCGAATCGACTGTGCTGATGGTGGTGTCATCCATCTCGGATGCGGATACTGGGGTGCGTGAGAGGGGAGAGCTTGAAGCTGATGAATTCTCATGCTGTTGGTGGAAGTCTGATCGCTGTGAGTCGCTCGAGACGTAGCTTATTGGGCGTGGAGATGGTCTGTTTGGTTGAATATGTTGCATGCGTGGACGGTAATATCGTTGCGTGGGAGTGCCGGGAGGAGTTGGGAGAAGCTTTTCACGACTCCTTACTCGCGGCATGCCCTGGTGGTAGTCTCCTCGGGGGTTGGCAGACGGTTTTAGGTAGTCATTTCGGTGGTGATTATCTTGTCTCAATTGCTGTGGTGGAATTGGTGATGGAAACCGTAGTTTGGTATACTGTCGGGTATCAAGTGCTTTGGATGTAGGTTCGGCCGGGAGTTGCACCGTTAATATAGAGACCTCGGACGCCATGTGTGTATAGTGTTGCCAGTAATTGGGCTTTTTAAGGGCGTAGTGTTGGTGGAGATTTCCGTTTTCTTGACGGGACGGTAGTAAGATGGATAGTTTTGTATAGGTCGATAGCGGGGGAACAGATAAAGCCTCCGTCAAGGAAAAAGGGATAATAGGCAGCTCTTCGATCAAAGACGAATGGCAGCGGACTTATCAATGTATCTCACAAGACTCTTGTGTAATCGATGTCTGTTCCACACGCAGTCCTCCTATTGGGATCTGCAAATTAAACTGTGAGAGGATGGGATGAGTATATGGAAGAAAGGGGGGAGGGCGACCAAAAAAAAAGGCAGATATTGACGACTAAAAGGCACCACGATCAGGGAGATAAAAACAAAAAAAATTGAATTTGTCTAGCGGTGAATGCGGGTATAAGAATAAACGTTTCTTGTTGCGCCAGCTACTTCATTTGGCGACGATTTTGCGGAGTCCGGATGTACGAACTGCAGCTTATCAACCAATACCGGAGCAAGACGAGAAGCCGGGAAAAACAAGCTGCTCTGCCAGAGGCGGGAATGATACGGGACCCTAGATGCGACGATCGATCTAAAATACTCGATTACCGTGCCGTCGGTTGAATCACTCCTGGAGGGCAAATTACGGACGTGATAACTCAGGACTATGCATCGTATCCACCCGATCCCTTGCCACCCCGTGCTTTCAGGACGGATATACGCACTGGGAGAGAAGGCCAGGGGAAGCCCAGAGCCACTCGTTCACAGCCACATTGTGATGGTGAGAGCGGGAGTTGACGGAGAAGGGGAACGCTCCGGCTAGGTTAGTCCTAGAGTTAGGTATCGCGACGTACCTTAACTATATGTATATCCAGGGGAAAGGGACTGCAGGACACGGGGTTATGGAGTACATATGCCATCATGCTGATCGGAGAGTGGCTCACCATCTCATGGGCGGCTTGCAGATCGCATCGAAAGAGCTCCTGTCGTACCACGAAGGCGAGTCCATTGAAATCAAGACCAGCCAGAACCGACATTGTTCCCAATTGCTTTTCTCCCACTTTGCATAACGCACATCCGTAGCATGGCCAAGTCACCTTCATCCCTACTGGACGAAGCTGGGATTTGGGTTGGAGAGAGGGGAAAAAAAAGGAAGTTTTGGGTTGCAGAAGTCAATCTGGTCAATCGGACTGATCGATTCGAACTAGGCAAAGGCATTGATGCTAGCTCGGTTGGTTCGGTTTAGCCCATAATTTGTTTCAGGGGTTGGCCATTTTATTGGACGTACCCACCGCATAGAGTCCTTGGTATATAACGTAGGAAGAGCCCCGGAGGCATCTACATGAAACCGACATTGGGGCCGACGGTGTTCAAGCTTCCTAACCGGGCTTAAGCAGCGCCATGGGAGGGGAGTACTCCGTAGAGTATCTCGGAGGATGGCGAACATGCTGCATTGAAACGTTGAATATTTTGTTCTCCTCGGTGTTGTACTGCATAAAATATATTTATATTAGGACAGGTTTTAAACGTCAGACCGAGCGATTGGCCGTGCCGCCCAAACCCTGGACACATTAGCTCGCAGTTGGGACCAATCGCCGACTTGATCCTTCGTTCGCAAGGGCGCGATCTAGGATGCGCGCCCATCGTGGTCTAATCATTCTCTGCTGTCACCGCCACAGGTTGCGTTGAACACGTCGTCGCTGCTGCACCCACGGCAGAGAGAATACGCAGGCATCGGCTAGGATTAGGGTCCGTTCACAGAAGATCGAAGACGGGCTGGCTGCACGATCAGTCCCAATATCTTCCGAGATGCTGCTATACATAGCCACAGTCACCACATTTTTACGAGGTGTCGATGGAGATATCTTCAGCCTCGATGCGCGAGCCAGGATCAGTTGAAAAAGTATTTTGGGCGTTTTCCAACACGTCAATTGCGGTCGAAGGGATAATCCCACGCATAACTAGTGCGTTGACGTATTCCCTGACCCAATATTCCGTATATATTGACAGCTTGGGGCTTCTGGACAAGGAGTTAGGCGCGTTTTGCGTCGTGGGGCCCTTTCTCACGTCAAATATGCATGTATATGGATATTATGGAGAATCGGAGATAGAGTATTGCTATTGGAACCGACATTGGGGCCAAAGGGGTTCGAGCTGTGCCTTGGAGGCGAAATCGTCGTCGTGAGAGACAAACTGGCCGCGATCGTGTAGCATGTTTCAGTGTCATCGCCAACTGCATCTGTCGACTTTGCAGAAATCAAGTTCGTGGATGTGCCGGCCAGATCGTAATCCCTGAACTGCAGGTCGAAGCCGGTGTATGACCTTGCCGATGCCTTGCATGCCTGTGGTAACGAATATCCCCCAGTGCGCTGGCCCCTGACGGCGTCGATGACGGCTAGCTGGACTATGCGAGTCATGTCAAACCGCTAGTATGTATGATGATGATAAATATTCCGTGCAGCAAAGGAGGTCGTAATTAAAATTCTTGTTCTTCATGAAGTTCTCGTTCTCGTTCTGTCTTCTATATACACCCACTGCGTTGTAGGCAGCGAGATTCTAACCGAGTAAATAATTCAAGCCTCCAACATAAGCGTCTATGAACATGTACTCCGTGTATAAATAGTATATAGCAGTCGCATCGTCTGGAGATATCAGAATGACTTGTCCTGCCGTACGAAGTATAGTAACACCTGTCTAGACACCAAGCCTCGCAAGCGTCGAGGGCGCGAGACTTGCAGGCTGCTCCTCGCGCTGTTTCGCCGGGACATTGCCCATCTCGCTGTCTACCGGTAGCGATCCAGGGACGTCATTGGGGGTGTCATTAACATTCTCTTCCTGAGCCTGAGCCTGAGCCTGAGCCTCAGCTATGCTCCGGCGTTTCCTTAGCCATCGAATATACCACCATGAAATTGCAAAGCAGAGAAGGGTGAACCCTGCAGATAACCCAAGACCGAGCCCGATGCTGGCGGTGGGACTGTGGTTCTCGAAGGTCGTTTGTGGGGTTCCTGCTGGAGCAGATGTAGTCGCTGACGGACTCCGGATCACGATTGACGGCCGTGGAGATCGATATGAAACGTCGTCTGCGATGATGAAGATCGGAGACTGCAGGATCTTCCCTGGATTGGCTCCCCGGAACTCGAGCTGGAAGCGATTCGCGGCGCTGCGCAGTAAGGACTCCGGGACGGCGAGAGGGAAGCTGATCGACTTGCTCGACGGAATATCAGTCGTGTCTGTATCTCGTCCTGTTAGCATTTGACATTGACTTGAACGTTTCTAGCTACGCACCCCAGACATCTTCCCTGTATGCTCTGGCCTGGTCCGCAGACACCAGCCAGAGTGTGCCGTTGACGCTATCCAGACAAGCATCAAGATACGCTCTCGTCCAGTTGTCCCATTTCACCTCGAGCAGTTCGCCGTTCCTGAAGGTCGGCTCGCCATTATTGCTTAGCGAGGGTTCGGTAAACGACTTTGAGCACTCGTATTCCGTCCGCACAGCGAGACAACAGCAGGCGAGGAGTGGCGATAGCAGCACGGCGAGACGAGGGAGGTTCATCTCGAATCACTCGGTATGCGATGTCATGGACGGCCAGAGGGAGAGGTGAAGACGGCCATGACCTCCAGAGAGTATCTTTGCCCATATCACGAGGCCATTGCGGAGGGCGTTGAGGGATCCTTCGTCTATTCCCGGTGCTGATATCGAAATATCGACTTAGAGTCGTACTCGGAGTCTAAAGCACCGGGGCATCCCTCCATCTCGGTGCAACTTCTCTAGACCCCAGCTCCCCAGGCAGTGGGTCTATATCGCCTGGCTTCGTATTCTTCTGTCGATGTTACCTCAAGCTACCAGCATGGTCGTTTTCTCGTCGCAGGTAACGCATTCATCAAGAAGGTGATCGAAAGCCAGGGTTGAATTGCTTATATTCCCGAATACCCGAAGAGCCTCATCCTATAAATATCATCCCCGAACTTGTCAACTACTCCGCCATGTCTCATCTCAGCGCCTCTCGGCAAACGAGTAGCATGATCGAGGAACGCTGTACTCGCTACTTGCGTGGATGAATGCCACACAATGCAGGCAAGCAAGCCAGAGTGGTAAACAGCAATACTAGCACCGGCTGAAACTGCATTCGCGTGCTGTATTCAATAACCCCAGTGGTACGGACGCAGTCATAGCCTGATATTCTGTGGCGAATCACTCGATTTCTAGATTACGAAAATGCAAGGGAGCTTTTCTATAGGCGCGTATGTGTCATTACCTGGAAAGATCAAGCCTATTTTCATGATGTCTGAGATCAAAGCGCTGCCACGCAGTACCAGAAGCCACCGGACAGGTAGAAGAGTGTCATCCCTTGTTGAAGTCGCCATGGGAGGAGTCGAAGGAGAATGGGGAGCGGAGGGAAAAGAACAGGAAGTACTTGACACGGATACTTCTTTCTGGGTAATAAATAGTACCCAGTGTCTGTGGCATCAAGGGGCCAATTCCAACAATTAATCGAGTATATAACTGGTCTAGGTGGATTCTGCAAGACATAGACCTGTATATATAGATTGACAATATCTGCATAGTAAGTATTAGTTTGGATATAATAAGTATAAGAAGGGAAGACTCGTATAAGGATAACAATGGCAGACTATATATGTACAGCGCAATGTACGTCGTAATTGACAGCTTGTCTATGCTTGGGCCATTAATCCTTTTCGTTTCCTGAGCATATGATACTGTATATCCTGGCTTAATCCTTTTAGTTTCCCGAGCATATAATACTGTATATCGTGGCCATGAGACACGAGACATGTAACTTGTTATATTCGGAAGCTGGTGAATTGATGCATCCAGAGTGAGTAGACAGCACAAGTTTGTTAGATTTACCCACCTCAGTATTAAATATGTAGTCATTTTGCAGGTAGACGAAGTAGTCACTTGTAAGTCTTGCAGGTGGTGATATCAGTTATTAGAATAGACTGGAAACACCGTCTATTCTACATGAAAAGTACTCTGTTTAGTGATGGTCTGCAGAATGGAAACACATAACCACTTTCCACATTGCCATTTTCCAACCATAGAGAATATAAGGTATAAAGAGTCGTATGTCCTGGGGATCTCATCAAGGATAGAAACCTAACGTAGCTACTATCTTGTTGAGCTACTGCGTGTATGCTAGCAGTTAACTAGGTTGGCCATCAACACCTTGCAGTAGAACCTAGCCGAGTAGCCACCTTGACAGAGGATCGCCTGCACCATGGCAGCTGGCGACTGCAGGTATTGGCCTTGTACCTGGTGGCTAGGTTGATATCAGCGTGAGAATGCCTTGACGACGAGAGTTGCATCCTTGTTATCTTCAGCAACGGGTTCTAGTAGCTATAACCATGCGATGAAGAGCAGGGGTGTACAGTATGTGGCGGTCTACCTGGAGCTCGACTCCCCGTATTCCATACCTTCACTGGATGGAAAGTGATCCTTTTAACAGGAGGCAGCACATAACGTCGATAATATCCGTCAAGCCTCTTGGACAGGCCTCTCCCTCGAGCCAGCGAAGAATACGGGCAGACAGAGTTTGGCAAGGATGAGCTCCGAGACCGGACAGAGAGATAGTGAGTATAGAAAGGATAGTAAGAATAGCTTCATAGCTATTATCGGTAAGTATGGCAGCAGTGTATACCGACGTGCTAACCCTGTCTATATCTATCCTCGCTGTTTAACATCGTACCCTGGCAGAGTCCAACGGCTTCCTCGCCTCACAACTGCCATCGAAGGTTAAGTAGGCTCAGGAAGCTTACTCGTTGAGATGCCGGGGTAGGCCTGTATCTTCAGCTCCCTGCCGCAACGTCGTTCATGTACCGATCACTCAGAGATAGAACAATCACCCCAACGTAGACCATCACTCCAACGTAGAAGACATAGAGGAGTGTTGACTCGTGGAGATGACTTCTCGGTCTATCGACGGAAGGCTGGATAGTCGGAAGCATATGATCGGCCAGGTACCTGCGCGAGCTTCCCGGTGTATATGTCCTCGGCTGGGCTTCGTCTATTATCTACCAGAAGGGAGTCGTTATATTAACTATAGCACCGCCGCTATACCTCCCTCGACGTCCCTCGACTCATTGACGAGAATAAAGAGCATAAAGAAGCTCTCATCGACAAGAGAATCACTCGTCGACGAGAATAAAGAGTCATCGGGGCACTAAAATAGCTCGGCCGCTGGCACCGAAAAAATAGATTAGCAAGTGAACCGGCAAGCCAGAAAAAAATAGCACTTAGTTACACCGACACTCTTTATCTGTTGACTCACCATCCAGCTCTCTCTTCCCTCCTTCACTCTTCATTCTTCGCCCTCGACGCCGTCAGACACAGCTTCGTCTCTCTTGCTACGCCCAATTGCCTCTCCAGAGCTGTCCAATGGCTCTTAGTGCCCGGTGTGGGCAGCGGTCACTAACATCCCTGCTGAGACAGCGATGCATATCCACCGCTGAACAGAACGCCCGACTCCTCGCGCCAGCCCGAGCCTTCTCGACCAGGTCCGCCAGAGATATACTTGCTCGCTCACAGACGCTGCAGAAGTCGGCCTCATGGCGGTCCTCGCGGCAGTTCTCGCTGACGGCGCGCAGTCTGGCGGCCGGCCAGGAAGCTCCCAGCGCGCAGTCATACCTGGCCAGCGGGGCCGTCAAGGGCTCCGGACAGCTGGTGGACGTCAAGAAGGTGCTGGTTATCGGGAGTGGAGGACTGAGCATCGGACAGGCCGGTGAATTCGACTACTCTGGTATGTACTTCAATTGGTGATACATGTTGAATATGTTGAATATGGTGGTCCGAAAGCGGAGATACACGCGATCAATTGCTGATACTGGACAACAGGATCACAAGCTCTCAAGGCACTCAAGGAAGCTGGCGTAAAGTCAGTCCTCATCAACCCGAACATTGCGACTATCCAGACCGACCACAAGCTCGCAGACGAGGTCTACTATCTACCCGTCACCCCAGAGTACGTCACCTACGTGATCGAGCGGGAGCAGCCCGATGGCATCTTCCTGACCTTCGGAGGCCAGACGGCCCTCAACCTGGGCGTCCAGATGAACCGCATGGGCACCTTTGAGCGGTACGGCGTCAAGGTGCTCGGAACGAGCATCAAGACGCTCGAGACCAGCGAGGACCGTGACCTCTTCTCCAAGGCCCTCAACGAGATCAACATCCCAATTGCAGAGTCCATCGCTGTCAGCACCGTCGACGATGCCCTGGAAGCTGCTGGCAAGATCGGATACCCCATCATCGTCCGTTCAGCCTACGCCCTAGGTGGTCTGGGGTCGGGTTTTGCAAACAACCCGGATGAGCTGAGAGACCTGTCCTCCCGATCTCTCACCCTCGCTCCCCAGATCCTCGTTGAGAAGTCCCTGAAGGGATGGAAGGAGGTCGAGTACGAGGTCGTCCGTGACGCGAGCAACAACTGCATTACCGTCTGCAACATGGAGAACTTTGACCCTCTCGGCATCCATACCGGAGACAGCATCGTCGTCGCACCCAGTCAGACCCTCTCTGACGAGGAATACCACATGCTCCGAACGGCTGCCATCAAGATCGTTCGCCATCTCGGCGTCGTGGGAGAGTGTAATGTCCAGTATGCCCTCCAGCCAGACGGTCTAGACTACAGAGTCATCGAGGTCAACGCCCGTCTTTCTCGATCTTCCGCCCTGGCTTCCAAGGCCACCGGTTACCCGCTCGCATACACCGCAGCCAAGATCGGGCTCGGCCATACCCTGCCAGAGCTACCTAATGCCGTTACAAAGACTACGACCGCCAACTTCGAGCCTAGCTTGGACTATATCGTCACCAAGATCCCGCGATGGGATCTGAGCAAGTTCCAGCACGTCAAGCGTGATATCGGAAGTTCCATGAAGTCCGTCGGAGAGGTCATGGCTATCGGCAGGACGTTTGAAGAGTCGTTCCAAAAGGCTATTCGACAGGTTGACCCGGGCTTCATCGGTTTCCAGGGTGACAAGTTCGAGAACCTAGATGATGTTCTCAAGAACCCGACTGATCGCAGATGGCTTGCTGTTGGCCAGGCTATGCTTCATGAAGGATACTCTGTCGACAAGGTCCATGAGCTCAGCAAGATCGATAAATGGTTCTTGTACAAGCTGCAGAATATCGTGGACATGCACAAGGCGTTGCAGGATATCGGAAGCTTGTTCGGCATCCAGAAGAGTATCATGCTCGATGCTAAGAAGATGGGTTTCTCTGATAAGCAGATTGCCCTCTGTGTCGGCTCTACTGAAGACGATGTTCGTGCTCGCCGAAAGGGCTTCGGTATCCGTCCGTGGGTGAAGAAGATTGATACCCTGGCCGCTGAATTCCCAGCTGATACTAACTACCTCTACACTACCTACAATGCTTCATCGCACGACGTCACCTTCGATGACCACGGTACCATCATTCTTGGAAGCGGAGTCTACAGAATCGGAAGCTCCGTCGAGTTCGACTGGTGTGCCGTCAACGCTACTCTCTCCTTGAGAAAGATGGGCAAGAAGACAGTCATGATCAACTATAACCCCGAAACCTACTCGACCGACTTCGACACCGCCGACAAGCTCTACTTTGAAGAACTCAGCTACGAACGAGTCATGGACATCTACGAGCTCGAGAATGCCAGCGGCGTCGTCGTCTCCGTCGGTGGCCAGCTTCCTCAGAACATCGCCCTCCGACTCCAGGAGACTGGCGGCGCAAAGGTTCTCGGAACCGATCCCAAGGATATCGACAAGGCTGAGGACCGTCACAAGTTCTCTCAGATCTTGGATAGTATCGGTGTCGACCAGCCTGCATGGAAGGAACTTACTTCCGTTACTGAGGCAGAGGCCTTTGCTGATTCCGTCGGATACCCCGTCCTAGTCCGACCCAGCTACGTTCTCTCCGGAGCTGCGATGAGCGTCATCTACAGCAAGGACGAACTCAAGAACAAGCTCCTCTCTGCCAGCTCCGTGTCTCCCGACCACCCCGTCGTCATCACCAAATTCATCGAAGGTGCCGAAGAGATCGATGTCGACGCCGTTGCTTCGTCAGGTAAACTCATCCTCCACGCCGTCAGCGAACATATCGAAGCCGCAGGCGTCCACTCCGGAGATGCCACTCTCGTCCTCCCACCAGCCAACCTGGAAGAATCCATCATGGCCCGCGTCAAGGAAATCGCAGAAAAGGTCGCCAAAGCATGGAGCATCACCGGCCCATTCAACATGCAAATCATCAAAGCCAAGAACCCCGACGGCGGCGAACCTCTTCTCAAAGTCATCGAGTGCAACCTTCGTGCTTCCCGCTCATTCCCCTTCGTTAGCAAAGTACTAGGCACAAACTTCATCGACGCAGCCACCAAGGCGCTCGTAGGCCGCGACGTCCCCGAACCCGTCGACCTCATGGCCGAGAAACGAAACTACCTCGCTACCAAAGTGCCTCAGTTCAGCTGGACTCGACTTGCTGGCGCCGACCCATTCCTCGGCGTCGAAATGGCTAGTACGGGAGAAATCGCCTGTTTCGGCAAAGACCTCATTGAAGCATACTGGGCCTCGCTGCAGTCGACCATGAACTTCCGCATGCCTGAACAGGGCGAAGGTCTCCTCTTCGGCGGTGACACTGACATGGTCGAATTGCCTAAGATAGTCGACTATCTTCACCCACTCGGTTACAAGCTGTTCGTTGCAAGTGACAAGGTGAAACAGTTCCTTGAATCCAACGCCAAGGCCAAGGACCTGAACATTGAAGTCATCGAGTTTCCCAAGCAAGATAAACGTGCCTTGCGAGAGGTTTTTGAGAAATATGATATTCGCGGAGTATTCAATGTCGCCAAGGCGCGAAGCAAGCATCTCCTCGATGAGAACTATGTCATGCGACGAAACGCAGTTGACTTTGGAGTGCCGCTCTTCATGGAACCGAAGGTATGTTCATAACCCCTTTCAACGCACATTCCTCGTTGTACCCATTGCTAACTTGTCACTCTAGACTGCCCTCCTCTTCGCCCAGTGTATGAGTGAGAAGCTCCCCCGAAAGGAGGGAATCCCAGACGAAGTTCGCAGCTGGTCAAACTTCGTTGGAAGAAAATTAGTGTAATAACATACACCAGGAACACAAAACCCATGAAAATAAAAATGGGAATACCTGGGTACATTTCCCTTCCCCTTTATAACCCCCCCCCCCCCCCCCCCCCCTTTTTTTGTTCTTTTTCTCTCAACTGGTTAATCCGGTGGAAACAAGCTTTCTATAAAAGTATTTCGGCGTCAGAAACCTTTACTTCTCCTCCCCACCCTTTTGTTCTTTTGGTCTTAGTAGGATCGTGTGTGTTTATCTAGGTTTAACAATGCTTTATTTCACTCTTACTCTTTCCATTCTACCTTGATCTGGCCTATTATTACTTCACGCTGCATAGATTGATGGAAGGGGAGCCAAAGGTAACTAGTTATTTTAGGTCTAGTGGATTACAAACTTATGTAATACTCCAAGGGTGCAAATATCTGCTCCCTTCTCCCTTCTCGATCTCTGCAGACGACATCTCTGAGAAGAAGATGTACAGCCCAGCTCCCTCGCTCACCACGATTCGACATCGATCGCTATACCAAGATCGAGGGCCTTGATGGCCCTTTCTTCCATCCAAAGTCGCCAATCCCGATGATATGCACCATCCACGTTGTTGTACTCAAACAGCGCTCTCCCTGCAGAAACAGGTTCCTTGCCCTTCATGCGGATTGGATAGTATTTATATTCCTCGATTTCGACATGGGGGATCAAGTTCCGCAACAGTTGCATCCTGTGTTCCAAACGAAGAATAAAAAAAAATACCACATTCTTAGCCATGGGAGTTATCGACATACAGAGGAAAGGACAAGAGGAATATCCCCAACGGACACTTACAGTTGGTCGTGCTCTACCGGGTAGTGGAGCGATTCCTCATCGTTGGGCGTAAATTTGTTACGCGGCGCCATGATGTACGCTATCGTACGCTCAAAAGGATGCTTTTTTTGGAACAGAGAGGTATCAAGCGCCGGGCCGACGGCATATATGGTGTTGCCTGCGCCTCTGATCATGTTAAGAACTGGTTCGAAGGTGTAATAGCCGCGCGGCCGGGTGGCCCAGTAGCCAGGATAATGAAGGTCCTCCCACAAGTGACACTGAGAAGAGGACCAAGTCAGCAAACCGCGATCAGTCAGCCGAGTGATGTTTTCTTACCATGTATACACCACGACTCGAAACTACCACCAGGACTGTGCAGCCTTCTAGCAAAGTACCTGCCGTGCCAGCCAAGTACTGATTGTTAACGAGCGGCGCAGAGGCGAAGGCCTGCTGTATGCAGTAGCTAAGGAGTTCCCAGCCACCAGCTATGATCGGACACACCGAATTGATTGAGAGTATAGTATTCTGGTCACGTACGTAAGCTGCTATACCTTGTTGCGTCGGCCCAAGAAGAAGCCGCTTTCCTAAAAGCAGCCTTGGGGCAGTCAAGAGAGCTGCTGTGGCAGATAGCTTCAATTATTAGAACATGGCAGTTATCAGACTGATATATGCCTTCATGATAGCGACGTCCCTATTGATTAGTCCACAGATGTAGTCCGTTTACTTAATATTGCGAAGAACCATAACGTTGAAACCACAAGGCGCCTGCCAATACCCTGATTATCCTGGTAATTAACTAACTAAATCGTTGATTATATCGGAGAAACGTCGCGGAAATGCGCGCCAGGGTTCATCTCAACCCCTCTTAACTCGTCTTTGCGTCTCATCTTCTCTTATTTTGCATATCATTTCATACAGCACTCCATCTTTACCATGTATCCTAGATCACCGTATGCACCACGGAATCCCTGGCCACCCAAGCAGCCCATTATCAGCACCTGTCCAGACTGGATTATCGAACAAGTTGTATCATCGCTGGAACTGGCAGATATCCGCAACCTGCGCCTTACGGGTAAAACCGTGTCCCTAAAATCATCACAAGGACGTTTTCGGTGCTTCCTCCAGTCTAAAAATGTCGACCTGACGAGCGAGGCCTTGCAGACATTCGTTGAAACTAAAGGCTACACATCCAAGCTCAAGAATTTGAATCTCGTTGGGCTGGCGGTAAAGCCGAACCAACAGAAGGAGGCAGATAAAATACAAGAAAGGGAAACTCTTCTTCTTACCGAGGTGTTCAATAAAATCGCCGAATACAATGGCGACGGCTGTCTTGAATCTCTGACTCTCAGAGTAATCCTCGTTCACAAAGATGGAACGCGACAACTCCCTGCCGATGCTTCCAAGTTCCCCTGGGAATATATACCAAAACGCATATGGGCCTGCGCAGTTTATACATGGAAAGTTGCTCTACGAGCCTTGGCCGCGAGTAGATTGCGCATTAAGAGGCTGAATGCTTTCAATGATGCGAATATGCAGCAGTGTAGCATACCATGCGATCGTCTCACTACGGTTGATTTACAAGATATCGGACTTGCAGAGTCGCTGGCCTCGCTCAAGTCACTATCGCTCAGCATTTGTGATAGGATCTTCGATCTTGACAAAGATATACCCGAATATGACAAGAACTATGACTACGGGAGTATAAGTGAGGCCAAAAGTGAAGAGCTGAGGGACTTCCAAGCAGAAGCTGATGAGGAAAATAATTTTGACGGCGTTGCAAATCTCGTCAATTTATGTGGCCGGATTGAAGACTTTGAATTGCACCACTACCATAACCGTAAGGAACGTTTGACCGTCAAATTTCATGCTGAGAGGATTCTGCAATGCCTGGTAGAGCTAGAACAGTTGCCTAGGCTGAGGAAGAGTAAGCTGCGCGGTATATCAGCTACAGGGACTGATCTTCTCAATTACATTATACGAACGGACCCTAGTGACTTAACCCTTGAGCGTATTAAACTGCAAAAGGGAGAATTTTCTCCAAATATTGATCACTGCACGAGCGACCAGGCACACCTTCATACACTGCTGCTTGACACTTTGTACGAGGACAAAGGCAAATATTTCGAAATGGTGCTCTTTCCTTGGTACAAGGGATGCAAGGCAATAGTTCAGGGTATAGATTCTGAAGTAGGGAGAGCCGAGAGTCTGAAGCGCGAGGGAAATGATATTAGACAGCCTTTGTTGTTTATAGTGTCACTTGCACACTTTCAAGGTAGCCCGGTGAACCAGGCATATTCTCAGCGGAACAGGTTGGAGTTTGGAGCTTGGTAACCATAATTGTGAGTAGATTATAGATGTCAACGGTGGGCTGCGGCTTTATAACTCTGACATAGCGGCCCTAGTTTACTTCTTTTGAACTGGTTGTAAGCATGTGAGGGCGGCATGAACGTTGCTAACATACCTGATAGGCCTTAGCCGGAATGAATCTACGGTTCCTGAGTGTTGGGCAGCCATGTTCACATTACCCAGCAACTCCCAGTCCGACCTTCTGGCTCCAAAACGCCAGTTATAATGCTCTGGAAAGGAGCTATAAATCTCGAGACCAAAATTTGGTGATTTACAATAATTTGCAGAGGCAGCCAAGCCAATGTTCGAACCTTGAGACACAGAGAATATAGATATTATATCCTCTAGCAACAGCCCTTTTAGTCGGTACGAAAGTCCTATTATGGAAAAGAGTTTTAGACACGATTCTGGTATTTGATGGTGCGTGGTGAAACTCGCCAGCTGATCTAATTATTGCGAAATGCCCATGGGAATCAATGTGAAAGGCTCAGCCTGACAAACGATATTTGTATCCTCGCTTGAAAATTGACATAACTATAACATAGTTATACCTTGGATGACTGGCGAACATTAATTATATTAATATTAAAAGTGGCAATATTTCTAGTAGCCATGGCCCGAAGATGCCGGTAACTAGTTAAATAACTAAGAACGCCAGCTTTAATACTTCATCAATCTCCATCTGAGAACTAACAATCAATAAGATAGTCCGGACAAACTACTTACATGCCCACTATGGATGAAATTACCAGTTCCGAGCCGGGAGACTTATTCCATGTCATTTTTACGACTTCTCACATCCAAAAAGACCCTCGCGGTGAGATGGAAAAGGTCCGTATTCCGGGCACGTATACCTCTATTGGAGCAGCTAAGGCTGCCGCACACAGCTGCCTCTTTGATGCCGGCTACGAGCGAGAATGGTTTTCCAAGTACGAGACCAACCCTGAAGTCTTTGAAAGCCTAGGGATCCGTCAACGCGCTGGTCTCGCTGTCTTCGCGACCGCGCCAGATGGGACGACATTCCGTGTCCGTATTCACACCACCCCAAATGTCAACCATTTGACAACTTCATACGAGGATGGCCGGATTCCAGTTGATCTCTATTACGTCGTCCAGGCCAATGTCGAGTATGCTGATGGTCAGGGTGGCGAACTCCGCGACATCAATATTGAGGGCACCTTCAAATCATACGACGAGGCAAGGGACTTTGCTAGAGGTGTCCTACTCTCCGAAGAGGATGGGATCAGCAAGCAAAGCTTCGCCCAATATGACGAAGCCGGGCCGAACGAGAGAGACTGTGGATATGGCGAGAACGTCATCGTCCATGCAGTGAGTGATCATGGGGAAAACTACTTGATTAGTATAATTAAAAATCAGGAAATGGAGAGCGTCAGATTGGCGGAAGCAACAATGAAGATATCGTGAAGGCGAATCAGGCGGTTCTCAAGCTCAGCAGTGGGCTCACTATTTGTTTAACACTTGACCATTTCCTTGGAGAATTAACCGGGAAGCGAAAGGATGTTTGGCAGAACGGGCTGGATTGATTCCACTGAGAAAGTCACATATTGCACAGCAAATAATAGTGTCGTATCGTTGATATTGTCATGATATACAACTGATGGATATTTCGCCACATTAACCCTATAGTGTATTGACATTGTTCAATCTAAATATCGTACGACGCGGAGATTGTTCGGTATAGCTACCAACTCAAAGCAAACAGGATGGAACACCTAGAACGTTGCATAGCGCCATCGGATAGAAGTCTCACACCTTCGCCTAACCATCTAGTTCCTACGGCTCTATCCGATTCCCACCCACCGTTGCGCCATTGCTACAGTCTAAACTTTTGCCAGGGGAAGAAAAGCCTATGCGGCCAACAGTTTACTTTGATACGCTCCAACAAGCATAGAAGCTTGTTCAAGTTATCATTTCAAAATGCACATGGAATGTGCTAAGGTATATACAAACAGGGGAGCTGATTATGAATACATTGACCTGGATAAGCTGCCGAACTGAACGAGGCTCGCTTAGCTGCAGTATATACAGGATGTAAGTGATTCTTTTCCAGAATTCAATACCCACGGATTAAGGCAATGGCTCTGTCAAGAAATTGTCACGCCACTTAAGAGAGCAGAGTTCTGATCCTTTGAGTATGATATACAGCTCTTAAGTTAAACCTGATCAAAGGCAGAAGGTTTAGAAGTTCATTCTGGTGTGGCAAGTATTCATTCCGGCCAATCCGAATGGCCTGTATATCGAGCAGTCTTACGCGTTACTGTTGATATCACCTTGACAATCAAGGCCGCTGCTATTACCAGTCCACATTTCTATATGTCGACTACTCTAGACTCAAGTTTCCAGAGTTTGCAACTGATGTGGTTCATCTTGTCATTATGGTTTACAGTGACATAATAACTTCGTCATACCTTAGGAGGAGGAGATATAACAGCACCCTCCAGCTATATATATCCAGAGATAGTCATGATCTCTCTCCGAAACTTGAAAGTTGACATCTTCCTAGTGAGTGACACTACATAGCTGAAAGAAAAGATATGGCTCTACTTCCTTCACGCCTCAGATCGACCGAGTTTGGTCCACTCTTTCGTTTACTGGACGATTACGATACGTACCGGGGAGGCGAAGGCACCGTATCCTCCACCCGTACGTTTACACCCAGATTTGACGTTAAAGAATCAAACGATGCCTATGATCTTGACGGTGAATTGCCTGGGATCGACAAGAAAAATGTCCACCTTGAATTCACGGATCCGCAGTCCCTAACCATCTCGGGAAAAGGCGAAAAGAATGAGCAAAAGGTCGAGGAGCATGAGCATGGTTCGAAGTATTGGATATCCGAGAGATCCAGAGGAGAGTTTCATCGAACATTCAGCTTCCCTGCCCCGGTGGACCCAAATGCGGTCAAAGCCAGCATGAACCACGGCATACTCTCTGTTCACGTCCCGAAGACGTCTGCCAGCGCTGCAAAGACGATTACTATCGACTAGCATGTTCTCGTCGGGGAATCAAAATATCCTGGGTTGGACAAGGGTGCAGAATTTGGGTGGAATAAGTGTATCTCAAAAGAAGTTGCAATTGCTCCAGCGCTATTAGTTTGCCAGAATAATGCACATATATTGAAATCACTATAAGCGGAATTTCCGTAAGAACAGAGCTTTCTACATATTTAAAAGCCATGTAGAGATGAAACTCAGTAGTGGTATAGGAAGGACTGTCGGCGCCCCGAGAGTATATTTTGGTAGATAAGACAACTGAGAAAGCCGCCCGTGTTGGCAGTTTCCAGGAAACGAAGCTACTCGTTATAAAGCTCAAAACGTCGAAGATGATGAAATCGGTGACTATCATGGAAATTGTATCACCGCCGCTCTCTGATCTTGAAGCTGTGTGGCTTAAATATCAAACTGCTATTCGGGTGCCAAGACCGCACCCCTGACCAGATATCCAGCTACTCCGTACAAAGGAGCCGTTTCTTCTCACCGCTTCACTATTTGATACCAGTTCGTGGCGAACACCGGACAGGAACATACGGAGTATTGCCTAGAAATGGATTCAGAGCAGTTCAGTACGGCGGCTGTTCCACGGCGGGCGCCGGGGGACGCTGGAATGGGCCTTTTTGCGACATCTGCCATCAATATCGGCTCAGACGTTTGCAACCTTCCGGCGACCTTCTCAACAGTTTTGGATACGGAAAGGTTGCAGGATACATGCTCAAACTGTTTCTCGAGCACCCAGTTCACCATAGCAGACCCTGATCTTGACTTGAAGTTCTGCTCTGGTTGTCATGTAGTCAAGTACTGCCATAAGGTGAGCCGCGTCCACCCATGAATTGTAAATCGGGTTTAAGATGCTAAGAAGCGATGTAGGGATGTCAAGCTGAAAACTGGTCGGCAATACACAAATATGAATGTGCAATATATAAGCAACTTCATCCTAGGGTTCTGCCTATTAATTCAAGGGCTGTCCTTCGAATTGTTAAGCTGAGGGCTTCTAAAAAAGAGGATGCACGACTAGACGTGGGGATGTTTGAAACGCTCCGTTCCCATATGAAGGAGATTTCCGGGTCGAACAAGGAACAATACGAGCGGATAATGCTCTGTGCTAAGGCTGAGAAAGAGTACTCGAAGACCGACCTCGACCTTGAGGTTATTGCCGAGTACTTTGCAAAAGTAAGTATACATCTACATTTATGATGACCCTAGAGAGAGATATACCATGTACTAATATTTTTATTACTGATAGCTTGAAGTCAATAGTTTCAGTTTGACTAACCAATTCGGCGACTGTATAGGACTCTGCATCCAGCCGTATGCATGTTTTATAAACCATAGTTGCAACCCTAACGCAGTTGTTGGATTTGACGAGGGAAACATCATAATCAAAGCCGTGAAGAAGATCAAGGCTAACGAGCAGGTATTCATATCTTACATTGACAATACCAACCCATTCGAAACCCGGCAAAGGGAGTTAGCCGAGAGATACTTCTTCACTTGCAAATGCTCAAAATGTCTTAGGGGTGATAAGGCGCGAGAAGATCTGTTCCTAACCACTTCTCTTACGTCGGTTGAGATGGTTGTTCTTAAAGAGGCAGAAAAGCAGGCACTGGAGCTTCTTGCCTCAGCAAAGAAAGCTGAACCGCGCGCTTCAGTGAAACAACTCAAAGCTGCTATGAGGATACTACATGATACCAAGATGTGGCCTATTACTAGGCAACCGTATGTGCAAATCCGATCAGAGCTAATTGCATCACTGATCGACATTGAGAGCTTTTGGTCTGCTCTTCGCCATAGTGCAGTGCGACACTTGAACATCGACCCTGTGGTATACCCACAAAAATGGCATCCTCTCCGCAACCTGCATACTTACACGCTTGCGAAGCTGGTCACAATGCTCCGAGACAAGCTAGCTGGAAAAGTACCTAGTAATATCAAATGGCGTATGGATGGAGTATCGATCGTTTATCCTCTTCTCGCCACATTGAACAAGCATCTGGAATACGAACTGCCTGTTGTTGCGTCGCTTTATGAGAGTGATCTCGAAGATATGGTTGCTCCGGTAAGGGCAATTGGTTATGACCCATCTACTGAGTCTGCGGCCAAGGCGATGGCTCCCCATTGGAAGACCTTGGAGAAAATAGCGAAGGAAACACTCGAGATGGACGGGTGAAGTGCTGCTGAGATAGATGGTTCCGGCTACCAGTATAGCTGTTATCTAGTTTTGGGTGCGTGAATAATACCAATTTGAAGAGGCACTGGTTGTATGGAATGCATTTTTGCTAGATACATTAAAATCATAAATCTAGCAGTGGGTTGGCATGACGATGAATAAAGCTGACTTCTTTAAGAGCTCTTCCATTTCTACGCCGTTACATGACTCGGGAGAAGGGGTTCCGGATATAAAGCCCTTCCATACAAAGCAAGAACCCCATCCCTTTTGCCCCATGTAAGAGAAAATAAAAACATTTTGACATGCCCCCAATACAAAACGTCAAGTGCGTGCGGATTATTCGTTTACTTGAGAGGAATGAAACGCGAAGAGTGAGTAGCACCAATACCGGGTCGACCGTGCTTGACGGGTTTGCTAGAAGGAAAGGTTAGCGGGTGCACTTAAAGGTCCCAAGGTATCAGGAAGTGGCACGTACTATGAGATGGAGAACTCAGCCAAGTAGTGGCCAACCATCTCGGGCTTGATCTCGACCTGGTTGAATTCCTTTCCGGAGTAGATTCCGATAACGCTGCCGATCATCTCTGGTACGACAATCATGTCACGCAAGTGTGTCTTGACGAGATCTGGCTTCTCGTTGGGCTTGGCCTCCTGCTTGGACTTGCGGAGCTTCTTGATCAAACCCATGGGCTTGCGCTTAAGACCACGGTTGAATCTGCGGCGGGCACGGGCGTGGACAACATCGCGGAGCTGTTCGGAGGAGAGGTCAAGGAGTCTGTAGCAGTTATGCGTTAGATGGTTTGTTCTCTATTCTGCATCTGATGTGCGCGCATTTCATGTGACAAGCATGAAATTTTGGCATGAAAAATACGGATGGTGAAGAAGTTGAATAGGCGTTGGGGTTTGCAAAGGCGGAGGTCAGAACGTACTGGTCGAGGTCGATTCCACGGTAGGAAAATTTGCGGAAGGCTCTCTTTCTCTTGATCTCTGTTGATGGACAATTCGTCAGTTAACTCCTCGATCCGTATCCCATCGCCCAAAAAATATTCCAGCACGTCCACCATCGACCGTTCTCCCGGCCCTCTGAAGGATATTCCCGGGTTATCTTGCACGTACCGGCAGCCTCCTCGGCGTTCTATGAAACAGTCAGTCGCAAGTCACAAATGTCATTACCACCACAAGGCCGTGTACTCACGTATTCAGCGTCAGCCATGATTGCGGTCTTTGGTCTCTGAGCAACGCTGGCTTGCCCTTGTATAAGAGAAGAGAAGGGGAGAATGTCAAAGGTTGGCGGTTGTCTGTCTCTTCGTCTCGACGTCGTCAAAGTCGGTTTGGGCGGTCGAGGTGGAGAGCGAATTCGGCTAAGCGACATTAGCCCTAAGTGGCCTGCTTATGTCATAGCCCTATCCAGCCTCGGCCCAGATTAACTATTTTCCGCTCTATACAAGTAGATCTCGCCGATAGCAACGATGAAGTATTAGCCTATTCCAAGTATATGTTGGGTAGTTGTTAATTTAGAGAAGAGTACGCATAGGATAATTATGTAGATGCAATGTGGAAGAATTTAGCAGCATGCCAATAGGTTTTATATCATTTTGATGGTATCGACAACAGACAATAAAGCTGCCTCGCTCATAGAAACATGTAACAATTCCTCTATTTAACAAGACGGTAGTTACTCGGTTATTCCAAACCCAGTTCATCGCGTTCGCATACGCATCAAAAGAAGATTTTCCGCTGACTGAACTGAGCTATGTCCATCCTCATTACTGATATAACGCCGTATGAGCCATCACTGCCGTCATTTTTTGGTCTTCCTGATAGGATCCTCGAGAGGATGCGCTTAATCGAAGAGACCGAAGCCCATGTCCTCATCGGAGGCTTCCTCCTCCTCCTCCTTGGCCTCCTCCTTGGCCTCCTCAGCAGGAGCACCACCAGCACCACCGGCGGCAGGAGCGCCACCAGAGCCGCCAGCACCGCCAGATGGGACGGAGGCGAGCTTGGCGGAACCCTCAGAGATCAACTATCGAAGCGCACAGCCTGTTAGCCAGTGTCCCACATATGCAGTGCATCTTATCATTATCATTTCTTTTGGCGGGGATAACATACTTCCTGGAGGTCCTTGCCCTTGAGCTCACCGAGGAGCTTCTCGACACGCTCCTCATCGGCATCGATACCGACGGAAGAGAGGACAGCGTTGATGTCTTTGGCGGAGGGAGAGCTGTTGCCAGCTAGGCCGAGGAGAAGGTAAGCTGCGAGATGCTTCATTTTGATGTGTTTCTGGGATGCGTCAGTTTCTATCAATGCCCAGTAGACAAGGCGGAGAGCTCACCTGTTGAAATCTATAGATGAACAAGAGAAACAATCGATTTAACCGCGAGTTGGGCGGAGACTGAGTCGTCGAGTTCGGCTTTGCGATCGTTGTTGGAGGTTAGAAAAAGATAAGAGAAACCGAAAAGAGAAAGCGAAAAGTGCACAGTGGGATTATGTAATCAGTACAGTAAGCGAGGTTTGACGCTAGTCCATATCTAGAACGATGGCTTGGCTGATGACATAATCAGGCCTTTTTCTTTTCCTCCTTGGCTTCTTTCTTCTCTTCTATAAATACCGCCGTGAATCCCTCTGCTTTCAAGGCTTCAACTCGCCCAGCGCCAACGATCCTCCGCGCTGCTGCTACCCGTCGGAACCAAGTCTCGCGGCCGCCGCAGTTCCTCTGCCCTTTCCAGCGCCTTCGTCGGCCTTCGTTTCCTTTCTCAGGCGTGCTAGCAAGGCCCCTGCACGACATATATGAAACCTCTATAGTCCGTTATAAAGATCTGCAGACGGGCTATCTCGCTATGAGGTGATTTCGCGCCTGGGAATCATGAGTTGTTTTCAACCTCCAGTCATCGCTGGTGACCGGTTTCTACCCTACATACACGCTGAGAACCAGATAATATCAGGCCCAACTGCTACAAAATGAGTGTAAGTCCAGGCATAAAAAGCCAGCGTGTTCTTTGAATGGGCATCTGACTGACATACCTCCGCGGGCCAGTTCCTCAACTCTGTCCTCTCATCCATCGAGACGGGGGAGGTGTCTTTCACCCCGCCTCCCCCACCAAAAAGCACCACTCCAGACTCTACCTCCTCGGGCCCGAAGCCGTCTCTAAACTCGAAGCTCGCGGCGACCTCTATAAGCGGCAATAATGGCTATACGGGGACGTCTCACAAACGGAAAGCAGGCGAAGAGCTACCACGTCCGGCAGCACCCCGGAATGAACGGTTTCCAAAGACCCTGCCCGAGCGGTTTGCCTCATCTCAATCTTCAACCCCTACCCCGCGTTCACCCAGGGACAGCGACGCTGTTCGCAAACCTGGATCGAAACCAGCATCTTCGAACTCTAATGCTTCAAAGCCTGCCCTAGCCAAACCTAATGCTGCTGCCGTCTCCTCGAAACCGCCTCCAAAGGGCTCCTATGCCGCAATGATGGCCGAGGCTAAAGCTCTGCAGACTAAAGCACCCGCTGCTGTTGGGCTGATAAGACATCAAGCCGTGCCCAAGGACAAGAAGAGCAAGGTGCAGCAGAAGCGGATGACAGAGGAAGCCAAGCAGCGGGAACCAGTAAACAGAAAAACTTCATCAGACAGACCAGGGGCCGCCCCCGCCTCAAGGAGCACCAAGGATGCCATCTTGAAAGCTCGCCAGGCCGAGGTGAGCAAGCAAGACACATACAAAGGCACTGCGCGGCCCCGACCAGGCAGCCAACCTCCTACCAAGTCGTCAGAGCCAGCCTATACGGGAACATCTGGCCTGCCACCCCGGCGTACCCCCGGGAAGGACGGTCTCTACGGCCGAAATAGAGGCCGTAGCGCTGTTAGGAACGAATACCTAGCCACCGACGAAGAAGACGAAGGCGACTACGGTTATGAAGACGATGAGGAAGGTCTATATTCCGACGAGTCCGACATGGAAGCCGGCTTCCTTGATGTCGAACAGGAAGAGCAAGCTGCCCTTCGAATAGCTAGGCGAGAAGACGAAGAAGAGCTGAGGCTCGAGATGGCAGCAAAGAAAGAGAAGATGGAACGCAAGATGAAGTTAAACGCCCTTGCTAAATCACGACGCTAAACAAGTTTCCTATTACTACTTATGCCTATACCTTCGATACCTATTTCCTTGTGTCCACCCCTTTGCTTCACCTTATCTTTAGCGACTGGGACTGCGGTTTTAGTGGCGTCCAATGTCCTTTTTACCTCTGAACTTAGCGACTTTCACTCTCCATACTGTATGATTGCATGATGTCTTGGTCTTTTCGTTGTTCTAGCATGGAGGGGGGCATAGGCGCGATGAGCACTTTGCTGGCTTTCCTAGGCGCTTGTTATCAGAGGCTATTTGTTAAATATTCCATTATTGTTACTCTTAGCAACTTTCAAGCCGTACGAAAGAAAGAAATATTCTTCCTTGTTCCCTACACATCCACCGCCATGCATCTAGGATTAAGTGCCATCGATAAAAGGCAAGGGTGACATCATAACCACCAACTTTAGTATTTACGTCTGAACAAACCTACATCACCAAACTTCGACCTCATGTCCAAACCCATCGGTAGTTGCTTTCATTCATATTAATGGTAATCTGAGAGCAAAGATATCAAGCTCGAGCAATTGCTTTTCCAACGTACAACCTTACCCATCCACATGTCTCCCCCCTCACCTCCAAAGATGTCGTCGACCTCAAAATCTATCCTCGAAAAGGTCCGTAAAATCGTTCCGCCCATGCTGGAAAGGTTTCATAAAGGTGAGTGGTAAATCCTAACTTGAGATTGGGAATAATTTTGATGCTATCGGATATGTGTATAAATGAAATACTGATATCCGGCCTCTAGGACAGCTTGGCCGTGTTTGCGTTATTGGAGGGAGCTCAGAGTATGTTATATCCTATTCTATTTCTTCCAGGCCTAGGTTATATACTTGACTTCAGAATATAATTAAAGATGATTCTCCATGGTTTTTGGCATTCATCTAAAAGCAGGAAACCGGAATATGATTTCTTTCTAGAGCTTAGTTTTACTGACGCTGGGTCATTTTGAATAAATTTAGTTATACAGGTGCTCCGTACTTCTCAGCAATGGCATCAGCAAAATTAGGTAAGTCTTGTTCCATCCCTTTAGACTTAAAGATATATATATATATATATATATATATTAACGTGGATACCACAATAGGCTGTGACATGGTAAAGCGAGATACCCTTAGAGGACCAAATTTGATTGCTAACAGATCCAATCCAAGAGCCATGTTATCTGTGAACCATCTGCTGCAACTGTTATAAAAACCTACTCGCCGAATTTAATGGTCCACCCAATCCTCCAGAGTACCCCGAGTGTACAAAATGACAACTTTAACGATAATGTCTCACACCACGTCAAACCAATTCTCGATTTTTTACCGCGCATCCATGTCCTCGTTATCGGCCCAGGACTTGGTCGTGACCCGTTGACCCAAAAGATAACCGCCAACGTGATCCAGGAGGCACGAAAGCAAGAAATAGCTCTTGTGATGGATGCAGATGCATTGATACTGGTTCAGAACGACCCGAAACTAATCCACGGCTATAAAGAATGTATACTAACTCCTAATGTGGTTGAATTCGCACGCCTAAGTAAATCAGTTGGTCTGGAACCTCCGTCAACGGATGAGAAATCTGGAGGAATTTCGCAGCAAGATGAGACAACATCAAAGGCATGCGAAAAGTTATCGAAAGCATTAGGTGGTGTGCTCATTATTCAAAAGGGGGCTCATGACGTTATTTCCAATGGGGATGTGTCTGTTATTTCTGACGTTGAAGGCGGGAAGAAACGAAGTGGCGGGCAAGGGGACACGCTTACTGGCTCGCTGGGAACATTCATGGCGTGGAGAAAGGCATATCATGATGGGCTTTGGGAAGATGGATTGGGCACAAACAACAATGATGACTTGAATTCGGACCATGATGCTGAAATCATCAAAAAGGAACTATACGGGGACGACGCTAATGGTGGCAAGAAAATGTCAAGGAAAACTACATTACTACTTGCCGCATGGGCTGGGAGCGCTATTACACGAGAATGTTCAAGGAGGGCATTTCTTGCTAAGGGACGAAGTATGCAGGCGGGTGATTTGACGGAAGAGGTCCATGGAAGTTTCATGGAACTAATTGGAGAAAAGCAAGATGATGGATCGAAGCTGTGAATGATCGCAGCTCAGAAATTTGGTTTTTTTTCTTTCCTACTTATGTTATCCGTGATCCATCACAGGAAACCGCCAGCGGAAGAATCACTGTCTGAACCAGACGGCCTTAACTCGCGTTTGCACACTACCAGTTTTAGAAATATAGGAGCCAATAACCCCAAAAACAAATGAAATAAGAGAAATTCACAAGCCGGGGACTTATATACTAAATTAAAGAGAATTTGGGACCTCGGCTTTGAGGCCTATTAAAATAGGAAATACGGAGTAGTCGTAACCATCAAGTCGTAACCATCATCGTCGACAGGCATGAATCCCGGTCGTCGCTTCAGCGTGCCGGTAATAGTTATTGAAAAAAATGAAGAAAGAAAGAAAGAAAAAGAAAAAGAAAAAGAAACCGCTTGAATGGTAGTTATCCACCAAAGGAATTGTCTTTTCAAGTCATATTTCCGAAAATATGGAAAACTCCGCCATAGACATGGAATCTTGATTGAAAAGTTCATTCATGATGAACTCATCCATACTTTGATCCGCAGGCTGTTGGGGCTCCGTAAATTGTTGAAGCTCCGAGAACTGCTGGAGTTCCGTAGATTCTGACTGTGGTGGCAGCAATTTCCGTGCAGGCGCAGAGGGCGATTCCGAGGTCGACCGACTCATTACTCGTCGTCTCTTAAGGCGTGGAGATGAAGGTCTAAAGGTTCGTGGTTGCCGATCTCTCGAGTCTGGTGGAAAGCTTCGCATTTGATTGTTGCCTCTCTGCAAAGGGGCTGGAGTATCGTCTTGTTGTTGTATCTCGTCCATGGACACGTCCAAAGTTTCATTGCCAGGAGGTGGCCAACTCTCAAGGCTATCCCGCCTCGTAGTTGCTGTCCCGCTGCTGGTAGGCACTGAGGCTCTTTCGGTGGGGAACGGGTTTGGTTGCACTTTGAGATTGCCGGTTGGTAAAACCCACGTCGAGATATTCTGCCCCTGTTCGAAATGGTCGTTGTAGATGTGGTCGAATCTTTCCATCAAAGCATCATAACCTTTTCTTTCGACCGGGACCAGTCTTTCGCAAAAGCCGCACCAAAATTGGAATTGGCAATCACCTCCCATCCTATTGGTTGTGAGGCGCCGTCGTATTTCGTTTTCATCATCGACCCCGTGCAACTGAAGATGGGTTCTGTACTTGTCTTTATGTTCAAAAATTCGAGCACATTCCCGTGAATTGGTAATCAAGTCAGGGTCACTGCAGCGCCAACGCTCAAGGTGAGCGTGGCGGGCCATCTCATGCCGCTTCCAGTCCGCTTTGCTCCCAAAAACTTTGTAGCAATCGGCGAACGTGCAGCCATAAGGTCTATTATGCCGTTTACTGTGTTTCCTGCGTTTGATAGATATTGTCAGTGAGTAAGCTAGGAATCAACGTGCGGCCGCAGATGGTGACTACCTACTTTAAGAGCGAGGGCATTCTGCACGATCTTTTGCACCCCGGATATTGACAATGGTATTCCCCCGTCTCTACCGTCGGTTGGGTGGGTTTCTAAATGATATCAAAATTAGTAGATGTTGTAAAAAAGGAAACAGAGGTAACAAACCTACCGATTGATTGAATTTTTGATCGACGGCGCGGAGAGACTTTTCTAATTCATCAGAGAATTCACTTCGAGATAGACCTAGGTTTGGTGGTCTGTGATTGGAGCTGTTGGTGTAATTATTTTGAGAGTTGTTGAGGATAGATTTCGAGTTTGCACCGCCCCCATGGTCCATGAGCTCTGCCATGTTAATGATATCATCATCCCCGTCCTTTTTGTAGTAGCCTTCTATTAGGCTATCGATATCATCCGCACATCCGCCTGCCGTGTCCAGAAAACCGTCTATGGCCAAGGAGTCAAAGTGCCCACTACTTTGGGTATTTAATGCGTCTATAGCGCTGAGACTTGCAATATCTTGCGGCTGCAACGCACTTCGCTCGACAGGAACCTCAACTAGGCTGGTAGTGTATTGCCTATTAGCCTGCTGCAGGGCTGCACGGTCTGACTCTTGTATTTGGTCGAAGAGCCATTGATTGGATTGGCGCAACTGTTCTATTATCTGATTTGCCGTGAGATTGTGGCATTTCTGGAGGTGGGCGGTAAAATTATCCTTTCGCTTGTATATCTTTGCACTTGCCGAACACTTGGAGTCAGCGAAACATCTGAATTTCGGGGTCCGGTTACTCGGATGACATGTCAACTGATGTCTCTTTAGGTCACTTGTTGAACCAAATCGAGCTGCGGTTTTGGCACAATCGCCGAGTTCACACTTGAATGGCTTTGTGTGTTTTTGTTGGACATGTTTCCTGGCAGGTAGAGGTATATGTGAGCACTCCGAACATCATTACGATTATGATGGATTCCGCGGTGATCATCCAACTTACTTTTTTTCAGATTCACAGCGCCCAGTCCAACTACAAGCCTCGATGCTACAATACACCTCACGCTGCTTTCCCTTCTTCTTTGATTTTGGTGCGACGATGGGACTGTTGGGCAATGGACTTGTATCCCTTAGTGGTGCAAGGGCCTCGGCAGCGTAACGTGGTTGATGTTGCTGCCGCTGGAAAGTCCTAGCCTGCGGCGTTAATGGCGCCTGAGGGATATGTCCCCGGAGTGAGGCATCGGCAGATTGTGCAGTGGTGGATTTGGACTGGTATCCTGAATCCGAAGCCGATCGAGTCAGGAAGTCGCTGCTCTCCATGGGATTGTGATGATCTCTGAGGGGATATTGGTTTACGGTCTGTGGAGGGGGACGGTAATATGGATAACCAGATACCTGTGCTTGCTGGATATCCGCATCCGTCACATAGGTGCTAAATTGTGGGTTGGCCAGGCGAGGAATGTAATTGAGCGGAAGAGCACCTAGAGTACCGACGGGGTTAGTACTGGTGATATGAGACCCGGGAGACATGCTTGTTGACGTGGTTAGCACATGGCCCTGTATCGCCAGTCCGTACATGGCTTGCCCCTGGCCGGCAGAGAACTGTACGGGGGTAGCCGGTTGAGCGATGGGTTCAAAACCCGGGATGTTCATGGAGGACGGGTATGGTAAACATGAATCCTGCAGGACGCCATCGTGCTGGATTCCTTGAAGGGCTTCCTTTTGGCTCTGATTCTCCTCCGCATTCTGGAATGTCTGCATAGGTGTATAGTCCATGGGTGAGCACAAACTGAAATAGGACAGCTCGTCGGAATCCATGGCTCCTTGTTCACTCCGATGATGTTGGAGTGACTGCAGCGTTGTTTATAGAGGATTTGGGCTGGGAGGAAAGGTACTGGTCAATGGAGCCAGCTGGGCTCCCGGTGAGGGCAATATGATGCGTGGTAACTGTCTATTCCTCAGGTTGTGTACATAAGACGGTTGTATAGTATCACATCCAGCTAATATCAGCATCATAGGGTTGATGGCGTAGGTATCGATGGAGAGAATGAAAGCGGATACGTGCTAATAATCGAACAAAAGCCGCTAAAAAGTGAAATAAATCCGAGGAAATAGCTAGTATTGAATAGAAAAAAAAGCCCCAAGGGAAGTAGTAAGATGTATAAGGCCCAAGTGAAGAGATGGTGATAGATGGTGATAGGTCTGCAGCCAACGACCACTGGAGCGACAGTTAGTGATGTAATGAGCGTGAAGGAAGAAACGGACTCGAGCCTCTCCAGAGCCTCAGGCGGGATCGAGTAATGGACAGGAGAAGACACGCAGGCGAGGCTGTGGTAGCCGTGAGCAGGAGTTCGCTCTGAACAGCCCGAGAAGCGATATGAAATGGTCGATGGACGAACGGCTCCCTCGCTGAAGCCGCAGAGACCGCTGAAAGGGACGGGGAGAGACACCGAGAGTCATCATGCTGATTTATCACCACCATCCTGCACTTTTATACTCCGAACCGAGCAAAAGAGAGATTTCAAGGCGTCTGGATGCCGCTCTTGCTAGGCTGCTCACCGCAACGCCAATAGGAAAAGCCCTGCAGAAGGGCGACCGTGGCGGGGATGCTGCTTAGCAAAAGCATCAGCCTGAGAGAAGTTCTCTCGCTGAGAAAAGGTACTTTCGAAAGGCAGCGACTTCTGCGACCGGCTGTAGCGGTTTTGGTCTTATATAATGCATGGATACGAGCGAGGTCAGCCAATTGATAGGGACCAAAAAAAGTACGTATTATTTTCCGATTGGTTGTGGCACATTGTAGGAAGTTAGTTACAATTATTGTTTATTTTTAGGGCTCGAGTATCTAAAAGCAATTGGAGATGTTATATATTTGCTGGATGGTAAATTATAAATAGCGGTGGTCACTGACGAGCTGCGGGACCGTTGAAATGCTACCCAGCAGGCATAGTAACTATCAACATGAAACTATGAGAGCGTAACATGGGGGATATGGGGAACAGGTAGAGGAACTTTGCTTTTTGTAGGTACAACAAGGGACAACTCATCTGGTTCGCACTGGAGTCTGACCATTTACAGAGTACTCGTTCTATTTTCGCTTGTTCGATCAGATAGGCTAAATACAAACAGGCATAAATGCTATACATCTACGGAGTACATAACTACGAAGTACGGAGCTAGTTAATACTTCAGCCGTCGACATGAGGATAGATGCCTAAATGAGATTTTAGTGGTAAGATTAAAAGACACGAGTTCGGTTCGGAACACTCAGCTCACAACTGCTCTAGGCTCGCTCTCGAATATTGAAATAGAATATATTTAGTATTAACTTATGAAGTGGTAAATCCAGCATAGTAATATGCACATATGAAGGTATTAGGTAACGACAAGCAAAAGGAACATCGAGAAAGTCCAGCTTTCTCACTGTCCTTCAAAAATAAGAGACCGGCTCGCAACTATCTACTGTGAATTAAAGAGTGATCCATAGCCTGCCTCTGTTTGCTTCTCGTTGCGTCCCCGACACAGCACCACAGAGAGGCCCCGGTTTAGTAGGCGCATCTACTGGCCAGAGCCGTTGTAGAGAAGCCTGTTGGTTGAGCCGGGACCGGGTTCGAAGATGGAGGGAGTTGCCATATCCTTGAGGACGTTGCAGGCATCGCCCACGCTAACTCCTCGGGACGACATGAGGACGGCGACCGAACCAGCGACATGGGGAGCAGCCATGGAAGTCCCGGTCATTCCTCCGTATCCTCCGTTGGGAAGGGCAGACTGGATATTGGTACCGGGAGCCCAGAGATCGACTAAATAATAGGTCAAGTCAGCGGCTGTATTTACGAGAAGAGTGTATATGAAGTTGTAGAGGTTGGACTTACTTCTGCTTCCCCAGTTAGACGCTCCAGGGCCAGTCCATCTGTAATCGTTTTCGTTCATGTTGCCAATCACACAGATATCGTCAGCAGTACCTGGAGTGTAGTTCAGAGCATCATCCTGCATTCATTGTTAGTATAGCAAACTAGGAAAGGAGAGCTGATATCAGGTAATAGGTTTGCTGAACATACACCATCGTTTCCAGCAGCAGCCGACACAAAAACACCAGCGTTATGGGCTGCGGTCAAAGCATTATTGACAGATGTCATAATGTCACCGCCAACGCTGAAGTTGATAACTGCCCTGCCGAGAAGACCTCTGTTCCTGGCATCATTGACAACCCACTGGAGCCCATCGATCATACCACTCCATGGTCCCTTGCCCTGCGCGTTAAGGACCTTGACTGCGACCAGGTTTGCCTTCTTAGCAACTCCATGGAAAGATCCACCGAAAGTGCCTGCAGTATGAGTTCCGTGGCCGTGCTGATCGAAATCAACATCGTCAACGAAATTAGCACCCCAGTAAGCACGACCACCAAACTCCTCATGATTGATATCGATGCCAGAATCAACACCGTAGATGGTTATACCCTCGCCAGCGCTAGAGTCGAATACGTAATCAAAATTGCCTCGCTGCTCGTGAGAGATTCGCCCAAGACCCCAGGATGGAGCGTGTTGTTGGGTAGACCAACCTTGGAGGCTTGCCATGCGATCAGGCTCAATGTAGGCTACCTATATACCAGTCATTTTGTCAGTGATCATTTAGAGCTGTGGTTAAAGGAGGTTGTGAGTTATACCTTGTCATTTTTGAGCAGGTCATCCACGGTTGCCCGGTCGAAGGCACCGCTGTATCCCTTGAAGATGTCCATCTCAAAGGTACGTTCCATACCAGCAAGAGGGATATCCCGTTTAGCCACATTGGCATTGTGGACACCAGTAGCCCAGGCTACATGAGACTTGAAATCTTCGGTGGAAATGTCATTTTTCAAGACCACAATGTAGGAATCAGTGATGATATCCTTCTTGTTTCTGACGTTAAGGATGGCTGCGGCATCAGCAGCAGGGAGAGCCGAAAGGACGGCAATAACGGCCTTGAGGAGCAACATGGTTGAAGAGATGGTATCAACTGCGAGCGCCACTTGAGCATATCGGTATGGGAATGGTGCGTCTTTTTATAGATGTCCCACAGCATTCGGGCACGAGCACACTGTCCCTAAGATACGCCATGGGCCGAGATGAAGGTAACATCCGGCTCTGCTAGGGAAACATGGTCGATGTTTCCCGAGCCCGAGTGACATCGGCGGAGCCCAGGGAGTTCGATTACAACGGCGTGTCGGCACTGGCTTTCTAGTGCTCCGCTAGAATGATAACCACCCGACGTCTTAGAGCTGGAAGTGGGTATTATAATGGGTATAAAATCTTGTGCATTTAAGCGCAGAGCCAGCCAGGAAACGAGTACCTCATAGGTTCAATGATATTTGTAGAGATAGTCAGGGGTCCGCGGCAGTCATCTCCGGCCATCTTTCAATATCACACTTACTTCTATAGGATCGATCACGCATGTCCACAGTCCAAGATATCAACTGACAGTGGTCTCGGACCTCAATCGCACTAGGACGTACGGAACTCCATATGAGATAGAACAGATAACGAGAGACGGCGGAACCACAGCGTACCAAGGTTGGGCATACGAGACCCGAAAACTCTGCGTTGGTTGAAGATTTAGTTAAAGAGATGATCTGCTCCGGTGCTAGAGCCTCGGAATAATTTTACCTTGGGTAGTTTTATCGTTGATCGTTCTCGAAAATCGATCTTGCAGTTCCCCGGATTTGCTGCACATCACCCTGCAGGTTAGTGACCGCAAGCCCAAGTTCGTATCCCGGAGAAGCGGTGCTTAACTACGCCCTCGCTCTTCCTCCCCAAAGCCAAATCATCGCAGCGACATGGAAAATTGTGATTCTTCCACATGTTAATATGTATTTTCCATTGGTCCGGTGCGGGGTGTTTCATGCCCTTGTCTCTTCTTGCACTCCTTGATGCTTAAGTTGGTAGAGTTGCAGCCCCTTTTGCGTTACCAGGCACGCTGCAGGCAGCGACAAAAGGCTACCTAGCTATTGGTAGGTAGCTCAGGAAGTCGAACTCAAAGAGACATCGCCCTCTCCCCTCGTGGTACTCGAGCAATATCCAGATAGGCCCGAAGCCGAGAGGAAGTGCCGTCTAGAGCCTTCAGTTCAGCGTCAGCGTAGTAATAGTTTAGAAGGTCTCCAATCAAGGGAACGGTGGAATACGTAGACCTTGAGACACGAGGAGAAGAGACGTTTCCCTAGTCATGCCATTGAATGATAGTATTCCTGATTTAGATATAAATGTAATATTGGCCCAAGCCGAGAAACCTACCAGCCACCACTGTACAAATCTCGTCCCTTATATTAAGGTAGAAGTCGTTGGTAGATTTTATATTGATCCATGGATGTCTTTCTGGTTTGATAAATTCTTCCAAGGTTGCCGATATTTTTACCTCCACGTGACTAGTCAACAGCTTCATGGACTTTCCATAGGCCTTGACACTTACACAAATGCTAGTATCATTAGGAACGTTGGTATCTGGGATATATACATGTATCGATGTCCCAGTATCTCTTTGATTTGATATTTTTGAGTATAGTTACATATTAGAAAGTTCTCTCTAAAAAGTTCTAAAATCATCAAATATATTTGCAAAGACATGAACTTGAACTTGCTGGGATTATAGTACGTGGATATGTAAGGAAAAATATATAGCCAAAGGCCCACAAGGCATATACAAGACAGGTAGAGAGGAATCCGAAAAACAGCTCCAAAAAGAAAGATCCAAAGATATTCAAATACACCAAGATGAAAGAAAAATAATACAACGCCCCCTACCTCCCTCCCTCACTGATGTTCATGGTTATATTGTGGGTTCGGCATGTATCCACCGTGTACAGCCGTTGACCCGTCCATCGGTGTGGTCATGAGCGAATAGCCCATCCCTTCACCGCTCATGCTATATTCCATAGTCTCCTGATTTGCAGGGTACATGTAGTTCCCGTTATCCACCGGAGAGGCAAATATCTGCTCCCCGTCAAACTTGGTATCTATCATGGGTGCACCTGTAGAAATACCCATGTTGCCGTACATGTCGTTACCAGGTAATCCAGGTTCTCCTTGTTCCGCGAGAGGTTGGAGCATTGGAAGACCGTTGATAGTCTGTTGGTCTGGTGGCATTGTTGAGAACGCTGGGGGATAAGAAGCGGAGTTGAGATGGTTGGTGTACTGTTTATGGTTGTGACTCTGGTGTTGATGGTATTGTTGCTGGGCTTGGAGGTATGGGGACAAAGTGAAAGATCGTCCGACGGCATACTGCTGTTGCTTCAGATTGGCTCGCGACAAGGCCGCATATTCAGGGGCTTGTTGCTGGGGGACCTCCTTAGGCACTGGCTCGCGAGGAAGCCCAAAGGCCTCGGTGAGAAGTGCGCTGGTCCCATAGGTTATAGGCTTCTGAACACGAGTAGTATGGCTAGGTTCTACACTGTGGTTTGTGTGGCTAGTTGGAGTCCGCATGTTGGTTTGAGATTGCGGTGTCATCACTCCCTGGGCCAAAGGGCTAATGCCGCCTCCAGTAGAAGTTTTCTCATTAACCAGTTCCAGGACAGGCATTGCAATCTGCTCCATATGCTTAGCCATGTGAACTGTTAATTTCTTCCAGCTATTGCACACATTGCCGCAGAACCGGCATGCCTCGTCAGTTGGTTGTTTAGTCGTAACCTGACGGCATACCTCGACTAATTTCCATACTTGCTCGACAGCTTGTGCATGGGATGCTGCATCCTGGATCTCAGCGGTGCCATCTTGTGCTTGGGCTTTGCCCCTCGTTTTTGTTGCCTTCACCTTGGGTTCGGGCATCTTATGCTCTCGAACGAGATGCTGCACAAAGTTATCCTTGCGGAAACACGTGTGGGAGCAGTCTGGCATGTTGCATGTCCACCACTCAAGGTGTCGATGTCGCTCACTTTCATGTCTCACCCAGTCGGCTTTGCGCTTGAATGACTTCGGTTCTGTACAGTCCGGGAACGTGCAAGTAAAAGGCTGGACATCCTCGTGGACATGTTTTGTCCAATCGGAAGGTTTCAAAAACTTCCTTACTTTAAAGCACAATGAACATTCAAACTCGGCTGGAAGGCGTCGGACAGGTGGTAGAGGAACGCCTGGTGGGAATAGAGCTGGTGTAATGGCACCTTCACCAAAGCTAGCCAGATCTTCGGGCGTGACTGCGGTGCCGGGAACTTGGAACTGAGCGTAAGTAGACTCGGGGTCTTTGGGACTGGTTCGCGGTGGTAACATGATGGCTTCGCCTCCTTGTGCAAAGCAGTGTTTGCCCGCACTGCAGCTATTCTTATTAACATTTTGCGTGTGTTTCAGTCTGAGCTCTACCAATCTCTTATACCGCCGCACTTGCTCCTGGGCAATCCGCTCAATTAAAGCTGGTTGTAGTCGAGGGTTTAGTTGTCTAACGTGCGTTTTGAATCCCTCAAGAGTTGGTACAATTGGATCCGCCCGAATCGCAAAATCCATTGTAACCCCGTTCTCATGTCCCATATCATCCTCGTCGTCATCGGCATCAAGGTCGTTATCATCATGTCTGTCCTGAGGGGACTTTGAAGGTATAGGGCTGGCACTTGGTCCCTTCTCTTGCTTTGGGGACGCTAATGTAGGGATCGGTGGTCCTCCATGGGTGCCGATGAGGTCGAGCAATCCTCCTGGGCCTTCACGGTTTGTGAGGTCGCTTTTGCTGCGGCTTCGTCGTCTCATATGGCCCCAGGGCGTAGTAGAAGATGGTGCGGCTGGGGATGGAACGCCAACACCGCCGGTGCGGCCAACGGTAGCCATCTGTCCAGTCATGGCAAGTATGGCGCCGCCCGTGTGGTGTTTATTACCTTTATTAAAGCTAGGTTTGCGCTGAGGTACAAGAGAGTGAGTACTTTGTGCAGCGCCATCAGACGAAGACGTTGGCGGCTGCTCTGGTGTTAGGCTCCGTTGTGGATGTAGGTTTAGATCCATTTGGTGTTTTCGTTTTGAGCTGCTATTGCTTCGTTTTGGCAATAAACCCCTAGCGTGCTCAAGCAGGCTGTTCCTTCTCATAGGCTTGTCCTTTTTCTTTTCGCTAATTCGGATAGTGCTAAACCGACCGTTCGGGCCAATGATGCTCTCAACGTCGCATTCACTTGGACCGCGTGTCCCCCAAGTAGCAGCGCGTGAAGCGGTATCTGTGCTGTCGGCGCGTTTCAAAAAGCGCATGATGGCAGCATTGGAGGTTGTTGGCTGGAACTTCGAGGTCCCGGCGCGGGTATTCCGTATAGAATCTTGCCATGGTCGAGCACGAATGAATTGAGATGGTAAGGGCTCGAGCTCGGCATCGGGGATAGTTGTAGGAGCATTATATTCATCGTCATCCACCAAATCGGGATGGACACTGGCAGGCGGTGATTCGGGCCCGCTGGATGATGCTGCCGAAGATTCGTCTTCGTCGTCCTCCATACCACTCTCCTCATCGATAAGCACTCCTGGGCCTGGAATCGCTGAATCATCAAACGGTTGATATGCAAATCTGGAACTGAAACCGTCTTGGACGCCCAGGAACGGGTCACCGGCACTCTTGGCTCGCCGTTTGTTCTTCTCAGACTTGTTTTTGCGTCGAGACCGGAAGCTGAAAAGCTTATTATCTTCAACTTCGCTATTTGCGTCGCTATGTGTCAGCCACTGTGCAACCTCAGCATTCCGCTCGTCCCTCTCTCGCTGCGCAGCTATTTCTTTTAGATTCGGGACGTAAACATCTTCTCTTGCCGCCGGGTCCAATCCACCTTGTCCGGTAGTGGGATTTCGGGACCAACTGCCGTCATCGAGCCGTCTTGCAGGAGGGGGAATCGAGAAGGGCTTCTTTTGCTGATCGCCATTATCTTCCTCGTCATCATCGTCGCTATCAAAAAAGGTTTCTCGGGTCTCTCTTGCCGGAGAAAGGTGGCCAGAGTCTAATGTGGTTTGACGGCCCTTCAAGCCATCTAGCTGGTTACCAGCCCTCGAAGGCGAATCGCCGCGGGAGAAGCTCGACACTTTTACAATGGGGCTTGCCTGGTGATCCATGTTGCCCAAATTATTTGCCATTTGCGAGTTAGTACCGTTATTGGGGGTAATGAGCGTCGGGGGATTATTAGCGGGCACGGCGCCAGCCCGGGGTTGCCGGTCGCCGGTCATTGACAGAGGGGAAGTAGCCGTGTGATCGTTGGCCGAGTGTTGTCCGCGCTGGTCGAACTGTGGGTTAATGATGGGGCTCGGCGTATTGGTTGGCACAGGGCTCAGTAACTGCGAAGCGCCTGTTCCAGCCCCAGCATATCTTTTCTGCGGAGTATAGGTAGTTCCTCCGGGTGATTTCTTGTCGATATCATGAGGGTTAACCCAGAAAACGTTGCTATCGTCGACCAGTTCTGACTTCAAGCGAGAGTCAGTAGCAGGAAAGAAAGAGGTGTCGAATTCGGGCGACGTAAAACGCGTGAAATCGCTCAGCCCGTTCTCAGTCTGATCTGTAGAGCTCAAGAAGTCCAACTGGGATGATGGAGATGTTAGGTCACTCGGATTTACGGAAGAGCCCGGTTGGTTCTGTTGATAAGAGCTGGGATAGTTCGGAGATGCAGAAAAATAGCCCGGTGTCTATATAGTCGTTAGCTAATCTCTACGTTTACTCGGACCGTGCCAGACAAGAAAAAAAAAACGGCGGTACCTGATGTAGTCCAGATATTGAGTCCAGATGATCAGGGCCAGAAAGCTGGTTTAAGAAAGGGTCGTCAAAGTTCTCCTCCGCCAGAGCAATAGCCAGGTCTCGATCTATATTCGACACTTGGTTGGAAGTTGCTGTCGACATCCTTTAAGATCTGGTCGTTGATACCGAAGAACACCGAGGAGCAGGCCCGATGTTTCTGTAGTTGTAATCTGACAGCCGCGGGACACTCGTCTGATGCGACCGAGTTCGTCTAGGGCAAGCGGTGGCGTAGAGCCTTGTCTGCCGATTCGAAGACTCGTACTGAACCCAAGCGAGCGAGTGCAACACGATGGCAGAGAACGATACAATGCCTCAAAGAGATGGAGAAGTCATGGCCGGACGAAGGAAGGATGTGATGAAAGACGATGTTGAGCGGCCGATTCCGTTGATACGAGGTGGTTTAGCTGAAAGGTCACAGCACTCCGCTGGGCTATCGCCAATCGCGGCTATGCCAACAACGCGAGTATAACGCTCTGTATGAGCTCTGTGTCGAGTCGGATGAAAACGGCCGTTTGGAGATGTCGTCGTCGAAGGTTCCGGCAGAGGTTGGAAGAGAATCAAGGTTGCTACCGTGCACTGTGACGGACTGTGATGATGATGCTTTAGGGGAAAACCAGTGGTCGAGGCGGGAATGACACCAGCGACTCCACCCAATCTGATTGATCCAGCAGCCGCCCTCAACCAACGGAAACCCAAGGCCAATAGATTCGTTTTTTTTCCTTTTTCCCTTGTATCCTGATCTCCTGAAGTCGTCATAAAAAAATACAGGTCGATCGTGTACGGAGCAGAGGGCACTTTTAGCGAGCGGAGGGGGATGATATTCACATCCAACGGAGAGAAAAACTGGCAAGGGACGACTGGACCTCGTCAGGCGGGATTGCACACAGGCAGGCTCCCTTGCGATTTGTCGCTTCTGTTCGTGTCCCTCTTGGCTAAGCCCTTAGCTGCAAGCCATCGCAGGCTAATTATTAATGCGCGCCCGTCAGGCCCTTGTGGCAGCGAAGGAATGGCGCAGCACGCGGCTGATTCGGGGATACGCCCAATGCTTTGGCCTTCGCGGATGAAGAGCCGGTCGGGCGAGCTATCTCCATTCGCCTTTTCTCTATTCCGACAGCCTTACTGCTGCCCGCACTCCGTATGTCTCTTGTCTGGATGCCAGGGGGGTAGAAGTGGTGATGTCGTTAAATGTTGGAGGTCAAAATAAGACCAGGGACCCCCTAAGACGGCCCGTCACATGACCCGCAACCTTACTTCGAGCCTCCAGGAGATAAAAGGAGAGAGAATAATGTTCCGCGTTTGCCCTGGCCAGGGATGGATGGACAGGGAGATGGGAGAGGAAGCGTTGCCTAGATGAAGGATGGAGGCTCGGGTAAAGAGCGAGTTTGGCCGTGGCGGCTCGTAGGGCGGAGCTTGTGCCTGTTCCTCCCGTGCGAGGTCAGAAGTCTACGTTCGCTCGCCCAAGGCAGATACAGGCAGGGCAGGAGATGACGGCGATGGGATAAGCTCGAGTTGAAGATTGATACAGCCTCCTGACTGCGCCACAGCTAGGAAAGTCGGGAGCCAGTTTACTGTCATTATATCTATGGATATGACTAAATCAAGGACAAAGAGAAGGAAATCATTAATCTGTCTGTCGCCTTTCTAACCCATAGCCATAGCAAACCCTGTCGTGAATTGTACAATTACCATATGCCGTACCTGATAGACGTGCTATGCTATGCAGAGAAACAGAAACACCGTGGGAGAACGCTTAAAAAATATCAAAAGTATCAAAAGATCGAAATTTCGAAATATCAAAATATCACGTATCAAATATCAGACTTCGAATATAAAATGACTGAGAACACTGCAAAAAGAAATACCGAATACGAAACCATGAAACAAAAGTGAAACAGTCATGCAAGAATTGATGAGCTCCATTGCGAAAATCGAAAATCAGCCTTCAGCCTCATCTCGTCACTCATCCCTGTTCTAGTCATCGCCACTTGAGGCCCTTTCCCTGGATCTCCTAGATCTAGGCGATCGGTTACCAACCGGGCTTTTTGGGGAAGGGCTCCTCCCGATCCCGTTCGGCGGAGTGGCAGATGCGGCCCTTAGTGGCGCATCTTCTGCATCTTCAATCGAGGCAGACAGTTCTGGGCCTGGTTTCTTCTTGAACATCTCAGCTCGTCGGGCCAAGACGGAGGGAGAATCGCTGTATAGTATGACTCCCCGGAGATAAGTGCATGGCGATGCTTTCTCGTGGTCATCCTCTGACAGGAAATCCTCATGCACTGCTCCACGGTAGATACGAGGGAGCATTCGGAGAAGAGGGCGGCGGTGCTTCTTGAATGCTGATGTCTCAACTGACGCCTCAACTCCTGTTGGTGATGGCGCACGCGAGTCATAGTCGAATTCCTCCCACTCTTCGTTTGCAGTCTGTTCGTCTTCTGCAGAAGGCATTGTGGCTGTGATCAGTTCTCGTTCAACACGAGCCAATCTCCATGTCTCGGCCGCGAGCTTCACGATCTTTCGGACGTTCGTGAGCAAGGCGTCTAGGTGTGTTGGGTCGGTGAAGTGACGGATATGGTCGACGATCTCGTCCACAATAACCGCTGCAACCACGTTGATCGCCTGTTTGGCATCAGACGTTGTATACGCTGCCTTAAGCGTTTGTTGTCTCCAGAATGCTTCACGTCGTACGGATTTGCGGCGGATATCGATTGACAGCATCTGGAAGAATGTGTCGGCCTTGTCATATCGTCTTCCGAGGGTGAACAAGAAGGGCTGGAAGATCCTATATGTCAGAGTCTTCGAGATGACGTGCTGGACGTAGGCGGCTCGAAGCTCTCGGGATGCTGGAGTGTTGTCCAAGAACTGCGGGATATCGGATGGTATCTTGGCTAGGATATCTGGTGGCGGCTCGATGGGTAGGTATGTGAAGTATGTCTTTGATACCTCGATGATGAGCCGTGACAATTCGGCGAACGATTCAATGCTAGATCACGAGAAGAAAGATAAATTAGATCATGAGACCCCAAAAGGATGTTGATTATTGTGTCAAGACGAAATATTAAAACGAGTGTAAAATAAACAAAGCAAAGACTTTTCTCTCGGCCCACCTCATGCTACTGAAGTTTGCCATCTACATGCTGTAAGGGAAACCGTGGGCAAAGGCAATACGACGGTCATATATACACCGAAACGACTTACAAGAATGAGTCCCCCTTCATCTTCATGTCTGTCGCTTCACCAAGACTATGTAGGGTTTTCTTCAATCTCTCCCGGTCTTTGTTCAGATTATTATGGGTCTGGCGCATCTCCTCTACTATGCTCTGGAGTCGCTCCTCCTTCGCCAGACCTTCTCGCTCGAGTACCCCCTTCTCCTCGTTGCTGAGCTTCAGTTCTTCGGCCTTCTCGCTAAGCTGCGCTTCGAAACCTTCGCGGGCTTTCTGCCATGTCTCTTCCTGGTGCTGATGTTCGAGAACCATGTTGGCCAAACGCTCTTTGATTTCCTTGACGTTATTGGTTTGGCTTTCTAAGGCGCCCCTCAATGTCGCGAGCTCCTCTTCGTGATTGCGCTTGGTCTCTTCGAGATCTTTTCGAGTATCTTCAAGCTCGCTCTGCTTGGAGTCGCATTCTTGTTGCTTGGCTTCGAGATCGATCTTTGCGTTCGCCAGCTCTTCTTTGAGGGCCTCCAACTCTGCGCACTTTTCTGCAAGCTCCGCCTTCTTCTCGTCAAGTTCTGCTTGGGTGGATTTCAGCTCCTCGAGGGTTGCTTTGAGTTCTGACTCGTTGGCATCCAGCTCCTGTTGTTTGGCAGCAAGTTCGGATTGCTTTACTTCCAGCTGCTTCTCATAGTCGGCCTTGAGCGCTTCCTGCTCACCCAGCAACTCGTCTTCGCGCGCCTTGAGCTGCTCGGCAGCAAGTCTGTCGTCCTCGTTTTTGATTTCCTGGAAAAGGTCCTCCAATCTCTCCTTCTGATCAGCAAGCGCTTCCTCTTCTGCCTTCTCTGCTTCCTTCCTCAGTCTCGCCATGTCTCGCTCGTGCGCTTCGCGTGCCGCCTCGATCTCTTTCTGGATGTGATCGATTTCGTCTTCCAGTTCATCTCGAGCACGAAGAAGCTCCTCCCTTGCTTTCTGAGTCTCAACCAAGCTATCCTCAGTGTCTCTATTTCTCTCTTGAAGATCACCGAGTTCAACTCCGAGCGCGCCAATCTTGCCCTTGAGTTTCGAACATTCCTCGGCATGCTCATTGGCGACTTTTCTCATCTGGTTTTGCAGTGCCTCGATGTAGTATTCCTTGTGCAGTAGAGCCTGTTCGTGCTGAGCTTCGATTTGTTTGTTCTCTGCCTCTCTGGCGGACAGTTGGCTTTGGGCCTCGCGATAGCTTACCACGAGCTTATTCAGGTCGGGAATGACATTCTGAATGCGGTGGAGGAGATTGACAGTATCTGCGAGGTCTCGCTCGCCGTTCATTTGCGGCTTGCCGTTCTCAGTAGGTTGTGACATCGATTCTCGGGCCGAACGATACTGAGAAGTATTCCCAAAGTAGTAGTCGTATTGGCTTCTCGATGATCGACTGGCTCTCCTCCCTTGTTGTTGGCTGAAAGTGGTTGAATAGTTAGGCTGGGGAGAAGGGTGCATAACAGGCGAGTATTGCGGTGTTACCACGTTTGCTGGGTTCTGGTCCATAGCCGGGCTGCTAGGATAGTTTGCGTTTTGCTGGTATAAGTGTGCGTATGGGTATGGATAGGCAAAATGCGGTGCGGAGACAGGGATGGGTTGCGGTTGGTGCGTGTATTCATAGGATGGGTGTGGAGGGGAAGAAGACTTGGTCCTGGCCTCTGATACTGACGGTGAAGGGAGCGGGACATCGACAGGTGAATAGCCTCCGTTTGATACTGCCCTTGTAGTGGTGGGAGTTTTGGCGGAACCGTAGGCAGTTTGGTAGTCGCTATCAGTCACGTCATACTGAGAGCGAGGTGAAGCAGATCGGCCTTTATGTGAAGCAGCTGGGGTAGGCTCCTCAACTTCCTGATAGTCGTCTTCAGTTTCTGTGCTGTCGCACTTCCCGTTCTTTGACCCGGACTTGCTTGGGGCTCCTGAAGTTGAAAGCTTGGGAGATGGGAACGCTTGGCTCAGGCTCAAATTAGACGGCGTGGAGGAAATCGATCTTGGGAGGGGAGGAAGGCTTTCGATCATTAACGGTGACTTGCGTGGGTTTTTGGAGGATGAAGACCGAGATGGAGCTGGGGACGGAGTCGAAGATTTCCGAGAATCAGGAACTTGAAAGGCTGACTCTTGGTCGTCTTCTCGTTCATCCCATCCCCTTTCATCTTCTTTCTCTGGCTCTGGAGTTTGGAAGTCTTGTTGTGCTTCTTGTTGTTCTTGTTCTGCGGGCTGCACGTTCTCGGGGGTTTCCTCTTCGAGCTTCACATCTTGTTCCGGTATCGTTTCTTCGAATTTCTCTTCCACAGCTTCCGCTGCTTCCTGAGGCTGGGATACTTCCTCAGGGGCCGCTTCAGGTATCGCCTCGTCTTCTACCTTTGGCTCTTCCGGCTTGGGACTAACCGGCTTGACTACCGAACCGCCTTTCTTTTTCTTTTTCTTTTTCTCCTTCTTACTAGGAGCGGGAACAGGACTGAACGATCCCCATCCAGAATCCTCCTCGTCATCTACCTTGGGTAGTTTGTCAGGCTTTGGCTCTTCGTCGGTCTTTGGCTCTTCGTCAGTCTTTGGCCCTTCGTCGGTCTTTAGTTCTTCGTCAGATTTTAGCACTTGGTCAGTCTTTGGTTCTTCGTCAGTCTTTGGCTCTTCGTCAGTTTTCGTTTCTTCGTCAGTTTTCATTTCTTCGTCAGTCTTTGGTGCTTCGTCAATCGTCAACTCTACTTCGGTCGTCGGCTCTTCTTCGACCTGTGGCTCCTCTTCGACCTTGGGTTCTTCTTCTATCTTGAGCTCCTCTTCGATCTTTGGTTCCTCTTCGGCCTTGGACTCTTCCTCAACCTTTGGCTCTTCTTCAACCTTAGACTCCTCCAGCAGTAGCTCTACTTCCGGCTTCACTTCTTCTTCCGGCTTCGTCTCTTCCTCAGACTTTACGGTTTCGTCAGGCTTTGCGTCTTCATCAGGCTTCTGAAGCGGCTCTTCGGTTTGCGTTGTAGCTTGTTCGTCTATAAGTGCCGGCTGACCATCCTCAGGTTGCTGAGGTTGCTCGTCAGTCTGAATTTTTTCTTCATCCTCCTCTTGTTTTTGCTTCTGCTGCTTTTTCGAGGCTTTGGCCTTGCCACCTTTGGCCTTGGGCTCTTTATCCTTTGCTTTCGCGCCCTTCTTCGCCATCGTGAACAAGTACTATGGAATCGCCGTTGTACGGTTTTTTCCCCTGATTATACACCAGATTCTTCACGTTCTAGCGAAATGCAGAGACCAAAAAGCTGAAAACGGCGGGGTACGATCTTTTGCAGTGGTGGACACTTCTTCCGCTGTCAGATGGGTATCGTGTGAAGTAGACCGTTTCGGTGAGTGTAGAGAGGTCGGTTAAAGAAGACGTGGATATGGCTCCGCTTTCAATCGCTCAAAGAATAAACGGATTATGCAAAAACGATGCTGGAGGTGCAGTGGAATATTCACAATAAAAAAAATGGGATGAAAGGTGAATATTAAAGAGTAAAGAGTAAAAGTACAGAAAGAACAATGAAACGAGAACGCTGGCGTAGTGAATGCACAATCAAACTGTAGTGTATGGAAGCTCCAAAAAAAATATTCATAGGAAACGAATATTCACAGGCGGAAATCGACCAAGTAATAACTTGCTCGAGAATCAACACAGACCAAGCACCTAACGCTTCACCGAACCCGGTGACTCGAGGCCATCGGCAGGACAACGAAAGGACCAGCCAAATTTAGTGCGCGCAATGCATCGGATTTCACCCACGTCAAGGGATGATCCAGCAACAATTCACCCCCATCCCAGGGTAAAGGCGACAGGAAGCCAATGGCTGCAGTCCCCCTGGCAAAATTGGGCACCAAATGATACTATACAAAACTTATTTTGTGCTACTTCTGCCCACCGTAACTCGACGTGCATTAGTCGGGTAGCGATGTGGATGCAGGCGGTCGCAACCGCACGAGTTATTACATAGTAACAACGACTGCGAGAGCCCAGTCAGGTAGCTGGCCGGATGCCAACACGGCGATGCGAGGCCATCCCTCCCGCGGCCTGGCCATTCAGCGGGCGAGGATCAAGGGACGGATGCGTTTCAGGAGCAGTCACTCTGCAGCAGTCGAAGCCCAAACGACGGGCTTGAACAACTGTTTGTCGCCCTGCCAATTGTGCTGCAGCAGCCCCATCCATCCCGCCTCGTTTTGTTCGCGCCCGCCGTCGCCAATCACGTCTGCTGGCCGCGAACAGAGACCCCAGCCTCCGTCTCCCCGGTCTTCCTGGTCTTCCGTCGTTGTCCTCGTCTTTCTGTCGTCTTTCTCGTCTTCCCCGACTGGTTCGAAAGAAGAAGTTATGCTCGCTTAGTCATCCTGGGTCACGTGTCACTTCCAACCTCATCTCGAGAAACGCAGCGAGAAGAGCAGGAAAAGGCCCTGGACAAGACGCACTTCCGCTCCAACGTCGACAGGCCTGCCCAATTGAAAGCGCCAGCTATGTTTCTTGCCAGGAGGGCTGTCGGTCCGGCGAGGCGCGCCCTGCTTCAACGCCAGCAACCCCGCCGTTTCGATTCGCACTCTGCACACCACCACGAGCCCGTCAACGAGCATCTCGGCGTATGTCTACCCATCCTATCTTTCTCTCCCCCCCTCCTCCCCGGCGTTGTGTTGCTACCCAGACCCCAAGAGACGAGGTGTCCAAGGCGCGGGGAAGGTGTCTTGCAGCTTGGGATAGCACCAGCAACGAAGGGGACTGCAATTGGCCCGCCGTCCTACCATCCAATATAGCCCGGCTAACACTCATACCTGACGGTATATAGCGCGGTTTCTACGTTGCTGTTGCCTCCATCCCCATCGGTCTGGCGCTCTACAAGTACTCCACGTCTGACGCCAGCGCAAAACCGTGGTTAACCAGCGTGATCGAGGCCTTCACTGAAAACAAGGCCGCGTTGGAACGTAGCAACGCCCTCCACACCCGGGCAATCGAACAAGCTGGTGCAGACCGCCATCTGTTCGCCAGTGAGGTCTCTCCACTGACTATTGACCTCTCATTCCCCGAGTACGTTGCCCTGCATACCCCACTGCCCTGCACGCCTATCTTCCGTTGCTGCTGCGGTATAACGTCATATCCCGATTGAATTCTCGGGCGATTACCTGCACGTCAACTAACCTTTTTTCTTTCAAATGCTTCTAGATTGTTCAATACCGGCTCTCCCATAAACATGTCCCCTGGTAACTCCTCCGGTGACCTCACTGCGGTCGTGGCACACTACGAAAAGCGTCAAGCAGAGATGGAGAAGGCAAGAATAGGGCGCATGAAGGATGGAAAGGTCCAGTCCCTGTACGAAGACGGAAGATATTTTTAGATTTTTTCTTTTAGAACCAGCAATTCTCTCACCATGACTCACTTGTACATATGACAAACATCGGTTTTCTTTTGTCTCTTGTTCGAGTATTCGGTTTACCGGCTACATTCAGAATTCATACCTGACAGGTTGAACTTCCCATTGGCCGTCAGTCGTGGGAAGACACGTACTATGTACAACACCGCTTTGTACTTCCACATGCTAAAGCTAAAACTATTAACTTATAGCTGGACACGCTTCGTTTGAAAGCCCAAAACAACTTTATTTCCACCCTATTTTGCACATCTTTAAATCCAGAAGTCATCTACGGTCGAACTCTTTCGGTACAATCCTCAGAATGGTTCTCCCAACTCCAGCATCGTGGACCTCTGACGTTGGAAGCGCTTTAAATTCGTCACGGCCCCCGAGAACGTTGCGAAGTGTCATTAGGAATTCGGTGACCCCTCCACCAACTCCAAAATACACTTTCTTCGCGGAAATATACGCCAGTATAGGGTAATCGTGTTCGCTATACCTTGCTCCTCCATTCGATACCGCCCTACGGAGCAATGATATGAGCGTCTCTGTAAACGGGAGCAACGAGGACGGGGAATATATAGTTTCACTGGCGAGAATCATAGTTCTGCGCTCTCGTGCAGTTGGCTGCTCTCCGGCTGCCACCCCTTCTTCCGGGGTTGATTGTTGGCCAAGGCACGAGTCGACAAATTTAGGGGACCATGCTCCGGATATGAAGGAAAGTGTAATCCCGCGCTCTGAAAGGTCACGACGAAAGTCTTCTAGAAGGGCTTGGTCTATTTCCATTAGATGAACGGCGTTGCGATCGGCCAGCAAGGGGTTCCCTTTCAGCGGATTTCGGCGGGTTATATACCAGGTAAGTAGTATATTGGGCAGAGTCGCCAGCTTCAAGACCGCAACATTATAGTCGGCAAGTACAAAGTGTACTTTCCTTCGTTTGGCAACGTCCGGATTAGCTTGGCCTGTTAGGTATGAGTAAAATAATGAGAGAGAAGGCATTCCAGTTCCAGCACCGAGCTATTTTGATCATATTAGCTTCAGGAATACACGGTAGTCGAACTGATGTACGAAAGTTATGCTCGTTCTTACCTCTATTATGTTAATTGTCTCTTCCCCGTCTGCAAGTGTAAACCTTCCGTCGTATTCAGTAGCTAGCAAAGTAGCCAAATCCATGGCACATTCCCACGTTTTAAAACCCCCTTCATATACCGCGTGGGTAATATCTTCCTTCTGTAGGCCAAACAGAAGGTCTTCGTGCTCGTCGAGCATATCCTGCTCAGCCATCAATTGAATGCGAATATCTATCAATTGCCGACGGCCAATTAAAAATGGTCTTTCACCAGTTGAATCATGTACCAATTGAGTATTGAACTCCATCTGAGAGGGAAGGGAAGACAGCTATAAAGGAGCAGTATGAGGTTAGCAGTGGGAAGACATAAAATGTTTGATATATCCCAAAACGATATTTATCATATATCAAACGTACCCATAGTACACCCAGGATCGTGGGTATAAAATTGTATGGGTATAACAGGGCATTTCTATCCATTCTCACTGCCATGATTCAGGGTATCTTCCAAGGTAAATGCAAAGGGAGCCAGAGAAGGCAATACCACCTACCATCTCATCAATATTAAGCTCCTCTGCTTCCTGATATACCGGTTCGCTTTTACCCCCTTCATCCACTTGCTTCTGAGCAGCTCCATTGCTCCCCTGTTGCTGGCCCGCGTCAGATGCATCTTCGATATCTTCAAGATCATCCCCCCCAAAGCCAAAAGTAAATCCTGAGGCCATTCTGTGGGTATTTCGCTCCTGTCTGTAATATTTGAAGAAAACAATATATTCACACCCGTTCTAGTGATATCATTAAGCCTTCTCGCAGCACACAATGGTTTTTTATATGATCACGTGATAGAGACTTGACGACGCTCAAAAGAGAAACAAGATCACAACATTCTTTCTACCAGATACACGCTGCGAAGATAAGCTACAATATCAAATGACCCTGTACTAGTCTTAGAAAATTTGAGTTGAGACTTTTCTACGATTCTTAGGACATTTACATAGTCATCTCGCTACATGCAAAAGTTCAGTCTATCGTTTTCAGGCCAATCCCTGATACAGTAGCCAACGGTTGACATGATGTTTCGTTCACTTCGCCATTACCTCAAAATATTGACTTTAGTTATTCCATTTTCTTTCCTTCGTTGATAGTCCAGTGGCTTTGTCAGTCGATATTCAAAGGCTCGCCAGGGCGTTTTCACACTCTTCCGAGCCTTCGAGGAGACCATCAGCAAGCTTCCTTGCCTCGATGGCAAGTGCCAACTGAGCGTCAGCCGCGGCCTTTGCGGCCACCATTGCATCCCCCAATATCTCTGTTTGCAATTTCATCAAGTCTGCATGCTTAGTGGCATTCGACTCCACCGATACAAGAAACTGACGAGTTCTTCTGGCTATCTGTCTCTTTGTTCCAGGATGCGTAATAGTCCGCTTTGCGCGCTTCTTGGCTGCAACTACGCGCTTCCGGGTGCCCTGATGGGCTTGACGGGCGTTAGACGGCTCAGCGACTTCGTCTGCAAGTTCTACGTGTGGTCAATTGTCAATCCAAGCACTTTCAATGCGATGGCTGATTTGATACATACCCCTGAAACTACATCTTGTACCTCGAGAACTATAGCTGCAGTTGGCACAACCGCCCACTAATGCACCTGGCCACACCACGCATTCTGTAAATGGGCCGCGACCCTCCACGCAATGCTTGCAGGCATTGGCCGCGATTTCTCCCTTGATCTGAACGATGGCTGCATCTATCTTTGTAAGGCGATCCATGTTGATTGGCATATGTGGGTGTCTCTGCTCTATCTCTCGCTTAATTGGTTGCCCCATAAGTTCTTTCATCAAAGATGTTGCATGGTCTCGAGAGAGCTGCACCAGCTTTTCGCTTGTCAATGGGGTGTCTCTCGTCATCCTCGGGTTTTTGAACAGGAACCGTTTAGATAAAGATATGAAGCTGGTGTTAGCTTTCTCTATACCATATGTAGGTATGAGGAAGATTGCATGCTCAGTTCATGTTTATCTACTCTGGTAAGTTGTTATTGTTAGTGTTATTTTCATAATTATACTTTTATAGGCCCACCTATTAACACTTGGGATATAGGAATAATATCAGTGTTGAGAGTGTCATTATGGTGCACCGCATGATGATAATTTTCCCGTTGCCCAGCAGCCTCAACTTTGATCAGCTTTATAACACTTGATATCTTTCTCCACCTCCCGACCATTTTTTTTACCGCTTGAATAACAAACATCAATTCCGTGGGATTAGACGAGCTTCATGTCTGAAGGCGCAAGGTGGTCTTCGCTTTTACTTCCTTTGATTTTGAACCCGTGGTTCATCAGAGGATAATTCGCCGATGCAAACCAGCGCCCAGGACGAGCATGACATCTATATCCAAAAGCCACGCTAGACCAATAGGCCGCAGCAAGGGCAGCTGGCGGCGCATTGCCTTCTTTTTGTATTAAGCTGGGATATAATGGAACCGGAACCCCTTGAACTCTTCCGGCTCCAGGCAGGCAGCAGGCTAGGAACTTCGAGTGTCAACGGTCGTCACGGAAAAATGGCGTATTCCCGAATATCTGGTTCACCATGGTATAAATTATAGAAAAGCGAGATAAGCGGTGCCTACCAAGGTTGGGTATATATCATGGCTAATGTTGAGTGATAGGGTATGTTAACCCATCGTATGGAGGCCGCTCTTTTAGATCTTATTTACGGAGTATTTTATTCCATATTTTGAAGACAAACTTTCTGCTGCAAGTATATGCAATAAAATCATACCTTTTTTCAGACCTCTATGCTGTTAAAGATCGTTGCACAATCCTTTAGATCTATTGAAGTTAAATTAAGCCTTTGCTATTAGAGTAAACAAGATTTGAAGCCACTTGAATAGCTCTTAAATAGTAAATCAGAGCTAAATTTTCATGCGTAGTTTCACCGCTATATTGACGGAATTGATAGCCATGGGAGGCCATCCTATAAACACCAGCCTCTACGGAGTATTGTGGATATCACTTTAGGTTAGGTTATACCAGGATAACCCCTTTTCAAGAAAGTCTTTAGAGCCTCATCGACAACTGACCAGCCTCGGATCAAAACCTGACCTCGGCTCGTTCAGTTCTTCTGTCAACTGTCGACTGCGTGCAGGGTTGAGATATAACCTACCCAGCTCAGCCATAACATCCAAAAGTTCGTCCAACAGACTATCATTGCAGTTTCGAATGTTGGTCATCTAGGCAACGTTCAGATATTGGTCTGGTTGTACCGATTATTTCCATGATATGTTTATTCCAGGCCTCTGATGCTGTCTGCCATATCATCCCAGCACTGCGAGGTGGTTCTGGTTCATTAACTCGCGCGACAGATATGTATATGCCAGGCAAGCAGTTCGCCATTGCTACTACAATAGCCTATGGGCTGGGGTGGTTCAACCATGGGGGCCGGCATATTATTCTTAACCAATGAAGGAACCTGGTAAGAATATCACTGGAGGCGAGATAGATATACACGCGGAGCCTCAGTTAATTTACTTTCACTAGCCTGGTTCTATCCGCCGCGGAAGGTGATATGACCGCACACTATTACGCATACTATTACCCAATAGATATTACTATTGGATGATAATCGACAAGGTTCCGACGTCAACTTCATATCTCGCATGGAGAGCAAGTGTGATAGAATATTCTATTCTTCTTTGTTTCTTCTATTTCACTATGGAGTGAGAAGGTAATGGGGATAAAAGTCATCATGCTCAACCGCATAGCAACGACATCAACTGCATGCAAGGTATAGTATATCCTCCTCTATTCCGCGAAGATGAGCCACATATCGCCGAGTTTTATATATAACGTGGGCTTCGTAATAACCACCAAAAATGGGAAAAAAACGAGAAAGAAAAAGAAAAAAGGCCGTGTATCAAGGATCGTGAATAGTCGTTTAAGCGCCGTTTACGCCATTGCCGCTGCCGCTTCCGTTATTAATCTTTGGTGCGACGAGAGCCTTCTCCAGAGCCTGCAGGACATCTGCCTTGAGATCTTCGCCGTCCTCGATACCGCAGCTGAGACGGATGAGGTCGTCAAAGACACCGGCGATCTCACGCTGTTCCTTGGGGATGCCGGAGTGGGTCATGGCTCCAGGAACCTCGACGAGAGACTCGACGCCACCGAGAGATTCAGCGAGGACGAAGATCTGGGTAGACTGGCAGAAACGTTCGGCAGCTTCGTGGCCGCCCTTGATGCGGAAGCTGAGCATTCCGCCGCCCATGCCGTTGCGGTGCTGTTTGATGGCGATCTTGCGGTGGGGGTGGGAGTCGATGCCAGGGTAGTTTACGCTCTGGACGTGTGGGGAGGATTCAAGGGCGTGGGCTACGATGGTAGCGTTTGCGGTGGCTTCTCTAGCGCGGAGGTGGAGGGTCTTGAGACCGCGGTGGGCGAGCCAGCAGTCGAATGGCGAGGGGACGGCGCCAATTGCATTTTGAAGGAAAGTGAGTCTGGTCTTGATCTCTTCGGAGTTGAAGGCCGCGACTCCCATGAGGACGTCCTAGGGCTGTTAGCTGACGTTAACGAAAAGAGTGAAGATTACTTACAGAGTGGCCGTTGATGTATTTGGTGACGGAGTGCATGACGATATCAGCGCCGTGGTCGAGCGGGTTCTGGATATAGGGACTCAAGAAGGTGTTGTCGACGACGACCATGATGCCATGCTGATGCGCAATGGTAGCAACATGGCGGATATCAACCAGTCCCAGGGTCGGGTTGGATGGGGACTCGATCCAGATCAGCTTCGTCTCGTTGGGACGGATCAGCTTGGCCACGTCGGTCTCGATGGTGGGCGTGAAAGTGACCTCGATGCCGTGGGCAGCGGCCACCTTGGTGAAGTATCTGTGAGTGCCGCCGTAGACGTCAGAGATGGACACGACGTGAGATCCGCCGGCGAGAGACTGGAGGATGTTGGCCGTGGTGGCCGAGCCAGAGGAGAAGGCGAGGGCGTATCGGGCGTTCTCTAGCCCCGCGACGGCCGTCTCGAAGTTGTCTCTACAGTGTGTTAGTACCTATAACTGTGATATAGATGAAGATGCATGACTGGATATAAGTGTAGAAGACTGACCTGTTGGGGTTGGAGCTTCTGGTATACTCGTAGTCACCGATTGGTTTTCCCAAGCTGTGCTGTATGAAGGTGGTGGAGAGGGATATCTACACCTGTCAGCGCTATACAGCATCATCACGACGGAGAGCTTACGGGAGAGATGACGGCTCCAGTGGTCGGCTCGATGGGCGCGCCGACATGGACGGCTCTCGTTCCAAAGCGATGAACTGGCGATGGCGCTCTCGGAGGCGTCTCGATGGTGCCCTTGTGTTCCTGCTGGACGGGCAGCACGCTCGATGGGACGACGGTGGTGGCCATTGTATCTTATATCTTCCAATATTCTTCTTCCAATATTCTTCCTTCTAGTCTTCTCGTCTATACTCTTGTATTCTCTCTTGTGTGCTGTACTCTGTATCCAAGAAGAGGGGAATCCGTGGATTATATAGCCGGTATAAAACCCGAACCATGGAATACCCACAAGGGATCCTTTCCCAAGTGCAAATTCTATTATCCCCAGCGTCGTATTATTAAAAAAGCACATCTACGCACTTCCATCGCAACAGCCGGCGCAAGGGCAAAACGCAAAAGGCAAAAGGCAAATCCAACCTGCGCTTCGTTCTATTATTAATTCTTCGGAACTTTCTGCTCTCCGTTTAGCTATACGAGCGAGGTCCGACGCTTAAATATTCCGTCATCGTCCCCTCGCTGAGGAATCACAGTAACTGATTGATAATCTTTCCTTTGTATAACCATCTCACACATCTCGTCATCCGTCCATGATCGCGGGGCAAGGCATGTCTGAGACGCGGTGTCTAGCGTTCGCTTGGCGGCCGCTTGTCGTAGGGACGCTTGATGCGTGGTTGGTTTTGCGATCCGATAGGTTCTCGCCTTCTCCCTTCTCCCCCTTCGTGCGCACAAAGTCGGCGTGGAGAAGATGTTGCTGCGCGGCGATGCAGGCCAATCCATGTCCTAGAGCGAGCCGAGAGGAAGATCCTCGACTTGTACTATTCACCGCCGAAGAAGCAATGCGGACCGGATGAGGGGAAGTGCATTCGTTCAGTCGAAGGGCGTTCAGGACCACCAGGCCACCAGGCCGAGACCAGCAACTTGCATCGAGCCCTGGCAGCTGTTAGTAGATGAGGATGGTATGTCTAAAAATGTAAGTATGAGGAGGGGACGCACGATGATCGAGTAAGGAGGCTTTCGGTCCGGCGATGCGGCTCCGTTCTGGAGATCGGGCCCGGCGGGCACCTGGTCATGCCATTCTTCCTGCTCGACTCGAAAGCGCACCGTCTCGCCGACGTCGAAGTAGAAGATGCCGCCGTCGCCGTTGTCCCAGATCCAGACCTGGTCTTTCATGTCGCTGGATAATGTTAGCGTGGCCATGGATGTAGTAGGTATAACTTACAATCTCGCGCCATCAAGCAGCAGGTCAGGAGGGATGATAATGTCGTTGAAGAACTCGACTCCAACTATCGTAGTCAGCGTCGTGTATACTGCAAGTGTATGGGAGAGATACGTATATGGGAGAGATACGTATATGGGAGAGATACGTATATGGGAGAGATACTTTTTATTCCCTGCTCTGTGCCATTGGTGATCTTCCCGATGATGACTTCGCCTTTAAACGGCCTGAAGACGATGATGCGGAATTTTACTGTCGCCGTCAGCCACGCCTTGTCGTGGACATCGGCGTATACTCACCATTGACGTTGACCAGGCCCGTTCCATGACCGATCAGCCCATCCGAGGACTCGAGCAGGTCGTAAAAGGCGATGCAGAGGCCGACATTTTGTATAACCTGTCCTGTCAGCGTGCGTCGTTATGCTTGTAGACAGAGATGCTCACCTTGTTGGCGTACTTTTCGTTGATGTTGTCTTCGATGGCGACGGAGCTGAGCTTGGAGAAGTCTTCTGGAGATATCTGCACCAGGTCGGAGATGGTCGTCTTCTCAAGTTAGTATCAGGTTGAGTATAGGTAGCAGTATACTCACCAGGAGAAACATGTTAACTGCTCGTAGGGTATATAGTAATGGGTATAGCTGTGAATATTTCAGACTGAATATTTCCTAGCAATTTTCAGCCAGTCATTACAGGATATCACAAGACCGGGAAGAGTAAAAGGAGAAGAGAATAAATAAAGAGAGAGAGAGAGAAAGAGAGAATGGATATATTAATTGTGAATTATAATTTTTATCCATCTCCATCTCCAACTTGACCTCCCACCAAAAATATCCAAAGCTCGCGGAACATCGTTTTCCCGTGTTTACAGCATGAAGATTTCAAAGATACACCCGACAGCTATCGATATCGACGTTAATATCTGTAGACATCTTTACATCAATTGGCATAGACCTGTATAGATATCGGTATAGATATCGGTATGCCCTGATTGGTGGACATCGAGGAGGTAAAACATCAAACCCTGCAGATCCCTCCATCTCCATCTCTTCACCTCTTCTCTTCCTACACTCACCACATCACCTATACCACGACTATCTCTACCATGAGCGGCTTCTCGTTCCCTCCCCCCCCTCCTCCGCCCAACACGTCCTCAACCACCTCGAGAGGCGGCCGAGATGCCCACCGTGGCCGTGGAAGAGGCCGAGGACGAGGCGCCGGCCACCAGCATCCTACCTTTCACCAGCCATACCCTCATCAACCATATACACAACCATACCCTCAACCATATACACAACCACCTCATCAACCATATACACAACCATATACACAACCAGCATATATACCACCTATGCGCTGGGGCTTCGACAACCAACCGCGAGTCCCCTCCAAACGCCCCATCACCGCACCTCTACCCGTCCCCAGCTTCAACACCCTATCCTCTAAACCACCACCACCTACATCCTCGTCCCGCCCCCGCAAGCAACGAAAACACAACCAGCTAGGCCTGACGCCGAAAACGGAAGAGCACGAGTCAAGCGAGGAGGATGTAGACGCAGACGTGGACGAGGAGGTGAAGCTGGCAGGGTCGGTGACGGGGGAGCTGCGGTTCAGTTACAGGGGGCGCACGTCTACGCTGGGCTCTACGGCGGAGGTGGCAGCGTGGATCGAGGAGAGGAAGAGGCGGTTTCCTACGCGGGAGAGAGTAGAAACTAAGAAGGAGGAGGAGAAGAGAGAGAAGGACAAGAGAGAAGAGAAGAGGCAACAAGAGAGAGAAGAGGAGAGGAAGAAGAAGGAAGAGAAGAGAGCCGAGAGAGAACTGGCGAGGGCGAAGGTGGACAGGCTGAGGGAGAAGCTGGCGCGGCAGGAGAGGAAGCTCGCGCAGGCAGAAGACTATACCTCTTCCAGCGGCAGCGACAGCGACAGCGACGGACCAGAACAAGCCTCCTCCCGCCGCCAACGCCCCGATCGCGTGCCCCAGCCCGTGAGAGCAACATCGAGAGACAACCCTGCTAAAGAGAGAGACACCCCAAGAGAAAAAGACAGGGAGAAAGGGAAGAAGAGATTGCTACAGCGGGTGAGTGCGCTAAGATCGAAGTGTAGGGTAATCTCCGCTGACCGTGTCTTATTAGCTGCTGCTGGGCCAGCGGGAGGAGGAGGATCGCCGGGTGACGCAGGCCATCCTCTCCCTGGGCGCCGCCGGCCTCCTCGATAGTCCGTAGCCCATGCGACCATCCATACGACTATCTTATACCTCCCTTACCTATACCCTCTTACTCTTACCCTACCTATACCCTACTCTTACCCTTACTCTTATACCCTCCTCCCTCTACCATCCCATCCTCCCTCTACACCCTCCCTCCCCCATCTTCTCTCCCCCTCTTCTATACCTATGCACTGCCCCTACCTACCTAGGTAGCTGCCATGCATGGTCCATGGTTCGTGTCCCAAAGAGGCTAGCGGCATGTAACCGTTCGCACGCGGCCCTTGGCATGGATGTACCTCCCCTGCCAAATTAGGTACAGGGATACTTGTTTATCCCGCTCGTTCCTGCCTCATCCGCAAGCTCCATGCGCCAAGACCGTCCATGCTAGGAAAGTGCGCACAGGGGGTAAAAGTCTATCCGCCCGCCTTAAATATTCTCTCCTACCTACCTTACTCAACTCTACTCAACTCTACTCAACGGTCTCTTCTTCTCTTCTCTGGTATACGAACTTCTACGGTGATAGCTACTATACTGTTACTCTACGTTATACTACTCTACTATATACCATGAAGTTGATGTACTATCTCTCCCTAGCGGCGGTGGTGGCCGCAGAGTCGATGGAGAACGCCTTCCAGGTGCCTCCAGGCGGCTACCACTTCACCGCCGGCCACCCGACCACCCTCACCTGGAAGCCCTCGACGCAGGGCACCGTCACCATCAAGCTGCAGATGAACAGAGACATCACCCCGGGCTCCGGCATCGTCCTCGGCGGTGCGTTTTACCCTTTGCTCTCTATAGATATATGCTGACTGAAGTAGGAAACCTGCCGAACTCGGGGTCGTTCTCGTTCGTGCCCATGGCCAGTCTGGTCCAGGGCAAGGACTACACCATCGAGATCATCGACGACACCAACCCGATCAACTACAACTTCACCCCGACCTTCACCGTCGACGGAGCCACGGGCAGGCCCTCGGGCACTCCCACCCCAACTCACTCTACCTCCTCTTCTACCTCTACCTCCGACTCTTCCACCATGACCACCATGACGACCACCACCACCAGCAGCAGCGAGACTTCTACGTCCACCGAGTCATCCTCCTCTACGGAGTCGTCTACGGAGTCTGAGTCGTCTACTTCTACCGCCTCCTCTACCAGGACGTCAGGCACCAGCATGCCCACAGGCAGCGCACCCGACCCCAACGGCGCCGTCTCCCTCGCCCTGCCTGGCGGTCTCCTCTCCGTCGTCCTCACTCTCATGGCACTTCTATAGCCCTTGTCCTTCTTCTTACTTTCTTGCTCTATGCTCTATGCTCTATGCTCTATGGTTGCTGCTATTGTTTAATAGTAATGTTGTATGCTTCGCGGCGGATACCCCTGCCTAATGTTTTCCCTTCTTGTATACCACGTTAGCCGTACTTATTCTTAATCATGTATTTACCCTTTCTCTTTTACCTCTTTTATACCTTTCTCTCTTCTACTACTACTGTGTAATGTTATCCGTTAATGCAGTGTATGTGTGATACTATGCGTGTAATACTATGCAGTGGTAGTGTGACGTTATCTACCCGCCCGGTATGCGCTGGCCCGTCGCGCGCTTCTCGTCTTCGGCTTCCCTCCTTTTTTCTTCCCCTTCATCTTGAACGCAGGCTTAGCCCCGTCTTTCGCCCTGTACCCTTCAAACACCACGGAAGTAGACGCCGTCGTAGACTTAGCCGATCCCAACGGCGTAAAATTGGCGTTCCGTCCAGCACCGGCACCAGCGTCCCACGCCTTGCGCTTAACCCGCCTCTCCTCCCTCCTCATACCAGCAGCAACAGCACGACCGAACAGCTTCTCTTCTTCTCCTTTCCCCTTCTTCCCCATCTGCCCCTTCACACCCTCCCTCACCCCCTCAGAGCCAACAACCACCTTCTTAGCTCTCGTCACCCTCAGTCGTCTAGGAAGTAGAGGAGGGTATTTCTTCCCATCACATAACAGCGCTGATTCAACACCATTCTCGTCTCGGAACTGAACGTATGCGAACCCCTTACCTACCCTCGTAAGCCTGTCACGCACGACACGAACACCTTCCACACTCCCCTCGCCGCACTGGGAGGTGAAAGTCCGCCATAGCCCTTCCTCTACGTCCCCGCCAGCAACAACTTTCTTCTTCTTCCCCTTGTCGTCTTCAGATGTTTCTTCATCGACGAAGCCTAGGTTCCCGACAAAGACGCACCGGGTATGATCTATGCCTGCTGGCCGGGAGACGCTATCGACTCGTAGATGTCTATCTAGCACCACGCTGCCGTTTAACTTTAACGCTTTCTTCGCTGCCAGGGTGGTAGAGTATACCACGTATGCATTTGTGGATTTGGTAGTAGAGTCCATCAGTTCCTTTTTGGCATATGCTGCTCGTCGAGGGAGGGCGGTGGATGAGAAGGCAGTAGATCTGAAGCGGAGGGATTCTACCTTGTGCAGCACACTGGAAGAGGCGGATGTAGAAGTAGAAGTAGAAGAAGAAGGGAGGAGGGAAGAAAGGTGGGCGAGGAGGGTCTTTTTGGCGGACTTGGACCTGATGGCTTCTGTAGAGACGTTGGAGAGGAAGAGGGTGCGGGAGGCCTTGTCGAGGGCTTCGGGGGTGGTTTTGTTCAGGGACTCGTGGGTTGGGATGATCTCCTCTTCCTCTTCCTCTTTAGTGGCATCTCCAGCGTCATTGTCTGGTTTCGTGCGCTTAGGCTCATCCTTGCGCGGGAGGTCTTCTCTGGTCAGGCGCTGGAGGTAGGCTGCCTCGAGGTCCTCGTTGTCAGTCCCTCGCTTGCGCTTGCGTGACGTCTTTTCGTCTTCCATCTCTACATCTTCATCTTCTTCCTCTTCATCGTCTTCTATATCTTCCCCTTCATCTTCTTCCTCGTCATCTTCCACATCATCATCATCATCTCTCGGGTATCCATATGCAGACTTCACCTCAGGAGCTTTCACCGGCCCAGCCTAGATATCGTCAGTACAAGTATAACCAGCTAGAAGGCAAACTTACACTCTGCGCAAACAGCGCCGCAAGACCTGGATCAACCTTCGCTGCTACCAGTGGAATGGCCCCAGAAGTGACGTTGGGAGTAGTGGTAACGGCACCCTCGGCCGACACACCCTCCTTCGACTGGCTCTTTGCTTTCTTGCCCATCTTCCTATCGGCTTGGAGGGCTCAATTGGAGATGCTGATAGATATCTCGGCTGTATATTTTATTTCTGCGCAGATAAATTTCCGCCCTTGGCGAGGTCATGTGATGCATACACTTTCATCCACTCCATCTTACTTGTACATTCTGTCTTTACTATGATCCTGACTATCATCAACTGACTCTCACCTCACTGTTACTCTTACTATCACTGTTACTCTTACTCTCACTCTACCCTTACTGTCATGTCACTGCCATGTCACTGCTGTCTCCTTCCTGTAAATTGCCTTAGGTAATACATGACTCAGCAAGGCGGTGACTCTCTTCTCCCTCTGATTGGCTGTAGATGGCAGATCGACGCGGCAGAACGCCCACCGCCCTGTATGGTAACGTCGTATCTCACATACACCGATACACTGTATTATTACGTCACATTACACCTTCTCCCACCAAAACTAGCCACAAACTCCGCGTGTACCATCGTCACGGTATGTAAAAAAGGTCACCCACCCTTGCTCAGGTCAGCGGAAGCATCCCCAAAGATGCTTCATCCTCAACTCGGCTTCTCTTCTTCCTGCTCGCACTCTCGATGCTCTCCCGCTGGCACCGCACGCTGACATTCACACTCACCCAGCTCACGCTCGCCCGTCCTCCAGCTCGCTGCGTCCGCCGACGCCGCATCCTGCTCCCGCACCCTCGCCCTCTCCTCGCCCGGCCTGACTCCATCTCCTGCTCGAGCCAGCTCAGACGGCCCCCTCACAGCGCCCGTCCGCTCCCTGCACGAACGCATGAAACTCCGACCCTGCTATGCTCGAACAGTCCTACAGCTAGCGAGATAGCAGGGCTCACGAGCTCGTTCGTACGCTGGGGACACTCCCGCCGGCTTTGCGATCCGCCTCTGACGCTCTCGTGCGGGAACGGAACCGCGAGAAGAGCACAAGAAAAAAACTTCATCCCAAACCTGTTGGCGCTGGACGATATAGGTACGTTATTCCTACCGCAACGCGAGGATACAGGGAACGCATCTCTCCAAGGTGGACGCTCTGCTGGTGATGCTCTCGACCACGCCGTTGGGTTTGCGATCGACCCTGGGAAAATTTGCCCGTGGCCAAATAGCCGAGCCCCTACCATACCCTCACCTGTCTCCTATCGATGTCAGATCGAGATGATACGACGATGATGTGATCCCGCAGCTCTCAATTTTGAGCTCAGGTTAAATTTTGATGCTGGTCGTTGACTGACATTTGCCTGTGGATAGCCACCAAACAGACAAGCCCTTTCACCTTCGACAAGACACCCCCAATATAAACAACCACCCACCCTCTATTTTCATACGAACAGCTACGATGCTAGCAAACAACACCTCCATTGACCTGCGATTCCAAGCAGGCTCAATGCCAACTTCCCTCGCAGACGCCATAGACTCCGACTCCCGCTCCAGCAGCCTCTCAGACATCGACGAAACCCTCTCCCACGGCCAGCTAGACGACCTCTCTCCACGTCCTTCCAAGTTTGCTTCCGAAATCGACTCAGAGGCAGAGACAGAGCGGATAGAAGACTCGCCGAACCACATTCGCGATCGGGACAAGGCTAGCATCGTCCTCAGCGGAGTCGGAGGCGTCTTCGCCAGTCCCAGCAAACTGGCACAGTCCACAACATACGACGAGCTCAACGATGATGAAGAAGATGAAGAAGACGAAGCAGAAGACACAGAGGCGTCGCCTAGTAAGCCGGGACGATCAGTGAAGACGAACGGCAACGGCAATGCCAGTGGCAACGCCTTCGTCGAGAAGGAAGTCGAGTTTAGAACTTCTAAGCTATTAGACTCGCACTCGACGTCGCAGGAGACGCTAAATTTGATCAAGAAGCGCAAGAGAATGAACTCGGTTCATGACCTGGCGGCTATGGCTCGAGATGATGACGATGAAGAACCTGCGCGTAAGCGCCGTGGGTCAATCGCCATTGAACCCTCGGCCGACGACGAGTCGATATATCCCAACGCCCGCCAGACGCCAGGCGAAGACGAAGTTGAGCCCGACGTCGAACCTGAAGCTGAGGCCGAAGTTGACGCTGAAGTTGACGACGAGATGGACAAGTCAAAATTGAATCGCAACGAGACCTCCAAACCTCCTAGTCCCAGCCCGGTATCGGACGAGACATATCTTTCCCCATCGACTAAGCGAGGTAAGAAAGGGAAACGGGACAAGAGACGGGGTAAGAAGGGGAATAACGATACATACGAAGACTCGACTCCCGGCACTGGGTCTGTCGTGGAGAGTAATGGCATCGACGCCGTGGACGACCAGGGGGTAGACGACACACTGGTCGATGCTGGAGATGATCCAGAGGCGACGGTGAAGATGGAAGAATGTAAGTCTAGCCTGCTAGCAAGAGGACCGCGAATGCCTAGCTGACTGATCGCGAACAGTGACCAAGAAGACCACAGCATTGGATCTATTATCGGATCTAGAACGACATTTCGCGACACTGCGCGACAGGTAAGCATCCAAACCCATTCAATATTACAAAACCCGCCTAACATTTGTACAGAATATACGATGAACGAATATCAAACATCAACAAAGAACTCGCCCAACTCTCCTCTCCGACACCCACCCATCCCGAATTCCTCCGCCAATCCGCCATAATCCAATCCCACATCGCAGCCAAAATCCACCACGAAAAAGCCCTACACGCCTACAAACTGCAAGCACTCTGCGTCAAATCCCGCGCCGAGCGAGCCCAATGCAACTCATCCTACTACCAAACCGTGCGCGAGATCCGCGAGTCCGCCCTCGACGCCGTCTCCGAACATCAATATAAAGTCCAGCACGACAGGTTTGGCGGCATCGGCATCAACAGTCCCGGCGCCGGTATTGGTTCGGGCACTTATACCGGCTTAGGCGGACCAGGAACAGGCATTTTAGCCGACTCCACCTCCGACGCAGTGACCGAATACACCATCCCCTTCCCTACCCGTCTAAGTAAACAGATCGCACACCAGGCAGCGTATAATCGAGAAGTTGCAGTGTTAGCTGGGTTTGCGAAATATGTTGGGTTCCCTGCTGCGCCGTCGTTGAAGGCGTCGAGAGGCCAGGAGATGGAAGAAGATCTCGAGAAGATGGGCATACGCGTGCGGCGATAGCGGGATACCGTGCTATATCATACCATATGAAACGGGAGGCGTTATATCATAAATATCATACACTACACTTATTATACCATTTCACGGACTGCGGTGTTGTTCGTTGGCATCCTCCCTCGCTCTGCATTTTGATTTATCCTTACTCTTCACACATTACCTTGTCCTGCCATGCTCTATCTTGTCTTCTCTTGCGTTGTCTCTCTTTACCTCTGTTAAACGGCTACGGAGTACATGATTTATAAACTTGGTGGACCTGCATCTGGATACGGAGCCTGACCCAGCTCTGGTGTAATTGATCGTCTTTGTCTTTGTCTTTGTCTTTATCTTTACTTTACCTGCCTGCATCCTCTTGTCTCCTCTCACTCGACCTATCATTCATACCACTACCTACATACATACCTTAACCTATTCCCATCCTATCATTTACCCAATACATTCAACCAGTCTACCTCACCCCGCTCCCTTATTCCCTTCAATTGTGCCACTTATTCTGCCTCAAACATATCCTTATACCTGGCGTGACTATGGATGGATGGGGACATTTTGCCTTTAGACCCGGAAGCGAAGCAGCGTATGTAATGGCCCATGCATACGAACGAATGAACGAACAAATGGAAACGAAACCCTTGGGTTTTAATCTTCTAGTTGAATATTGCACACACCGTTTGCCTGTCTGGCCGGCTTTTTCTTTGTCATGTACTTTACTTTATATACCTGAGCTATACCATCTCCTTTACTTGTTGTCTATTATACCGCATATGCATTTGATGGGATAGGGATGCGTTGTGATTGTTAAATATGGAATCAAGAGAATAACTATCTTTATATGAAACTTATGGCGTATTGGACGGTATTACCGTAAGAGCATCAAATCAAGTAAATGTCAAACCCAGTAAATGATGCAAAAATTAGTATATAATTCATGGTGGAGAAGCGTAGTCAGAAGACAGATATAATACAAATGGTAACGCTTAGAGTTGTACTTAGATAGCCACGAGACTGTCCATGACATCACATTGGGGAGAGGGGATGTTCCCGAGACCACGTCCACAGCTCCAACATTTCTCAGGCGCAGTTTTACAGTTCATGGACTCTCCTTTTCCAACACAAGTAAAGGAAATAAAACCACACCAACACCCGTGCGCCATGGGAATTGAATCGTAGCAAAGAAGAGCCCATAATCATATGAAAACATGATGTTTCCTCTTCCTATTCAGGCCGATTTCTCCGTCTCAAGGTACGGTGTACGGAGGAGCAGTTGGTCTGACCTGGTCTGACCTAGTCCGGTCTTGTGTCTGGTGTCTATTTCGCCTCTTGTTTCGCGTTCGCGCTCGGTACGGCCTCTGGCACCTTAACGTCTGAGAAATCGTCCTGTCCAACAGCATTGATGGTGAATGCGTCTATCAAACCATGTTAGCATATGGGTATCCATTGGGACGAGCGGGGAGTTGTCCGGCATCACGTACAGACACCAATGCAGAAACTGAAGAGGGCTACGCCCGTCGCCACGTTCCTGACTATATACGGCCTCCGCGCGCGCATGAGGGCAGCGCCCGCCCGGTAGTCTTTGTCATAGTATGAGGATTTGAAGCTATTCGGCAAGCACAAGTTGTTAGTCCGGGGTTGTCCGGGTTTCTCGGCCAGAGGGCAAACAATTAAACACGGAATGGACCACTTACAGCGACATCTTGCGTTGCCTGACCGTATATCGATTCCACAGCAGATGCGCGGGCTGATATCTCTGAGCATGCGGCCTTCAATATGTTCGCTTTCGTCTTTCTTCAAAGCCGCGAAATTTTGACGTTGCGTCATGTGCTGCTTAGTAATGGACATGCTTAGATAATATGGATGACATAAGACATTACTAAGTCGTGACTCTCACGTGAGTTGAACCCAATGAAGGCACGACCTCTTGACCAATCAGGAAACACCGCGGCTTACTTCGAGCGCAAGGCGAGAATTAAGGAAGAGAAGGAAGATATTGTTCACATCGCGATATTCAGCTTCACGACAGGACATTGCATGGCTCAAGTCTTCGCGTCCCGGTCTCTGCGCGACATTCACTTCTCCCGCCATTTTTTCTAGGCCCTTTTCAACTTTCTTTATCGCCTGTCGTTCAACTCTCAGCTGGTCGTGTATCTGCCCTACCTCTCGTGCCCATCTTAAAGAGCCCATTAGTCTACCCGCAATTCCGTTGAATGAGACTCGTAATCACCTGTCATCTTCATCTTCGACGTGCATTATAGATTGCAACTTTCACCTCCCTTCGCCCCGTTAGGTGACATCCAGTAGCTATCGCCCGTCATGGCCCTGCCTGGCAACAGCCTGGTGGAGCAGATGTCACAGCTGGATGCAGCTCGAAACCTCGTCCTTGGTGACGCCGCCCTCTATCCCCAGATCGTCCACGGTATACTACCTATAATTGGCGCCAATTCGCGGCTGGAGCTACGCAGATGGGGTGCCGAGTTCCTCACAGAGACCTTTTCGAGCCCGGCTTTCCCCCAGCAACCGAAGCAGAAATTAGCTACGGAGATCCTCGGTGCGGTTAAGGATTTGTTAAATACTCCTGAAAATGACGAGACCGTGGTTCGTGGTGCTATTTTGACGGCAGCGAGCATCTATGTTTTGATATTTAGACAAGTGTATGTCATAACTCTCTTCCTATCTCACCAGCTTGTCACAGCTAGTATATCACTCATGAAGATATGGGATAAAAAAGCTGACAAGAAATATCTCTATTGATAGTGTGAGCCATCCCGATCAAGCCGCGCTGTGGGAAACGATGACGGCCATAAAACATACTATACTGAAGAAGTGGGACACGTCCTCCCACGGCGTCAAAATTTGCTGTGTCAAGTTTGTCCAGAAGGTCGTCCAGGTTCAGACTCAGGGACCGATAGCTGATCCAAGAGTACGTAATGACCGTCAAGTTCAATGGAATGGAGGGGTCAATTTCGAGTACTAATATTATATTCAGCGGCCTGAGAAAAACGAGACATCCATTGCTATAGTACCTAGGAACCATCCACTTCTAACCCTATCTAACATTGAAGCCGAAACCTCAGGGCTTCTTGATAGACTGCTCAATGTCTTCCATGAAAATTCAAGGTTAGTAACTCCTGCTATCAAACTGCTAGGTCCAGCTTTAACAATAGAATAGCGACCCCATCCTTGTCAACGCAACTCTCAACTCGCTGCCGGTTCTCATACGCACCCGTCCATCTATTTCAAATAAAATTATAAACGCCATCTTGAACTTCAACCCACTCAAGCAAGCAAACGCGCCGATAACACCAACAACGAAAGTAAATATTAAGTCTATGGAGAGGACAACAAGAGCACTATTTTTGAGTATAATCAAGAAGTGCGTAAATCAGATCCCAGTAATTTCCCTGAGACAGTTGGGCTGACAGTGCTTTTTTATCCAGGGCCCCTACACATCCCTTGGCTGGGCGTATGCAGCAATATATCGAGCGGCTTGCACAGTCACATAACGAGATATTTGAGGAAGCGTCAAGGAAGCGTGCTCTACCCGCTGAGCCAACCGACGTAGTGGACACCGCAAAACGAGCAAGACTGGGCCTGGAAACACCTCAGCATAAGATTCCTCCACTCCCTCCAGGTCCTACAAGCTTTGGACAACTATTTACCCTTACAGAAGATGTCGGCTTAACTTCCTTCGACGTTAAGCAGCTTCCAGTAGACTTGGTTGTAAAAATTATTCTCCCGGTATTGACCAGGGTTGATAGTGAAGCCTTAGACCAGGCTATTGGGGTATGTTATCACCTTCTCCCCCCTTTACCAAACGGCTATAGGTGTTTTGTGCTAAATAGTGTATCTAGGCTGTACGTTCCCGCTATGAAACCATCTGTAAGAAACAAGTCTTTGAGAGGCAAAATCAAGCTGCAAATGCACAGGCCGCCGTAGACGAAGACGACGATGACTATGAGCCGGAATACCAGCCCATGGATGTCACCGGTTCACCCACAGACATGGAAAAGTCTACGGCACCCGCAGCAGAGCCATTGCCAGATATCGTCTCGCTTGGGCCGTTTGTATTGCCGAAGCCGCCGCCCCTTTCCCCAGAGGATGTCGAGCATCTAGGCAAAGAAACAGTTAGCAGGATATTTACCATGATAACAACTCTCCCACAATCCACAAAAGCGGTTGTCAACAATCCTTCACAGTCTATCGGATTTGGAAGGCTAGCCGCTAGCTCCTCCGATCGAGAATCATGGCTTACATTGTTGACGAGACTTGCTACTCGCTCATCGGCCGGCCTTGAGAGCGAGGAAAGCAACGATGCGCAACAGGGTTCTGCAAAGCAGAATATCGCCAACACCATCCGCCACATGCTATATCGCTACGTCCTGGAAGATTTTAGGGCTCGTATGAACTTTGCCATATCTTGGATGAACGAAGAGTGGTATAACGATCAAGTGCAGTTGAAGCATGCCAGCTCACAGATCGAAGGGGACCCGAATAACCCTCACGTCCCGACCCACTACAGTCATTGGTCTTTAAAACTTCTCGAGGGCATGCTTCCATATCTTGACGCCAGGGATAAGGTACTCATAAGGTTCTTAAGTGAACTACCTGAGTTGGATCCGGCTCTGATTCAGAAGGTGAAGAGCTTGGCAAACGATCCAGAGAGGGTCATTCTGTGTGTGCAGGCGTTACAGTAAGTATCTACCCGATCCCTTAGCCTGCCGACTTCATACATTTCTAACACCATCTAGCTACCTCGTTATCGTCCGGCCTCCAGCTAGGCAGCTCTGCTTAGATGCACTAGTTGACTTATATCAGACGAGTAAGCTTAAACCCAAACTATATTACCTTATTGCACATGCAAGGCCTAGACTAACATACACCGTCAAACAGTGGAAGAAACTCGTCCCCTGGCGACGAAGATCCTTCTCAAATGGAGACCAGATTCACTTCCAGAGCAAGCTAAACAGGCACCGACCCGAGACCCTCGCCGCAATCCTAATTCATCCAACTCCACGCCTGTTCCTCAGAATGGTACCGCATCGACTGGCCAAAATAACACCGCGCCAATACAAACGGCCCGTCCCGGAATAACGTCAACTTAGCATCTATTTGATTTTCGTGTCTTTTTTACTTGATATCCTTATTTCTATCCTTCTACATGTGACGTGTGGGTATCAGTTGGGTTCGGTTTAGGTAAATTGTACCATACTACGCGAGGATGCTTTTGTTTACTTCACGCCAGCACTTTGTACGATTGACTCCTGATGTTAGGGGGGATGGAATGTTTATGCAACACCCCCATCTGACGGACTAGTGAGCAGTGAGGGTGTTGTGTAATATAGATCCAGATCATGTGTTTTTTTTACAGGACGGAGCTCGAGGCTTGATTCGGGATTAAATTCAGCATCATTAATATTCGTTATCATCGCCTCCAAAGACTTGAAGCCACGACTTATCTGTTCAATGTTCATTTAAGGGTGATCTGGTATCGTAGGGGAGATTCATACTCTTAAAGCGGCGGCAGGTATAGCCACAATCACGGTGGCTTCTCGTGCCGCTTTACTAATCACTTCCTTATCGTGAACCTGCTTTATCTGCTTTGTGTACGTTATTTCGTTACTTTGAACCACAACAACAACGTACCATTCTATGCTGAAGCAGACGCAGGAGAGCTCTTCCCTAGCTTCTGATTAACCTATCCTCCAATACTGTCAACATGGCACCCTCTCCCCTGACGCAGGAAAAGCTCTCCGAGATATTATCTGCTTCCACTTCCCCGCTTGAAACACTGATAAAGCTCGAGGGAGAGGTTAATCTACGCTTTTCAAATGCTCACATAGCAAGTGATACAGAGTTCTTAAGCACATATTACTCTTCATACCTAATCGCTCTCCTTCTTGAGGATGACATGTAAGAGAGAATATATTTCATTGCTACTCCGTTGCTAGTTGCATCTAATGGGAGAGTACTAACTGCTTTCTACTATAGACATGAAGCTCGCATGCTGTTACGCCGTGTTCCTATAAGCCTTATCGAGACCGATACTGTCGTGCGAGTCCTCCCTAAACTGGTGCAGGTTGTTTGGGCGAGGGACCATACAGCTGTTTACAATCTACTTAAGACGTCCCCATGGCCTAAGGTTACTGAACCGCTAGTACAATCTTACGAGGGTCAGTATGGCGGATGAACCACCTTCCAAGTCTTGCTAATTAGTTCTAACATGTACGTTCTGCTAGCCCATTACCGAAACCAGGTCATCGATGATACCAGTCTATCCTATGAGAGTATCAGACTACCGACCATTGAGTCCAAGCTAGGACTTGAGGGAGACTCAGACGCTATGCAGGATACTGGTGACGATGTGCCGTCACAGTTGATACAAGATCTATCTGCAAAAGGCTGGACCTATGATGCTGTCTCGAAACTGGCTTATCCTGCAACACCAGCAACGCATGTGCAAGCGGACGCTCGCATAAAGCTTGGACAAATCACTACGGTGGTTGGAAACCATGGAAGTGGCTGAGGTTGACCGTGGACTGTAAGATGGATATGATATCTACCGCTCGCTACGAAGGGTCATGCTCTACTACTTCTTCCATCCTCCATCTCATCCCATAGTACGGAGTGATACTAAATAAACCTTTAACTGGTAGAAGCGGCTACAACTCGCCACGATTTGAGTATGGGATATGCGGTTCGTCAACTTAGCGGCTGGCCGATTTATTGTTATCAGCTAGGTGATACCGAATGTTTATTCAGAGCATCAATGATAACATTTATGATAAAAGAACGGGAACTGACGGTAGACCATTGGAGCAAAGTCCATGAGTATATACAGCAAGAAACGAAATCTATTGATGCGACAGCTTCCTTTCATCTTTTGCTCAACAGACTTTAAAAAAACGAGATGATACAATAATACATAGTAAAGATGGTTCGAGTTCCTGTCCCAAGCGCTAGAACCAGAACCAGCTCAACTTTTTAGCAACATCAACAACCTTCTGGTATTGCTTTGTCTCTGGACTCGAAAATGATGGGTTGATTCCGCTGCCTGGATAGGCCATCTTGTCATCACTTCCCCCCTCCTCGTCACAACTCCCTTATTTCGCTGTCTCAGCCGCAGTGGCCTTCAAAAGAGCCTCTAGGTCGAAACGCGGGTCGTTTGGATCGGAAATAACTATGTCTAGTTAGTTGGGAGTCCGATTCCAATAAGAGGTCCTGCTCCCTGTTCAAGCGATAACATACCGCTGTTTTCATCCTTCTTTGGCGGCGAGTTCTTGTTCTTGAACTCAGTCTTGGCTCGCTCTATCAAGGACTCCTGTCGCTTGTATTCCCGTTCTATCTGGGCAGCGCGGGCTTGTGTGTTAAGAGTTGACTGGTGGTATAAACCGTAAAAGACACCCGCGAAGAGAGCGGAGTATCGGAGGACCTACACCATCGCATAGACATTAGCAAAGAACATGCCACGATATCATCCACAACTCAAACTGAATAATTGACACTCGTCTATCATTCTCTCCAGCAGGAATTCGCGGTATAGCCTTACGTTAACTCCTTGAGATGTAGCCATTGTGAATCACGAAAACAGGAATCCCCAGGTACGGGGGATAAGAAAGCGGCGAGATAACAGAGAAACGCGAGAAGCAGATATCTCAATCAATGCAATTAACGCAGCAGCCACTTGCGACTTCAGCTCAATGGGTTCCGACGACTGGTTTTATTTTTCGATCGGGTTCGGGTTAGCGGTTGAGAGATTGAACGTTCCGGGATTTTCTGATGTTCCTGGTTCCGCTTATGTAATATTTGATATCACGCCAGGGATGAAGCGGCCATGATAGTTAGCAATGTTTACGGTGATATCAAGAGGTCAGGGCGAACATATCCAGGTGGTAGACGAGCAAAGATGGCGGACAGGAATATGCAGCAGCGGAAGGACGAGATCCTCGCGAAGAAAGCCAAGCTTGCAGAGCTGAAGCGGCAGAGAGAACTACGACAGCGGGAGTTCTCGCAAAACCGGATGAGTGTTGGGGAGAACTCAGAGGTGAGTAGCTCTTAATGGAGTAGCTGTCGGGCTTGGTTGAAGCTCTGAATAGATTGTTTGGATCTTGTATTCTAATTCGTCGTGTTTTCATGATAGGTGCTATCTCCTATTCCACATCGTTCAGACAACAGAGCCGAACTAGACACCCTCATATCCAGATTAGTCGACCGACCTTCATCAGCAGCTCTAAGGGAGGGCGGCGAGTCGTCTCCAAGAGGCCGGGGGAGTAGACCCAATTCAGTTCTTAGTGCTGGACAGCTTAGTGGGGATATCGAAGCATTCACTCCTCCCGCGCGGCCCATATCCCTTTCTATAGCTACCCAAACCATCGACGAAGCATCTTATAGCGCTGTAGCAGAGCCAGCTCCCGTCGCTCCTCCAAAGCTAGAGATTCTTACATACAGCAAAGGCGTCCAGACCGATTCAATCCCAGAACCAGAAACGCCTGTGGACGATATATCAGAGTTGGAAGATGCCGGTTCACCTACAACACCTTCTCGGTCGTATAAGCGGCTAAGCCGAAGGGCTAGGGAAAAGGACGAGGAGATACGCGATAATCTACGAAAGGAAATTGAAGAAGAGTTAAAATCTGCAAAGGATTGGGCCAATGGTGGAACAACGTCTACGTCTACTCAGCTACGGTACCCCCTACGAACGCTAACGGCTGATGAACTAAACGCCGTGACCTCTGCCAATGAATTTTTAGATTTCGTCGAAAGATCTAGCAAGGTTATTGAAAGAGCTTTGGACGAAGAATACGATGTTCTTGCTGATTATGCGTTGGGTGGAGTTGGGGCAGAGGATGAGGACGACGAAGAGTATGGGACCGGCAGGAAGAAGAGCTACCTGAAGGAAGTTACACAGTTCTTTGACGAACGATGGAGCAAGAAGCGAATGATCAGTGATATAAGTTTCTCTCCAAAGGTACGTTCGCTCCAATCCTAATTGGTTATATGGGATATACTAAATGTAGCTGGATTTATCTAGTTCCCCGAGCTTGTCCTTGCATCTTATACCAAAAACCCGACAGCCCCCCATGAACCTGACGGCCTCGTACAAGTTTGGAATCAACACCTTCACACACGGCCCGAATACGTATTTCACTCTACCTCCGATATTCTAACAGCCAAGTTTTCACCCTTTCATCCCAACCTCATAGTAGGCGGTTCATACTCTGGGCAAGTTCTGCTATGGGATACACGATCATCCCGCGCTGGAGGCGGTGCACCTGTCCAGAAGACACCGTTATCAGGATCAGGACACACCCATCCGGTGTACAGCATCGCCATTGTCGGAACGCAAAATGCTCATAATATTCTGACAGCTTCGACCGATGGGGTTGTCTGTGGATGGACAGTCGACATGCTCTCGCAGCCACAAGAATATCTCGAACTGACAACCCCGCCTCCATCGAAGACCGAAGATCTTGCGCCCACGACATTATCATTCCCTCAATCAGATCCTACCTTCTTCCTTGTCGGAACCGAAGAGGGAACCATCTATCCATGCCACCGATATGATCGTGCGGGAGCCAAGTCCGGAACAGACCACCGTCTCTCGTACCGAGGACACGCTGCGCCCATCATGTCTACTGCCTTCCACCCTGCAAGGGGCCCTGTAGACCTGAGCGATCTCATGCTCAGCTCGAGTCTAGACTGGAGTGTGAAACTGTGGCGTATCCGTGCACCAGCCTCAACATCGACGTCTGGAACTTCGTCGACAGCACAGCTACAGACCGTCGCGCCCATTCTTGATATTACTCGTGAAGATGTGGTATACGATGCCAAATGGTCGCCTCACCGGCCGGGTGTGTTTGCCCTTGTGGACGGTGCCGGAAGACTCGAAATATGGGACCTACAGCAGGAGACGGAAGTTCCCGTTGCCAGCGGGATGCCGACAGCCGGCCGTGGCGGTATATTAACCAAGGGCCTAAACAAGGTTGCATGGGAGGAGCGTGAAGGACGAAGAGTTGCTACCGGCGGACTAGACGGCGTGGTGACCATATTCGACGTCGGCAAGGGCCTGAGCGGCAATGCTGAAGATGTTTCTGCAGAGGAATGGGCTGGTATGAAGCGACTGACGGGTAAACTGGAGCAGAGCAGCCGTGAACGAAACCTGTGAGACATGAGCCTTCAGCCTGTCTTTTCTCTCCGCTATCCTGCGAGAAACTCGCCGTCTTCACGCTTTCATTCTTCTTCACTTCCATTCTCCTTCACTTCTGTTCTACTTGCCTTCCATTTGTGCGGCTCTTCTGTACCATATATCGTATCTATACCCGGCTTAGCTTCCATTTGAATTCTTCTTGCTTCAATAAGCGTTTTTCGGCGTTTGGAGGAACTCGCCGAGTTTTCCCCGAGACAGATAGAGTAGCCACAACACATCTCTACATCTTGACATCTTCTCTATCACTCTAAGTCCGTACTATCTTACTCTAACTATCATAAGTATACAACTATCATTGTGTCTATGTGTATGGTAGCGGATATTATGTAAGTAGTCTCACTGACTAAGCCCATCCCTATGACGCTTTCCAGCCGAAAGAAGCGAAAGTTGAAGCTGTTCAGACGGTTGAAGCGACGAGGACGCAGGTCATGGACTTGATACCGGTGACATAGACGACGCCAGCTCGGTTACCTGCCTCCAGTGATGCCTGGCAGAGTGGCGGGGACTCTCCTACTGCTATGCCGGCTTCTTCTGCTTAACTCCCCGCCCTGGTTGCATTTCTAGGGCCTGTCTAGTCGTGGAGCCAAAAAATGCACCCCTAGAAGACGGAACCATTCCCACGCACCTCCTGCTAGCCCTCATCGATGCTACTTATATCTAACCCTTAGCAGCAGCTTTCGAGTGCGAGCTTTTGTTTAAGACCCTCCGCTCTGCATACGTCACAAAGAAGCAAGCATACGGCGGGTTACTTCTGACGTTATCCGTACGCGTGACTTTCTACTAGACCAGACTCGACTTCTTCTTAAACCGCCAGACATCTCTCGAAGGGACACGGAAAACACGATTTTTACGCTGACGGGCTGGTTGTGCTGTATTACTGCGTGTGAATATGGTCGAATATATTCCTGTTCCGGACCCGAGACAGCTACTTGCGCCGCTACTTGCTTGCCTCCCTCTCGCCTTTGCGTCCTCTCGGCCGCCGCCAGCGCTGCTTGCTTTGCTTTCTCCGGTGCTTCGACAGCGAGTGCAGCTTCTGGGATCTGGCTCTACCTCGTCTCCGGAGACCTGGCTTCGACTGCTGTGCTGGGGACCCCGCAATGGGGCGGAGCTGGAGAGGATAGTCGGAGAGGGAGAGGAGTCGTTTGAGCCACATCCGGTGTCTGGAGAGATAGAGATACCTGATGATATCACGATAACGTATAAACGGTTTGATGCTGAGACGTTGCGTTCCTGTCTACCGTTGGACGAGTTCGAGCTCACCGTGCTATACGTATGGTGTCCTACAGACCAAGAGGGCGGTGGTCCGGGTTGGAGAGTTGCAGAAGTCCTACCACTTGACGCTCTCAAAGACGAAGAGGACACATGGGTTGGTTCGATCGAGCAGGCCAACAAGGTGGTACAAGAATTGGCGCCCAAGGAAGCTTCAAAGGCGGCAGAGCCGAGCGCAAAGGCAGTTGCTAGCCGCCAAGAGCAGGATGAGGCAGACAAGGACGACGAGGACGACTACTGGGCACAGTATGACAATGTTCAATCACGGACGCCGGCGAACGGTGCAGCCAACATGGCACAACCCCAGAGCAACGGCCACGGCGGGGAGCAGATGTCTGATACGGCATACTATAGCCAATACTCCAACGTTCAGCCTGCCCTCGACAACGACGACCCCACGGTCGACAAGAACGACATTGGAGACACTTCTCTTGACGGCAGCACCTTGGACGACATCTTCAAGCGGCAAATGGAGAATATCATCCACCAACACAAGGCGGAATCCCAGTCGAAGCCCAGCAACGAGGAACGGGGAAGACAGCCGGCCGACTCAGACATACCGCTCAGCCACCCACGCCCTGCCTCCGCCTCCTCCTCGAACAGGTCAGACGCGATATCTAAACTCGAGTATTCCGCAGAGTGTCAGTCGGCCTCTGAAATGGCTATTCGACAACACATCTCTACCAACGTCAAGAGTATGTTCCGGCTCGCGAGGGCGTCCGGCATATCTAGGGCGGAGTACCAGGCGATGATAACGAGGGAGCTCGACGTGCTCGAAATGATGGAACATGACGATGATTAAAGCCCTGCATGAAATGGCGTTTGGTGTATGGCCTTTTTTTGAATTTCTTTTTGGATGCAAGCTCAAGCATATTTAGCCCACTATTACTGTACCAAGAATCCTCTGTATAGCTATTGTAAAGTGCATGTGCGATTTGGACACCGCAGATCATATAGTAAATACATAACTGACCATGTAGTAAATATATCTGCATACGACTGATCATATAGTAAATATATTTGCACATTAACGCTGTTCAAGCTGTGTTTACTGCCTGGGCCGCCGGAGAATTAACTTGGTAGGGTTTCAGGAGAACCTGTGGCCAAGCGCAGCAGGGAAAAAAAGATGTATACGCAAGCCAGAGCTGCGCCAAACACTCGACAACTCCAGCTCGAGTCCCTTTTCCATACTCACTTTTAATTCACCCGTTTCTTCTCGTCTTCTTTTGCCTCTTCGCCTTCTTAACGCTCTTTAATAATGCCCTTCTAAGGTTCCTTTGCACGTGAATGAGGTATGCAGCTTGGTTCCAGTCGCACGCGCGAAACAAGCGATCTTTCGTTTCTGCTTTTGCTAACGTGTTCAGTTTGGCTGTTGATAATACATCTTGAGCCGGACTGTTTGACCATCATATAGTGATCTTGTTACGGTTTACTTAAACGACGCCAGACGATGGCTTCCCCGTCTTCCAGCATTCGACACCGGGGGAGCAAAAAGAATGTCGACGCCGGTTCCCCTCCGGCCACTCCAGAGGTGAAGAGCACGGAGACGCTGTCCGCGGTGGTCAAGGGGAAAGCAGAACCCGCGTCGTGGGAATGGGACTATAGAATTGCTATGGTGATCGTTACGATCGGAGCATTCATTACTAGGTTTTGGAAGATTAGCTACCCTGACGAGGTGGTATTCGATGAAGTGCATTTTGGAAAGGTAAGTAAACAGTGCCCTATAAACCATCGCGATGCTGTTAAAGCAGTGGAACTGTTTACAGACAGCTTATCGAGGTTGAAGAATCATGGCTAACGTGTTGGTCTCTATAGTTCGCTTCATACTACCTCCAGCGTACCTACTTTTTTGATGTCCATCCACCATTCGCCAAACTTCTCTTTGCGCTGATGGGCTGGTTGGTTGGATTCGATGGACAGTTCCTATTCGAGAACATTGGAGACTCTTACATCAAGAACAAGGTGCCATATGTCGCCCTCCGTGCTCTGCCCGCCACGCTTGGCTCCCTGACCGTCCCCGTCGTCTTCCTTATCATGTGGGAGTCAGGCTACTCGCTTCCAGCCTGTGTTCTGTCTGCGGGCCTTCTCCTGTTTGACAATGCTCACATCGCCGAGGATAGGCTCATTCTGCTTGACGCTACCTTGGTCATCTCGATGGCATTGAGCGTACTGTGCTACATCAAGTTCCACAAAAACAGACATGAACCATTTGGCCGAAAGTGGTGGAAGTGGCTTCTGTTAACTGGAATTTCTCTCAGCTGCGTCATCTCCACCAAATACGTTGGTGTCTTCACTTTCGTGACTATTGGATCGGCCGTTTTGATCGATCTATGGAACCTGCTTGACATCAATCGCCGTCAGGGAAAGCTCAGCCTCTTCGAGTTTGGCACTCACTTTGCTGCTCGTGCTTTCGGTTTGATCATCGTTCCATTCTTCCTGTACCTCTTCTGGTTCCAGGTTCACTTCGCCATTCTCACCAAGTCCGGTCCTGGCGATGACTTCATGAGCCCTGAATTCCAGGCTACCCTCAGCGATAACGCCATGATTGCTCAGTCCAAGGGAATCGAATACTACGATGTAATTACCATTCGACACAAGGATACCAAGGTCTATCTACACAGTCACCCCGACCGTTACCCCCTCCGATACGATGACGGTCGTGTCTCGAGTCAGGGCCAGCAGGTCACCGGTTACCCACACAACGACACGAACAACCACTGGCAAATCTTGCCCGAAATCGCCTTCCCGACCGAAAACCGTACTGGACACAAGGTCCTGAATGGACATAACGTTCAACTTCGTCACGTTGTCACGGATACTTTCCTGCTTTCGCACGACGTTGCGTCCCCAAGCTATCCTACAAACCAAGAGTTCACCACCATCCCTCCTGAAGAGGCAGCAGACAAACGACGCAACGATACTCTCTTTGAAATCCAGATTCCAAGAGGCAAGAGCAATGAAGAGTTTAGAACCAGGTCCAGCTTGTTCAACCTGATCCATTTCCCTTCGAAAGTTGCCATGTGGACCCATACTACACCTTTGCCGGACTGGGGGTTCAAGCAGGCCGAAATCAACGGAAACAAGAACGCCAAGGAAGCAAGCAACCTCTGGTTTGCGGAGGATATCCCATCCCTGACGCCAGAGAGTGAACGAATGAACCAGGAACCTCGCAAGGTCCAACCGATGCGATTCTTGAAGAAGTATATTGAGCTTCAGGTTGCCATGTTCCACCACAACAATGCCTTGACGAGCAGCCACCCTTACGCGAGCGAGCCGTTCCAGTGGCCGTTCTTGCTGCGTGGTGTCAGCTTCTGGACCAAGAACGATACCAGGGAACAAATCTACTTTGTCGGTAACCCCATCGGATGGTGGCTCTCGAGCAGTCTCTTGGCCGTCTTTGTCGGTATCCTTGGAGCCGATCAGCTGTCTCTTCGTCGTGGTATCGATGCTCTGGAAGAAAGTAAGTTGTTTCCGATTTTTATACCCGCCGATCGTCAGTCACTAACATACGTACTCTAGTCTGGGGCCCAGGAACTCGCAACCGCTTGTACAACAGTACTGGATTCTTCTTCCTCTGCTGGGCGGCTCACTACTTCCCATTCTACCTCATGGGCCGACAACGGTTCCTTCACCATTATCTCCCATCACACGTAGCATCTGTCCTGGTAACTGGCGCCCTGGTCGAGTTCCTCTTCAACATCGATCCAATCGCTCTGGCCGAGACTCCCTCAGGCAGCGGTCCGCAAAAGGTACGACACTCCCGACAGAGTCTGATGGCTATCTGGGCAGCCACCTTTGCGGTCCTCGGCGTCGCGATCTGGGGCTTCGGCTTCTTCGCGCCGCTCACCTATGGCACTCCTGGCTTGGACGTTGCTGGAATAAACGCCAGAAAGTGGCTGTCCTACGACTTGCACTTTGCTAAGTAATTACTGCGACCAATTAATGTATGCAGCGTGTCACTGCGAGAACCATGCGAGAGATCCTCCCTCCTCCCTCCTCCCTCCTCACTGTCTCTCTTCCTTGCTTTAGTACTACTAGGATTTTAATAAAGAAAAACGTTCGCAAACCATGATCTGCTACTAGTAAAAAGGGGGCCGCATAAAGCGCATAAAGTGCTTACAGGCGTCTTTGTCATGCTCCGCTAAGCCAGGTGGAACGCTGTTTTGTCAGCCCTTACTCAACCACCACAACCGCCGACTCCCCGACACCCCGACCGCAGTCCGACCCCACCGATTTGAAATGCTGACCAGCAGCGGCCGTTCGCCTCCAGACCGAGACTTCGACGGACGCCCCAGGATTCTGGTTCGGATGCATGAAATAGAGGGAGAAAATGATCCGACTGGACAGTCTAATTAATCCTGGCACCGGATCCGCGCACGGAGGATACCAGGCGGGTTTGTCTGGTATTACTCAGATTCTCATAAGGCCTTACACATCTGGATATAGGCCATGGCTATCTATCATCTCCATCTCTCCTGGCCGACCGAGACCGTGTGAGAAGGTTCTCATTCGTTCCTCAGGCTCGAGCTCGAGGGTATAAAGTCGACTTACTTCCCCATGGGATGGATCTTTCTCTCTCTTTTCATCATTCTCGCCTCCGTTACCTGTCTACATAGCAGCTTCAGATTGATTCCTTTTACTGCAAATCATATACCAAAGAACTTGACAGTCGACAACCAGATTCATTCTAACATGTCTGCTCCCAGAGCCATCAGACAGGCCTTCTTGGCCGTTGAGAAATCAGAAGGTGTGGGCGCCCGCGTACGGCGATCAATTGGCACCCCGAAACTGCGAAATTTCAGTCCCTTCCTCATGCTTGACCATTTCACCGTTGGAAAGGAAGCTGGATTCCCAGACCACCCTCATCGCGGACAAGAAACCATCACCTACCTTCTCTCCGGCGGTGTCGATCACGAAGACTTCACCGGACACAAAGGAACCATCGGACCCGGTGATCTGCAATTCATGACTGCAGGCAGAGGCATAATGCATGCAGAAATGCCACATAACAACCCAGACGGCAGCCCCAACGTCGGCATACAGCTCTGGGTAGATCTGCCAAAGAAACTGAAGATGTGCGAGCCTAGATATCGCGACCTCCGCGCTACGGAAATTCCCATCGCCTCTATCGATAACGGCAGGGCGACCGTCAAGGTCATCTCGGGCAAATCGCACGGGATAGACTCCGTCAAGGATCTAGCTTACACACCCGTCTGGATCCTAGATATCACGCTTAAGCCAGGCGGCAGGATCACCCAGACATTGCCAATTGGATGGAACGCATTCGCCTATACGCTAGACGGCACGACCACCTTTGGAGGCCGCAAGGTCTCCAAATTCCATAACGTCGTCTTTGTACAAGAGGGCGACTCTATCCAGGCATCGAACCCCACTATGGACGAGGATTCTCACTTCTTGCTCATTGCCGGCCAACCTCTCGATCAAGACGTTGTCCAATACGGCCCATTCGTCTTGAGTTCGACTGAAGAAGTTTACCAGGCTCTCAGCGACTTCCAGACCAGCGCCAACGGGTTCGAAAGGGCAAGAGGATGGCAGAGCGAGATTGGGAAGAGAATGCTATAGAAAAAACACCTACTTTCGATCCTCCCTAACGACCAATACCTTCCGAATCATTTTACCACGGACATTTTAGACCGCATTGCATTCAACGTACTGGATTTCTCAGGTTACGGTGGTTGTCTGCCTTTTTACCGCACCGATGATTCACTAACGAGATACGACTTTTTGTAGCCTTCATACTTGCATGTTTCCTTTCTTATTTTCCATCTTGCATTTATATAGCTAGTTGTATTGTTACTATTTGTCAAATGATATGAGTTATCGAGTTTAACTTCTCTTTCCTCGCCACTGTTTACTTCATTTATGAAGTTGATGCCAAAGCTCCATGACGTTGAAGTAATGTGATGTCATAAGGCGTTACTGTTGAGTATTTATACCTACAATTTACTCTTTAGGACAAGATAATATATTCTAACATTCATTTACCATTGAAAATATCCACCTATCAATTAAGTGTCAAGAAACATGTCGCAGGAAGCATACGACGCAGAACGGGATCTCAACTCGTACCAAGCAAAGACCGGGAGAGGGAAGAATATCAGTGATACCAGTTAAGTCTTTCGCCGTCTTGTAACGATAAACAACCGCTTACATATGTAAATTCCTCAGCCCAGGATTCCGGCGTTGATGCAGGCGCAGAGAATAAATTCCCTGGGGCGGAGGTGAGAGTAGGACCCGGATCGACTGCCAGCGGGAGTGATAACCGTGTAATTCCCCCTGAGGAAGGCGGGCAATATGACGACCGAGGACAGTTAGTCTCCTACATCTTGTTGTCAATGGACCATGGATAGGGATGCTGATATGTGTTTCAAAATTAGTATAAGTAAAGCGAAAGACTTCCTGGGGAAGGAGGAGTAAGAATATGGTGTATAGCTGGGATATATTGAATGTTATGGTAGGATAATGCTCTGAGTATACTCATTAAAGAAAAACAGGATATATAGTTCATGATAGTACAATAATTGTGAGAATATCTGATAAATTGATGCTGTTCTGACTACTCACATAATCCAACGCGCTTTAAATAGTCGCGCGTTTAGGATGGATAACTATTTATAAACAGAGATACAACTTACCATTGCAGCACCTGAGGTATCTTGCTGGACAACTCTTTCAGTCGTCTGTTTAGGACTGCCACCGGCGAACTTGTGACATTGTCTTGTTCCTGAACATGGGAAGCTCATGGGTCCCGCGGATTCTACGGCCCGACTTTACATGGCCACGGCCAATGCGACATACGATATCCAAGACCACACCTCCAGTCCCTCATATACTAGGGAAAACTATCCGACGTGCCTGGGGTATTCTCCACAAAGCCCTATATCACTTTTCCGAATGGTATTGCTACTGGTTCGACATACCGTTCGATGTCAACATTGTGCAGCTGCCCTTTGGGTTGGTCGTAAAGTGGACAGATCGGACGAGCATAGAAGAAGTTGCAGCAATGCAGATGGCAGAAGCTGCTGGAATGCCTGTCCCCAAATTCCTTTGCTGCGGTGAAACTCCAGATGCACCGTTTAATAGGGTATTTTCAATCATGATGACGAGACTCCCTGGCGTAACACTTGAGAACTCGAGAGATCCTCTACAAGCCGAGAGCGAGGGCCCATGGCTTGAGGAGCTTAAGACGTGCGTGAGTGCTATGCGCCAATGGAGCCCTCCCGACAACATAGCTACAGGTTCGGTAATTGGGACTTCGATACGCAGCCCGCGAGTTCCGGATCATGTCATGGGCCTTTTGCGGACGAGGAGGAGCTGTACGAACATCTCTTTAGCCCGGCTTCAGCACACGGTTTTGCGTCGAATGAGGAGTACAAAGAGACGTTACTCTGTGCGAAGAAAATCCAGCAAGGGTCCCATCGAGTTACCTTCACTCATGGAGATTTCAAGGCCCATAACATCCTTGTTGACGATGACGGACATTTATCTGGGTTTCTTGACTGGGAATCTGCTGGCTGGTACCCTGAATAATGGGAGTTCACAACGGCAATGAGGTTCGGTCGAGATAGCTGGTGGTTTCAAGTCGCTTCCTGGATGGGAGGAGACCAGTACCTCGAAGAGCTATCTTCCGACCTCGCATTGAATCTATTGACAGTTGATTCGTATATAGCTTTATAGTTAGATCACCCCGGTGATGTCTCTATCTATCGTGATATTCAGCTGCGATATCGTAGTTGGTGGTTATAGTCATGGTTATATGTGGTTATAGATGTGGTTATAGTATGGATGGTTATGAGTTGGCTGGGGGAGCTAGGGATGACTAAGCTGGAAGCCAGCGTGTTGCGTTCATGGACAAGCTCCAGCGAGACGAGTTATCTATGCCGCAACAACAAGTTGGCTCCTTTCGCTTCTCACCCTTCTCTTCTTCTTTTGTTGGGCCATCATGGCCAGCGGTGCAATTGAACCGTTTTTGAAGGGCAGCACCGCCGAAAACACCCGTGGGTTGCTGCGCGTCGTCATCCTACTGCTCATCGCCGCGGCCGCCGTTGCCAGTAGATTGTTCAGTGTAATAAGTATGGACAACACCAGCGAGGATATCTGTTGATTCTATATGCATTGACAAGGATTATAATGGCTAACGGTTTGTTTCTGAATAGGATTTGAAAGTATTATCCACGAATGTACGGTTATCCTCCCTCATACCATATACGAATCATAATTCCACTATCAAGCCTCACTGAATCCAGCCGTTGGAATCGCCTGTAACTGACCATAATGCGCCAATATAGTCGATCCATGGTTTAATTTCCGAGCTACAAAATACCTCGTGGAGAATGGTTTCTATAAGTTCTGGGATTGGTTTGATGATCGTAAGCCCGCACTCCCCGCAAAGATGGCGCTTTCTCCCTACCAGATGCTTCCCATATCCCAAGAGCTGGCACCAGTATTGATACAATATTGATTAGGAACATGGCATCCCCTCGGACGTGTCACTGGTGGCACGCTTTACCCTGGACTGATGGTCACCAGTGGTGTCATCTATAAGCTCCTCCGACTTCTCTCTCTCCCCGTCGACATTCGAAACGTATGCGTTCTTCTTGCTCCCGCTTTCTCTGGCTTGACATCTTTGGCCATGTATCTCCTCACCACCGAAATGGCTCCTTCGCCATCCGCTGGTCTTCTAGCCGCCGCATTCATGGGGATTGCCCCAGGTTACATCTCACGATCGGTAGCTGGTAGTTACGATAACGAAGCAATTGCCATCTTCCTTATGGTCTTTACCTTCTACGCTTGGATCAAGGCTGTGAAGAATGGCTCGATTATGTGGGGTGCCGTGACAGCTTTGTTTTACGGCTACATGGTGTCAGCTTGGGGTGGGTATGTATTCATCACTAACCTGATTCCCCTCCACGTATTTGTCCTCATTTGCATGGGACGATATACTTCGCGCCTATATATTAGTTATACCACATGGTATGCTCTCGGTACTCTGGCCAGTATGCAGATTCCATTTGTTGGCTTTCTCCCTATTCGCAACAGTGACCACATGGCAGCTCTGGGTAAGCACGAGTAAACACTCCTCACTGAAACGACATTTACTTACATATGAATTAGGTATATTCGGTCTACTTCAAATCGTTGCGTTTGTGGAATTCCTCCGTGCCCAGGTTCCTGGCAAACAATTCCAAACCGTTCTCACCAGTCTTGTTCTCTTCGTTTTCGTGGTGTCCTTTACCGGACTCATTCTCCTTACCGTCTCAGGAGTTATTGCTCCATGGAGTGGTCGATTTTACTCGCTCTGGGACACCGGATATGCGAAGATCCATATACCCATTATTGCTTCCGTTTCGGAACATCAGCCTACCGCCTGGCCTGCTTTCTACTTCGACCTGAACATAATGATCTGGCTTTTCCCACCAGGTGTATACATGTGCTTCTACAAGCTAAGGGATGAGCATGTATTCGTCGTTATCTATGCCGTTCTTGCGAGCTACTTCGCCGGAGTCATGGTCCGATTGATGTTGACCCTTACTCCCGTGGTTTGCGTCGCCGCTGCATTGGCCTTGTCCCAGATCTTGGACATTTATCTACGCATAGAGTCCCCTGACCCAGCCATCCAAAACCAGCCCTCTGCGGATAAGCCAGCCCAGGGTGGCCTACGCATCGCCCGTAACAAGCTTGTGGGTATTTATTCCAACCTTTCCAAGGTAGTCGTGTCGGCAAGTGTTTTGGTTTACCTTTTGTTCTTTGTTGCCCATTGTACTTGGGTCACCTCCAACGCCTATTCATCTCCCTCCGTCGTCCTGGCTAGCAAACTTCCCGATGGTAGCCAATTTATCATCGATGATTACCGTGAAGCGTACTACTGGCTGCGACAGAACACCCCCAAAAACACCAAGATCATGGCATGGTGGGACTACGGCTACCAGATTGGTGGTATGGCTGACCGACCAACCTTGGTCGACAACAACACCTGGAATAATACACATATCGCCACTGTTGGTAAAGCAATGAGCTCTAGGGAGGAAGTCAGCTATCCTATCCTGAGACAACATGATGTGGACTACGTTCTTGTTGTATTTGGTGGTCTATTAGGGTATTCCGGAGACGACATCAACAAATTCCTGTGGATGGTTCGTATTGCTGAAGGCATTTGGCCTGATGAGGTCAAGGAACGGGATTTCTTCACTGCCCGCGGCGAGTATCGCGTGGACGACCAAGCAACCCCCACGATGCGCAACAGTTTAATGTAAGTTCACTTGAATATCAACAGAAACAACCGTCCCCATAACTAACACCGTTCGCCTCTAGGTACAAAATGTCTTATTATAACTTCGAGAGCCTGTTCCCTCCAGGGCAAGCTCAGGACCGTGTCCGCGGCGTTCGTGTCCCATCCCAGGGACCACAACTTAGTACGATTGAGGAGGCATTCACAAGTGAAAACTGGATTATAAGAATCTACAAGGTGAAGGATCTCGACAACCTAGGACGAGACCATGGTAGTGCCGTTGCATTTGAAAAGGGGCACAAGAAGAAGAACACTCCCAGCAAAAAGCGAGGAAGACCAGTGCTGCGAACAGAGTAATCAGCCATATCATGTTGGTAAAAAGCTATGTATCCAGGTTTAGGGCATTCCTTACCCTTTTTTCTACATGATTGTTTTATATAGAAATATCATTCTGAACATTTATTCCAAGTGCATCCATGGCTTTATCTTATCTCAAAAATGACGTTGTAGTTTGTTACGTAAGCTGTTATTTCGGGCCACCTTTCAGTGAGCGAAGATGAAGCCGAGAAACATCAAGTTAGCAACTCGAGATAGCTCTGGTAAGTTGGTATTGTTTCCAGTATATGGTCTATATGAGATTACTGACTTAGTCAATTGATTCTTTTGCGTAGATCTCATGCGCACCTACCGAGTCGCTATATAATCTGGCAAACATGACTTCTAGCTAGCACGAGACCTGCTTGAGCTACAACTGCCGATTCCTTCTTTTCTATAAGAGCATGAAGTTAAGTTGCTCTGGAATTGACAACAAATAAACAATTCAATTACTGCCCGCGTGGCTTTACTGCTCAATTCTCCAAGTATGCGGCACCACATACAGCTTTCACTCACTGCGCTATTAGCGGGCGCGAACGTTGCTCTTGCTGTTCATAAGCCTTTCAGCATACAAGATGATGTGCTGGCGACCCCTCAGGTACGTATGGAATTACATACTAGAAGAGCCGAAATGAAAGGATGTTGTGTTCTAATGATTGTCTTCTTTTCTAGTTTGAGGTATTATTTCCCGATGAATATATATTAGAATCGGATGCGCGACTACGGCTTTCAAAAGCTCAGTCACAACATGATACTGCCACCACCATACCCTCGCAACCATCAAAGGCGTCTAGTATCGTTTCTCAGGATGACCGGTCAGACCTGTCGCAACAAGTGCTTCAGGAAGAACCAGGGATGGGAGATAAGAGCTCCAACCCAAACGAAGATGATATAATGATGGACTCATATCATGAAATGGTTCTGGATGGCCAGAGATTCCTCTGCGGCATCCCCAACGTATCGCCTTCAAGCAAGGATAACACATCTACGCCAACTCCCAACCCGGACCAGGAAGCTGTGGAATTGATGAGGGCAACCAACAGAGGCCTTGAATTGCTTAGTGATCTAGAAGGGAAATGTCTCTACTACGCCGCTGGCTGGTGGTCATACTCGTTCTGCTATATGAACGAGGTACGGCAATTTCATGCTCGACTCCCAGGAAAAGGGGTCCCTGTTTATCCGCCTGCAGAAGATCCGGATTCTACAACCTATGTACTCGGGAGATTCCAAGGTAACAATGCAGATGACAGCCAGTCCACCGCCGCCTCTACAGAGGTGGCTGCCTTGCAGACGAAGGGAGACTCATGGTACTTGGTGCAGTACCTAGAACAAGGCACCAAATGCGACCTGACAAGGCGGCCTCGCAAGATTGAAGTGCAATTTCACTGTCATCCACAGTCTCCGGAGCACATTGCATGGATTAAAGAGGTTACCACGTGTTCTTATGTTATGGTAGTATATACTCCAAGGCTCTGCAACGATGTCGCATTCCAGCCACCGCGGGTGGAGAAGCCGAACAGTATAAAGTGCCGAGAGATAATATTACCGGAACATGTCCCCATTTGGGAGGCTGCCAAAGCGGCTAAGAAAGCCCAAGCGAAGCGGGAACGTGTCGAAGGCACGGAAGAACCTTTCGTTTTAGTCGGAGACATCGAAGTCGGAGCGATGAAGCTGGTAGGCAAGGACGGAAAACGCATTGAGAAAGACCAATTTGGATTTGGTGGAACAGAGAAGATAGTGCTTGTGGCAAAGAGCGAGGGGGGCAAGGTGAAGATTTTATCGAAGGAAATGCTCAAGAAACACAAAGTGAGTAACGAGAAGTTCGAGCAGGTGAAGAAGGAGATGGATATAGCTGCGGATGGCAGGGATTGGAGACTAGAGGAAGTCACTACGAGTAACGGCGAAGGGCTACGCGGCATTATCGATGAAGCGGACAATGATGACGAGGAGGAAGGAGATGAAGGGGAAGCAGAGAGCAAACCGGGCAAGGGTACCGCAAACAAAGACGAGAAACCCAAGCAGCAAAAGAAGAAGAAGAATAAGAGTAAGAAGCAGCAAAAGCCAGCAAAGGGGGAGACGCTGAAGAAACCACAGAGGCAAAAGACATCAGATGAGACCGTGCCTGAAGCCGGCAGCGATGAAACTTATAAAACGGGCAACAAGGAAGAAAAGGAGAAGAAGGAGAAGCTCGTCAAGGCTGACAAGGAGGAAACCAACAAGAAAGACGAGAAAGACGAGAAAGATGAATTGTAGAAGTATCAAATCGAGTATATCAAATGCTCTTTTTCTATAAGTCTTAGGTAATCTTCTGTATTGACCCTGTAATATACCGCTACACGCCCACTTTTAGCCCTTATGTCCATGTAACGTACATACCACCCCCGTCGTCCTGAGTATTCGCCCAGCTTGGAAGTTCGAACATCGTCGTCCATCTGCTATCTCAACGTCTCCTGCAACCTGCGACGCTGCACCAGCATCAATCACAGAACAGACTCGCCGCCAGAGTGCTGTGTTTCTGTCTCCCCCGAGCCCTTCGTCCACGCCTGTTGGCATTGCCCGGGAAAGCCAGCTACCGACTCTCCCGCACCCGAAGCCCCCCTCACCAGCCGTTACTCTCTGGAGTATGCAGTGACGGCCTGCTTCCCTCCCCTGTCTACGACTTCGGGCACAAACTTCTCTATTGTTTGCTCCCTTATGGTCTCTGGGAATTGGCCTAGGGAACCGCCGTCTATCTAACCCGACTCGACCTTTTTTTCCTGCGTGGAGGATCGGTTATTACATCGCCCTTGGGTGTATTACGTATTGCCCAGGCCAGCATCTAAGGTGCTGCATATACCTATTCACCCCGCTCGAAGACTACTGGACGCGCTCTTGGAGGAGAGGATATTGAGACTGCCGGTATAGTTGAAGGAGGTGGTCAAGATGGGCTTTGCGGGCGTCTACACTGCCGTGTATGACTACACACCTCAAGGGGAAAATGAGTTAGCGTTTGCCGAAGGTGACCTGTTATACATACTGGATAAATCGTCAGATGACGGCTGGTGGAAAGCAAAGAAGAAAACCACTGAGTTTGACTCCGAGGAGCCTGTGGGATTAATTCCCAATAATTACGTGGAGGAGGTAAGCCGTCAATCTGTCCTTATTGCGGTTGTTCCTTTTGGATAAAATTGTTCATGTTTTGCTAACTGTGGTGTACGTTCACAGGCACAACCAATTCAGCAAGCGAAATCCATCTACGATTATACGCGACAAACGGACGAGGAGGTTTCGTTTGCTGACGATGTCGATATCTTGATCTTTGACACCTCCGACCCTGACTGGACCCTCGTGCAGGTAAATTCCGAGTTCGGGTTTGCCCCAGCAAATTATATTCAGGTTGTAGGCGACGTTGAGACCCCCGAGGCCGCACCTGCGCCCCCTCCCGCGGTAGAGAGCCACCACGAAGCCGAAGTCGTCGAACCCGAGCCAGAGCCGGAACGCGAAGTACCTCCTACTCCCCAAACTACCGCCAAATCTCCTCCCGGGCCTGCTACTGCTCTTGCCGGAATTCTACAGAGTCAACAACCACCAGCTCCATCGACCCAGTCTAGGCCGATCCCAGCCCTGCCTGCTCGGGAATCCCCAACCGTTACGCAAACGTTGACGCCGCCTAACTATGACCATGAGGAAGAAGCTCCTCCTCCCAGCCTCCCACGCCGTCCGCTATCAGAGCAGGAAGATCCACGAGAAAGTCTACCTTCTCTAAGAGACCATCGACCCCCTCCCTCTCCCTCCCCGAGAGGCCACCTACCTTCCCCAGACGATTTTTCCAGAGGGCCAACTCGCGTCCGTTCTCCCCATGACTCCTTCAAGGGAGAGTCAGGTGGCGTCCAGCCCTCCCCTCCATATAGCAGATTGGCCTTGCGAGATGAGGCCTATCCCCGACATTCAGCGACGTCACCGTCTGGATACCATTTATATAACATTAGTGAAATGATTTCGATTATGGGGAAGAGGAAGAAGATGCCAACAACACTCGGAATCAATGTTGCGACAGGAACTATATTTATATCCCCAGAGAAGTCAGAGGATGGCCCTCACCAAGAATGGACGGCGGACAGGTTAAAACATTATTCCATTGAGGGGAAGCATGTGTTCGTTGATCTTGTACGGCCCAGTAAGAATGTCGATTTCCATGCCGGAGCCAAGGATACGGCGCAAGAGATAGTGGCTGCGCTTGGGGAAATCTCTGGTGGATACAGAGCCGAAGGGTTGAGAGAGGTTATTGCAGCCGGCACAAGTGGTGCCAAGAAGAAAGGCATAATTCTATACGACTTCATGGCTCAGGGAGATGATGAGGTCACTGTGGGAGTTGACGATGAAGTTATCATTCTCGATGATTCGAGATCCGAGGAGTGGTGGATGGTCCGGCGACTGAAGAACGGAAGAGAGGGCGTCGTCCCCAGCAGTTACATCGAAATTACTGGGGTGGTGGACTCTAGCACTTCAGGCGTAAATGCCGGCTTATCATCTGTTGAACAGAACAGACTTGAGGAGGCACGTCTAGCAAAACAGGCATCACGCTCAAGGAGACGGGACTCAGAAGGAACGGGGGTCATAGAGGTAGGCCCAGGCGTGAAATTACCGCATAGAAGCAGTAGTTTACTTGGAAGAAATGATGGTAACAATCGTTCACAGCGTCCAAAGCGTGAGAGTAAATCGCTAAAGCCAAGTAAGTTTAGTACGTCCCCTCATACTCTATACACAGTGACTAATTTTATACAGAACCGAATTCATTAAAAACGAGAAAATGGACCGACAGATCGGGTACCTTCACCGTTGTTGCCGAGTTCATCGGTCTAGCAGACGGCAAAATGCACCTTCACAAGCAAAACGGCGTGAAAATTGCAGTTCCCGTATCCAAGATGTCTATTGAGGATCTAGAATATGTCGAAAAGGTTACTGGTGAGTCTCTTGACGAAGATAAGCCTCTCTCTGATATTCGTCGCCGCAGCCAAATGGTGGGCGACCGAAAGGTAGTCGGGGCTTCTATAAAAAAGGAACCCGATTACGACTGGTTCGATTTCTTCTTAAGAGCTGGAGTTGGACCTCATCAGTGCGAACGTTACGCCAGCAATTTTGCCAAGGATTCTATGGATGAATCTGTTCTTCCAGATATCACGCCTGATGTGCTCCGCACACTAGGGTTGAAGGAAGGCGATATATTACGGGTGACTAAATATATTGATGAGAAATACAAGCGGAAGGCAAAGGGGGCTCGAAATGTCACTTTTGCAGATGGCGATGAAGAGCCTGCCAGTGGTGGCTTGTTTTCTGGCCCTGGTGGTGCCTTACGGAATAATACACGAAAGGGACGCCCTGCCCCAGCACTTCAGACCGCCGACGTTGTTGATCCAAAAGCATTTGAGCTCAAGGATAAGTCGGAGTCTGCTGAAGGCAAGGCTTCATCGCCAGGAAAGGAGAAGAGTGGCCCCGCAGGATTTGAGGATAACGCATGGGAAGTCAAGACCCCAAGCAAGCCAGCAGCTTCAAGCGCACCATCTTCTACGTCCACTGCTGCTCCAAGCCAGCCAGCGTTAACAGGTGCCATGGCCGACCTCTCTTTGCTTCAAACGCCCCTGGAACCCACGAAAACTGGCCCAGCCCCAGCGCCTAAGCCAGCCGAGCCCATCCTCTCTCAGCCACCAGCTCCTCAGACCCAGCAAGTAGCACAACCGCAACAACCGGGCGCGAACCCGCAGTTCTTCTCACAGCTTGGGCAGCCTCAGATGCAGACTCTCGCTCCACAAATGACAGGATATGTACAACAGCAGATGCCGCAATTGCAGCCTCAGCCTCCTACTACAGCAATGACCCAAGGATTCCTCACCCCTCCTCCACCACCTCGGCCACTCTCTGCTCCTAATAACCCTCCAGGGCCGAACGGCTTTGGAACACAACCTTTACAGCCACAGCTCACCGGTATCCCGTCAACAGCGCCACATATCGCACCACCAGGGCATAGTTTGGCGGAACTCAACCAGCAACGGTTCCAACAGCAGCAGCAACAGCTTGTACCACAGCCAACCGGGTTCCCTTCCCAGATTCCCGGAATGGGAAATCAATTTACCCCCCAGATGCCGCAACAGCAGTCCTTCTTAAATCCTTCCCAGCAATTCATGAGTGGCCAACAGCAGCAATTCCCGGCTTTGGCTCCCCAACCCACAGGCTACTCTCCATTCGGTCAGCAACAGCAACCGCCTATGCCAACCGGGTCTATCAACTCCGTCCTCCCTACTCCTTTACAACCTCAACGTACAGGCGCCAATGGCTTTGGAATCAACCCAAGTTTCACACCATCACCCCCACCAATTCCCCAACAGCCAACTGCTGCACCATTGCTACCTCAGAAAACTGGCCCAGCTCCTCCAGTACGTTTTGGTGTCCACAAAGATACAGCGAAGAAACTTATGCCCCAACCAACCGGAAAAGCAAATCTTTCTCAAGCAAGTAAGTTAATCCAAACTCCGGTGATATCTTATATATTTAAATTATTACCCTTAACTAACCATTACTTAGCGCCATCCAATCCATTTGGATTTTAATCTACTTACGAATGACTCCACAAAGAATAACGATATAATTGCTCATCCTTATCTCTCATACGCCTCCACCCCCTAATAAAGATCATCCTCTCCGGTTTAGCAATAGCCCATTCTTATAATTTTCGCTTACAAAACGAGAGTTGTTCATATGCACGTTGGATCCATATCGACGCTTAAATTCATTACTTTTCATTTGTCTCCGAGCCTTTTTTTTCTCCATTCCATTGGGAATTTTCCATACCCGCCAGTGAATTGACCTTTCTTGTGTCGATAGTTTGCTTAGGTTTGATCTTTTTCTTCCTGTCTCTTGGCCTTTTGCGCATGGTATGACCCAGCGTAATCATACCAGCTAGGATAATCACGTATAGACAGCATTTCTCCATACCAACTTTTCTTTTGTTTATTCTTGAACGATAATTGCTTGACGGGCCACTTCTTACATATCCTTCCTACATCCACCTGCCCTTTCGATTTTATCAGTTGTACTTTTCAAATCTATTACCCTGCCGATTTATCTTGGAGTATTTTTTTATCCTTCGTTTCCATTATTAACATCTGTATTCATTTCTCCTCTGTCCGTCCCCATGGACTTCCTCTGGGAAATCCTACAACTAAGAGCTCCTCAAGTAGTCCACTATATACACTCCTCCCTTCTCCATGAGCCCGCGCCCTTTTTCTTAACATCATGCCTTGAATACCCAGTAGCATCGTTGTTTAAGATTTCATCGTTACTCCTTCCATTCCCGTCCATATAACAATAGTTTGCCTGGCTGTATCAAGACGTTTGTTGTACAGTGGGTTGAAACATAATCTCATTGATATTAAGGGGCATATAAAGTCATAAAAGCATAGAAATTATCTGGCCAAGCCATAAAACACCAACAAAAAGGCACCCCAATAAGAAACACTCCTAAACGACCTGGCCAATGAAACTGTGAAAAGAAAAGATCGAGAAGTTGTAAATAGAATAGTAGGAGAAAACAAAGAGGACAGAACATGACCGATTTACATCAGTTGGAAGACAAGGCCCGAAGCCAGTTCTCCCGTCTTGTTGAGAAGGTCACGGAAAGTGGCCGGTGTATCGCCTAGCTCTACATGGTGGCCTTCAGGTCGGTAAGTCGCCAGCTGTCTCACTTTGCATGCAACATAATGAGTGGTAAGCTTGCGAAGTCGATTCTCCCTTTCAATTGGCATCTCTAGGCTTGGATCGAGGGAAGGGAATCTTGGATCAGTGCGTTTGGTGTTCTTAAACGTATAGTGCAGCAATTCTAGTACGAATGGGACGGTGCTGTTGTCCCCATGACCGGATGCATTCGTAGTTCGTAGAGGGAATGAGACTAAGTCCCGATGAAGCTTTGTTAGGGCGAGCTGAGCAAGGGTTGGAACGAGGTAACGAGACGCGAAGACGTATATCTTTGCATGGTATAGAATATAGGGAGCCTCAACGCGAGACGCTTTATCGTCCATTGTTGGTGGAAAGCTTGATGGGCTAGGTCGGCGTTCATACTGTGGATACTGAATGGCGGTGAATTCGTCCCAAAGCGTGGTACCAGCAGGCCGGGCTGATGGAAGAGGGAAAAAGGGATCTCCTTTTACTGAGCCTTCAGATTTTGGCGCCTCGACCAAAGCAGCGTCCTGAGGAGGTTTGAAGTCAAACCAATCACCGGCGTTTGCATTCTCTTCCAAATGCTCGACTGGCCTTTCCTCGGGTTGTAGTGGTGCCTCTGGTACGACCATCTCAGTGTGTATTTCTTCGACGGCCGCAGGTTTGCTTTCATCCTTGCTTTCAGCTGGTGGGGGAGTTTTGGGAGGAGTTAGTGTGCTCGCAGCAGGACGCTCCTCAACTGCCTTTTTCTTCCCCTTTTTATCTTTCTTGCCCTTTTTGCCCTTCTTCCCTGAATCCGTAGCACCCTTCAACTCGACCTCTTCTGCTTCTTGCGGCAGAAGCAGAGGATCCTCCTTCACAACTACAGGTTGTACGGGCTCTTCCTTGGGAAGATCGTCTTCATCATCCCAGACGGCACAGGAATCCTCTGGTCGTGGCCCTCTTGGTGAAGACGGAGGCGAGGGCGCTGGAGGCGGGATGTGAGCAAGCGCCATTGGAGAGCTGGGTTCTCCATATACCGAGCCATCTGCTTGCTCAGGCCTAGTCGCGCGACTAGGAACCGTGTAATCCCCTGTATACGCAAACTCACAGAAACCGGTAAAGGTCTCAACGTCTTCCTCCTCCAAAACTGCGATGCGATGTCTGGATTCGCGAGTATGGCCATTGTTCATCAAACCATCGAGCCGTGGAGAGACATGTTTCGCGAGGCCAGATTGGATTGTGAGTTTCGAGTGGCCAGGTCCAATGAGGAATGTAAACTGTGGAGAGTTGATGATACTGTTTTTCCAAAAGAAGGCCAGGGCTGGTCAGCGGATTGTTCCATTTCGTGATCTCTTCCAGTATACAGCGTATAGAGGCAGAGTATATTCTTCAGTGACGGTATGAAATGTTGCCGTTAATGCAGTTTCCGATGGCGCCACATAGATTGCTATGGATGGGCTTCACCGTCCACTGTAATTAAAGCGTACCTTCTGTAATCCGGGCCCGGAACTGAGGCCATTCGCGCAGATGGCTATAGAGAGCGCAAAACTCTCTAGCTCAATAATCAAAATCCAAACTGAGGAAATCACTTGTCAGGGTATTATCGCACAATAAAAAAAATTCGGCGCGAAAAAATATCAGACGATAAATCCTGCGAAAAGAAAAGAAATCATGCAGCAGCGGCTCCCCCTTCTTATATGCAAGCACAAAGTTCGAGTCATAGCCCGGGCCGGCGCGGTTTTGAATACCGCAAGGTAAGAAGCATGTAGTACAGCGTGCTGACGTTACTTTGCACCTGCATGAATGGTTTCCTGCCGCCTAGCCTACGTGTAACTATTACACGGGGGTTAGCGATGCAGAGATCCCATCTCGAACCTGGCCCTTCGCTGCAGATGCGAGGTTTAGGCCGGCAGGGCCTCCCGCAAAATCCACAGTAATGCGAACCTGGCCCCCTTCTTGCAGCAAAAAGGACATGCAAGGCCGGCGATGGACAGAGTTGCGGTGTCAATCCACTAGCAGATGAGTGCCCAATGGCCGCGCTATTGCTGCAGCCATACCTTGCCGTATCTTGGCCAACCCGAGGGTATGAAGGTCTGAAACGCTGGCGGGCGAGAAGTTGAGCCAACACTAAACGATGCGTTAGCTAAAGTCCTTCTTTTGATGGTCATGTTGGATAACTGGGGGAGAAAGGGGGAGAATTGGGTATAGATACTGGAGGGTTGACGAGCGTGTATATCGTTGGCAGATGAGTTGGAGGGCCAGAACAGCTTGAAACCATAATCACGCCGGGAATCGTCGCCTGTTTCACTGGTTTTATTGACTTTGCCGTACTTTGTTCCTTGCAAGCTGTTGTCGCGTCGAAGTTGGCGAGAGGTGAAGTTGTTAAGTTATATCCACAACTCCAGGCGTTGATGAACTGCCGCCCATAACGTCATACTCATGATATTGATAGAACGCACAGGAGGAAGAGAACTCGGGATTTGACGTTTGTATGGAGTACATATTTCTAATCTATGCATACATCCTAGCCAAAATACATATTTACAAATTTTCTTACACATACATATACCGTATACCGTTCAAGGTGCGCGTATAGCCCATCAGTGCTCGAGCCTGATACTCTTATTGCCTGGCTCCCATTCCCTCAAACCATCTCGAATCGTGTACCAGAATTTTAGCTTTGAGCACAGCTTCGTAGCACTGTCTATATCGCCGGTCTCAAACGCATCTCCCATTTCACTGACTGTCTGCGCAATCCTCTCCTCGTTTTCCATCTTCAGTTCAGAGATGACACTCTCATCTTCCGCCTCCTCAACCGCCTCCTGTACATCCATCACCTGCATAAGCGTTTCCGGGCTTTGCGGGTGTTTATTTGCGCCGTCTTCAGCCGTAACGTCAATATCGTATTGGGATGCAAGCAGGTATTGAGCGCGGGATAGTGGATCGCCCAACGCACGGTAGGCTTCATTGATTCTGGACGAAAGAGCTTCTGCCCTTTGTTTGGATGGGCCTTCGGGGTATTTGTCGGGATGCGCGAGGCCTTGGAGGGAAAGGAACTCGCGTCGAAGGTCTCGTAAGGAAATGTCAAATGGACCCGTTGGCGGAGGTCCTTTGGGTAGAGTCTTGGGGAATATGGTATAGTGAGTTGTGATGTCGGGGGCTTTCCTCGTAGAGAACGGTGACAGATGCTCTGACGGGGAGATCGTCGATTGTGGTGCCGCCTCAGGTGATTGAGGCGAGGTACTTGGAAGCGAGTTTCGGAATGGAAGGGAGCTCGAGGTGCCAAATTGGCGAGATGACGCGTATGGAGTCCGTTCATATGATCGACTCTGGCAGAAAAGACATGGCTTCCCGCTGTTTTGCGCGGTTCGTTTGATGATTTGATTGAAGGCTGCTGGTCGCTGGGAGGAAGATTGCCCGATATGCCGGGAGGCGGCGGCAGCAGAGGGGATAGACTTGCGCATGGTTTATCAAAGGCCAATGTCTGTATATTAAAGAGCGTATCCGATATCAGGCTTCCCACCTAACGTCTTGTCTGTATTCGTGGATGGTTGTGTTTTTTTCCCTGCGTCTTTGGGGATTTTGAACTTGTTTATCAGATGGAGAAATTTGGGAATCTGGCATCTGATAAGATAAGATAGATTTGTCATCATATTAGTTATGTTACGTAACCACGGTATCAAAAAGGGAAAGTTGAACCTCCGTTGACAAAACAACCAACTCTTGCAAGATATTTGATGATACTCACCCAGTACGCAGGGAAGGTCTGAGTCTATAGGCTATTCTGCTACCTATAGGCACTATACTACGGAGTTCTCCCGAGGCAGATTCTAACTGGGGAGATATAATAGTGCACCAGCGTGAAAGTGAACTGAGCTTCGAGATGCAGAATGGGAAAACACTTCCTTTCGGGTCGATGTCTTCCCAGAGCCCTTTATATAATATTAACGTCGGATAGATAACCAATTTCAGACTGTGCAGCTACATACTCACAAATTCACAAGGTCCTATAGCGGGACATGAAGAATCTAGGCTGCCAGGTTTCTGTGCATCCCGCAACCCAAGGCTCCGCCTTCGTCATGAAGTTTTTAATTTCCGAGGATGACCATATAAATATGGCTATCATCACTTCCGGCTTTGCCCTCATCCGCGCCAACCGCCATGTTGCACAGCATTTTGTGTCACAGCTTCTGCAAGGGGTCAACGGTGGCTTCTAGCTCTACGGACTTTGCTCTTCTCAGATGTTAGAGCATCTACTCCAACCCTTTCCCAAGAATGGATTCGCTATCCAAGAATATATTCATGCAGTACTCGCTTTTCTCATGGTACCAGCGCATTAGGATGGGCTGTTTCTCAGCGAAGACGAGCTTGGCCTCGCAAAATAGGGTAGAGACAGCTATATGGCATGGCAGGTCGAACATACCGTTTCGGAGACGGCTGGCTGTGTAGCTGGGAGTCATAACAATATATTTCTACCAATATATTCAGTTTCTATGTACCCGATCTATACCAGCTCATTTATTATCCCGATCAGATGGACTTATAATGAAATGCGTTAATATAGAATAGAGGCTCACCAAACACTTGCAGAGAGTGTTGCAGCACCCAGTGCCTCACTCTAGCATTGCCACTGCCTACAAAGGCGCCTGATCCTGGGTATTATTAGCCAGCTTTGGATGATTTTGGCTATTATTGGAGGTGGGCTGAATTCAAGCCTATTAACAGGTCTATACGAAGGTGCATACGGAGTACCTGCGTATTATTTAGTATGCACCACGTAAAATCAAAAGGAACGGGCTGACGATAGTGGCGTACTCAAAACTTAGATACAGACTATTAATCAGATCTACGTAGGAGTGCATGCCAATACCATGAGGAAGCGTAGAGATAAACACCTTTTATTCCATCCCCTTCTTTCGCCAGCTAAATCTAACAGAAAGTTGCGTCAATCAGTATAAATATCAAGGCAGTATCCTAATCTATTTTTAACCCCTAGCCTATGCTGATGTAATGCGAGCGTGGAAGCGGGAAATCCAACCTCACTCCAAAGTCGATGACCACCACACATGTCGCCTAGTTACAGCCGGCTTACAGGGCGCAAACTCCTCTCTTCGTGTTATAACCTTGTCTAGGGGGTTGCGGCCATCTGTCAACATCATGCAGTGCGGCGCAGCGCCAAAGAGCTCGGCAAAACCACCAACTGCCGATGACTTCGCTGACAGGGACTTCTCACTGAGTAGTCCTGTATGTGGTGCCCCGGATCACTGGTACTCAGGAGGACCGGACTCCGAGAAAGCCGAGAAAGGGTGGTACTTCCTCTACGGAAAGCTGATGGACCTGTCAAAGCTTGCCGAGTACTTGGATATCGAACGGCCACGCGAGTTGAAGGCGCAGGCAGCGTCGGTTGATGGGTATAAACTGGTGGAATACGGCTCGTCCCTAGAGTTAATCCATGAAAACGATGGATCAACTGCCCGCGGAATGGCAGTTTGGATTGAATCTAGCATTCAAGCTCGAAACCTACAGAGCTATGCCACAGACGCTTTCACGCTTCGGTCTTGCACTATCATTCTCGACGAACACGATGAGAGAACAACGGTATCCGTACCTGGCCACACGTTCGTCCCTGAGGGTAAGCAGGATGGGCCAAGGCTCAAGCCACCTGTTTCAACATGAACTTTTTCCATATTGCAGATATCATCTTGGGTTACGGAGTACTAATCTTGAAACACTTTGTATTACGCCTGGCCGTGGCCATTGTTTTATATATTTCCTCCGTGACGTAAGCGTTTTTTTCTTGCACGATTTCAAGGAGACTGTTTATTTTATTGGTCGACATTCTTTATTATGAGATTGGTGGATATCAGCCTGCATTACACCAACATTTTATCAAGAACTACGAAGATATTGCTATTGGTTTGCAAAGACGTTACGTTGGCTGCGTATCCTATATTGGAACGAAGCCGTCCATAGCCAGTCCGCATATAAAGCACTTCGAGCTGAAGGATTCTTGCGTCGACTTGGGGCTGTGCAGAGGGCGAAAAGGAAAATCAGCCATCCAGTGCGCTGTAATCGGCTTACCGTACATATGCTAGGCCCAAACGACCCCACATCCAACCAGCTGTCTCAGGCCTACCAGGTTAGGATTCATATTTAACAGCTTGGAATCAAGCTTCACCTCGACATGATGGAGTTTCATCGTGGCGGTATATAGGTAGCATGCCGAGAAGGTCACTGTTATATCAACTTTCTGTCGTCTATACTCCAATATACCGCACATACGGGCGGCATTCTCGGCATCTGACAAACCTCCGACTTCCAGTGACTTAATGGCTGCTTCGTTCGAGTTACGAGCTCGCAAATCCATATCTGCTTTCGAAAAAGCGAGCCTAGCGAAGCTAGCGTGGCTAAGGAAGAGCCATCACGGAGTGATACAACAGGATACCCAACCACTGTACGAGCTACTCTCCATCTACATCCTAAGTCGCTTTGGACCGGAGGGAAAGTTAGAATATATATTCTGACCGCCATTATAGAAATAGAGGCAAAGCCTTTTCATGCTGGGACGATCTACCCGCTGAACTCATAGTCAACATATTCGGCCTTTGCCGCCTTCAGGATCTAGGAAGCCTGCTTCTAGTTTCTCGAAAATTTTGGTATCTTCTACAGATCCACGAAGTGGCCATTACCAGAGAGTACCTGCGCATTCGGCGGCATGGAACTTTACCGTCACGACACCACAAGCCGAGCCGTTATACACGAGCACCTGAAGATGACGTGATACTGCTTTCCGATCTATTTCCACCCTTTACAGAGGACTCAAATAGTCGAGAGCATTTCACGTTTCGATATCTCGCGGATTTACGACGAAGGCAGGAAGTGTGTTCGAAATTATCATACTATCTTGCAGACCATGTTCTGGATAGATTCATGGAGGAGAACCCATCCTGGGTGAAATCCGTGTCCAGTCTCCCGAAGCAAACCCAACAAAAGATCATGGAGCGTGGTAGTGCGCTTCTACAGTCAAAACTTACTCCTCTAATGTAGGTCAACTTTATATTTCCTGGATTCCATGACTCCAGAGCGCATGAGCAGGGCTTTGTCATCCAGATACCTAACCCGTCAATAGGTTTTACACGATGTTCTTTCTCCAAAACTACGACAAGGCGCGCTTTGAGCTCCAGGAATCTCTATATGAAGCATACAAGGCTGGAAAACTTCCCGTCCCTGTCCAACCTCGCGATCGCTCAATAATGTACCGCGGGCTTCAAACCAAGATCCTCCAAGTTTACCCTTTCCTCGACTCTCAAGCGCTAATATCCGTTCACCATTGTATACGGTTACTAATTTTCTCACTCCATCGGGTTCTTGTGGCAGAGACCCCTGTCAGGACATCCTGTGAGAAATTTATCATTATGCTCCTTTCTACCTCGGGGCTGGAACGTGTTACGGAATTCTTTGCCGCTGAGAAAGGAGGAAGTAATCAGCGTGCGATGCGGAGGGAGTTCATGCGCAAAACCCAGTTGGATTGGGACATGTATAGGAATGACCCTAAAGCGTTGAAGGTGTTTGATGCGCTTAGCGGTGATTGTCACTATCCGCCGTTGATGACTGAGATATGGATTGGGCCAGCGATAGAGGAGATTTCAAGGAGACAAATGCTCATACAGCACCCGAATGAGGATTATGTGACACTGTGGAACAATGCACATATTAGCCTTGGCTGCAGTTACTGTGCTAGAACTAATGCTAAAATCAAATGGCAGGCCTGATACGAACAATTCTTCGGCGGGATAGCAAGTTGGATATGTCGCCGGTCGGTCCATTACCCGTCAATCAACCATCCAGTGTGTCCGCACACCCATGAGCTTTTGTTATTTTATGATCTACTGCGATACACATGTTCGACACATTTACGTATTACTACAGCGATCAGTTCCCAGAATACTCAGTCACGAAACCTATGTTAGTATAATTTGAAAACATCAATACTGCAATGAATACCGTTAGAGCTATGTCTCAAGGATTTTGTGCGTTCCTATCGACTCCAAGGGTATCACAGTCTCGTTTGATGGTTGCTTTGTACTCCTCGATATCGAGGGATAGTGAAACCAGCGGGTAAGTCTGTAGAGTTGAAATTGTTAACGGCTTTCCCCCTAATTTTAAGAGCGTGGAGATAGAGTTGGCGGGACGGGCCGTGGTTAGGCGCGTGTATAATGGCTGATCCACAGCCAGTGAGCTCTCCTTTCTTTGGTCTCTACCACGAGGCCTTACAATTTATTAGTAGATAGAGTAAAATTGCGCCTAACGAGTACATTTGAAGCTAGAGTAAGTTTAAGATGAACGTTAGTTTTTTTAACATATGAAGGAAGCGTTCGTATACGATAGGGGGGTATATCAGCTTGTGATAGGGGCATCCGTATCTCTGCCTGTCTTAGTATACAGCTGCCAGTCAGATACTTGCACGCCATATAAACTTACTCTATATATTGATCAATTTCTAGCCCGATCCTATAAAGCAGGTCTCTGAACTATTTCGCTATGAACTGTCTAGAGTCATAGGGTTGTAGGCTTTTATATTTCATGATATCATATCCTAATGCATAGACTATTTTAATTAGCACCATGCCTAGAGCCCAGATTATTAGACAAATGATGGAGCATAGGGGTTGCTGGGTTAGACCCGCTGTATTTCCACGTTTCATTAGCTATTATGGGACCAGACGTGTACCCCATCAAAGTGACGTTCACCACTGATTTAATGTGTGGTACGATTGTCAACCTGGTAAGTTCAAGACACCCAGTTTCTGTTTTCTGTGACGGAGGAGGTAGATATGTCATGGCATCCCCCTGAATTTAGGCGTGTCGTCCACACCCCATTCGGGGAGAAAAAAAAGGGACTTCTTGAAGGACCTAATATTGACTGACTTCCTAGGGGTAGATTATTCAATGCCCCATAGTTTGACTGTGCGATCATGTCCACAACTAGCAATCCATTTTGCGTCACTGCTGATATCTGTACTCAGGACATTTCCCGAATGACCCTGAAGCGATTTCACCAGCGACCAGTCATCTGCACTGAATATATTGACGTTCTTGTCAAACCCGCTGCTAACGAAAAATGTTCCAGATTTTTTAGGTTGAGGAGGCTGAGTTGGCTGGTCCGTTGTCGAAGTAGGCGTTACATCCATCATATCTCCGTTTTGCTCTTGTGTGGAAGTTGTGGGTAAATGAGAAGTAGAATCACTGCCCTTGTACCATCTTAAATCCGACACAACGCTTTTATGTGCTCCCACTCCTCCAGTTCCACGAACCTGCCGGAGATCCCAGCACTTCACCCAGCCATCTGCTGACCCGGATAGAATACGGTGCCCGTCCACCCCCCAATCTAGCGCATATATCTCGCGAATATGGCCTTCTAGAATCATAACTGTTCGGCCAGTGCGAAGATCCCAAATTCGCCCAATACTGTCGAGTCCAGCACTTGCTAAGAGTGAACCGTCGAGGTTGAATGCAAGCGCATAAACGCCGCGTGAATGACCTTCTTGTAAAAGTAGCTCTTGGTTGGTGCGCACATCCCATAGTCGCCAGGTGGTGTCGGAAGATGCGGACGCAAGATATTTCCCGGACGGATGAAACTCAACGCGGCAAACTCGGTCAGAGTGGCCGGAGAGTGTTCCAATAGGCGTATCCTTATCAAGAGACCAAAGTTTGATATTCCCCTCTGCTCCTCCAGTAGCGAGGTTCAAGGAGGATTCTGAAACATTTGACGTAGGTAAAGTAGCTCCGGGAAACCACGAAAGCCCACCAATTCGATCTGTATGACCACGTAAATTGGCCTTTTCCTCCAAGTTTGGTACCGTTAGAAGCTTGACGCCTCCGCTCCAGTTCCCCGCAGCCAGTATTTCACCGTTTGGAGAAAACCTGGTAATGCTCACAGGCCGATCTCCGGCAATTTGAGACCCGTATAGTTCAAAGTTTGCTAATTTTTCTTTTATCGCTTTCCTGTGCTTGACGTGTGTTCTGAGAGGTATGGTAGATTCAGCCTTCTGCAGCTCAACTCTCGCTTTTGCCCTCGGTATTGAGAACCTGGCAATATCTCTCCGTGCCTCGAGTAGACCCTGCGAGCCTTCTGTGTAAAATTCCTCCTCTTGTTCTTGTTCTTCTTCCCCCTCTTCCGCACCTCCCATGCCCACATCTTGTGCGCCCTGCTCACTTGCGCCAGCAGCTAGCTGCTCTTCTAGGTCCGCTAATACCTCCCTTAACCTGTCACGTCGGTCCGTAGAGTCTTCACCAAAGAGCGTAATCGGATGACCCAACTCCCGCAATCGTGCCTTTACCCGGCCATCGTCTGTAGGTACCGCAATAGCAGCTGCTCGTCGCTTTCGTTCGAACTGAGATAATATGGCAGAGGCTTTCTCCGGAGCTATACCTGCAGCAGCCGATGGCAACTCGTAGTCATTGTCCACGGCTATAGAAAGAGTCTGTCAGAATGCGCGCTGGAATTGAGGCACGGAGGATAGAAACTCACGGATATTGGCAAGGTCTACTCCCATGTCCGTATCCTATTTCAAGTAAAGATCGTGAATTAGCCTCACTGGTTTGATCCTGAATAAAATATCCCCGTCCTGCAGACGCGGCATGGGATAACTCGACTTACCTCCTGTGCATCCTCCACATAGGCACGCCGCGCGGGATGCATGATTCCCCGAACTGAGAGCCAGAAACTGAAGCTATCCGGAGTATATCTGGCAAGCTGATGGCGGCGCAAATCGTCTGACGGCGAAGGTGGCAGAGGACGAAGCCGAGCTGAGCTTTCTGTAGGGATGGCCCGGAATGCTTGGCTTGAGCAAAGGCTGTTTATTATTTCTCCTTCGGCTTCTCAAACAATATATCCACGACGCAACACCAACGGCCAACTGGGATCCCTTGAGACGACTGATAGCGTTCAGGAAGACCGGAGTTTGGAATCGTCCATTGAAGCTAAGCTCTTAGAGCAGGGAAATTGCTAAACATTTGTCCAAACAGGAATCGCGGACATCCAATGCCTGTCGCGCGCATCTGAACTATTGACAACAACCACGCTGTGCAAATGCTCAGGGGCGAATCTGTCTACTGGAAGGCCGCGGATTGGGAGGACAAGGGACACGCAGCGACTTATATCTGATGGCGGTGGTGACAGCCGCTTCCAGAGCTTCCAGCTTCGCTCAGGTTCAACGCTGCGGCATCTACGATTTCTTGCCTCGAACCCCCCGAGCTTTCGTTTTGTCGCAGAGGACACGGTACAATGGGGATAAGAGAGGGTTTCACAGTGGGAGGCCACTGGCGTCGGAGCCCAAGATGTCCTTTCGAATAGCGGTATCGTCTTCTGGAAAGGGGCGAAGATTTAGTCCGGACAAGAATTTCTACAACTTCCATCCACAGGTCCACGATGCGCTGGGAATACAGACAAGCAAGAACTTTTTTGATAGGAAAGCACACAGGCCTGATAGTGGAGAGGATGCCTTCTTCATTAGCAAGATTGGCTATGACGATAATGCCTTTGCATTTGGAGTGGCGGACGGAGTTGGAGGATGGAGTGAATCGGGGATTGATCCCGCGGATTTCTCACACGCGTTCTGTGGACATATGGCCGAAGCATCTTTGAATTGGGATTCCTCTCCTGAGAGCTTACGAGCTATGAGCCTTATGCAGCTAGGCTATGAGAAGACGCTGTCAGATAAAGCAGTCTTTGCTGGAAGCAGCACCGCATGCGTTGGAGTAACTCGGAGTGATGGCTCAGTGCAGCTTGCTAAGTACGTATTTCATTCCTTATGAAATTACCGTTGGCCGTTTAGCTAATAAATCTTGACTAGTCTCGGCGACTCTGGGTCACTTCTCTTCCGCCTGGCCGCGGTTCACCACTACTCTGCTCCTCAAACCCATGATTTCAATACGCCATACCAACTCGCAGCCGTGCCCGAGCTAATTCGGAGGCAGTCCTCCCTATTCGGTGGAAGGCAATTCGAAGACCTGCCCCAAGATGCTGCAATTACAAATTGCTCGCTACAGCATGGGGATGTCCTGGTCCTGGCCACGGATGGCGTGTTTGATAACCTGAACAACCAAGAGGTTCTTAAACTGGTGACTACACGGATGATGGGCTCCGGTGCCTGGACAGGGACTTCAGACATGGGAATCTCAGCAACAGACAACCTAGATCCTCTCACCAAACCGGGCGGCCTTTCGTTTGGTAGTAAGCGAACCAAACCTCAAAGGGCCGTTGCTGGCTCGGAAGAGACTGATCTTCAGGGGAAAGGCCACACTTTGCAGGCACTTTTAGCCGTTACCATAGCTGGAGAGGCTAAAATTGCAAGCATGGACTTTCGACGTGATGGCCCGTTCGCCAAAGAATACCAGAGACATCGCCCCTGGGATCATTACAGAGGAGGCAAGCCAGACGATATCACTGTTGTCGTTCTAGTGGCTGTTGAAGAAGGCCGGTCTACGTCAGCTTCGTCGTGAGAATACTACACCTCGATATCCCATTTTCTTTACCGCGTTTCCTTCAATCATATATTCACCCTACCTTACCTTCATCTTTCTTTTTCAGAGCTGTGTTGGACTATTATATCCCTTTGATTCCCCTTTGCCTCCCTTAGATTATTGACTATATTTGCATGTTATGGGGCATCCTTTCCATCGTCTTCACTGTGTGAAGTTACCTACCGCGTGTTTATGTTTTTTCTTTATTACTTGGGCGGTGCGCTAAGCTTCGGGGACAGCATTATGTACAAAATATTATAATAGGCGCTTCGATCTCAAATAGAGACTTTTACGAGAGCTTTTTGGACGCAATACCAATCGTCTGGATATATCCGTGAGTTCTCAAGCACATACCCTTAAGTTTCCAAAACGGCCCTTTATCGGCACCCAAGTATCAATATACCCAAAGATTCTCGACGTTAATAATATTTTCATAAAAAATAATGATATGCTTATAGATATTTGCCCAAGAATACCAAAATGACCTAGCTGTTCGGCACTCCGACGTTCGAAGAGCAGCTTTCCAAAAAAACCTACCATGGCCCTTCAACAGACTCAATCTTCTGGCCTGTACGAGACAATTTTCCCCCAAGTGTCAGCAGTGCCCCATATTCCCCTTCTTAGGCAACTCAATTGCACGATTTGTGAATGGTCAACAAAAAGGTTGACATCAATGCCAAACTCGCGAATATACCAATTGAAAACTTTGGGGTCAGCAGCTAAGGGGTTCATTTAGTATATAACGATGGAGCATAAAAGGAGGTGAGCTGGATCTAACCTTCGAACATGACTTGTTCTTGAGGCAAGCCTTTCATGATCTGCGAAACGACGTCTGTTTTCCAGTCCGTGACGTTTTCAGTGATCCCTTCACTCTCGATCATGAGGCGTTCGACGCCGGCGTCGAGGAATCTCTTCCCCAGGTTTATCAGCTTGCCGGGATCGCTTGTGCCAATCTCTTCGAGATCCTTAGTCTCGGTGTCTATGCGAGGATGTTAGAGTTGGTTTTTTATTTGCACCAGCCTATGCATAATATGGCTGGGAAACAGGTATTTACCTCCTCCAGCGCCAAATTGGATCCCCAGCTCTGGTTTCGGTTTCAAACCGTATGACTGGACTCTTTCCACCAGTCGTAGCCAGTCGTCTTCGGGAATGGAGAGAAAGCCGGCAGACAATTCAACAACGTCGAACCTGCGATTTCGTCAGATCAGTTTACATCTAGGAAATAAAATCAAGTCGGTTCAACCATACCCAAGATCTTTGCACTTCCTAAAGTATCTGTCCAGGACCGATGCATTATCAGGATGCGTAAGGAGATGCTCCGCCCATCCACCCTATTTGAACGAATTAATAAGTCCTACCTCACTTTGTTGGTGAAGGACATACCGTGGAGACATAGGCACCGTTCTCATGGGCGATATCAATCAGTTCTTTCAATTTGGCTTCGTGGAAAAGCGAGAATGAGCCTATATAGCGATGTCAGCTCTGATTATATTAAAGAGATATCGACTTACCTCCAGAGAATTTCAGTCCATCGATATAGTCACCCATCCTACACTCATGTCAGAATCAATATCTAGATATATTAGAACGGTCCTGTCCTTACGTCTCAAAAATATCAGAGAGATATCTCTTCCCCATCACCTAGATCAATCGTTAATACTATACTTCACATGGACATCTTCACTCCTGCTCTCGTACCGCATAATATGGCCCTCGAATCTCCGTCACACCCCGTTTCCTCGGCTTTGGTGGAAGTGAGTTTGATTTTACAAATCCTAAGCCATGCTGTTTATCTAGGAGAAGCGCCTTGGGGCCATGTCCACTGGCGCCCTTTGAGAGGAGCGGCGAGGTAGAAATGGCTCTCTGCAGACCTGCTCGAGGTATTCCAGGAACTGAACATATAGATGTGCAGGGTATCGTATAAGGCTTGCTCAGTGTTTTGCGGAGTATGCCCGCCGGCCTCGTAGACAGCATCATGTCGGATATACCTCTTATTTGGACTGTGAATCTCGATATGAACACTGCTCGCTATACTATGTCAGTCAAACAACTATTAAATATCTGTTCTTGCCCTCAGGTTTTAATAAATGGTCGTCGTTGCTCGAGAATGATGTCAACATATGATGTCATGACAGTTGGATTTATATAATCCGGGGAATAAACAAACATAAAGCATCAGATATAACATAAGGTGTGTATAGATCAATATATCGTTGATTCTACTCCGTACTCAGTGTTTTATTCCTAGGTAGGATAGACTGATGTTTCTCTTATTCCACAAGTCAGTTTTCTATCTAAACTTGTTCTTATATGTCTCTATGGCTTGTAGTGATAAACTTATACTCACGATAGATCTTACTGTGAATGCACCTGGATAAGATGATACTTACATATATATCGACGCTTAGCTAGACACCTACTTATCTGTAATTATTGTAACTCATCTGTTAACATCTTCTCCTCATCTCTCTTCTCCCTTCTCTTCATCTTCTTCTCATCTTCTCATCTTCATCTTCATCATCTTGAAGTGTATATATAGTCTACTGCCACGGCCTATACCCGTCATCTTCTCTTAATGCCACCCCAATTTTAGCAGCGTTATCTTAATGCCACCACCTAACATCGACCTTTTTTCGCGTCTTCGACTTTTTCGTTTCTTCGTCTTTTTCGTCTTTCTTTTGATGCCAGAATCAAGACGCTGCTCACTCATCCTCCGTCCCTGAGCTATCGTTACTCTCGGCGTACGGAGCCTTGTCCTCGTCTATTCCCTTCTTCCGTGTGTACTTCGCGTTCGCAAAGTCGCCCGTCACCTTCTCCGGCTGAGATATCTACTGGAGCGCCGTCTCAGGCTGTTGCAGTTTACGCGCATCCGCTGCTACTTTATACCACTGGCCAAACTACAGCGAGCACTGCTTCTACCAGAGGCCCAAAATTACGCCTTCTTCATAAGAGGTTACATTCAGATACATTGCGCGATCTGAGCTGGTTGAACCGTCGTTACTCGCGCCGCTGTTTGATAGCCTGAGGGCACTCCGAGGGCACTCCAGCAGCTGCTACTAGCTATCTACCAGGAAGACCTCCCTCTATCTTCCCTCTCAACTCTCTCCAAGACGAGGATCGATCTCTTGCGCCTTTCTCTGCGCCCTCTGCGCCGCCAAGTGGACAGCCACCAGCAGGACAGGGGTTTCTACGGCGTCTACAGGTGTCTACAGGTGTCCGCGAGCAGCTGGTGAACATTCCTGCACCCTCCGAGGCAGAGTACGGGCGCTGCCAGCTGTGTCGACCGCATTTACGGCGATTTACCGGTCAGTCGGGCTGATATTCGTTGTTGTGTGCAGGTTCGTGGTCGTCGTCAACAACCCACGCGTTTTTCCTGTTTCACGCCATTTTTCGCGCACCCAAATCCATCCACTCCAGCCTGCGCAAAAAAAACCCAACCACAAAATTTCCTCGGCTACCCGACCATCCCATCACCATCGCTGCTAACCACCACGCTTCATCTGGCCGCCGTTCATTGACCTTCCCATCGACCGTCTGCCTACTACGCTGCCCGTCATGGCTGACGCCGGTAAGCCTTGCGCCTTGTTCCTACCTGCTGCTGATGAGGGAGCTAACTGTCTGTTGTTGTCGTTGCTCGCAGAACCCACCAAGACCGCCGACCCGTCGCGTCCTGAACACCAGGAAACCGAGCCCGTCATGAAGGAGACTGATCAGGCCAATGGTTACTATCTCCCCCCTACGTCTTCACCACTTGCTACCCCCTTTTTTCGGAACCCCAGAGCTAACAAGTCGCGACTTCAATACAAACAGACGCGGAACCCACCACCGAAGCACCCCAGAAGGCGCAGCCTGAGTCTACAGACGACGCCGAAGAGCAGAAGCCAGCAGAATCTACTGCTGACGCGGAGGCAGATGCCGCTGCAGACAAAGCTGATGGCGGGGAGGGTGGCGAGGCTGCTGGTACGACCGATCAACCTACCACCGAAACAGCTACCAACGGCACACCATCGACCGGCAAGAAGGCCGTCAATGGCAAACGCAAGTCGACAGGCGCCCCGGGACCGAAGAAGCTGAACAAGAAGAAGTCCATGAACCGCATATACCACCTGGACGTGCAGCCAGGAGAGACCTACCTTGCTCGGATGAAGAGTCACGCCCCGTGGCCTTCTATCGTTTGTGACGAAGAGATGCTCCCACCTAGCCTACTGTCGACGCGTCCCGTCACCACCAAGAAACCTGATGGCACATACTCCGAGGCGTACGCTGACGGTGGGAAGAAAGTGAATGACCGAACATTCCCGGTTATGTTCATGCACACAAACGAATTGTGAGTAACACTTTTCTGCGCTACCTTTATTCCCTGCCTTGAACGACAATTGGAAGTTTATGTGCAGCTTTCACTAACACTACGACTACACACAGTGCATGGATTCCCAACGCCGACCTCACCCCCCTAAAGCCAGAAGACTGCAAGGATGTTTCAGAGAAGAACAAGTCAAAGGCACTACTTGCTGCCTACAATGTTGCCGCCGAAGGCCACGATCTCGAACATTTCAAGACCATGCTCGCTGACCACGAGCGGGCTCTACAAGAAGACCTGGATGAAAAGGAAGCCAAGGCTGCCGCTAAGGCAGCAAAGCAGGAGAAGAAAAAGCGAAAGAGCATGGAAGTGGTCGATGAACCCGAAGACGAAGAAATGGAGGATGCAGGCGAGAAGAAAAAGAGCACCAAGAAGCGGAAGAAGGATCTGGAGAGCGAAGGAGAGCACGAAAAGGTAAGCATCATTTAGGGGATAATTGTTACTGTTGCGCAAGGGTAGCAACTTGTGAGGGGGAATGTGGTGCTAACGAATAATCACTGCAGCCTGCAAAGACGCCCAAGCCAGCCACGAAACTAAAACTGACCACGCCCAAGGCTCCTGGCACTGGTGAAAAAGGTGGTAAGAAAGCCGCCAGCACCGCCAAAGCTTCGAAGGGGAAGTCGAAGAAAGCCGCAAAGGCCGAGGCCAGCGATGAAGAGATAGAGACTCCCAAGGAGACTGAGAAGCCGGTCGATCCACAGGAGGCCAAGGCTAAGCGAGAGAAAGAGAGTATGTACATCTTTGGGGTTTTCTTTCCCGTTACTTATGCTAACGTCGGTTTTTAGTCCTATATCTTCGCTATAAACTGCAGAAGGGATTCCTTACACGTGACCAGGCCCCAGAGGAGACCGAGATGGAGCTCATGTCCACCTACATCAACAAGCTGGAAGCCTACTCTGATCTCGAAGTGAGCATCATACGAAGCACCAAGATCAACAAGGTGCTCAAGGCTATCATAAAGCTGCCCACCATCCCCAAGGAAGAAGAATATAACTTCCGAGGACGATCCATTCAGATTCTCTCCAGATGGAAACAGCTATTAGAATCAGATATGCCTTCGGCAGGCGAAGCATCCACCCCCGCGGACAAGCCAACGTCCAACGGCGTACACAAGAAGAACAAGTCCGAGAAGAAGGACGACAAGAAAGCCGAAGACGCCGACGAAGATGCCGCCGAGCCATCCAAGGACGGTGACATCTCTATGGCTGACGCTGACGACGAGAAGCCCGAAACCGAAAAGGAGAAAGAAGCCGAAGAAGAGGATAAAGAGGAAAAGGAGGCTGGTACTCCCGCAAAGGATGCTGATGCCATGGAAACATGAACTTGACACTACAGTTATGAAAACCATGTTCATATGTCCTGTCTAACCATGAGAATTGCATTTTATTACACTGCACTTGCTCACGACATAGGCACCCTGAGAACAGGCGTTTCCATATTTAAAAAAAGCCCGGTTAGTCCACAGTCAATGGATACTAACCAGCATCCAACCCGACTATGTGTGGGTGTTTGTCCCTATTTCTACAACCAAGCGAATAGGATGGTGGAAAACTGTATTTGCAACTTCTCTACCCCAACTTGTGTGATTTTACTCCTCTGTCTACCTCCTCTCCTACCTTTTTTTTTCTCATCCTTGTTAGGCTACGGGGTCAAATCAATGTGTTCTACCTTGTCTATTATTTGAGCTGTTTCCCTTTTCATTCCCCATGTTCTCTGGACTGACTGTGTATTATTGCGCTTTTGTGTGTACTCTGTTAATGCTATGGGCTTTTATTCCCTAACTATTCATACTGCCTTGCCCATTTTTGGCCTGTCTGTTTCCTTTTTTACCCTACCCATATACTAGGCAAACCCATACTCTATCACTGGAGTTGCATACTAATAAAACATACCTTCGTGTTACTCTACGGTGATTCCTGTCATTTCCCCCACTTCTCTTTATTTCTTCTGCTCTGGGTATGGATGGAGCTGTGTCAGCTGAGGATATTGGTAATGGTAATGGTGATCCTGGCCTTTGCTACTGTTAGCCATATCCCCTTTTTCCTATTGCAACTTGCACAAAACCCAAACAAAATTGTGAGTAAAGTATGTGGACTTATAGAGATAGTTGATAGGAATTTTATTTAATTTTAAGTTGATTTATAGAAGCGCCTTTGAGAGTTGTATAAATAATTGTTAGGTAGCAAGGACTGGGATATACATTTATTTACTACCTGGATGGAGAGTTTCTTTGTTTGACCACACACCACTTGGACTTGAACTTCAGTGCTAAAGACACGTTACCCCTTAACGTTTAACACAGCTCTAGATCCAATTTACACCTTTGTTGGCGAACCTAGGCCGTTATGAGTACTTAATTGGTAACCGATGCGAACCCAAGTTGATTGGACGCCACCAACGCTGGCTGATATGGCACCTCTGGATAAGATCTGTCCTACTCCCTTCTCTCATGATAGGGCAATAATGGATATTTAATAATGTCACCTCCTGGGCTTTTAGCGGAGCAGTCTCGAGAAGATGAGATACAGCTAGAAGAGTATGAATCGATTGTTTCCCCGAGTGTTTTGTATATGTACGTCTCAGCTGATCTTCAATGCAGGTACCCAGCAGAAGAAGTCAGGAGAACGAAGAAAGAAAATGAAGTAGAAAGTCATGATGACGCTTCAATATCTGACGAAGATGAAGCTGAGCAGGACAGATTACTTTCTCCCCATGACCAGGAAGGGGATGAGGAACAGTTTACCGGCATAGGTCTTTCAGCTGAATCAGCCCATGATAGCTACGCGAAGGATCCATTTAAGCCGTTCAGCACAGGAAACCCTCCAAACGGCGAGAAGGAGAGAATACTTACCTTTCGAGCACTGCTCGTGGGAGTTCTATGTGGAGCACTGGTGAACGCCTCGAATATATACCTAGGCCTCAGAGCTGGATGGACGGCATCAGCAAATATCTTCGGAGTGAGTCTGCTTATCCCTCATTGTTTCGATAGGGGACATTATTCTAATCTCAGATGCCAGTCAATTATCGGATTCGCAGTTCTCAGGTCATGGTCATCCCATTTTGGCCCGTTGTCTCTACTTGGCGGTTACTTCGGGCCACAGGAGAATAACATTGTTCAGACCGCTGCTACTGCTGCTGGCGGAATGGCGAGTGTTTTTGTCTCTGCCTTTCCAGCAATGTATCAGTTGAACCTGCTCGATACTCCCTGGAGAGATTTCCTACGCATGACCACCCTTACCGCTGCGGGAGGATATTTTGGGTTGTTTTTCGCGACTCCATGTATGAAACTTCTCCTTTATATCCAAATCCAAATGCGAGGAGGCGTTATAGGACGTACATACTGACGGGAATATAGTACGCAAGTTTTTTATATTTCAAGTTGCAAGGGAGCTCAACCTTGTGTTTCCGTCTTCTTCTGCAACGGCAATTACAATTTCAAGTATGCATCTTGCTGCTGGGGGATCTCAGTTAGCCCGTCGAAAGATGGTGGCTTTGGGCTTTGCGTTTGCCTTTGCGCTGGTGCTTAGGGTTATATCTCAATATGCTCCTGGAGTTTTATGGGTAAGGAAGCTTTACTCCTTATTGATACCCCCTACCGCGAGACGTGATAGCTAACCATAGAGCAATACTTTACAGGATTGGCATATTTTCACTTGGTTAGCGCTTTCGGGTATTTTGCCTTCGACGATGTTTGCAATTCAAAGCTGGGGTTGGTTTATAGAATGGACTCCGGCGTTTGTAGGGACGGGTATGCTAGTTGGCATGAACATTGCCTTATCTTTTGTTTTCGGGTCGGTGTTAGCATGGTAAGTTAATGGCAGTTCCTTTTATTTACTTCACCCTATTATTCTTGTGCGGTAGGGGGTCTAACTGTCACGTTTATATAGGGGTATTGTCGGGCCACTTATTACGAGCCATGGCCTTGCCTTTGGGGAACCAGCATCAAAAGATAGTAAATGGGATGGATTGATGTCCTATATCTCTTTTTCAAAAGAGTTCGCCAATGCAACGCATCCGAGTCCTAGGTACTGGCTTCTATGGCCAGGTGTTGCCTGTATGATAGCTGTTGGGTTTACAGGTAAGTCAACCTTCATTTTATCATACTTATGCTAACGTATACACAGAACTTGCATGTCAGTGGAAGGTATTCTGGCTTACAGGGCTAGAAATATATAAAGAAATCCAGAGAATAACATCTCGGCTACAATCTAAAGAACATAAATATGCAAACCTGTCTGAAGAAGCCGAAGGGTCAAAGGCAAACAGAACCACAGCCGGTGAAATTAAGCAGTGGATGTGGCTTCCAGGCCTTATTGCTGTGCTCATCTTGACGTGCGTGGTTAGCAAATTACAGTACGGGATCCCAGTACCTGCATCACTGCTGTCACTTTTCCTTGCCTTTATATTCTCATTCATTGCCGTTCAGGCAACTGGTGCAACAGGTATGTCCCTTTTCTTATACCATCTGAGTGGAGATAATATGAAATACTTACACCAAACTAGATATAACTCCCCTGACTGCAATTTCGAAGGCATCTCAATTAGTATTAGGTGCTACCACTCGTGGCCCGGGGTGGTCACTAGAAAGATCCCAACAAGTCAACTTACTTGGTGGAGCGCTCTCCAGCATTGGTGCTAATCAAGCATGCGGTAAGTCCCTTGCTCTCTAACTTTATGAGTCTAGTTAATCTCATCGATGTCAGATCTCACGGGTGATTTTCGAGTTGGATTTCTTCTCAGCACTCCGCCGCGCACCCAATACGCTGCTCAAGCAATCGGAACATTCTTTGCAGTCTTTCTTGCACCGGCTGTCTTCTCTGTATTTGCCAGTGCATATCCTTGCATCCTGTCTACGGACGATGAATTCCATAGCAGTGGAAATACAACGGCTCCTTGCCCCTTTGCAGCCCCTGCGGCATCAGCCTGGCGTGCGGCGGCTGTGGCCGTGACAGACCCAGATTTCCCGGTTCCCAGATCCAGCGTGCAGTTCTCTATTGCCATGTCTATCATAGGTTCTATTCTGGTGCTTGTTCGCCATAATCTATGGACAGGCAAATGGCTGTGGATGCGCGACTACCATCCAAACATGATGACTGTGGCTATGGCTTTTCTTATCCCTACCACGCAGTACGGTACAGCTATGCTTACAGGCACTATAATTGCTATGATTTGGAAGAGGAGGAATAATGCTTCATTTGACGCATATGGCTATGCTGTCGCAGCAGGGTTTATGGCAGGTGAAGGTATCGGAGGCGTGGTTAATGCTGCGTTGACTATAATAGGGATAGATGGAGATAGATTTGGGACAGGCATCGGATGCCCAGGGGGGAAGTGTTGAGGGTGTTCTCTAATGTAGATAGTAGCTAATGTATCATTACTCCATCGAACGCATCGCACGTAAGCCCCTGTTGAATGGTATCTTTGTCAATATGAGGTGTGATGAAGATATCGAAATTGAATTGTGTATCGAGATAAGAAACTGGGATGGTATTCTTCGTAGAATGATAAACCGAGCCTTTGTTAAGAACCCCAAGTAGACTGGATCAACGAGCAGTTAAAAAGAATAAGGTAACGAGCCGAATGATAGTAAAGAAACCGCCAGAGCAAAGTGGATATAAAAAGTAACCGTCATCAAATAGAGTACATAGTAAAACCAATTCTGTCAGCTTTGGCAGTTTTATACACCAGAAGCCATTCCTGGTTCATCGGGAAGTTGTTGTATCGTCTCCTTGATAAGTGCTATCAGCTCATCGATATCAGGCCGTTCAGCAGGCTCAACCCGTAAACAGCGTCTGACCAGCTCCTTTACAGGTGGGCTTATACCTCCACTCCCTGCTGACCCTGGGCCTGCCGGGTCGTCCTGAGAAGGTACTCTAGCCTTCCCCTTGGCCGCGTCGGTATTCCCGCTCTTCTCGTCCGGGAAGCGCCAATCTCCACCAAGCACACACATGGCAAGGCTGCCCCCTGTTTCTTCGCTGCGGGCTTCGAAGGGGCTCTTGCCGACGAGGCAGGCGTATAATGTGCAGCCTAGGGACCAGATGTCGACCTTTTCGTCGATGATAGAGCCTGTCTTGACGTCGAATAGTTCGGGGGCTCGATACGGCATGGTGCTGTGTTCGGCTGCTGTATCTTGGACTGCTATAGCGAGCGAGCGGGAAGTGATTGCGATAGGGCTAGGGCTGAGGGATCCCAGGTCCATGAGAATCGGTGTCTTTCCGTCATCGTCGATCATGATGTTTCCTATAGAATAATATTAGTATAACCAGGTGTGGCGTGGTAACATGAGACTATACGTACCTGGCTTGATATCCCTGTGGGAATATGGCCTGTACTCGCCCTCTTCTACACCCTCCTGACTGATTGCAACCTCGCCATCCATCAAAGGTTCCTGTTCTGTATCATCGTCGTCATCAGCCCTTCGACTCGTCCGTCTGGTCGGCTTGGCCCTCGACCTGCCCTTGGTAGACCCGTTTCCATTTTCAGCTCCTCTTGGTGCCGCCGCGCTTTTCACTTTATATTGATGCATGCATTTCATCGCTTTGGCCACTCCCAGCATCAAAACCATCAATTCCTTCTCTGGAAACGTGGTATGGTTGACCAGATTCGCATTAATCGCATCCTGGAGGTTTCCTCTTTGGTAATACGGCAGCAGGATGTAAACCGTCTTTGAGCCAGCGTCTGCCCCGTCTGAGCGGAATTTCGAGCCGGATTCAGTTACGACAGAGTAATCGATCGAGTGTATGATGTTCCGGTTCGGCGTGAATAGGCCGTATGCTTCGACTTCTTTAAGAGCAAGAGACACGGACTCTTGACCGAATGGGCATCGGATCTTTTTGAGCGCAAAGAGCTCGTCGGTGCTCTTGTCCTGGACCAGGTAGACGTAGGAGAAGCCGCCCTATACAAATTCAATTGGTCAGATAGAGACTTTGACATAGATCGTCGCTATTAAATGGACAAGCGCATACCTCTCCGAGCAGACGAAGCAGCTTGAAGCTCCGGTTGTTTATCTTCAGCTGCGGAGAGCTCGGGAAGCAGCAGAGGCAGTCCGTGAATGTGTATAGGAGGTCGAAGAAGTACTGCGCCATCTTGAGTCGTCTTTAATCGTGTTGGAGTCGAGATATAGAGATGCAAATGAGCTCTACAGTCGGGACGCAACAGTTGAGCTGGACGGTGGTTCAAGCGGACACGCGCACTATCACATCGATATATCTTCGTCTCTTCAAAGTCGACAGGCTATACAAGTCGCAGGCCGGGTTGGCGATGTCGAGATATCGTTGTCGGAGCTAAGGAGAAGCGTCGCGGCTGTGGCTGAGGACAAGTTACAGCCTCGACGGTGGCTTTCTCCAAGATGCAGCTGAGAACTGCGAAGACGTCGACAGGACAGCGATATCAAATCTTCCTCCACCGTCAGCTTCTCTCTCTTGACTATCGCGTTCTTCGTTCTCGTCTTTCTCGTGGCTGTGGATGCTGGATCGGCCGCTAAAAACGGTTATAAATAAACAAACGCTCAGCTCCTTTTTCGTTTTTATACCGAAATATCAACATTCAAGCCACACACAACTTGGGCTTCACCGTCGCTTTCTTTGCTTTTTCGTTCTTCTTCCTTCTCTAGGGCTTCGTTTTCTCCTTTTCTCCTTGCCCGAGTCCGTACCAAACAGGCGGAGACGCCCTGTCGCTTGCAAAACTCCCCACGACCGTTTTCCATTTTTAGAGGCTCACGATTTACGAATTGACCGGATCTCAAGGCGATTTCTGCACTGCTTACTCGGACGATAAAAGCCCCTCCTCGACACTCTTACACTCCTACGATGATTTGAGATGACACGCTGTCCTTGTTTAATGCTATAGAAGTTGACACCATGACGGCGGCAGACGATGTCCAGGTCGGCGACCTGGTCAATGTGCCCGGTGGGATGCACGGCACCGTGAGGTTCCTGGGCTCGGTGGCAGGCAAGCCAGGCAAGTTTGCTGGCGTTGAACTTGCGCCGGAGCTGGCGGGCAGAGGGAAGAACAGCGGAGACGTGGATGGACGACAGTACTTCACGACCTCGATCCCGGGATCAGGCATATTCGTGCCCATGAACAACTCCAAGTACGTTACGAAGCGAGCGGTCGCACCGCAGTTGACGTCTGCGAGGGGAGGGCCGTCTATCACGAACTTCAGCAGGTCTGTTGGGCCTGGCTTGAGCCTGGCTTCGACTACGAGACCGAGGATCAGACGGCCCTCGCTGCCACGACCAGAATCGCCCAGCAAGGCTCCCCTGTCTTCGCCAAAGCTGAGCATGAGCGGCCTACGGACTCCGTCTGGCGTGTCCAAGGGAGCTCCCATGAACGGACGGCCGCGCACACCGCTCAAGTCGAGCAGACCGCCGAGCAGGCCTTCATCTAGGATCAGCATGGAGAGCACCACGCCAAAGCGAAGGGACGCCGTCCGAACGCCTGCTCTTGAGGATTCCGATGTGGCTGACCGGATAAGGGAGCTGGAGACACAGCTCCGTGACCGGGATAAACAGCTGGAGGACCAGGCATCAACCCTTGCCGAGTTTCAGCAGTGTGTCACGGAGCTGGAGGGTCTGGATGCGATGCAGGTCCGGACACAGCTTCGAGAGAAGAACGAGAAGATATCTGCACTCACCGCGGAGTTTGACAGTCATAGGGCGGATTTCAGGAGCACTCTCGACACACTTGAAGTAGCTGCCTCGGAGACTGAGCGGGTATACGAGAAGAGGATAGAAGAGCTGCTCCAGGCAAACAGAGACCTCCAGTCACGCGGCGAAGATGTCGAGACCGTGGCCATGCAACTCAAACAGTTGGAGGACCTGGTATCAGAGCTGGAAGAAGGTCTTGAAGATGCACGACGAGGGGAGGCAGAGGCCAGAGGTGAAGTGGAATACCTTCGAGGAGAGGTCGAGAGAACCCGTCTGGAGCTGAAGCAAGAACGGGAACGTTCATCGTCCTCGTACCAGGACGGAGACTCGCCCATCGACGGTCCAGGAAGACACCATCCTACATCCAGAGACCTGGAACAAAAGGACGATGAGATCCGCGGCCTCAAGGCCATCATCCATTCCCTAAGTAGGGGAGACCCGACGTCTCAGGCCTTCCTACAGCAAAACGGCATAGGACAGGGGAACAAGAGGATGTCTGACGGAGAATACGACGCCAACGATCAGCTGTCCAAGATGGATTTACGCATCCAAGAACTTGAGTCTGCCCTTGAACACAAGACCCAGACGATAAGCGAACTGCAACAGGAAGTTGAAAACGGGCAAACAAACGCCTTCCGCGGCCATAATCGCAGTGGAACAATAACCACGTCGCCCCTGAGGGTTCATAAGAATCCCCAGCCCGCCGGCGGTAGAACCAGCCCCAATGCGCCAACCCATACACACACTCTTTCAGACCGCACCGTCGTGCCCGGCGACTGGAATGAGAATTCTCCCGTCCAGGCCAACAGCGGACAATACCCATCCAGGACCATCCCCAACGACTCCCACCGTCGTCTCGCCGCCATGCAAGAACCCGACAGCCAATCCGCCAGCACTGACGACGGAAGCGCCGCCTGGTGTGAAATCTGCGAGACCAGCGGCCACGATATCCTCACCTGCACCAACATGTTTGGCACTACAAACGCCAACAAGGCACCCGCCAGCCATCCGGCCATCCTCCAGGCTGCACAACAACCACCACCAGTGACGGGGCCACCGGACAGGACCAGCCTCGTCCAGACCTCAATAGATAGCACCCTTCACGATAACCTCGAGAGCACCTTCTCGGCCTTCAGGCCTTCATCAGCCACGGAGACAAACGGGTTCCCGAAATCCGGAAGCCCCAGCTCTCAGCGAACGGGGAGAGATGCCGTTCTTGAGGGTCTCAAGGGCATTGGCGGCCTCCCATCATCGTCCATGGCCCCAGTCGCCGGCAAGGCCTCGGGTGTGGTCGATGAGTCGAAATGGTGTGCTTTATGCGAACGAGACGGCCACGAAAGTATTGACTGCCCATTTGACGAGTGAACATCGACTGAATATCGTCTTTTATCTACCGTTCATGCATTTTATTTTGCCTCGATCTTCTGCCAGCGCCAAAAACGTCCACTTTCGCTCTTATATCCTCCTTTTAATCCTGATGGCCTCTCTATTCCTTCGTTTTAACCATGGCTGCGGTGCGTGTTATAGAAAAAAGGCTGCCTACATACCCAGACGTTCTTTTGCACACACTTTTACTCTATGCCATCGCGCTTAATTACTCCTTACTCTTGCGATGTCTACGGGCTTTCTTGGTATACTTTTTCTCAGTATACTTTCTCCATGTACATTGCTTCTGGTTTAGCATAGCCTTGCAGCCTCTTTTAATCTATTACCTTCGTTTTATCCCCCCCTGCTTCGTTCTCATTCTTTTCTTTCACTTACCCAGGGGCTTTCGGATTGGTTGGGCTTCGCTTCTTGCCTCTTTTTTTCTCCCTCTGCTTTCCTTATACTGGAATGACTGGTAAAGAAATAATTTACTCCCCTATTAGCGTCTATAATCAATATCATACTCTCTTGTCTCATCTCAGTCATGGCTCAAACATGTTTTCTCCGTCTCTCAGGCCTGGCCTTTCTTTTGTTTTACACATGGATCGCAGGAATGCTTCTCCAGGGCTTCTGGTGATGCGTTTTTTTTTTGGCTTGGGGCCGCTTTCTCATGGAAACAGGTAAGCATAACTGCTTTACAGGATATAGCACAATTCTCCCGATTCCCATAGCCTGGTGACGAATCATTCCTTTGCTGACAGCGTCATTGACTAGGGAATAGAGAGCGCATAAACTTCGCTTTAAAAGGACATGCAGCCTTCGCAGAACAATCGCGAATATTCTGAATCTGAATCTGAATCTAAATCTGAACCGAACCGAACTGAACCGACTATTCCGAACCCGGGTTTCCTCAACGAACACACAACCCGAGTGCCGGTCTCAGTCTGGCGACGTCTTAGTCGTCTAGAAAGCGAGGAGGCTGCACGACCTCGCCGTCGGCGTACTTCACTGCCGCCACTCGCCCGCAGAACTTACACCTCCTCTTCTTTTCGTCGTTTGCAAAATCCTCGACAATGCCCTCGAGCTGGGTCCCTAAGTCAGTGCAGATAAAGCTCTTCTCCCAGACGATGTTCCGGCACGTCTTGCAGTACCAGCGCAGGGTATCCTTTGCCCCCTTTGCCCGCGGGACTTCCATCACCACGCCAACGGTATCCGCAAACCTGACGGGCGAGTGCGGGGTGTTTGCCGGGAGCAGGAACAGCGATCCCTCGTGGACGGGGATATCCTGGAACGTCGCCGGCGAGGTAGTCGTGTCGACGACCTTGATCACGATGGATCCCTTGTGCTGGTAGAAGAACTCGGGCGTGGAGTTGATATGGTAGTCTGTCCGCGAGTTAGGCCCGCCCACGACCATGACTGTATAGCCCTGCGTGGCCTTGGAGGACGGATGGTAGACGCAGTAATTGTTGATCGGCGGTTTGAGGAGATGCGAATTCTCCCTCAGCCTATACCTCCTTGTCAGTACTCCGTGTAGATATATAGTAAAAAAAAAGTAGCCGCTGGTCTCGTGTGGCTTACCATCTTGGGATGTTGAGTGCTGGAGGCAGCATCTTGCCGTGTGCCTTCTGAACCCTTCGTTAGCTAGATATCGATGTAATAGACATCCCATCTACATCATGAGGAAGCTCGTCTCACTCCTGGCCCTTTCATGTCAGATGCGACTGTTATAGTGACTCTTCCCTCGGTCTCCCGGCGCCCTTGCCTTTGTCCCACTTCGCGCGAAAAAAACCCTCGGCCCGGCTCATCGTTCCTCCGACGCAACAAAAATAAATTATCAAAATTATACAAAGACGACAAAAAAGAAGAAGACGACGACAAGACAACAGAGAAGAGAAGAGAAGAAGACGACGACAGAGAAGAGAAGAGGAGAATAAGAGAGAGAAGAGAGAGAGGACATGCAATGGCAACGACGCAGCCGCCGGTCCGCTTCACCGGGCATGAGTCTCTCGCGCAGCGTCTCGTTCTATCAACCATCACCGGACGAGCTATCCACGTCTCCCAGATCCGTTCGTCCTCGCTGAGTCCCGGTCTGGCGCCCTATGAGATCTCCTTTCTGCGTCTGCTGGAAGCTGTCACCAATGGCGCCCATCTGGAAATCTCCTACACCGGTACAATACTTCTGTACAAGCCCGGTCTCATCACCGGAAGCGCAGCTGGAGTCGGCGCCAGTCGCGGCGTCGTAACGCATGAACTGCCGGCAGGATGCTCTCGCGGAGTCAGCTACTTCCTGCTGCCATTGTGTCTTCTCGCGCCTTTCTCCAAGGCCCAGGTCAACGTCCTCTTCACCGGTCCTGGCGTCATCACATCTTCCACCCCGTCTGGCGATATTTCCGTCGACAGCGTACGAACCGCCATTCTCCCTCTATTTGCGCAGTTTGGGATCTCGAATAATGTCGAGCTCCGGGTATTGCGGAGGTCCAATCCTGGTCCTAATGGCAAGGGAGGCGGTGGAGAGGTGCAGCTCGTTTTCGGCCACCAGGTTCGCCTGCCCAAGACGCTTCACCTGTCAAATCCGGGGAAAGTAAAGAAGATTCGTGGCGTAGCATACTCGACTGGCGTGTCGGGCACGAATAATGCCCGGATGATCGATGTTGCCAGAGGAGTCCTCAATCCCTTGGTATCTGACACCTATATCTTTTCAGATATATCAGCTGCCCCACTAGTTCCTGCTCCAGATAGGACCAACCCTTCGGCAAAGAAGAAGATTGGTGTTGGGTTCGGTCTCTCGCTTGTAGCTGAGTCGTCCACCGGATGTCTATACTCCGCCGATGTGGCATCCCCGCCGTCCGGAGGCCAGCCCCCTGAAGACATTGGCAAACAGTGTGCTTATCAGCTGCTGGAATCCATAGCAACCGGTGGCTGTGTATCCATGGCTGCGGCGCCCACGATCCTTACCCTCATGTCTATGGGCTCAGAGGACGTCGGACGACTGCAGGTAGGCCGGGATGTTGTTTCTGATGAAACCGTTGTCCGTCTTGCAAGGGACCTGAGCAAGCTTGGGGCCGCAGGATGGGGTGTACGAGAGGCCTCGGGCTCAGACGATGGAGATGTTGTTATCAGCGTTGTCGGAAGGGGTATTGGCAACGTCGGCAGGAAGATTGCCTGATTCTTCACATGTTCGCCCAAGTCGAGAGCAAATTCCAAATTCCTACCTGGCAACCAAATCATTAAAGAGGCGCCAGAGCTCGCCTTTTTGCTGCGTATACTTTGACCTACCTGCCCAGTGTGATGCAGGTCTGTTGTGGCTTGCTCACCCATGCATATCCGCCAGGCACAGCTCAGGACTCAAGGAAACACCCATTCACCGAGTGCTCTGCGTGTATATGGCCTAGGATATGCGAATAGGCTTATCACAAGGAGATACGGTTATTATCATCACTCTGGCCTCTGTGTCAGTTACAGGGTACTCTACACTCAGGCTCGACGGCTGCACCTCCCCTGATTCTGAGAAAGGAACCTCCCACCGTCCTTTCTACAGCTATACGGCTTCTAGTCACATGTATAGTGATGTCCTATACCCATACGAGATGTCTCGAGGGCCTCTATTTTCATATTACGATGCTCCTACACGGCCATACGTCCTGTTTCCGCAGCTGCCGTTGTACCTAGACGTCCGCCTCTCTACGCCTACACCACCTTTCTACTGTACGATAGCTAGCCTAGATCGACCTACTTGATCTTCTCAATACAATATTATATTCTATCAGTCTATACGATGCCATACCTATCTCTTCCCTACAGCTCTAACGCTGCTCTCCCCCATACCCTAACTAATTCCCTGGCATTCCATGACATTCGGGCCATGACTCGACGTTTACCACTGGTTTGATATCCTATTTGGGACATTATGACGCCCATTCCAGATATTCAGCATCCCTTTTGGGCCATATGTTTCTTGGGTCGCCTAATGGCTATAAAAAGGGCCCCAAGCCTCCCTCCCCTTCTTCCTCCTTTCTTCTTTTTTCCTCTTTCCTATGCTTCATTGCATTGTCGCCCATACACCCACTTGCTTCACCTACTTGCTGATCAAACACACCCAGTTACTGAGTGTGCCCGTGTGATATATAACTGTACATATATATCATAAAGTCTACCGCCTGTCACTGCCAGTATGGCATATACGCAAATGTACATGCTTGCTTGTGGGCCAACATACGTCCTGCCCACTATCGGTTCACTCGCCGACACAGTCAAAAGAACCGAGGACACCACCTACATCGACTTCGCTTGCTCTACCCCGGAGGCAGAGTCGATACGTGCCGCATTCGGCGAAGCGGCCTACCACCAATATGTCGAAGGGTTACTCGCTACCCAAACAGCGAAAGCGGCCAGACAGGTCGAGATTAGCAAGGAGCTGGCCTCAAAGAGGTCCAAGATCCAGCGATGGATCACGAAGATCAGACATGCATATACGGAGCCAATCTGAAGAAAAGTATTGGGCGAGCTTGCCTTCGCATTATGGTTAGTCTCTTGCCTTGCCCCTGCCTTGATATTATCTGTTTGAATATCGGTTAACCACTTTCTATCAGCGTCGCTACACCGACCGCACCTTAGAATTCGACACTACAGCGTGTTCGCGGTGTATGCAAGTTACATTCTGGGGGAGAGGAGGGGCGGGATCATTCCCCCCAAAAAGTAAGCGTCATCGTTTCCCATCTTTCCTTTATCTACGTCATTATCCAACCATGGAACTGTTCATTGACTTGCTCCTATTGTTTTTATATACAGATATGCTATTAAGCTTTTGGGGTTCCCGCCAAACACTGGATAGTGGTTTACGGATCGTTCCACATCCAGAGTTCAAATCAACCGTCATCAAACAACTATCTACCATCAACCAACTATCCATCAACCAACCATCTGTCATCAACGACTATCCATGATCAACGACTATCCATGATCAACGACTATCCATGATCAACGACTATCCATGATCAACGACTATCCATGATCAACCACTATCCGCCTCTGGAAAGCCTAGTGCACACCACCACCTACTGAAGAATAGTTCACCATCACTACTTCAAATCAACATTAGACGTTTCACTCCTAGATGGGTACCGAAGTAAGTGCTCTTATATTTGCTTAGGCAATAGTAACCTCACTAACATGGTACATAGGAATGCAACCTACTGAGCCGGACTTGATAGGAGAGTTAGATGTTAATGCTTGAGTGTATATTTATTGTATAGCTGCGAGCTGCAGCACAACCCTCCTGTATATAAATGCCATAAAATGGCCGATACAAAGACATATATACCCTTCTGTTCCAATAACTAAAGGTCTGGCAGCCTCAAATGTTCAATGTAACTTCTAAACATGATGTCCGTAATTCCTATCTTATAGTATCAGGCCTAATCGGATGTACAGTATGGCAACTCAGTCCACTCTATAGCCCCATCTTTATCAACACACCTAACAGTCTCGTAAATCTGATCAGCAAAGTCCCTTAAGGCGTCGAAACAGTCTTCTCCCGATGATAGAAAGGTAACGACTAGTTGGTTTTGCGACATTTCCATGGGCCGGAGGATGACGCCGCCGTAAATTCGTACTGTCGTCTTTTCGCTACCAAGAAACATCTCACCCTCCCAGCCAGCGTCCTCTTTTAGTATCTCTTTCTCAATCGTGACGCCCTTCGTAGTTGTAATAGTGGCTCGGAGTGGTGCTAGTTTTCTCCCTAGACGTTTTTCCCAGCCATAGTTCCAATTCCATTTCTCCATAGCTAGGTAGTTAATCTAGTAGATGTTAATGGGCATTCTTATACACTGGGGCCGACCACTTACGTTAATGTAAAAAGTACGGTTTCCTTGTCGGTATATGCTTCAGTCGTGGGAATATCAAGCTCAGTTTCTTTATCATTGATGCCTTGAGTCATGGTTCAATGGAGGGGTTCAGAATTTACTTTAGGCTATATCTTAGCGTATTGGCAAGAAAGTTCTCTCACGCAAGGAATATAAAAGCAGTTGTATCGTAGTGAAGCTTGGTTTATCGGTTTATTGATGGCCATTCGTCTTATATACACTGGTGGATAGTTTGAATATTTCTATGGCTTTATATATAGATATATTTAAGATAAAAACAACATCACTCGTTTAGGGAAGACGAAATAGCACAGTAGTGACGGTTATTCTACTACGAGATATAGCAGAAATGTATGAGGGAAGGGGGTTGAGTATTTTCACCAAACCCAGTCGGCATGGCTGACCGAGTTGAACTACTTCTGTGGAGTCATGTCTTCAGGGAAACAGTTATTCCCATCCTTGTCAAGCCATAGAGGAAGCCCTGCATATTTATTGATCCAGTTGATCACTGCTCTGTGCCAAACCAGGGAATTCTCAGCTTTGATTACCCAATGGTTCTCGTCTGGGAACGTCAAGAGGGCGCTCTCCACACCGCGCAATTGAAGACTGTTGAAAAGGGCAAGGCCTTCGGCAATAGTAAGACGGTAGTCACGTTCGCTGTGGATGACGAGGTGAGGTGTCTTCCATTCATTGATAAACTCAGATGGATCCCACTTCTGCCAGCTTTCGGGGTTCTTCCAATATATTCCGTTAAGATCATGGATAGGGAAGTATAGCTCTTCAGCCGCGAGGGAGAACTTGGTGCTGAAAATGCCGTCGTGGGTAACTAGGGCTTTGAATTTCCTTCCAAGTTCATGACCCTGAATCCAGTTCATCATGAATCCACCATAAGAGGCACCAAGGGCAACAGCACGGTCTGTGTCCACGAATGTAAGGTTCTTTTCAATGTGTTCGAAGCATTTGACGAGATCTTCGTAAGGCAGGCCACCCCAGGACCCTTGGATAGCATCAGTAAATGCTTGGCCATATCCTGTGCTTCCCGTTGGGTTTGGAGTGACAACGACGTAGCCTTGCTCTGCGAAGATAAGAGGATTCCATCTAGTGCTCCATTGATCGTTCCATGCTCCCTGTGGCCCACCGTGGACAAGGAAGGCAAGAGGATACTTTTCGTTTGGCTTAAAGTTGGAGGGTTTAATCACCCAGGCATGCACAGGGTGGTCGTTGGCTCCTTTCCACCAAGTCTCACCCACCTGGGAGGGCGAGAGACCAAAGGAGGTGCCATTTTGGGTAGCTGAAGAAATTTCTCTGGCTTCTCCTTGGTGTTTGGGTTCCACCAGGGAATATAAGCTACTTTCCACAAGACTGCTGCTTGAGAGGAAAAGGCCTCTGGGGGTGGAAGCTACGTCCACAACAGATCCAGTAGAGGAAATGTTGAGTAAGTTGGCTGTGGTTAATGCTTTTTCATCACCCACTGGTACTTGGAATACAAGGCCACGTCCAGTGTCTTCTGCCTTAATTATAAGTGAAGAATCATCGTAGGCCCACGCCAACGAGCTAGGGCTGCGATCCCATGCGCCCGTGTTATCCTCGTTGGCAAATAGCTGGATTGGCTCTGATTGCTGATCAAACACACCTCTAGCGACAATGATTCTGTTCTTGTCCGATTCATATCCGTCTTCTCGCATGGCAAGGAAAGCTAGGGTGTTGTTGACCGGGGAGATCACAGGAGAGGTTAAAGCTCCCTCGAGCGAAGCCGCTGTTACCACCTTTGCTTCCATAGGGCTGATAGACTCGGTCCAAGCGGCGAGAGGCATTGGGCAGATGTAGCAGACACATTTCGTGTGAAGGGCATCGTTAAGTGACGGGTCCTTGCTGACGAACACAACTCCTTTGGGGCAAATATCAAAATGGTCAGACCCGCCAAAGGGCAAAATTGGCGATTCGACACGCTGTGGAAGGTTGAAAAGCCTGAAAACGTTCTTCAAGCCTGAGATGGTATATTGAGACGACCCAGTACCGGCAAATGGGGACTTGTACAGGGTTCCCACCCAAATAGTGTGCTTCTCACCCTGGGTATACTCGTCCCAGTGCCTCACAAATAGAGAGGTGTAAATCTTGCCGGTGCTCACTGGCTTTTTCACATTGGATGGATTGTAGAGAGTTCCGTCCAGATTTGCCTTGCCACTAACAGCAAAGGCGAATTGATCCTTTGAAAGCCGGGTGACCTTAAGATTTGACACAGTACCGGGAGTCACTCCAGCAACGTAAGGCTTCGAGTCCCCCGAGACCTCGGTGACCATAAAGGTTGTGTTTCCATTGCTTTCTTCCTTGAGCCATATCAATTGACTATCGTCAAGCCATTGTGGACTGCCGCTGTAGGAATTGGTGAGGACTCTAGTTTTCCTCGAAGCAACATCTAAAACAATAAGCTCGGTATGGGATGAGTGTGACTCGAAGCTATATGTTGACTGCGTATACGCAATGAGCGTCCCTGCAGGGTTTGGGATACATGCCGAGCGGCGCGGTGCGCTCAAGAGAACTCTAGAAACGGTCAATGATATGATACTGGGGATATCTGAAGGCATTGTTCCTACTCTGGGTCGAATTTTGTTCGTCGTATCGTCATGGTGAACGGCGTGGGGGTGAGCTATGAACAGTGTATGTATGAGATATGGAGTGAGGGTGTATATACTTGGATCTGACCAGAGTCTTCTTGATATCGGTCTCAGCAGTCTTGAACCGAATGAATGAGAAGAGAAGCTGGATGGGATTGAGCTCTTCGGCTTCTTATATAGCTTCCAAGGTTGCTTTCTCCAATGCGGGGAACCAACATTTGGGGCCAGGCAACATGAATACCCACGTGACTGACTGCCAGAGCAACCAAAGAGGCACCAGCATTAAGTTGAAGATAAAAGGAATCCAACAGGGGGTTATGCAAGGAGTCAGGGTCTAGAAGATACGGCAGTGAAGACACGGTAATTAAATTGGAATAAAAGTGTACATACATGCATGCGTTTTTAGACTAAATGCCAGAGAACCAACACCTCACAGGGGAAAAATGCATTGTACAGCCATAACAAATGTGGTACATCTACTCTTCGTCTTCTTCCTCTTCGTCGTCTTCGTCTTCATCCATGCCCTCCGCTGCAGTAATCTTAAAGGTCGGATCCTGGTCAACTCCCGCGTAACTATCACTCATGAGATAGAGGGTTAACTCGTGCTCTCCAGGGCTTGGTACGACGTATTCTAGCTTCATCTCCAGTTTTCGTCCTACAGTTACCCTCTTAAGCGAGAGTAAGCTGTTCGTCTTCTCCTCACCGACCACAAGCCACCAATTCTCCATCTTCTTCAACGGATAGAATGGAGCAGAGACCGTGGTATCTGGCTCTTCGTCTTCATCCAGCTCTCGTTCAATCTTCACCTTGAGATAGGCCGGCTCCCCTGCAGTAATATTCTCTTCGTCGAGAACGGTAAAGTCGAGGTCCAGGTTGGGGTACTTGTTGTTGGTAAAGGCAGCTGCTTGGGCGAGCTGTTTGTTATCAAGACCGAGCCGTTTTACTAGGGTGTTGTAGTCCTTATTCTCGGATGGGTCCATGGCTTCCATAAACTCGAAGATATCCCGGATCCTAGCATAGGAGTTAGCATTACTATCCACTTTTATATATGTAAGATGAGTGGGGACATACTTAAACTCGTTGGCAGCCTTAATGGCGCTAGGGCCAAAGTGAGGGATCTGCATCAACGGGCTGTCCCGATCCCACATGGACTGGACAACCATCTGTGACATTTCCATGGCGTTCATAGCATTCAGATGGCCCTTGGAGGACAGAACGTCGACACAGGCGCTAAGTAGGGTAAGAACTTTGCTGACAATGATTTCTTGATCCTTCGCCAAATCAATCGGCAATTGGAGACGTGAGAAATGTGCTTGTAAAAGAACAAAAGCTTTAAAGTGTGGTGAATCGAAGGCTGGGTCTGACATCTTGACAGGTACTCGATCATAGACACGGCGCAGAATGTAATCTTCATGACGTCGTACCTGGATAGGCTCGAATTCTGTTGCCGATGTGACAATTTCAAGCATACCCTTGAGCTTAGTCCTGGGTGTCAGCGAGAGAAGGAAAGTCTGCATGGTGATAAAGGAGATGTTATAGTATGCACCGATCATAGCAGCGTTCAAGGGCGAAATATTTTCATCCTCGTCCATCTCAATGATCTGAGCTTCGGCCAACTCCTTTAGTGTGTTCTCGACGAGCTCCGACAGGAATGTACTTAGCCCTTCATGGCTAATATCGCTCAACCCATAGTAGCTGGGATTGGCAAGGAGACGCCTGTAGAAATACGAGTATGTCATCCAATCAACGGCGTCTTGTGTCGAGGTAATCGTCTTTGTACTAATCTCTGTCACAAAGGCATCATGAAGGTAGAGCTGCAAATGACTCTCCATGGGCAGCGCTTCGTTAAGGAACTTCTTGTAGTATTCACGCTTCACAGCTGGGACCATTAGCACTCCTTTTCCAATTCTATCTTCTCGAGGGCGCGTAGCCTTTCCGAACATCTGAAGTATCTCGCTAATAGGGTAGTCAAGATATCGGTGTTCACGTCCATCAAAGAATTGTGTCCCCATTACTATAACGAGATGAGCAGTAAGGTCCAGCTCCCAGCACACATCCCGAGATGCAAGCATCACCTGAAGAGCACCAATCTTGTAAAGATGTGTAACGATTCGTTTATCGCTAGTGCTCAGTGCCTCGTGGTAATAGCCAATACCGTGAGAAATTGATTCAGCCAATGCTTTTTCTTCAATCCGGTTCAGCAGTGGCGATATCTCGTCGATATCGGCATGGAGGAATCGATCTTCATTTTCGCTCGCGACACAGGCAGTAAAGAGATCTACAGCAGTTGATCGGGCTTGCTTGCGGCTAGGCACGAATATCAGTGCAGGCTTGTCGGGGGAGAGTTGAAGGATAGATAAGTAAGCAGGTTTTGCCATCGCAAGCATGAGCGATGGGAAATGTGGGATCGTGAAGGATTGGATATGGAGCTCTAATGGGACCGGTCGAACATGGGGGCTAAAGTTGAAAATCGTATGCTTCTTAGCCCCAAGCCATTCTCCAATATCCCGAGCATTCGCCAATGGTACACTAAGACCAACAATTCGCAACTCTTGTTCTGTTTGAAGTGAAATATAATGCATTCGAGACACAATGACTTCATAAACGTATCCACCTTGTCCGCCAAGAATGTTGAGATCATCAGCGATAAATAGTTCAACTGCTTGAACGTTTTTCCGCCTCTGCCACTGACGGGAAATGACATCCCACTGAATTGGCGTAGCAAGGACTAGGTCTGCACGGTCGAGAATCTTGAGATCGGCTGTGGTTTCTCCAGTCAACTTCTGAATTGACTTACCACCGGCGACATCTGCCAGGCGGGCAGTCCAATCTGCAAGTCGATGATCGACAAGCTCTTGAAAGGGGGCAATGTATACGGCCTTTCTTGAGTCTTCCCTGGACCAGTGTCTGAGAAGGGCAAACTCAGCACAGACCGTCTTTCCACTCCCCACGGGCGCACCAACAAACACATTGTCGCTAGTGTCGAACAACGCTTTGAAAACCTGAGTCTGGACTTTGTTGAAGTTTTGCCAGTTGGGATATAGACCTTGGTAATCAGCACGTCTAACAGCCTTAACTGGAACTGGTTGCATATCTAAGAGTGGGGTGTGTGGCGGAAATTTCTCCGGGAGAATCAACTTTTGGAAGGCAACGGCAACCTTGGTCTCAGAATGTGTCCATCGGTCGGAGAGTAGTGTTATGAAGTAGTTGGGTGGCATGGGCTCCGTGATGGCGACCGTGAATTCCACCAAATGCTCATTCATCTCCGATGTTGCATAGTCTTTCTTAAGAATGAACTGGTCATAGAAGAGAATGTCTTCACCGTCGCAATCCTCGACGATAATCCAGAACGATTCTGCGCTGCCGTGGAGTGAATCATCCCAAGTAAAATTGGGCGTAATGGTCAGCTCAACGCGGAGCATCGAGCGTGTCATTGGCTGCACTTGAGCTTGTAGCTCTAGCCTAGGGAATTTTGACACAAGATCGCACACGATGCGGCCTGCCTTGGGGATGCCTAAAAGTTCTCCCATGCGCGGTGGATCAAGGTCGAAATAGCTTGTCCATGGAACATCGATACGCTCAGCTTTTTGTAATATGTCACGTGGACATGTTGGGAATTGACGTAGAGGAGACATGGTTGGCCACATCCGCTTTTCAGCCATTTTGCAGAGATCTAAGGCTGTTTTTGCAACGGACGACCAGCCTTTTCGCAGAGTAATCTCGAAGATGGCGCGGAGAATACGGCCAGCGGACTGAGTAACATATACCATATCGGCCATTAGAGCTAGTCCATCAAGCTTTAGGCGAGAAATGTAAGCCTGTAATAATACATTGATTTTGGCATGGGACTCCTCAATGCTCTCTTTCACAGGAATGGGGACCCTGCTCAGCAGCTTTGCAAGTTCCAGTTTCTCATCCTGACGGACAGGGATATATTTGAACTCCTCACTTAGTGAGAAGATGCGGAAGAGGTCGATAGTGGAAATCATGGGCTGTAAATGGTGATTATATGTGAGCATGGAGCTGTGCGAGATGTAATAATGAGAGGCAATGCGCCCGAGCTCCGTGGCCTGGAGTTTGCCTGTCTTCTTATCGTATTTGATGAGGTTGGACTTTTCCAAAACCATAGCTGCGGAATGGATGAGGTCCACACGGCGCTGCTCAAGGGAGGTGTCATGTTCATAGTCGGCGCCAATACTATAAAGACCGGGCGAGCGAAGCATTCGAACAAATAAGTAAGTGTAGCCGAGCCATTCCACGCCTTCTTCACGAGTTCGGACATTTCCGAGAACAACTTCAGCGTTTAAGTTATCGGCAAGTTTACTCATAAGCTGACTCTCAATGGGGAGTTGTTGGTTAAGGAGGGAGAGGTAGTATTGCAACTCTGCTTGAGTTGTGATAATTATACCCTCGCCAAAGGAATCGTACTGAGGCCGACCAGCTCGTCCAAGCATTTGAAGGACATCTTGAGGGCTAAGTTCGACCCAGCTACCCTTTTCTGGGGAGTAGACTTGGGTTCCCTTGATAATGACTGCATGAGCAGGTAAATTGACACCCCATGCAAGAGTAGCAGTACAGACAAGAACCTGCAAACTACCATCGGCAAAGAGATCCTCAACAGATGTTCGATCCGCCTTGCTCATTCCAGCGTGATGGATTCCAAATCCATATGGCATTAGGTCTTTCAACCCAGGGTCATTGACCGAATCCGCTTCTTCTGACAAGATAGCACGGCTGGCAGCATCACTTCTCAGGATTTGCCCTATGGTCTCCATCTCGACTGCTTTATCTCTGATGTATCTTGCGGTTTTGACAGTTTCTTTTCGCGAATGGACGAATATCAATATTTGATTCTTGTGGGCACCCACTTGGTCAAGGACTTTTGTGTAGCAGATGTCGTTCATAGTTTTCAGTTGCTTGATCGCCTTTTTGTCTGTAACGCCAATAAACTCCTGCTTCAAGGGGCAGGGCCTAAAAGTGCCGTCGAAATGAAATAAGCCGTTGATAGGATCAACGCGGAGGAAACTGCCAACATCGCGATAATTGGGTAGAGTTGCACTAAGCCCGATCAATCGGACTGGTTCTCCGGTTTGCTCTGTTTTTCGTATCGTCCTGCTCACGATACTTTCCAGCACAGGACCTCGCTCATCGTGGAGTAAATGGATTTCATCAATGATGACGAGCCTAACCAGCCGAGTATAACTCGTGTCGGTTGCTTTTCTGGTTATAATATCCCATTTTTCTGGGGTTGTGACAATAACCTGGGTATCTGCGATTTGTTGTTTGGTTAATTGACGATCGCCAGTAAGCTCAGAAACACGGATGCCGTAATGTTGAAGGCGTTTTCCAAAGTTCCCTACTTGCTCCTGAACCAAGGCCTTCAAGGGGGCAATGTAGATAATTTTAAAGTCATCAAGCATGATCTCGCCAGTTTCTGGATTTCTGTTTTTGCCAATCTCACGAAGCATCGTAAGCATAGCTACATTGGTTTTACCGGATCCGGTTGGGGCGCAAATGAGCATATTACCATCATCGTTGAACGCCGTTGGGAAACATTTTGACTGAATAAGATTCAGTTTCTCGGTAGTACCGAAACCAGGTCTGGACCAGTCCGGAAGTTCAGTAATTGGAATCCTCCGGATATCATCGTCACGTCTGGGTTTAGGGGCAGGAACGTGAATCTCCTCATAACCCTTGAAGGTTCGTTTCGTAGAGCCCTGAGGGAGTTTGACATTGGGGTTAGTCATTAAATGATTCCCTTGGTCGAACACCAAGTTCTCAAGATTGATAACCTTGGATGGAGGAAGTCCACCAACGAAGTTCCTTGGTTTGGCTTCGGTTTCCTCTGTTTTCACGGCGGCCGGAACATCTATGTCCATCAGGTCTACTTTCATCTTTTTCCCAGGGCGGTCCGAGGCGGTGTCCCTGACTTTGCCCGTGAGTTCATCTAGTAGCTGCCGATGTCCGTTTTCTATCATTTGATTTTCCACAAGATGTCTAGCATCGGTATCTTCCGCTTCCCTTCGCCATTTGGTTGTCCAAACAATCCGATCACGATTGAAAACTAGAGTTCCAACAAGTTCTGGATGGTCGTAGTCGAAGAGTTCCATCAGGTCGTTTTCAACGTCTCGTAAAGGCTTCGGCACACCCTCCTCCGACTGCTCACTCATTATTGCGAAGGCTTCCTGGGCTTTCTCATGTTGTATATGGGCGTCGGAGTAGATACCTCCAATTTGTCGTTGTAGCCAGTATGCATCAATCTCCCGGGCGGGTACAATAGTAGCGCTGCCTTTTGATTTTTCAGCGGTGGCCCCGGCTCCTCCGTCAATGATCATATCGTCGTCTCCCATGCCCATCATGTCGTCTGCAGGTGCGGCCTCGGCGCCCTCGCCCTCGCCGGTTCGACCCTCCCCATCAGACATATCTTCTCCTTCACTACTCTCATCCTCGTCTCTAACCTCTGCATCAGGCCGCATTTCGTCTTCATCTTCATCAGATTCGTCGAATACAACAGCAACGCCCTGGCGTTCGTCTAACTCGGCCCCATCTTCCCCTTCTGCACCACCTTCGTTCGCCTCGTCATCATCTTGAGCATCGTAATCAGTGATTTTCTTTCCAAGATTTACTAGCTCATTAAATTCTTTTGGCCCCATAGAAACTCCCAATAAATCGTCCACTTCTTTTTTCTTATCAAAATCCTTCATGTTCTCGTCCTTTAAGAGTTCTAATATGGCGTCGGCAGCACTTCGAATAACGTCATGTGGAACATCACCAAGATGGTTTGCTGTGGTCGTCAATATTAAATCATATGTAGCCCTAGTCGCAGCTGTGCGCGGTCGGTATTTAAGACCTTCAACGAGGGCGTCTGCGGCGGATAGAATCCCAACACCTCGAAGCTGTGCTTGCTCTCCTCGCTTCCTCTTGCGCTGCTCTCGTTTCAAGACATCGGCACCTTCTCTTATACCTCCACGTTCGATATCTTTCGGCGCGCCAGCCTTCTTTTGCTTCGAGGTTTCTGGGCGCATCGCCTGGGCTCCCATATCTTTGATGCTGAGGCGGCCAGCCAGGGACTCTGGGTCGCCTGTAACTTCATCAGTACGGCGAGTGACAAACCGGCGATCCGCCTGGAGAACCAGGTTGGACATCGCCGAGTATTTGTACTGCGCAACATTATTTGGGTCCGCCATCTTGGGGGAGTTCGGAGGTCAACAGTCCTGTCTGAAGCTGTGGTTTCGCTCGTTCGGAAGGCAGAATGGATACCCTCACAGCATCAACCTGAAATAAAGGGAATATAACAGCAATCCATTCGTTGAGAAAAGAAAACCCCGCGAAGCACGACGAAGGTTGAAATATTGAAACTTGCTCTCAAGCTGTGATGCTTGCAAAACTCTGGTTAAACCGCGTCAAGAGCTTCAAGATATTACATAAGATCTTATATAAACAATGAATACACCCAAAGGGGACTAGCGCGTTGTCTCTTAACGTCAGGTCCCGTGATCACGCAACTTCCAACATGAAATCGCGATATTCAATTTGATATCTAACTTATACGATGGGAGCTTTCGATCTCGCGCTCTTAGGGGACAATGAGACTTCTAAGTGCCCGTGGACGTGCAGCGAGATGTCTACTTTGCCATGGAAACTTAATTCTTACACGAAAACCCATAATCAATGAATATAAGCTAGCCAACGCGATATCATGGCGTGGAGCCAAAACGAAGTCGGCGGCCAGACTTAAAGATCTTGTTCAAGGTCCCTTGGAATGTAGCCAGCCACTGGCTCCATTTGTTGATGATGCTCCGCAGTATCCTACTGTGGTCCAGGGGGCTAAATATAATATGCAGAAGTTTCAAAACTGTGTACTCCTGACACGGGTTGGGAACTTTTATGAGGTTGGTAGTTTCATACATCACACGACCTATTTATGTATGAATTAGGCTAGAATACTGAATATTTACCTAGCTCTATCTCCACCAAGCTGAAGAATATGCGGCATTGTTGAATTTAAAACTGGCTTATAAAAAAACGACCGGTGGCTCCGTCCCGATGGCAGGATTCCCTTACTTTCAGCTAGACCGTTTTCTGAAGACCCTAGTTCAGGAGATGAAGAAAAATGTGGCCATCAGCGAAGAATTTGCCAACGATGTCACTGCAAAAGCAAAATCTGGAGGATTGATGTTTGACCGCAGAGTTGCTCGCATAGTTACGCCTGGCACGTTGATTGATGAGAAGTTTATTGATCAGTACCAAAATAATTACCTTCTCGCGATACATATTAATCCTAGCGCCACGGCTGTTCAACTGGATTCGGACGATGGGACTACTCGAGGACAGTTCCGTTGTCTTCCTGAATCCGAAACTATCGGCCTCTCGTGGCTAGACTTGTCAACAGGGGATTTTCTAACCCAGCATACGAGTCCACAGATGCTCCCATCGGCAATCACACGTATTGGAGCTCGAGAAATCCTTGTCGACCAATCCGTTGATGAGTCAATCCGGGCAGAATTGGAGGCCTTAGTTGTCCAGGAACATCAGCCCATAACATACTTTCAACGTCCTAAAGAAATTAAATCATTGTTGGAATGGAATTCGAGTTTTGATTCGCCAATACCCGCAGAGGATGCTTCCGTCTTCACCCCCCAGGAGGAATCTGCTTGCCAAATGATTTTGGAATATGTTAAGGAGCAGATGAAGGATATTGGTGTGAGACTTCAACCGCCACGTCAAAAGTTAGTCGAGGACTCGATATCTATTGACCGAAATAGCTTAAGGGGGCTTGAAATCCTGGAAACGGCAAGAGATGGTTTTGGGAAAGGAAGCCTCTTGCACGCGATACGACGTACATCAACTACCAGCGGCGCACGGCTGTTAAGGGAGAGACTGAGTATACAACGCCGCTCTGAAGATGTTATGTTATAGTCCACTAACTTCTCTTTATAGCTTCACCATCGGCCTGCATGAGCACCATCAACGGACGTCTCGATCTAGTTTCACTCCTCATTGAAGACGAGGATTTGCGGGATAACATCATCAGGTTGTTGAAACGCAGCTATGATGCCCAGCGATTGGTTCAAAAATTTTCCTTGGGAAGGGGATTACCGGATGACCTTATATGCCTGTCCCGAGCTATTGGAGCTTCGGGAGAAATTAAATTAATTTTGGAAGAAAAATTTACCGCAATTGACCCGATATCACTAGACAAATCCCCTTCGGGCTCACGTGAAAGCATCCTGCCTCTGCTAAATCGCCTCAATTTAGAAGGCCCTGAAAAACTATCGCAACGGATACAAGACTCGATTGATGAAGAGGGATTATTGCAACAGCAACGTATGGATGAAGATGTCGCAGCTGGTGAAGCAGCTCTGGCTCACAACGTTCTTGTAAACGAAGGTTCATCTGAAGACCTTGAAGCCATGCCAAAAAAAGTCAAGATATCAAAAGCAAATAAACCAAAAGCAACAGAGGGTTCCGATTTCCCCAATGACACAACTTGGATTATGCGTCGGGATGCCAGCAAAATTTTACGAAAGTTACATGACGCTCTTGAATCTCTACATTCCGAGAAAGCCGCGCTAACTGAGAAGCTACAAACCAGCTTGGATACTACCAATCTTGCTCTAAAGTGGACCCCTGGCCTTGGTCATATCGTACATATGAAAGGAACTAAAGCAATGCAACGGTCGCTCGAAGACCTGGGGGTAACACGTACCGTTTCGTCATCAAAATCCACGCGCTCGTTTTATTTACCTGCTTGGACACAACTAGGTGCCAGGATGGAAGATATGAAACAGCAAATTCGAGTTGAAGAGCAGCGAATATTTAAAGACCTGAGGCACGCAGTGATCTTGAATTTGGTCAAACTTCGCCGCAACGCCGGTGTTTTGGACGAACTTGACGTAGCATGCTCATTCGCAACCCTAGCCGTGGAGCAGGGGATGGTGAGACCCATCGTTAACAATGGATTAAGCCATAAAATTATCGGTGGCAGGCATCCAACCGTTAAACTTGGTCTTGAAGAACAAGGTCGCTCCTTCGTTAACAATGACTGCTTTGTGGGCGATAAAGAACGTATTTGGCTCATCACCGGGCCAAATATGGCTGGCAAGAGTACATTCCTGAGACAAAATGCTCTAATAACAATTCTCGCACAAGTGGGCTCGTACGTCCCCGCCGAGTATGCAGAAATAGGGCTTGTGGATAAGATCTTCAGCCGTATCGGCGCGGCAGATGACCTATTCCGCGACCAGTCGACATTCATGGTCGAAATGCTAGAGACCGCAGCAATCCTGAGACATGCCACCCCCCGCTCTTTCGTGATAATGGATGAGGTTGGTCGAGGGACAACTCCAGAGGACGGAACGGCGGTGGGATTCGCGTGTCTATACCACCTTCATAACGAGAATAAAGCACGCACTTTATTCGCGACGCATTTCCATGCATTAGCGGACATGACGGCAGATTTTGAACATCTTGGTCGATATTGCACCGATTTGAAGGAGGATTCATCCGGCGGTTTCTCATTCATACACAGGCTAAGGCCGGGTGTTAATCGGCAGTCCCACGCGCTCAAAGTAGCCCACCTTGCCGGTTTGCCCCAAAGCGTGATTGATATTGCCAGAAATGTACTTCAAAGGATTCCTACCATTGAAACGGAGCTTGGGCATCAAGTGCAAGAAGATTATCGCAAGATGGCCAATTCTTCGTCTTGAGTCCTCCACTAATTGATGTTCCATTTTACATTATCTCCTGGCCTATGGTTTTGACCTATTTTGTATTCTAGAGCTTGATACCCAATTTTTAAACCCAACTTCATATAAGAACTACCATAATCTGTACCATTGCATTTATAGATATCCTAGCCTCAGCCCTTACGAAGGGTGAGCCGTCATCCAGTGAGAACTTTGAAGGGCCACTCAAGATCGGGCTATCGTAAAATCATTCTTTCTAAGAAGAAATTTATTTCTTAGTTGAATATCTGTTCCGACGATAGATAATATAACACACCGCGAGCTGGTGTGTTAGGATCCAGCAATTAAAGCTTGGCCACCACTCTCGACGGGCGGGCATCAACCTCCACAGCAACGCCGTCCCTTACGCTAACAAGCTCGCAATCCTCATTGTCGATACCATTCACATATTGTACGACGACAAAATCTATCCTCTGTCTCCCCACGACTACCATAGGCGCATGCCATGTCCCAGCTGCATATGTCACAGCCTGCCCAGGCTTAGCAATGAAGGCTCGTAAGTTGTTTAAGTCGGGGGGATCGCATATGGAAATCGTAGTTGTATCGTTACTTTCTGAATTGGTGGCCGTAGCGGAAACAGTTTGGCCCTTTAAGGTAGGTGCAACTATTATAAGGAAGAAAGCGCCTTCGGCTGCAGTATGTACGCTCCCCCTTGAGACTTGATTTTGATTTTGGCTTGTTGAGAGAGGTATAAATGTCTGGGATGTGTAGGGGTGTCGTTCGAGGAATTTGACATCAAATAGCCCTAACAGATTTTGATTCCATAGCCCGGAAAATGGCTTAGGAGACAGAGAGAATAAAGGAGATTGGCATAGCGGACTTCGCAATTCCCGTGGGAAACATGAGAACATGCTCATACGAGCCGAACCCTTCTTCTTGCTTCTATCAGTTCCGTATGATTCGGATATAGGAGATATCGGGCTCCATTTTACGGCCGAGCCTTGATTGGCAGACTCAGGAGTGCAATCTGGAGAGTTGAGGCCAGCGAGTGAACTTGGTGAGCTGTTGAGGGACTTCGACAACGGCGCCTCAATTGCTGTACCAAACGGCCGGAAGCTTTCTGGAGTAAAAGGTTCAGCCGGTATCCTAAGAAGTGGCGCCGAGAGCAGTGGTGCTGCCATCATGAGGGTATAAATATAGGTTAAACGAACGATTAATGAGTGATTGATGATCTTCCTTTTCTCCTTAATCTCGAATCTCAGGGTGGTCAGGTAGCTTGGCGCTTGCTTCATCGATAAGCGCTAAGAGTTAAGCCGAGGTTGAATGTTGCTTAGTCATTGGGTGTAAACAGCGGGTCTGCTCTGAGTTTATTTATGCTTAAGTATTTATTCAGAACCTCAAGACGACATCTGGACACGATATAGCTTCTTCTTCATGCTTGAAAGATGAGACAGATGAGGAGGTTATGGGGGACTTGCCCACCGATTAACCTTGAGGAGCTACATTCCAAGAGTCCAGCCAGATTAAAGGCTAATGGCGTTCCGAAGCTACCTGAAGGAGGCCACGAACTCAAGGACGTCAACAGTACTATACACTACTAAAACCACGCTTGGGGATGCCCAGGCTACTTCATCGCACTCCTCCGGTTCATGGAAGCGTATTCCTTATAGTGCATATAAATAGCCGAAAACATAGTTAACCTTGCCATCGCTTCGTTATCTGACCAATCAGCCTCAGCCTGGTCTTGGGGTCCTTGGATTCCGCCCATCGCCGTTCAAAGTCTTCTTTTATGGACTATTATCCATCTCACCAAACGCTGCGGAATATTTCCAAAAGCACACATGGCCGGTCACCTCTAATATTTCTACCAAGTTCACTGAGTATGAAGTCAGAGATCAAGCCCTCGCAAGAGGTGCATCCTGCCCAAATCGAACAATCCACAGAAACGCAAGATGATAACAGCATTCGGAACGAAGGTGTTTTTTCAGAATCTAGTGACCTGAATTATCCCCATGGAATAAAACTTGCCGTCATTATTAGCTCCCTTGCTATTTCGGTTTTCTTAGTGGCTTTGGTGGGCACACAAGGAGTCAAGAGGGATTATTTTGTCCTGAATTCTGCGGACTAGCTAACCACGTTCTATCAGGATGAAACCATAATTACAACTGCAATCCCAAAAATCACAAATGACTTCCGCTCAATCCAAGATATTGGGTGGTATGGATCTGCATAGTAAGTTGGTGATACCCTAACTTCCCTTTGGAAGGGATGATGCTCATCCAATATAGCTTCATGCCTTTCGCGGCCTTCCAGCTTATATTCGGGAAATTATTCTCGTTTTATCCCATCAAATATGTCTTCCTGGCCTCGATTTTCATTTTTGAAGTTGGATCCTTGATTTGCGGAACAGCTCCAACATCAAGCGTTTTCATCCTCGGTCGCGCTATTGCAGGGCTGGGTAGCGCTGGTATAAATGCTGGTTTCATCATGTAAGTCTTAAGCTGCCATTTCTTTCAAGTATACCAACTTACATATAGTCAGAATTTTAGCAAGTTCACTTCCACTCGCAAGGAGGCCAATATTTGTTAGTTCATACAGTGGTATGTATGGCCTGGCTTCTGTAGTAGCGCCTCTCCTAGGTGGAGCTTTCACTACAAAATTGACCTGGCGTTGGTGTTTCTATATAAACCTACCGATCGGTGGGATTGCCTTGCTGTCCATGGCCGTACTGTTCCATCCTCCCAAAGCCGAAAGGCAACCCAGCACCTGGCGTGAAAAGATTGGCCAGATGGACCTTCTCGGCACAGCAGTACTGGTTCCCGGTATCTTTTGTCTACTGCTCGCCCTTCAACTTGGAGGCTCCGTATACGAATGGAATACTGCGAAGCCGATCGCGTTGGTCATTATAGCTGCTGCGTCTGGGCTGGTGTTTGTCTTAATTCAGTGCCAGAAGCAGGATAGTGCTACTTTGCCTCCTCGAATTATAAAGCAGCGCAGCGTTGCATGCAGTGCCTGTTATGTCTTCCATGCTGGTGGTGCGCTTAGCATCTTTCACTATTTTGTCAGTGGCCCCTATTACCTATACTGGTTAGCAAAGCTAATCAAATTCTTAGTTGCCGATATGGTTTCAAGCTATCCAGGGCATCACAGCATTTGATTCTGGCACCCGTATCCTCCCGACTACTGTGAACACTGTTATCTTCTCAGTTATTGCTGGAATTGCTGTCGCCAAATGGGGCTATTACACTCCTCTTATGATTCAGGGAGCCAGTCTCCTAACCGTCGGGGGCTCTCTAATGACCTCTTTGGAGGTCTCGGCGTCTGCTGGAGAATGGATAGGTTATCAGATCATCGTCAGTGCCGGTGCCGGGCTTGGTATCCAACAAGCTCACACAGCGGCTCAGACAGTCCTTCCATCTGCTGACGTACCTACCGGCGCCGTCGTTATCATCTTCGCACAGATCCTTGGTAGTACTGTGTGGTTGTCCGTGGCACAGCAGGTTATGACGTCGCAGTTGCGTCGAGGTCTCAGTGCAATATCAGGCTTAGATCCTAACCTCGTGTTTGACAACGGAGCAACAGGATTCCGGACGATAGTTGAACCAAAGTTTATTGGTGGTGTGTTACACGCATACAATGCTGCATTAACAAGGACCTTTTTGTTTGCTGTTGCATTGGCTGCTGTAGCGTTGGTCTCTGCAGTGGCAGTGGAGTTTAGATCAGTTAAGAAAGTGTCAAGCTCTATCAAGCAACGCTAAGCTTCACATATCCAAACATCTAAAAACACATTCAACCCCTTGATACTCTTTTTAATGACCTTCTCGTTTCTATATTCTATTTTATCCTGTCACTTCGAGCAGTCAAGTTGAGGTTGGTCGGCAAGCCCACAGCTTCTGACTACAATTGTGTTACAATTCCCAGAATAAAGCTAGATACCCGCCTACCTTCTAGGAATACGATATACACCTTTACATATATCACCTATCCCCCGACATTAGGCCAAGTATAGCCTCCCACGGTCTAGCTAGTACTGCCTTCATCCTGGGTAACAGACATGTCTACCCTGACCTTACTCAATGTAGCTTGTACTTAGCAATCAGTAGTAGTGAATTCCATATTTGTTCGAGACACGAAGATAGTAAAGATGATAGTGAAATGGGCCTAAAAATGACCTCAATACAGCCACTGCGCTGGTAAGAGCATCGGCCACCCAATAAATAGAATAAGAGAGTCCCAATAAAAATGCACTTTGGACCAAACGCCTGCATCTATGACGTAAATATATGTGAAATATTCCCACCAGTACAAAATGCATCACCGTACCACCTCTATAATATCAGCTTGTGAATTACCGGCAACCTATGGCCTGGTAAGCGAATCATGCAAAACTTAACAGGAGGGTATATGCGCATCCTCTGTCAAAATATATATCGAATGGAAATACATGAAAAGCGTTATGAGCCGTATTCATTTATTCCGAATTAGCAGTGTGTCGATAGAATCAAAGTGGTCGCAATCAGTGTAGCTATAGTAAGGAGTTAGTTTGATCCAAATGCAGTCACACTGTGCCAAATGGGGAATAGATAGGAACATACATGTATGTCATACTGCTTCGGAGACTGTTCTGAATAACGTCTGGATGCCAGCGGAAAATATACATGACCATCGCCCAACTTAAACTGGCGAAGCATGGCCAAGCGGCGTCGCCTATACTTTCCCGGGCCTTTGGAGTTATTAGGAAAGACAACGGATGCTGGTTTGGGGCTATGGAGAGGCGTCCGAGGGCCAGCATCACTCGGGCAAATACGTAGATGACAATCTAAGGCGGTATATTAGTGATTGTCTTCTTTTTTGGCTATAACGGCCAGGCTAGGGTATATCGTAGGATCTGCACTAACCTGAAGACTGACGTCTCCGGGGGACCTGCCAAAGACGAGATATCCACCTAATAGGCCGGCAAGAAACGTATCATATGGGCCCTCCTTGCCCCAGCCGGTAGGGCCAATATACTTTAACGCCAGCATCGACGACTTGTAGACGACGGCGAAGTAGGCGAGGTTCCGCGCGTGTGTTTTTGTTGCGTTTAATACCATCCATGTCTTTTTCTTTAAACTATGCGTCCAAGACCATGTAAATATTTATCGATATGGGGAATAACCTGGGAGCTCCATACCTTCCTGACCGAAACAAAAATATCATCCTATGCGCAACAATACAACATCAGTATAAGTTATTTGAGGCTTTCCTCGTCATATGAATGGGTATCTGCCTTACACCAATGCATGTGGGAATCTGACTTTGGCGCCGTATACTGCGCCATTGCGAGCACTCTTGAGGATGGCGAGGAAAGGAGCAAGGTCGGGGTTGCGGACGAGTTCATTGAGGCTGGCCTAGACAAAGTGCCAGTTAGCAAATATACCCCGTACGGTAGATGAGTAGAATAAGAATATCGTGCCTTTATAGCGTCCATAATGTTTCAAGGTCACCGAAGTGAACCTATATCCTGACGATATGCCGGGCGTCGGAGCAGTGCAGTTATCAACCCAGATTCACTCGCACATATAAAGAAGGCCAAGCACTTAAAGACAGCGTAATATCGTAAGACTACTCAAGGTGTCAGGTTAATCGTGAAGGTGAAGCTGAAGAGTATGCGGAGTATCAACTGATTTCGGCCTTGTCTCCAAGATATCATAAACACATGCTACGGCCCTCGGCATCTTGGAGGGTGGATACTGCCAAGCCGTTACGGAACATATATCTTCCATAACTTCAGTCACATGATGTATGACATCAGCAAACTTCAACTTCCACTTCAACTTCCTCGATGCTAACTATGCACATACATGCCTGTCAAGAAACATTCTACCAATCTAGGACGGAGTGTGAAGAAATCTTAAATATTAATTATTAAATACTATATACCTATAAATCATTCATGGAGTTATATGCTTGGCATATAAAAAGATTGAAGGAAACTAGCGTGCCTTCTTCTAGCTAGGGAGCTTCTACTTCGTCACCCTCTCCGTCACCAAACGTAACGAATCCGTCGGTCTCGCTGCTCTCGGGGTCGGTGTTGGTGGGCTCGGGTTGTGGTCGTTTTTTCCCCCCGAAAAACCCACGCACCAATTCGTTGGCCGAGGCAACAAGGGCATTGGTATTGTCGCGCGTAACGAGTCCGTCGGTCTTGCTGCTCTCGGGGTCGGTGTTGGTGGGCTCGGTGGGTTTGTTAGGAGTAGGCTTAACCCGTGGTGGTTTCTTCGATCCAGGGCCCCCTAGAAACCCCAACCCAAGCAATCCTTTCTTTTTCCCTTTCCCTTTCCCTTTTCCTTTCCGTGCAACAAGGGCATTGGTATTGGCCCGTTCAGCTTCCAAGTTACCAGCCTCTCTGTTGAATAGCGAGAGCTTTGAAGCATCAGAGCTTCCTATAATGGAGTTGCCGATCTCAGTGTTAGGCGTCGGGGCAGCAATGCTGGCACAGACCATGAAGGCCGCGAGGATGGTGGTGGAGAAACGCATTTTTAACAAGGCGCGTTGTATGGAGTAGCCAGAGGAAGAGCAGGCTTGAAGAGGAGATGTGAAGAAACTAGGGATGAAAGGGGGATTGTACTGCTCCTTTTATGTCCTTCTGTCTCCTCTACTTCTAAAAGCACTCTACCTCCCATACGCCATATCTGCAACCCCCGCAAACTACGGAGTATGCATTGTAGATCTAGTCGATAGTGAGAATCTCATTTTTGAGTACACTGATACTATTATAGTATTCCATTATTAGCGTACACCATAATTTCTGGGGCGACGAATACCCATCGCTCGAATTACGCCATTTTGTCGGGTGCCAGCCTTATTCGTGATTCTCACCAATTACGCCGCCATTTTTTCCCAGTCCCATTTGATCGGCGATCGGCTCTCTTCAGCGCCTAAGTGCTTGTAATATCCCTGCAAATACTCCGTACCGAGTAACATATAATTGTCTGGGGTGCGGTGTTGATGGTGTTGACCTCTGTGTCATCTATAGAAGCCTTTTTGATTATCAGGAAATATCCTATTCTCAGCCAATATTTGCTGTTAAATGTCCCAGTGCGGATAGCAAACTTCTCGGCGTGGTGTTTTCAAGCTCCTCTTAGCTAGTCGAGTAAAGGAAAAGAATGGTTTTACCGTTCTCTGATCGCCCCTTCTTTCCATTGTCGTCCAGGTAAGGTGCGCACCCAATTAATATGCAGCGTAGATCTAATGAACAGCCTATCTCGTTTTTTGGGTACGCCACTATCACCAGCCCAGCGAACGCCCATTACCCTAAGCTTAAGCTGATATTAGGTGCCACGGTACGGATAGTCTGAGATACGAGATATTTGATTGATTTGATTGGTCAGGTGGGTCTGGAGCAATCTATGAGATTTCAATCTATCAAGCACTGATCATCTAAATACACGATATTGAGCTCCTATTTATGTTCCTCATACGGCCATGTATCTTGCCATCGCGGAGATGCCAGCTACAGCTGAAACAGGCGTTAAAACGCCGGGCGTAGCATTTGTTCGATGATGGAGAGCTGACACTGATATTTAATGAAACGGCGTAGTTGACTAACGTGTTTCGTACGATCAGGCAGTATTACACCGAATCTCCGTTCAACAGATAGACTATGTGATGCTTTTCGGAACCCCAGGGATCAAAAGTTTCTTCTGTATCCTAACAGCCGTGTGCAGTCATCCTGTGGTACCACGTCCGCTGCCTTCTTATTGCATCCGGTGGTCTTCCGAGTAGTCTATCGTCTACTTCGTGCATGTAAATAATATCCTGTTTTTACCGCAAAGTTATGAACCATGTGGCTCATGATTATTTACGGGGACTTCTCTGCAGGGACTGGGGTTGAAGGATAACACCACTATTCATAGACTCAATATTTAGATTACTCCTTATGCTGCGAGCTATCAGAAATTAAGTTTCCTTAATAAAAGTAAGTAAACTAAGTATAATATTGTAGTGGTGTGGATATAGAGAGTCCGCGTAGTGGAGTGGGATGATGATGATATGGCTCAGAGACTGGCTCATGATATGTACAGGATCAATCAACCTATCAACACGGTAAATGACAACGTATCAGCCGAGATATCAGTCAATGCGGCGTATCAACAGTGTATCGGCAAAGTAATATCCAGGGACTCTGCGGCTCAACTCATCAACTGCTCGTGGTGGTGCTGGTGCTGCTGTATCTCATCTCCTGCATGTGTGTATCCATGTGTGTCAAGCTCTGTGTGCTCTGGCCGGGTTACCTCTCTCCAAGGAGACCCGCAGATTGACCTACAACATAAAACAGTTGCACAAAGCAACTGTTGATATGATGGCCATGTGCGAGCCTGAGACTGTCGCCTACATGGTCCAGCAGGCCAACGCAAAGCTTGGGATTCCTCCCAGGATGATGCAAGATGACCTTGTTGCCGGGACAATTGCCGGCCTGGACACAATCAAGGCAACCGTAATGGGCGCTGTCTTCCACCTTCTTGAGCCCGCAAATGTGTCATGGAAGCGGTCAACGAACTCAGGGCAACGCCAGGAGACATGACACCCCTAACAAAGTTTGACCCAAGTCGTTTTCTTGAGCACAAGGACTCCATCGCTGGCTCGTTTTGCTTCATGCCGTTCGGGAAGGGTCTTCGGTGGTGCCCTGGGCAAGGAGCGGGATTAATGATGGTGAAGGTCTTTATCGCGACTTTCATATTCCCCCAACTACAATTGCAAGATGGCAATGCCGAAGAACCAGATTATCGATGCTTCGTGGTTCAACATTCACAGCAAAGCTACATTTGACATTGTTTGTGATGACGAAGACATATATTCAACTTCTGAGGATTTTCACAAAGAAATGAAGTAAATTTATTCTTCGAGAATCTAATAATATAATACGCAGGGCTAGCTACGTTCTATAGCTTTTAGTGACTTTTCTTTACAATCAGAGGATTTTTTGTTTATCTATGTCAACGGAAGTACACGATAAATCAACTCCTCCTTATCTAGTTGACTAGGGGCTAACTAACGCTCACATAAAAACAATCATCTTGTCGAGCAGCTGGAAAGTATTTTAACGTAATAGAGGTCAGGATACAGATTTCTGACGGTTAGATAACTATCTAACTAGTTTCATTTTGACCGACCCAAGCGTAACTCAGGAAGCTGTGCTGTAGGTACAGTGTACAGACCTAAATAACTGTGCGGCTAGATACCTCCAATTGCCAAACCTGGACAGTTATAGGTAAGATGCGCCTACGTAGGCTATATATAAATAACGGACTGTATATTATTCGTAATATCTATATGAATATACATATGTATATCAACGGTAAAAACACGTTACGCTGCGCCTAAAGTGGGAATTACTGGAATAGAAAATTCCCGTTGCAATTTCTGGGAGACGCGCACAACATCATCGCGGTTTCTCCTAGACGTGGCGACAAAGAACGCTGCAAACATGACAACCCCCGGCTGCGGCTCTGGAATGCGATCTCCATGACGGAACAAGCATGCCGACTTCGTGATTAACGCTCGATCGTCAGGGGGGAGCCGCTGGAGCACCTCGGCACAAAAGTCATTTGACGCGCAAATACCTCCCTTGTCAGCCCTGAGCCAGACAAGCTGGCTCCAGGCCCTTGCATAGTTTGGGAGGGCAGTACGTGGCTCAAAAGGTTCGGCTAAAGTTCGAAACCGCCGGTGGTCCCCAAGACACGCAAGCAAGTGCAAGTCATACATGTTTACACCATAGGCAGCTTCCGTTGCAATGACACAAGGGAACCCTGGCGGCCTGGGATTGATCTCGATCAGAAAACAGCGAGGTGCTTGGCTATTCTTGATGTTTGGCCTCGAACGCAAATCAAGCAAGCCATCTTTCTCTCTATATTCCATGGAAGAGTTTTGCACGCGGGCTTCAAGGTGGAAAACTCCGGTTTTGAGGCCAAACTGTAGTAAAATCTGATGCAATTTCTGGCGGACAATGGCATACTCGCTGGGCGGTAGCTTCGAAGGCAGGACGTTGGTGTTCTCCCAAAAGTCGCTACGGAGTGGGCCATTATCTCCCGGACTGGGGAAGTCGTCAGCAATCTCAAAAAAATAGAATTTCCCCATCAAGAAGAATGAAGTTGACGTCCAACTCAGGCCCGTCAATATAAGCCTCTATAAGCGCTTTCTTCCCAGAAGCTCCACAAGTACGCCTTACTCCCTCTAGCAGCTCGGCCTCGGTCTCAACTTTATAGACATGCTCCGAACCTGTCCCTAGTGTTGGCTTGACGATGAGGGGATACTGTGGAATAAAAGCTTCCTTTGCAATCTGATTCTTTAAGTCGGCCACACCTGAGACAAGGGCTGTTGGATCAGCGCCTCCAGCAACAAGCCTTGTCTCATGCTTATCGCTAGCACGTGCTATGGCGTCAGGGTATTCCGTCGGCAGGCCTAACATAGCTGCTGCTCTAGCAACAGGGGCTAAGCAGCGGGTTGCTATAGCGCAGACGCCGTCCACATGTCCGTATGATTTCACGGCCGTGGCTATTCGTATATGAAAGTCGTCGTCATGTGTCATGTCGACTGGTATGAAGTTTTGATACAGGTGTCGCATCGATGGATCCGAGATCCAGACTCCTGGATGGTCCAGAATGACAAATTTGATACCAAGTGCTGTTGCAGAGATATAAAAAGGAAGAAATGACTCCAAGTTTCTATGGCCATCGATCAAGGCTATAGTCTTTTGTTCCGGCTTATTCTCAACCAGCCACTGAAAACTTATTCGAGCCTTGACTTCCTCAAGGGCGGTAGCGTCATCGCTTAAATGAGGGTGATTGTCGGGGCGCACGATCATGAGAACACAGCCGTCAAGCAACTTCGAAAGCTTACAGCTATCTATACAGCCAAGCTGTTGCCCGAAGACAGTGCGGTCTTTAAAGATACCAATGTCAGCACACCCGGCAAAGCGCTCCTGGAAACATTTGGTACGCGCAAGATAGCCAGGGCGCGTGGGTATAACTACAAGGACGCGGCCAGCCCAAGAGGCCCCAGGGGTCAGCGGAGTATAGTAATCCACCGTGGTCAACAGTTCTTTCAGTCCGGTACTATAAACGCGTGTTAGATTGCTATATGCTGGACACATAGAGGCGGATAGGCCGTTAATTTAGCTTGTGCATACCTTTGATCATACACGATACGGTGGTCGCCTGCATCTGGCTGCACGCTGATATTGACATCCACAAAGATCAAGGCGTAGTAGTTGCTGGATGCCTCAGACGAGGAAACCATGGGGTGCCATGAGCATTTGACCTGCACCACACTTTCAACGGCGTTGTCATTTTCAATCAGAGGGCTGTTGCTATCACTCTTAACACCGTGGGGGAATTTCGTCGTTAATGCGTGTACCAATACTTTGTCGCCGTTCATCTTGAACTGCTCAGTTGAGTCTGATTGAGAAGCTAACTTTGAAGCTTGAGAGAGATGATATGATAGGCGGTTGACTATTGTTAGGCTGAGGTGTTTCTGCTTTGTGAAAAACGCACAAAAGTCTGGTTATTACTATCAAGCTGGAGCGGGGGAGGAGAGACGTGAACTTCGATGGAAGCAATATTCTCAGCCTCAGTATCATACACCCTACGTCATCTGTCTGCTATGATCTAAAATAACATGATGTGACAACGCCCGTATTGCTTGCATGGCCTTTGGCTTGGCCTCCTTGGTCAGTTTAAATTTGATCTATTCCGAAGATTTGTAACTCCGAGGATAAACACGGTACGGAGGAATTACTAGAAAAAGCAAGTTATACATAACTTGCTCAGGGTGGATAACGTACCCATGGATGCATTGCAGAGAGCTCTTTGTTCATGCTTATGGTGGACGGAGTACACCTGGGCAATTATACTAACTACTTCGAGGTAGATCATCTTTATTTAACGCGGCTTGGCGCGCTAATCGCTAGTAAGGTTCTTGCCCCCCTATTAACAGCCGTTATTTCTTTTTGTTATTGTTGTCATTGCTCCCTTTACACCTACCCACAGGCATACCAATACGCCGGGTTAATATCAGTTGTGGTATCAGACTAGGATTTGGGAAGCGTCTCTAGCCGGCCCTCTTCTTTAACAGGCCAGCAGCCTGTTGACTCTTGGCCAGGGATCGGTGATCACCTGGGAACTGGCTGCCCAGCTAACGAGAGAAGTCATCATATAGACAAAGAGGTCCACGGCCTTGTTGAAGACGCCATATAAGCCGCCTAGCGGGTCCTTGAGGAAAGAAAATATTTGCAAAAAGGCCTTTGCGTGCCTGAGGTGGGCCTCGGATAGCTGAATAGCAATCTCTGAGAGAGAACCCTCCCAGAGTTGTATTGCGTAGCTGGATGCAGTAGAGTCTGTCTTATAATCAACTGAGACAGTAATGAAGCTGTCCTTTTGATAATGGGCAGTCTTCAAATGTTGTTGCTGTTTTTGCATCTGATGTACCACCCACTGGCCTTCTTCCGCGATCTGGCTCTTTAACCGAGGGAGTTTTGTATTTCCAGGCAGTCGAAATAGAAGTAGAAGACAAGACAGAGCTTATAATACTGATGCACCCTGCTGGTATACCTCGTTCGGGAAGCTCGGATAGCATATAGCTCATTCTCCCTAGCTCGGTCTCCAGGTCTCCATGAACGAGCCAGTCATCGTGTGAATGGTACATTGCGAACACCGTCTCGGTCGTGGGGAATATCCTTGGAGGTAGGATCTCCAAGGGGGAAGCTGCGTCAAATATTCGGAGAAGGGCCAGGTCCACAAGATCTTTAGATTTCGGGGCAGTAATATCTGATGGTAAGAATCGTTTTGCTGGTGATATGATGTGGCCCTTTGATGTGTGCGGTGCTGCTTGGAAATTTGACTTGATGACATCGATTTAGAGTGGAGAGTTTGCAATTTATCTTCCGCAGTGGGCATTTAACTCGCTAGTTAGTTACGGGGTAAAGAGTTAAACTGGCCGTTTAACTATAAAAAACCTAAAACAACACAGAGATCGTGGCTGATCAGCTTTTAAATAGTAGCCACAGGCACTCTAGACCTCTACAACAAGCAATCCATGGAAGAAGCTACAATATAGAAATCTCCAAGGGTAAGAATGCTAGCCGGTATTGGAGGGAGCTGCACGGAGGTGCACCCCCCTTACTAAATTCCAAGGAAGCATCTATAATACCGCTAAGTCGCCCGTCTAAATAGCCACCAAACGGCGGAGTGAGGGATACCTCCACGGACAAGCAAAGAAACGCAAGAGACATTTTTCAGGTGCATGCATGGGCGGGCTCAACGTGGCGACCGAGCTGAAACGAAATGACGCCGTGATAGGGTAGCTGATCCCGAACCTCCCCGTCCCCTGCTGCTGCCTTTATATATGTACATGTGAGAACGCATACTCCATGCGCTGCATTGCTCTAGTGCCGTCCGAGCACTGGGCCTACGAGATCTATACATCGGCCCCCAAAGTGCAATCTCCGATATGCAAGCCCCTGTCCCGTTGGAAGGTAGATCATATTCATGGTTAACTACCACTATGGCGGGTTGTCTTGTACTAATAAACCGGCATGCAGCATGTTGCATTACATCGTCTAATACTTTTTTCTCTTCTTTCCCTCTCCTTTCCTTTCCCGTTTCTGTCCTTGCCTTTCCACGCTTTTTCTTTTTCTTTTTCTGCTTGCCTCTCAAGCTTACTAACTAACCCACTCCGGACTACCTAGTTAATAGCTAGTCGAGTACGGAGTAGTTGGGTAGTTAACTAGGAGGCTAGTAGGATTCATTCCCACCAAGGAAAAAAAAAGCCATTTCCATCCAACATTCAAGACTCGCCCATTACTGCTGCCTTTTGAAATCATGGCTGTGCCTTGCAACGAGAAGGACAATCTTGCGCGCTGCGAGAAACATTTGGAGGACGCTCCTGATACTGAAACCTCCGCTGTGCCGCCATTGGATATCAATGCACCTCAATATGATCTAAATGTGCCGTCTGAGGAGGAACTGGCAACTTTACGACGCGTCGGGAGCAAAATCAACAGTACGGCATGGTTGGTGGCAATTTTCTCTGGGGCCGAAAGGTTTGCATTCTATGCCTTGCAAGCACCGCTGCGTAATAAATATACAAAGGACCCCAACCTTCATCGCCTCGACTTACCGTTCTTTTTTAAATATAGAGAACTATATTCAAAATCCAGCTAAAGACTTTGGGAGGCCAGGAGCCTTGGGTATGGGCCAGTCGGCGGCGACTGCACTAAACACTTTCCTGAAACTGATCTGCTATACCACGCCTTTATTTGCAGGAATACTTGCAGACGGTCATTGGGGTCCTTACAAGACACTTGTGCGCTCCTGTTGGTAAAGAATCCGTCTTCCTAGAGTCAATGAAAGTTACTATAGCACTGACTACCTGTAGGATATATCTCTGCGGAATCCTGTTGCTTCTTCTTACTTCTATCCCACAGGCACTAGATGCAGGAGCTGGCCTAGGGGGCCTTATTGGGTCGTTTATTTTGATAGGGCTTGGTGTTGGAGGGGTGAAATCGAGTGTTGCGCCTTTTACAGGTACCCATTCCACTAACCAGGCTATTTGAGAGGGGATAATCATCGACTAAGGATGGTTGTCTTGTTAAAGCCGATCAGATACGTGGAGACCAGAAACATATTGCCGTTCTCGAGACAGGTGAACGTGTCATCGTGGACCATGAGCTGGCTGTGAGACGGGTCTACAGCATCTTTCACTGGTGTACGAATGTCGGTGCACTTTCTGGCCTGGCGAGCACTGCGTTAGAGAAATATCTCGGTTTCTGGACATCATTCCTGCTTGCACTAGTCGCACTTGCTTCTGGGACCCTGATTCTCATCCTAGGACGTGGAAGATACTGTCAGTCAGCGCCCTTTCAATTTAAGTGTGTAATTTGCGTCGTGCTAACTAGAGACGAAAGACCAGCGAAAACCTGAAGCCAGCTTTCGCGCCAAACTCTTGAGTGCCCTGGCCTGTGCAATCAAGGGAGGGTTCAATCTTGATGCTGCTCAACCGGAAGCTCAACTCGAAAAACATGGCCGGACCGTTCCTTGGGACAATCAGTTCATTGAAGATCTCCGGCAAGCGTTAAAGGCTTGTAGAGTTTGGTAAGTGCTGCTGCCTCTAGCTCCCTATAAGTTTGCTACTAGAACTGATGATAATGGATATAGGGCCATGTATCCTATTATATGGCTATGCTATGACCAAAATCAGACCAATCTCGTATCTCAGGCCGGCCAAATGGTAACTTATGGTATCCCAAACGATGCATTGGCCAGCTTGAACCCCATTTGTGTTTTAATTGCTGTACCAATGTTCGAAAGCTATCTCTATCCTTACATGCACAAGTTCAATCTCCCATCTCGGGCAACCGTTAGGATGTCGATTGGGTTTGCTCTAACCGCAGCCAGTATGGCTATTGCATCAGGCGTACAACAGGTAGTATACAATGCGCCGCCCTGCTATAACATGCCCCTAGAATGCCCAGCGTCGGAGAATGGAAACATACCCAACCAAGTGAGTGTATTCTTACAGGTACCAATATTCGTTACTGGTGCGATGGGCGAAGTGCTATGGCTAGTGGCTGGATCTGAATACGCATACAACAAGGCAGCGTCGCACATGAAATCAACCCTACAAGCCTTTACGATATTGACGGCCGCTCTGAATTCCGTTCTGGGGCTTGCGGTTGCCCCTGCCGCCCATAATCCAAACCTAACGATCTTATTTGCATCCATCGCCGGGGCAATGGGCGCTACTACGGTTGCCTTTGGTCTAATATTCTGGAAAAGTGATTGAGAAGATTCTAGAGGTTCCTCGCTGGTAGTTTATCTTTATAAAACAAAATATCGCCGTTGAAATGCAGCTTCTAGACTCGCACGGTGACCCTATGTCAGACTGGTTTTTCGAGAACGGTGTTGTTGTTCCATCAGCTCAAGCCGTTACTCGACTCTCGGGGAACGGGATAAGGGAACTTTTTTACTTTGCAACAGCCCTGGGTAGCACTCACTTGTATGTCACAAAGAAGAAGAATGCGATGCTATCCATTGCACCCTACGACAATATAAAGGGTATATATAGATATTTCTTCAATAGTACCAATTTGCTCACAGATTGACTGACCGTCTAACTACCTACCCAAATCCTCACCAAGAGGGCCACATATTTTGTGTCCAAAAGCCACCACCTGTGTCAGCACTTTTGGTAATACCCCAATTTACTGCGTACTTCTTGTGTACCGTTATTTATCATGGTTAAGGTGCTTAAAAAAAGAAAATATATTTTAACGCACCCCGTAGATCGGCAATCTATAAGAAGCCAAGTTCTACACAAAATTGAGTCAACCAATCGCAAATAGCCACTTGATATAAGGATTCTTCCTCAATCCCCGACTTCATGCTGTTCTCGTCCACTTATTGCGATTGCCTTAAGCCCGATTACATTATTCCCAACTTCGGGTTTGGTTTGCGGGAGCCTCCGAGCCTCCGAGGACATCGCAGATCAAGCTGCCGGCACCACATCTCTGAAATTATCCAATCAAGCTACTTGCACTGTCGATTATTCGTTGATAATCCTGTCGGCCGTGCTGCTCACATGGCCATCTGGGCTGACTGGGTGTCGGACGACGGTCCAAATAGTAAATCTAATGCCATCCGCGCGATCCCCCTATATTCCGCATCTCATTTCGGTTCTGATATTGTTGAAGTCCTTAAATTTCTCGAGCCTGCTTTCACTGCGAGTGGTTTTTGTTTCGGTTTGGGTGACTGAAGGAAAAGGAAACAAGCTTAAAAGAAGGGATTTCGTATTCTTTTTTACGGAATATATCTTCTCTTCTTCTCTCCCTATATAAGTATTCTGTATGCGCGCTTCCCGTGTACCCCATTTTGAGTGCACCGCTATCACAAGTCCTAGCGAATGCCCGTTGCCTTAAAGTTCGGGCGCCACATACCAGATATCAGCGGTAGTAGACGCATTTCTTTATAGCAGTCCGGGCGTTAGAAGAAGAAAATATATATGTTCACACAATCCCATATCGAGAGACTTCTTGTGCTTGGTTCGTTTGCTTTTGTTGGGAAAACTTAATTTCTGATAAATTGCAGCATAGGGTACTAGTATCCCTAGTAATGAGTCTGTGGATGGACATGCTGTCATCCCTCAACCCTCCGACCCCCTGAGAGGCTCCCGTAAACAATTACTGCCACATGATTCATAAATTTGGGGTGGAAGGAGTGGTATCCGAGGAGTTATTAGATAGAAGTACTCCGTATCAATTTGAGAATTCGGCACATCCATGTGTATTGTCTAGCTCATCATCAAGGTATAGTTATGTCTAGACGATGGACTCTGTAAGTACCGAGCCTTCGGTTGATTGCTATTACCACAGGCCCCTAGACATAACAATCAGAGGAATCAAATGGGGTTTATCTCTTCGATGGTGAGAATAACCAAGGTGATAACTCATGGAGGCGGCTTCATAGATGGCATCTTGACATCCAGAGATGAAGTTCAACTTGTCTGCTTCTCCTGCCGTCAAAATAGACTTGGAAGCTGACTCATCCATCTTAGTCATCCTCAGCCGAGCTCTCTCACGGAGTATATATACTCCGTCGGTTCGGCGGTTCTGGCGTGGGGGTTTTATGCAAGTCCAACACATCAACTGATGGAAAAAGCCGCTGTCAGGAATGTTTAGATCAGAAGGATATTTCTCCTCGCCCGTCCCCGCCCACTAGAGGATAGGTTCCCCTCATATACAGCAGGCCTAGAAGCCCGGATCCGCGTGGACTTTCTCCATCCGACGTTAACTTGTTATATCGAGCCCGTCTGTTTACATCCTGCTTGACGCTTCTACATTAGCAGCCATCCTAGTCGCCTCAGTGTTGTCCGTCATTCATTCGACATCGCCGGCCTCCTGAGAATATCAGGCCGTAACGCGTGGTTCAAGCAAACTCTATGTGTTAAAGCGTCTCAGGGTATCCTTGGTACTGTATAGCCCAGTGAGAAAAATGGTGCAAACGTCCCGAAAAAAGATATCGTTTCTAGGTTCAACGCTCCCGGCCAGATCTTCTGCACAGCGTTCGCCTCTGAAGAAGCAATATACGCTGCACTCCGCACCTTATACATGAACCGGCGAAGAAGAAAAGATGGACGAAGCTGGTCACAAAAATATCCGATGGGCCAAGGAAGAGAGTGCCAAGACTTGGAGTGCAGCCTGCCTTTTCCCTAAACGGCAAGTCCATGCGGGCGATCCCGTGATCTGACCAATCGGGAAGTCGAAAAGCTTCAGCGGACTTGGTTTTCTTGGCACTCCACCAGCCAAAACTCTTGGGCGCGAAGGCAAGAGGGAACGAAGATAAAAGTTGAAGCCAGCCGCGGTCTGTCAGTGGCTGCTGGCCGGCAACTTGCACCATGCTGCTTCGTGTTCCAGGTCGGTGGGCCGCGGAGGACCAGGACAGTACTTAACATGGCCCCAGTCACTCTGTATCTTCTATCTTTGTTAAATATCATACAAAGTACCGGAGAAGGATAGAAGCAACGACATATCACAATGACACCACATCCGTTTGATCCGGTGACGCCTGCTGAGCTCAGGTTGGCTGTAAAGGTCCTCGAGAATGCATTTCCGGGAGTTCCTCTGCGGTACAAGGTGGTTGACGTGCAGGAGCCGATCAAGAAGGATGTTGTGCCCTATATCGAGGCGGAGAGACTGTGTGTCTCCCTCCCCAGAAAGCCAGCTCGCCTACTCATGGCCTTGTTCCATCGGATGGACACCAAGAGCTTCATGAAGGCGTTGATTAATATCGATACCAGGGCGCTGCTACACGCCAAGGAGCTTCCCAAGGACGTACAGGTGAGTTCATCCTAGCGAGCATGGCCTACACGTTACTGACATGCTCATAGGGCCCGGCCGATGTAGATGAACTGATAGACATGGAAGAGCGCTGTCTGAAGCATCCTGCTGTCAAGGCTGAGATTGAAAAGTTGAACCTCCCTCCAGGTGTCACCGTGTGTACGGATCCATGGATCTACGGAACAGACGACCAAGGCGAAACCCGCCGTCTATTCCAGTTTTACCTGTACATTGTCGACACGGATAATCTACAACATAATCACTACTCGCTACCATGCACGATTTCTCCTGTTTTTGACTGCATGACCAAGGAGCTAGTCCGCATTGACCGACTGCCGACCGGAGCGGATCATTCGACGACTCCCACTCAGCCATGGAAGCCAGCCAAGGCCGTGCAATACGCTCATGATCTGCTGGAGGAGCCGCTCCGAACGGATCTCAAGCCGTATATTGTGCAGCAGCCCGAGGGGCCGTCGTTCTCACTGGATGGGAACTTGGTGTATTGGCAAAAGTGGCGGTTCCGTGTTGGATTCAACTATCGTGAAGGGATGGTGCTTTATGGGGTTACCTATGACCGACGCAATGTCTTCTACCGTCTCGCTGTGAATGAGATGACGGTACCTTATGGAGGTGGGTCATATGCAAGTTACATCAACGTTTGACATTACTTACCCCTATATAGATCCTCGAGCGCCATACCACCGCAAACAGGCCTTCGATGTTGGAGACGTCGGCTTCGGAAGCACGGCCAACCAGCTATCACTAGGATGTGACTGTCTCGGCCACATCAAGTACTTTGACGGCTACCGGATTGACTCAAAGGGCAACCCGGTCCTGCTCAAGAATGTTCTCTGTCTACACGAACAAGACAACGGCATCCAACATAAACACACCAACTACCGCTCCCAAGCCGCCACTGTGGTCCGAAACCGCCAACTCGTCCTACAGATGATCTGCACGGTTGCCAACTACGAATACATCTTTGCCTGGATATTCGATCAAGCGGGAAACATCGAGCTTGAGGTACGAGCTACAGGCATACTGTCTACTATGCCCATCGACGAAGGAGTGTCGGTCCCCTTCGGCACCAACGTCGCCCCGGGAGTCATGGCTGCATATCATCAGCATATATTCAACATGCGCATCGACCCCGCCATAGACGGCCATAACAATACAGTAATATACCAAGACAGCGTTCCCATGCCAGATGACCCAGCGACGAACCCTTATGGTGTAGGATACGTGCAGGAAACTACCGTCCTAAAACGCTCGACGGCCGCAGACCTAAGTGTACCTGATGCACGCGTCTTCAAGATCAGGAACGACAACATCATCAACCCCACATCCGGCAAGCCGGTGGCATATAAGCTTCACGCTCTACCTAGTCAGCTCATGCTCATGCATCCACGCAGCTTTAACAGGAAACGAGCACAGTTCGCCACACGGTCTATCTGGGTGACCAAGTATCACGACGACGAACTCTACGCAGCCGGCGAGTTCACTAACCAGAGTAGAGCCAGTTCCGGCGTTGAGGAATGGGTGGCCCGAGATGAAAACGTCGAGAATACAGACGTAGTCCTATGGCATAGTATGTCCCTTACTCTTCCTTTATGTATACATGCTAACGAACAACAGCCTTCGCACTCACGCATAACCCACGACCAGAAGACTTCCCCGTGATGCCCATGGAGAAGATAAGCATCATGCTTCGACCGGATGGCTTCTTCGAGAAGAATCCTGCCCTGGACGTCCCGCAATCGACGCAGAACGTCAACCGGTCCTCGCTGCATGTTGATACTAAGCCGAGCGAGCGCCAGGAGTGTTCATGCCCAACCTCGAAGCTATGACGTGGTAATGATCAACGAACGCAGTGTACATAGGTTAATCTATCATTCTAGATCTATCACTCTAAGTATCGAAAGTATCGACGAGGCGAGTTCAGGAGGTCTTCGGTCAGAAGTAGATGATACCACACTAGTACCCATATACGATGATACCGTCGTGGCCATCAAGGTCGAGCAAGTCTATTTCTCATGGTTGCCCCTGACAATTAATATGGAAACTCTGAGTATATTCCTATGTGGTGGCCAATCCCCGGTGAAACAGCGAGCCATCAACGTTAAACAGGAGTAACCAGTTCCTCGCGGGGTATCATTCAACTCTATCAGAATACTCTAGCAGTAACCAGTAACCAGTAGTAACCAGGGCAACTTGTCAGGGACGTGCAGGTACTCTTGTGCATGAACGAATCAACAGTGGCGTCGGTTCATTGTCAACTGTATCCGACTTATCTATCCATCTATCCGACTTATCTATCTCTATCCTGTGTAGAGTATGTGGTAGAATGAAACATCGGCGACTATTTGCCGTCGAAACGCCATCAACCAGGCAACGTCAACTGGATCACACCGTCGTATGTGGGAGGACGCTGTTCCATGCCATGTCCCACTCCATCTTCGACTGTCCCACCCCATCTTCCATCTTCGACTGTGGACAGGAAACAAGAAACAAGAAACAAAGCTTCATCCCTGCGATCGAGAACCGGCGAGCAGGGATGAGCCTGTCTGGCCTGTTTCTCCCATGGATTAGCCTGGCAACAAGCGAGCCAAAAGTCCGAGAATAGCGCCGCCGTGCAGGGTTTGAAACACGTCTGCTTCTGCTCTGGCCGGTGGGCTCGCGGCTTGCTCTCGTAGGCTGTATAATAATAGTATGTGGCTATGCAAGCCATTGGGAGGTGAATAGTGGACGATATCAGGCTGAGCTGGCGGACGCTCTTTGGCTGTCTCTAGCGACGTGAAACTGAAACTGGCCGCTAAGCTATACATAAGCTCGTCTCTTCCTCTTGTTCATCATCTTCTTTCTCATCCACCTCAATTGTCAAGATTGTCAAGATGGCCCGTCTCCTCCTGCTCATCACGCTGGCCCTGCTCTGCCTCGCATCCGCAGAGCCTCTCCGCCATCGCCAGCTGCGTAAACACCGTCCGCGCGACGAGGACACGCCCGTCTTCTCGCTGCACAACCTCTCGCTGAAGCTCTTCCACAAGCGAGCTGTGCCCGCTGACCCTGTGCCCGTCGCCGCCGTCGTCGCTGTCGAGGAGGCTCGCTTCAAGCGCGTGAGGAGACAGAACACCGGCGACATCACCACCTCGCCCACGATACCACCTTCAAGTACGGCCAGTCCCAGTCCCAGTCCAACTGCTTCTCCCACTGCCTCTCCTACTTCTGGCCCGGAGTCTCCCACCGCGGCTCCCACGGACAACAGCTCATCTTCTCCTGCAGGCACTCCCTCGCCTACCACGCCGACCTCTCCTACGTCTCCTACGAGTCCTACGAGTCCTACTGATACGCCGACTGCTACGCCCACCGTCACTCCTACTTCTCCCACTGCTACTCCTACGACGCCGACCGAGACTCCTACTTCTCCTACCTCTCCTACTTCTCCCTCCGAGACGCCTACCATCACGCCTACCGTTACTCCTACGACCACTCCTACGACGCCCACGACCACTCCTACCACGAGAGAGACGACCAGAGAGACAGACGGCACCACTCTCACGACCGAAACATCTCCTACTCGCACCACCAGCTCGCCCTCCGAGACCTCTCGCCCAGCTACGTCTAGAGCCACCACGCCTACTACTACTAGGCCCCGTTCGTCTTCTACCTCTACCCAGGTCGGCACCACGACCGCGGCCGACGGCTCAGTGCACACCTACACCTCCGTCGTGGTCGTCTATCCTACTCCCTCGGACGTGGGCAACGGTGGCGGCAACGGCTCCCCGGCTCCCTCGGCCACTCCGACGCTGCAGAACGGTGCGGCCGGTGTTTCGAGCGTGGGGCTGACCGGTGTCTTTGTTGCTGTTATGGGTGGTGCTGTCGGTGTTGCTCTCGTTCTCTAGTTTAATAGACCTGCATTAAAATGGTGGTGTTGACTTGGCGCTAACGATTTTCCTATCCGCTCCTTATACGATTATCATGAAAAGCGTCCTGTTTTTCCTGTTTCTATCTTTTCCTGTTCCTGTCCCTCCTGTTCCTGTTCTGTTCCTGTCCTGACCCGTGTGTGTTTGACTTTTGTTTGACTTTGTTTCCGAGAAACATGTATCAGATCAACCTAAATAGATCAGACTTATCACGTCTCACCATAAACACGGTATCATCATTCATTACTATTACGTATCAAGTTCATTTATCCTTCGGCCGCTGCCCGTACACCACATACCCCGTCATATACGCATGTATCTTCGGATCCAAATAGTCCCTCTTCAACTTCACCAGATGCTCCCTCACCTTCTCCTCGCTCCACCCCATTATCCTCGTCAACAACGCCATCGACCATCCCTCCATCCCTTCCATGGCCTGCAGCTGGTTCCAGGCCCCGATCTCCTTCATCTTCGGATCCTTCGCCCACGGCCCAATCGGTATCTTCAGCTTTTGTTCCGAGATGTTGACGAAGCCTGCGTCTCGAGCCCAGCCGGCAAGGTGCGGGCCGGGACAGGCGGTCTGGCCGATCTTCTCGGCCGCGCGCGTCGTCTCGGAACAGTTCACGTACATTTCGTGTGATGGGAGGAGGGAGTTGTCGTCGCTGCGGAAGAAGAAGTCGAAGTCGTAGAATTCAGCGTAGCCGTTTGGTTCCAGGTTTCTACCTAGTTAGCCGTAGTACGTGGATATAGGTAAGGTAAACATACTCGAGGACGCGGCGGAAGAGACGGGGCCAGTCTCTGATGGAGGAGGCCATGAAGCGGCAGTGGATGTAGTCGAAGGGAGCGCCGTGGGCCCAGTCGTTCTCGACATCGTCGACTTCAAACTGCACGTTTGGCGGCACCCTGTCTCGTCAGTCACACTTACATATCATATCGTAAGGTGCACTTACAGTCCTGGCTGGATCGGGCTGAGGTCGTTTCCTATGATCTACCACGTCTCAGCTTCGTTCTTCGTTCTTCGTCCATGCCGTCTTGCATACCTTTGCATCCGGGTATCGATCAGCTAACTCGTTAGCCCAGTAACACTCTGCTTGCAAAGGCCGTAGCTCACCCATATCAATCGCCCACTCGCCCGTCCCCGTCCCGATGTCCAGCACTCGTCTGATATCCGCCGGGATGGGCGCGAGGAACAGTCGTCCGCCGAGAACGAGCCTGAACAGATGCGCGAGTATGTCCATGTGTTCCTGTTCCTTTTCATCGTTGGGCAGCAAGTATCCTTCTCACGTCAGCACTCATCCGTAGACTCAGTAGGTGGACGACGAACGGCCTTCCTGGTACTTGTGATATCGACGGCCATGCTCGTAGGTGTATTTCATTATACTCGAGGTCAGCGAGGCCGTGGTGCTGGATCTGTGGCCATGGTCAGCGCTGAGCATGCAGCAAGGGACGGGACGCCCACTGATCGGAGAATGCAGAGTCCAGGATCGTTTCGCGCTGCAGGGTATTAGCATGGTTCGTAAGGGAGGGCATAAATTCTATCAAGAGGAACGCAGGACGCAGAACGCACCGAGTCGTCGACATCGATCACCTCGTTGGACGCGACCATCGGAACTATCGTCGTTAGCTCTCTCTCTCTTTACTGATGATGCCGTACTCACCTTCGCCGGAAGGCATCTTGACGCTCTTATCCTCTTCCTATACTGCGTGTACTGGTTGAATCTCAGTCCGACGGTGTACAGAATCGCAGTCGCAAACAGGATAAAGAAAATATCCTCGCCCAGAACATGCGGGGAGTTATAGACAAGGGATCAGTCCTTTATTAATCCGCCATTCACAGCATCAACTGCCCGATCCCTGCTCTCTCTCTTTACCTACTTTCTACTTGGTGGAGCGACTAGTTGCGGCCCGCTCGCTTCACTCAGCCTGCCTATAGAACAGATCGCTATACGGAGCCGGACGAGATTTGCGGCCGTCCACCTTTCTTTTGCCTGGCCTACTGCAGGCTGCCCAAAGAGTCGAGGACGACGTCGAATGGGAGCGAGCAGCGCTGTGAGACGGACGGCGAACGAAGGGCGACAGCTGGCCGCATGCATCCATCCGTCATCCTGGAGATACAGACAGTCGGGCGCTTCCCGCGGTTAGATACAGCTACTAGTATACATATCACCGTATATATCCTATATCATCGCATCACCAAGTATATCATATCATATTACAAGATAATATATCACGCCCTCCACCGCTCCGTGGCAGTCCAGTACTTGACCAGCGCCGTCCATCCCAGCAGGTCGCCGTCTCGCAGCAGGGCGGCAACGTCAACGTTCAGCGGCGAGTCCGGGCTGGGGTCCGTCAGCAGCTGGTGTATCGCCGACAGGGTGCTGGAGATGGTGTAGACGGGCGTCCAGTGCTCCGACGTGAGCAGCGTGAGACAGATGTCGCCCGTCTTGAACGAGATGTTCGGATGGCAGATGCGCGTCGAGAAGGTGATCTTGGGCGGGTGCAGAGGGTACGTCGGCGGTATCGCTATGTGCAGCAGCCAGAGGCCGTCTATTCCTGTCAGCTCGGTCGTCTATATCTAGCGGCAGTAGAGATACCTTCGTAGGGAGTGTCGGGGACGCCGCGGAGGACGGCCTCCCAGTGCAGCAGGTCGTCGTCGCTGACGGGCGCGAGGGAGACGAGCGACTCGTTAGGCGACTTGGAGTATTCCTTTAGCTCGCGGAGGAGGCGTTTCGTGGTCGTCGTCGGTATCTCAGCCATTGTGTTGTTGTTGTTGTTGTTGTTATTGTTATCCTGCTCTGTAGCTATTGTTATTGTTATGATGATAGATATATCCTGTTTTGCCGAGGTACGCGATGACGGATGTGGCTGAGACTGTGGCTACGATATCAAGTCGACAGGAGGAAGAAGAGAACAACAGCAATGCGCGCCTCCAGAGTATCGCGAGAAGCAGCCAGGCTTGCAGAGGCCCTGGCTGCGCGTCAGACGAGGTCGGTCGCGGTCAAGAGAGAGGACAGAGACCGCCGTATAAAGGAAGACATCAACGTCAAAGAAGAAGTCAAAGAAGAGGTCAAAGAGGTCAAAGGGGTCAAAGAAGAGACTGAAGAGACAAAAGAAGTCAAAGAAGTGAAAGACGACAGCTCAGGGCTGTCGTCCGCGAATACAACCGACATCGAAGACCTGTTGACTACGACGAAGAAGCGAAAGCGAGAACGGAAGCCGACTACACCTACGACAAAGAGCAGACCCCCTCGCAAAGTCCTCGTCAAGGAGGAACAGAAACATGAAGAGAAGAAACCGGCTGGTCGAAAGCTGCCTGCGCGCAAAACTACCACCCCCAATGGCGAGGTCGTGATAGCTCCCCCGTCCAACTGGGAGACCATCTACGATACAGTCAAACGCATGAGAGAACGCGACCCGACCGCCCCCGTCGACACGATGGGATGCGCAGAGCTATACTGGCGCTCATCCTCACCCCGAGACAGACGGTTCCAGACCCTGATAGCACTCATGCTCTCCTCCCAGACCAAAGACACCGTCACCGCAGTCGCCATGCAGAGACTCCATACCCAGCTCTCAGACGAGACCTCCAACACTCCCATAGCCGAAGTATGGGACCACGAACACCAGACAGCACCCAGCACGCTGACCCTTGAACGCGTCCTCGCTGTCTCCCACACCCGCCTAAACGAACTGATAGGGACAGTAGGCTTCCACAACAACAAGACCAAATACATCAAAGCCACGGCCGAGATACTACGAGACGAATTCGACTCCGACATACCCTCTACCATCCAGGGATTGACCAGGTTACCTGGCGTGGGGCCCAAGATGGCATATCTCTGCATGAGCTCCGCATGGAACAGACACGAAGGCATCGGCGTCGACGTCCATGTTCATCGTATCACGAACATGTGGGGGTGGAACAAGACGAAGACGCCAGAAGCTACTCGTGCGGCGCTCGAGAGCTGGTTGCCCAAGGATAAATGGCATGAGATTAATAAGTTGCTTGTCGGGCTGGGACAGACGGTGTGTTTGCCTGTTGGTAAGAGGTGCGGGGAGTGTGATTTGGCTGGGACGGGCTTGTGTATAGGGGAGGTCAGGGGGAAGGGGAAGAGAGTTAGGAAGATGGATGAAGAGGATGATGTTAAATTCCCTGTTGTCAAGGGAGAGAGTCTGATCAAGGAAGAAAGTCGTATCAAGGATGAAAGTCGTATCAAGGATGAAAGTCGGATCAAGGATGAAAGTCGGATCAAGGGAGAGGTTGATGTCAAGAGAGAGAGTAAGATCGGTATCAAGCTTGAGCCGTGATTTTGATATAGCGAGAACGTCTTTCTTCTAGCGTTTAGTGTATACTAGATTTGTATTCTAAGTGATGGTCTATATATGCGTTCGTAAGTACGGGTAAATGTTTGCAGTAAATATTTATTTACCACAGTTTGACTCCAACACCACATCCACCACAAGTACGGCCTACGATCTACACGAGGATAGCTATCCAAGATATCTACGATAGATATATTTTAATGATCGATGTAACGATTATAAATTACGCAGTCATCACATCATAGCATCGATGACCCCGCCACGATGCCATCCATTTCGATCTCCCGATTTGCGCAAATGCAACAGCGTCTCCTCCTAGCAGAACATGAAGACGAGATATCTTCCTCCCCTCTATCCTCCTCCAGCTCCGGTTCCACGCCCGCATCCGCCTCGACGCGCCGTGCACTACAAAATGCCGGCCGCGCACTTACGGGAATGGTACTCACAAACTGCCGAACAGGCATGGGCGGACGAGAAGTGGGAGAATTCGGAATTGATACCGCGTTATCCGGACCCAGTGGAAAGGGGAAAGGTAGTGGTAAGGGAAACGAGCAGAGTGGTGAAGATAATACCCGGCTAGGCGTTCATGGCATCACGGTTGGAGATATTGTGCGAGTCGAGGAGATATCTTCGGGGAAAACAGCACGCTCTAAGAACGGGAATGATGATGAGAAGGGCCAGAGAGGGCTGGAGGGAGTGGTCACTCGTGTCGGAGAGAGGGCCGTCTGGGCTGCTTTTGGAGATCGGGGGAAGCCTGGGAAACAGGACGATGATGGCGTGGATGACCTTTGGGGCCGTAAGCTTTGGCTGTGAGATGGTCTTTCTATATATTTGCTTTAGAGAGTGCTGACGAGGACTATATACAGCGTCAAGTTGGCAAACGACGTCACGTATAGACGGTAAGATACATCCGTCCAACTCACGGGTTCACCATACTGACCGTATCCAGGATGAACCAGACGATGGTGAAGCTGGAAAAACTGGAAGAGTCGGAGCATTCAACCCTGATGCGAGTGCTCTTTGGCCATACGACGCCTTCACCCCTGGACTTTGAGTCTGTTGGGCCTCTGGAATTTATAGACCCATCCCTCAACGACTCCCAGAAAGAAGCTATACGCTTTGCTCTGGCATCTAGGGAAATAGCACTAATCCATGGCCCTCCCGGTACGGGAAAAACACATACACTAATCGAATTAATCCGTCAGTTAATCCAACGCAAGAAAAGGGTTTTAGTCTGTGGTCCATCGAACATCTCCGTCGACAACATTGTCGAACGCCTTGCCTCGCATAAGGTCCCTTTGGTTCGAATTGGACATCCGGCACGCCTACTATCGTCTGTCGTGGACCATTCATTAGAAGTTCTATCTCAAACCTCAGAGGCTGCCGCTATCGTGAAAGACGTTAGGAAAGAGATCGATACGAAACAAGCCAGTATCCGAAAGACTAGGAATGGAAGAGAACGACGAGCTATATATGGCGATCTGAAGGAACTTCGGAAAGAGTTCAGACAGCGTGAGGCTAAATGCGTTGACAGCATTGTCTCTGGTAGCCAGGTGGTTCTTGGAACACTCCATGGAGCTGGCGGACATCAGCTAAAGAATCAGAAATTCGACGTTGTACTCATCGACGAAGCCAGTCAGGCTCGCGAAGCGCAGTGTTGGATCCCGTTACTCCCTGCGTCCAAAGTGATACTTGCTGGAGATCACTTGCAGCTTCCTCCAACTATAATATCAAAATCTTCGGCCACAGCGAAGCCCGATACCCCTCCCTTATGGGACTGGGGTGATAAAGACGACTTCAATGATTTACCCGGCTTCTCGAAGCTGTCTAATAAACACGACGTACGTAACTTGGAGATAACGCTATTCGACCGACTACTCTCCCTTCATGGTACTGGCATAAAGCGGATGTTGACCACCCAATACCGCATGCACGAAAAGATTATGGGCTTCCCTTCTCATGAGCTGTATGAATCTAAGCTGATAGCTGCCGATGCCGTCAAATCAAGACTCTTGAAAGACTTACCGTATGAAATCGAGGATACCGAAGATACTAGAGAGCCGCTTATATTTCATGATACCCAGGGTGGAGATTTTCCTGAAAAATCCCCAGATTCTACAGGCATACTGGCGAAAGCGATGCTCGTTGAGAGTAAATGTAACGATATGGAAGCAGCGGTTGTTGCAAGACATGTTGAAACGCTAGTATCTGCGGGTGTTAGACCGGATGACATCGCAGTCATCACGCCTTACAACGCCCAAGTTGCATTATTATCTCAGCTCCTAAAGGAGAAGTTTCCTACCCTTGAGCTAGGAAGTGTGGATGGATTTCAAGGCCGAGAGAAAGAAGCTGTCGTCGTTAGCCTGGTCAGGAGTAATCCAGATCACGAGGTTGGCTTCCTCGGAGAGAAAAGGCGACTTAATGGTATAATTTACATTCACTCTCGTTTCTTTCGATCATTGTTAGATCTTGTCGAATCTATGTTAACCATTAGAGTAGTTGCCATGACTCGCCCGAGACGACACTTGTGTATCTGTGGAGACTCAGAGACCGTCAGCAGGTATGCTATTCATGCCCTGAGGGGGATTTTGTGCCATTTTCCTCTCCTCTCGCCCTACCTATTACCTACTATACTAACTGGATATTATTTAGCGGATCTTCATTCCTCAAGAGATGGATGGCATTTTTAGAAGAAAATGCCGATCTTAGATACCCGGACCTCAGCGAATTCACGAATTAGTTGAATACGAAATTCTATCTGTATACCCAGAACCATAGAGAATAACAATTTGATAAAACAGGATATTTTTTGGCTCAACACACAACTCTGCGAGACATCAAATTAAGCAAACTGTTGAATAACATAGGCCGTCGTCAGCCCGAAAACGCCACAAATCAATCCGATCACCAGCAAGATTCTCGGGTCTGCCTGTGCATACCCTAATTCTAAAATTGGTGCAATGGTCAGTTCATGTCATTCACCTTGGTTATGAACAATAACTTACCCATCGGTCGACCGCTGCTCGCCACCGAGTTCCTCTGCGATTGCAAAGTTGGCGTTGCGTTGGAACCCCCTTCTGGACCCTTCTTGATATCCTGGTTAATGTTAATTGTGACACTTGGGCCATTCGCAAATTCGAAATTAATCATCATGCGGCCGTTCCCTGGTGCAGGTGGGCTAACGGGGGTAGAAGACTGTCTCTCATCGGAGTTGTCACAATGCCCCGTCGAGAACGTGAGGTCGTGGCCATCATTACCGGGTGCATCAAAACCTTCGAGGTTGGGGACATGATAATAGCTTTGTTCACTAAAGGAACTGGTTTAATAACAAGGCCCCATCGATGCTGTGAAAGACTAAGGATGAATAATGGGCTTATACATACTTCTCGGCGTCAACTATGGGCACCTCCATTGCCTCCGTGAGGTCCCGCGACGAGGAAGGCCCGTCTTGGCCATTGCTAGTCGTCTGCTCTTTGGCAGGGCCGCGTTTTGATTTATCGGTCTTCTCAGCCTTAGCGGCTCTGGAGGGGTTATGACCAGCTGGGACAGGGCTATTGTTGACTTCTTGAGCTGTTGGATGGTTGTGGGCCGGCTGTATCCCTCTGACCCGTTGAGCCTCAAGTCCTGCTTTGATGACATGCAAGGGGGCAGGCATCATCTTCTCTAATTCCGCTTCCCCTCTGCTCACAACCCTCCTAGCGCTATTCCACCTGCGTTGAGACGGAGCCTCTGGGCTGCTAGACATGTGTCTAAATCAACTGGCGCAACGCGGCTTCGATAATTTCGAGAAATGTTTGGGGTATGGAAGGAATTCCCTGTTTTCTTTCTATGGAATCCGAGAGCATTTAACATGCTGACTTCAGACATGGTTAAGCAGCTCGATGCAGGAATATATAGCTTTTGAGATACCCTCATAAATCCAGGTTTGCTGGCTCACAAACGCTGAAGCATTAAGCAGTAGGAAAGAGACGTTGCGTCCCTCAAACACGCGATCTAGCAAGCAGTAAACGCAACAAATATATATACGTTTGACTTGCTCAACAAACGGCTCGAGATCTATCAAGAGAGGTGATTAACTTCCTAGGAGCCGACAGGCCTCTTCTGATAAGCCTACGGTGTGACCAGGTCGGCAGTCAAACTCGTCATCTTGATGTGAATTTGATAGTATAAACAAAACTTGACGTCTTCAGTGCCACTGAGCTAACAATTCCAGATTAGTTGTTAGGGTCATGCCGTTGGGTCGATAGAATCATAACGACTCGAATAATTCTATCAGAACCTCCAACATATGCTTCAGTTTCTAGATTGCATGGTTAATTGTTCTTTCATACTGTTTAGCTATGTCTGAACCTCTCGCCTAGTGCTACTAGCCTGGAGAAATGGGGTATATTTCGGCACCCGCAGAGCCAAGCTCACATTTGCGTCGGAGCTGCAGCATGATCGAGTACTTTATGGCACCGAATGACATCTCAAGATCAAATAGAACTAAGCAAATCATGATGCCACTCTCAAATTAACTGAAGACCATCTCTGGCTGGCTGCCCAATACGACTGAACACACATGACGCGCTACCAATAGCTAACAATAGTTAATAGGCCAGTTCTGAGGAGTAGTAGGACAGACTTATGCGGAGTATATAACTAGCAGGGATACGGGGGACGTGTTTACGTATGACTTGGTGCCTCCCTTGAGGTATACATAACATATGTTGAATGTAACATTTTGTACCCATGTTTGGTTGGTAGATTGGTTGGCTGAGATGGGTCGGAGATGTACTCGGGGTTACTGACTAGGCTCCCAAGGCTGAAGAAATAAGACTTAAGATCAGTCTTGTATCTAGTGCATATATGAGTTCACAGATGTAGAAAGCTATAAAGTGAGAAGAAGAATGTCCAAGTAGCTTACTTACATCCACAAATATTTGACGTAAGAGGCTCAGCAATATAAATTTACCCCCGCGAGCAACTTGGGCCTGATATACAAGACACCACACCAGACACAGGGTCTCTTGACACCGCGGTCCGTCGAACGCGGGGCGATTTAGCAGTCCAACCCTGCCTGCCAGTGACCATTGAACCGATATAATGGCGAAAAAGAAATCCAAGAATAAAGCAACGCAGCCGGGGGACGCGAAGGTTGTTGCTACTTCCCAGACACCAAAAAACAAAACAAAAGTCGATACTAAACCCAAAAATAATCCGAAGAATAAAGCAGCGCAACCCCAGGATGCTAAGAAGCCAATAAACGATCCCAAGAATACAACGACACAGCAGCAGAAGGCTAAGATTGTTACTGCTCCACAGAAGGTGAAAATAGAAGCTGGAAACAATAAGACGCCGCAAAAAGGGCCAAAGAATACTGTGACAGCGAAGGATGCTAAGGCTGCCATCCCTCCCCTCCCCCAGAAGGCGAAAACAGAGACTGGGAAGCCCGAGATCAAGAAAAAGTTAGAACAGGGGTCGACGAACACGGTAACGCTACCCCTGGATGCTAAGGCTGCTACTACTACTGCTACTACTACTACTACTACTACGCAAAAGGTGAAAACAGAGGCTGAAATCAATAAGACACCGGGAAAGGCCCCAAAGAATACCGCGACGCAACCCCAGCATGACAAGGTTGCTGATACTGTGCAGAAGGTGAAAGCGAAGACTGGGACTGAGACGATGTCGAAAACAAACCCCAAGGATACAAAAAGGCAGTTTCAGGATGCTCATTTTGCTACTGGTCTACGGGTGTTGGAGGATGAAATCCACAAGGACGTACGTGCCAGTCACGAAGGTAAAAGCAACATGAGCGTAGAGGAGATTAAACTTAGATATCTACGTTTGTATCCTGGCCAGGAGAAGTATATCTGTGATGTGTTGAAGCAGTAAGCTATTCTCTTATTGAGTTAAATGTCCAGCTTTTGAATTCCCTCTAATAGTTCTTTAGGTATATTGCGCTCCTTGAAAAAAGTGGCCCTGTATCAGGGTTGCCTCAAGCCAAGGGGGAAGGGAGGCAAGGCGGGGGACTTCAAAATAATACCCCCGAAGTCAAAGAAACGAAACAGCCCAACGCCAGTACTCTACATTGCTACTCGACCTCCACGAGTTCGCCAGCACAAGCGACTATTGGCCGCGTGGAGCCCGATAAACTAGATCAAGAACAAAAGGGATCGTCCATATTACGGCGTACGTACTCATTTGTTATCCTTTGTTTTATAGGAGCTGAGACTAATTTATGACTATAGATTTTATAAAATATTTTGCTAGTCCAAACAGCTCTAGCGGCAACCAAACCGTACCTCCTTCTTTACCCAAAGTTCCTACTCTAGAGCAGCAGAGGGCGTTTCTGAATTTAAATGATAAGAGCCAAACAGCCGATGGCCGGACATCTCTTCGCCCACACGAGACAGTCTTGCTTTCTCCTGTTGCAGAGAGCCACGGTTTTACGTTGCCCCCTCAATTTGCTCTTTTGGGTCATCAGCTGTCAAAACAGTCCACGGCCCTAGACCCCAGGGTAATGCTTAATACAAATATTCCATTTTCCGCATTTATATGTGGACTACAAGGCAGTGGTAAATCGCACACTACAGCTTGTATAATTGGTAATAATCCTCCTCCGCCTTTCGCTCAATAAGATCGCTAATATAGGAAACTAGAAAATTGCTCTCTGTCCCTTCCTGCTCTAGGGCCTCTCAAGCAACCGTTATCAACACTCGTCTTGAATTTTAACGAATACAGCTCAAATAGCAGTTCACAACCTAGCGAAGCGGCATTTCTCGCGTCCGTTATTCCAGAATACGGTTCAACTCAGTTACAGATTCCGGTGACCGTTTTGGTGTCACCCTCTAACTTTTATAACCTTGAGAACATGTATTCTCGCATCCCTGGTATCAAAGTTCTCCCATTCCGACTACAGCCTAAGCAGTTGAATATCAGCTCAATGCTCTCGCTTATGTCTCTTGGGAAACGAGACAATATGCCCTTATACATGGTTCAAGTCACTCAGGTGTTGCGTGAGATGGCAATGAATAGCAAACGACCATTCGACTATGTAGATTTCCGTACGCGTCTAGACGCACTTCACCTAGACCGATCTCAAACGACCTTTTTGGACCAAAGGTTCAACTTATTGGAATCTTTTCTCGACCTCACCGGTAATACCAGTGAAAACTACTTCGTTGACCAAGGAGTCACCATTCTGGATTTATCCTGCCCATTTGTGGACCAGGGTACTGCCTGTACTCTATTTCGCATCGCTATTGATATTTTTCTTCATTCGTATTCGTCACGAGGAAAGATGATTGTAGCGGATGAAGCCCATAAGGTATGTGCATTTTGCAATATTTTCCCCTAGTCACCACATTTTATACTAATTCGACTACATCCAGTACATGGTTGACACGCCGGCTGCGAAGGAGCTTACTGATACTTTCCTAAATATCATTCGCCAGCAACGGCACTTGGGCGCTCGGCTCATCATTTCAACACAGGAGCCAACAATATCTCCCCGCCTAATCGACTTGTGCTCAATGACAATAATCCACCGATTTTCTAGCCCTGACTGGTATGACGTTATCCGGAAACATGTCACCATTAGCGATAAGGAGAGTAGTAGCAGATCTGCGAATGACGGGGACAACGGGGACGGTCTCTATCAGATATCTAGTCTTCGAACCGGTGAAGCTTTGGTTTTTGCACCTTCAGCATTCCTTCTAGATGGCAACAAGGCTCAAATTGATACCAAACATAAAGTTTTCAAACTCGCAGTTAGAAAGCGTATCACCTGGGACGGAGGTCAATCGATCCTTTGTGTCTAGTGTGACCTTTGCCATTGTTGGATACCTGCATCTGATGTTAATATACAGTATGAGCAATATGAATTTAATTGATTGATTTTAAAATGAGCTCGACTTTCTTATCGGCTACCTGTACGGAGTAGTAGAAGTTGTAACCAATTCAACGAAGACTGGCTTCTGTATAGAGCAAACTAACTTTACCAGGTAACCCCCACATAACACGGGATGGCCCGGGGTTCTTGGCATTGATTACCTAGCTAATCTCAACGTCCTTCCTCAACAGTGAACGACTCTTTCACTTTCTTCTATCTACCCCACGTTTGCCCAAAGGGTTTATTGTTTGTGAGGTGTATTCAATAGTCTAGTTATATGCAATGACTTATAGCATGGTCACTATCTTGTTTTACCAAACTGAAAGATTCTAAAATTCCATATTGCACTTTGCTTTAAGTTTCATAGCTAATATACTTGCTGGTGAAGCAAACAGTCCTTGGTCACAACCCGATTTTTAACAATAACTAGCAAAAGGAGCAAGCAATTTGCTTATATTACAGGCAGTAATATAAGCAAAGAACCTCTATGCCGTATCCTGTTTAATTAGGAACAGGTAGCCACTTCTCTGGGGTGATGCTGATTCTATTCATTCCATTTTATTTCCAGTATATTATATTATACAAAGAGATCGATATATAACTTCAACCCAACTGCCCCAGGCTTTGGTGAAGAGCACAATTCTAGTGATAATGGAAGAGGAGATGGCATCTACTTCTTCCTCATATAGTGAACACTTACCCTACCCTTCGGTGACGATGGTTGAGTGGAAGAAATCATTCCTGCGTGATGTGCTAGTGATGATGTTGAAGAACACTTACGTTTTAGGGGTCACTGAAACTCATTCTCTTTATAAAAGTTAGCAAAAATGCGCTTCTTAACTTATGAGTTTGCCTTTGGTTCATTTAAGGTGGCTTTCGAAAGTTACATATATATATCATCCACGGCGATACGTTGTCGACCTTTCTACTCTTTTCTATACCGGAAATATACTTTGAACCATATCTGCGGCTACCTATCCAGACTCTTACGTTGACATCTATTTTTTCAAAGACACATCACAGACGACCCTCACAGTACAAAAGTCGGTCTCACTCCTTGGAGCAGGTAACCTCGAAAACATATGCTCCAAAGAATATAAACGCTAACTTTGGTTAGTTCCAAGGAAACAAACATCTATCAGGGATACTATCTGATATATAGAAACATGGATGCTATGGCCTCCGGGTTGCAGGACCGTCTCAACCTGTCACCACAGTTTCGCAGACATATAAAGTGGATAAAGAAGCTTGGAGAGGGTGCTTATGGGGAAGTTTGGTTGCTGGAGAAGCGAAGCACAGGAGCCAAATATGCTTGCAAGGTGGCTTCTAATTCCGAGACTCAGGCGGCCCTTCGGCGAGAAGCCATAATAGTCAAGAGGTTGCACCATGTAAGTACATGTGCTATAATCAACCTCTGATATTTCAGGAACAATCATTAACAGGCGGTGAAAGCCAAACATCGTTAAATTCGTTGGCGATAATTTCGGTTTCAACGATCCGCCATGTTGTTTGGTAATGGAATACTACCCCCTTGGCTCGCTGGAGGCACGAGTTTTCCACCGAAGACTCTGTGGAAGTTGTCCACCAGTGCCTTAAGGCGCTTGAGTACCTCGAGCACAAGTTCGTGTTTCATCGAGATATAAAAGAGGACAATATCTTGGTTAAATCAATTTCGCCGTTGCACGTTTGCCTCGCCGATTTCGGAATCGCCGCAACCAGATACGAAGGAGCTGCCCAGGGCGGCCAACGCAGTCATATCGCCATCGAGGTTTACCAAGGTAGCCAGTTCACATATATATCGGATATATGGTCGCTTGGGGTAACCTTCCTTTACCTACTCCGTCGATTTCCACATGCTGAGGCCCAGTGTTTTCAAGTGGCTCAGGATCGGCAGAAGGAGAAAGTGTACTACTCCAAGTTGCTGTCCGAGGCCAGTTCAGTACCTGGTTATATTGGGAGACTCGTGAAGAGAATGGTGTGTTCTCCAGAGACTCGATGGACCGCAGTTAGGTGCATACAGTACTTGGAGGGAGGTACCGACGTTGAGCCACCACGTCAACGGTCCAGTCGCCGTCACAGTTATCGTTGAGCTCACTGAGACACCGTCCTACTAGCATTTTTGTAGGCTATACGCGGTGACGGTGATGGTGGCGGTGAAACAGGCGCTGCACTCGATCTGGACGGCCGGCGATACTATATATTTATATTGGCTTTGGAGCTGGGGCACGGCGTTACGGCTAGGGGGTACAGCATAGTATAGTACTCCTGGATGGATATATGCTGGATGTGTTTGTTTCAGTGCTCTGTGTATACTTGGAGAGACTGGTTTATACTGTAAATATTGATGAAGAAATACACAAATAAAACAAGGATACGTTCATCTTGCTACTCGCGGCGATATCTCTTTGTTGTACTCTCCTCGGGAGATCCAAGATAATGAAAGCTCTATGGGTGGTGAGTTTGCTGTGGAAGTGATGTCTTGGCATGGAACAGGGTCAACCTCACTTTTTCCCAGTTGGGGTTTCACCATATCAACTGTCTATGTACGGCTGCTTCATCGCTATATCTACTGGCTTTAGGTACCGTTAATTAATCCTAATAGGAGCCAGCTGCGGTCGAACGTCCTTTCTAGTGCTGGACCTGGTACCTTGCACGCCAAAAGCGCCCACCAGCTCCAACTCTCTACCAAAAATGGCCTGACAGCCGCCACGGATACACCATGCCTCAACTCCCTTGGCCCGCAAAACGCTGGTAGCCACACGCGATGTGTCTCCGCTGTAACATAGAAGCAGAACCTGTATTCCACCCTCCTTTAGCCCCGTTAACGCTGAACCATTCTCCGCACCGTGGCTAAACCATCCCTCGAGTTCTAGCCACTGTGCCTCAAGAACTGAGGCATCAGAAAACGGTCCAGCCGCATTCTTATCGATGCTGTGCAGTGGGACGTTCATAGATCCTGGGAGGTGCCACTGGTCAAAATCGGCTTCCTTTCGAAGGTCAATCACACATCGTGGTTGGTCCGACTTGAGCTTGAGGCTGTCGAGCATACTTTTCCTCTCGATCCCCGATAGAGTGTCACTCGCGGGGAGAACCCGATAAAACTCCTCAAGAATTTTAGGAGGGTGGACTTCCCAGCTTTCATCATAGCGATAAAGGTCTACATGGCGAAGGTTCTGAATCCACATTATACGGTTAGCTTCGTTTATTTCGACTGGAGTCCTGTGGTGGTAGCTTACTTCATTTCTTATGGGGTGGAACTCTTCCGGCCGCAGCTTGTCGAAATATTCTTGGATATACTGGTATGGCAGGTCACAGCATAGGAAAACGCAATGTACCTTACCATCTGGACCCGCAATATGAGATAATGTCCCGGCTTCCTTGCGCTTCCCTAGTTGCTGATAAAGACCCTGAAGATTGAAGCCTGACGATGGGCCACATACCAATCCTTGTCGACATAGCTTGAGAGACAGTGAGAAAGATTCTGGGGAGCCTACTTCCTCGATTACATCCACGGCCGACTTCCACGGAAACGGTATGGGAGACACGAGAGCGTATGACCTTGGCCCAGGAACGCGGTCACCCGGCGCTGTACAGACACCAACCCTGAGCACTGAGGGCTTAGTGGCTTTGAAATATGTTCCCAACCCTGTCATAGTCCCGCTGGTTCCCATTCCCGAGCATAGGACGTTGATTTCCGGGAGCTGTTTGATGATTTGAGGTCCCGTGTACCGCACATGTGCACCCCAGTTGCTCTTGTTGTCATACTGGTTTGGGTTGATAACTTCTTCGGATTCCAGTGCTATTTGTCTTGCCGTGCGGATCCCGCCACGTTCATCCAGTGGCTCGGGCTGCGAAGGTCCACCGAACAACGTGATATCAAGACCGAAGAATTGCATCAGTTTAAGCTTCGCATCACTGGTTTTATTGCTCAAAAATGCTCTGACGTCGTCGATCCCGTGGAATATGTTTGCAATCATTGCCATTGAAATGACGGTAGAGCCAGAGCTGTACTCGATCACAGTTTTTGTTTTCCCCGATATGACGTCTGATTTCAGGAGGTTAAGCGCTAACAAATGATAATAGTTAGCCATAAGAAGATCTCACATGGGGAGAAAACACTGAGATAGCTGATACCTACCTGGAATGGCTTTTACATTGTTGGCTGGATGCATCGACATCATCTTTGCGTAGATACGCACGCCATCGTTATAAAACGGATTCAAGGCAACTGGTATCTCAACAAGAGGCAAAGGCGGCTGGCAGTCTGGGTCAAAATACTTCCTCATCGAGTCAGGCCCTGAGTAGACGTTGAGGGGGTTTTGGTTCGCCATTACGCATGCATATGGCGGGTTTGGGTAAGATGAACAACAAAAAAGAACGGAGTGGGTTAAAGATAGTACGTTGAAGCTAGCTCTGATCCTCGCGAGGCCTGATATCCTCTGCAGGACCCGGATGAGCTGGTATATTATATCTCTTCGCAGAGTCAGGGGCCTTAGGTAAATAACGACCTTAACTTAAGAAGGCACCTCCCACGCATTAACTTTCTGTCCCAGGTACTCTCAAGGTAGAATTGCCTCCCGTCTCTGTCTACTTGTCATTTCTTGGGCAGGTCTCCATTATCGACCCCGTTGGCTATATCAAGGTAAAGATCAAAAGTTGCTGGAGTCCAAGGTGTCTTGACAAGCCTGCAAGGTTGGCCCAAGACTAATAGGTGCATCCTATCCATACCGCAATGGATATATATGCGTTCATTATAAACGATGTTTGATTCGGCGGGTCATAATCACACACGTACTGCGTCCTTTAATATATCCTGAAAATTCGTGTTGGCTGAGGACCTTGTATCTTTCTCGTAGAGCCAAGAAGTTGGTAGTTTGATATCCTCGAAATCGCAAGATCAGCATCAAATTAGGGTTACAATGGATCTTGTTAAACATCTTCTTTGCAGCTGGATGATCTCCGTTGAGCCTGCATGAGTGATATCTCCTCTGTTAGGAGTATTGGTGCCACCAATTTGTTGCGGTCAAGATTCGCCAGTGGTAGCGTGGCCAACAAGGTAAGGAGCTAGGTCAGCATCGTATCAGAAGATGCTGCGCTAAGTTATGTATCTAGTACCTTGGAGCTGTTCTCGCTCCACTGCAGTAGCATCTTGACTTTGATAAACGGACAAGGTACTTTGCATTTGCGTCACCGACCTTTGGGCTCCATCCAAGCAAGTCTTGGTGTTATTAGCATCATTTTATATTGCTCAGGTTATTGTTTGCTTAGACATCTTCCGGTGGGCGTAAAGAGTAATTTTATTAAAGCGGTTGTTTTGGTTGCTGCTTCCTCCGTTCTCTCGTCTTCTTCGATGGACCTTTATGCCTTTATTTTATATTTATTTTTCTTTTCTATTCAAGGTAGCGCACTGTATCATCAGTTGAATGCGTGAAAGATGCCGAACCTTAGCTCTGAAGATGGGCAATCGTCCGAGGAATCGAAAGAGCATATGTTTAATGAGCAAACAAATTATGTTTCGACTCGCAAGATCATAACGGTATGTATGGACAGTCTGGATGATAACACGAGCTCTCTACGAGGTAAAGAGTACTGATCTATCCCTAGATCTTTCTAGCATGCGCCAGCGTCGACCTGGTGGCACTGATGGACCAAACGACGCTGGCATCAAGTCTGTCCATAATAGGGAACGATTTGAATGCCGGTAACCAAACGAGTTGGATAGCAGGTGGCTTTTTTCTGTACGCTCAATGATCTTGGTTTGGAGTTTTTTCTTCTTTTCTGACCGTCATGCTCTAACGCTAATATATGAAAAGGACCTCAACCTGCTTCCAGTTACTTTACGGACGTCTTTCCGACATATGGTCTCGGAAGGTTATGCTCTTCGTAGGACTGGCCATTTTCTTCTTTGGATCCTTAGCTTCCTCCTTCGCCCAAACGGCCCTTCAGCTGATAATATTCCGCGCCTTCACAGGTATTGGGGGGGGCGGGCTAGCTAATGTTGCGCAGATGATCGTAAGCGATGTGGTTCCGCTGAGGGATAGGGGCAAATATCAAGGAATTCTAGGATCGGTTGTCGCGCTAGCGAATGGCGTTGGCCCTGTTATCGGGGGTGCCCTATCGTCTATCTCGAAGGATTCATGGAGATGGATATTTCGACTTAATCTTCCACTGACGATCCTAACGACACTATGTGTGTTATTCTTCATGCCACTTCGAAAGGTAGAAGGGAATTGGAAGGTCAAGGTGAAAGCCATCGACTTCTTCGGGGCGTTCCTTGCACTTGCAGGAGCAACAGTCTTTCTCCTTGGGTTGATATGGGGAGGAGGTGAATATGCGTGGAATTCGGTCCATGTCATTTCCACCTTGGTTATCGGGTTCGCAGTATCCGTGAGCTTCGTTTTATGGCAATGGAAAGGCGCATCTTACCCTCTAGTGCCCATGGGTATTTTCTGTGAGAGAATAGTCAATGGTGCCTGTCTAACGATGCTAGTCAATGGCTGGAACTTCGTTGTCCAGATTTATTATATCCCAACATTCTATCAGCTGGTATATGGATACTCGGCTACTAGATCGGGAGCTCTCCTTTTGCCAATCGTCCTTATGCAGAGTAAGTCGACCACGTCAATATAGAGAAGAGTTATATTCTGACGTGCGATGTAGCGCTATGCAGTACATTATCTGGCCTCATTGTTCATTGGGTAGGCCGGTACCGGGAGTGCATCCTGTTTGGATGGCTTACCTGGGCTATCGGCCTTGGACTTTTCTCCACACTCGATGAATCATCGGGCCTAGCCAAGCAGATTGGCTATGGTATACTTACTGGAGTGGGAGTCGGAAACACATTGCAGCCGTAGGTCACCGTTTAGTGAAGTTCTGGTGCTGCATGCCTGTGCTGATATGGTCCATCAAATACAGATCTCTCATAGCTATCCAAGCAGGAGTCCAAAGACGGGATATGGCAGTTATCACGTCCTTTAGGAAGTAAGTCCAGGGCTCCTTTGGTTTTGATATAAATGTCCTAACCCAAGGTACCTCTAGCTTCGTGAGGAATCTCGGAGGCACGCTGGGTCTAGCAGTTTCCGGGACAATCTTGTAAGCATCACCAGGGGTCTGCGTTATTACTATGGCTTCATACTAAAGAACCATACAGGAATAACATCGTGGTATCATCGCTCTCGTCTCTTAACCTCGATGATGCCGACCACAAAGCACTCGTGCAGAGTCCAAGCAACTACCTTGCGACACATAACCCTGAAGAGGCCAAGAGAATTCGCGCCGTTCTCCTTCCGGCATACCAGAAAGGGTTTCGGATCATCTTCATATTATGTTCAAGCCTTGCTGTCGCGGCATTTGTCCTGGCGTTCTTCTTAATGCCTCATATCACACTGAAGAGGCCTGATGACAAGGCATTGAAGGAGGAGGCCAAGTCGAGAGAAGATGCCACAAGGCTCGTACAGTATAGAGCACCTAGTTAGACGTGGCCATGGAACTTTTCATTATGATATTGGTAGTTGGTGAGTATATCCATGCCAAGAGGACAAAAGGACGAGGGTGAAAAAGCCAGGCGGTGAAAAGGACCAGCTCAACAAAAAAAAAAACTATCACGTGATTATTTTCAAAGTCATAACAAACAACCAACATGGGAGTAACCGATAGAAAGTAAAGAGGCAAATGTCGTGTAGAGAACGAATAAATGTCGAACAATAATAAATAAAAGATTATACCTTGTATTCTATGCTATGAAAGCAAAGGGACGTTGATGCCAAGACCAGAAAAGGACGAAGTCGAATAAAAGTTCATTTACGCCAAGAAAAGTGCCATGAACCGCGCTAGTCCATTTTAAGTTAGAATTTTGTTCACTTGCTCCATTTTTTTTCATCTTTGTCCTTTCCTGCACTTGTCATATTAGTAAGCAGAACATATCACGTGCATCAGTGTATAATCACGTGATTCTATCTTTGGTGAAGCTTGGGGGAGACAGCTAAAGTTATGGAAAGATACAGACCTCTATCAAAAACACGGCTGCGTCGACTTTGGGCAGGCTTAGTTTCCGCCCAATGGCCTTGATATCAAACACTAAAGACTCTATTTGCTGAGGCGCGTTAACTAGAACATCGCGTTGTATTGCCTGCCGACCGCCATGCTGATTTGCTAGACCCCGTTTTCTTTCCTCAACATGCAATGCTATACAGAGCTGCTGCTCCCATCCGGGGTAACGCATGCTGTCTCTGCACACTTTCTTTCGGCAAATGCCAATAACCTGGTTGTAGCAAAGACGTCCTTGCTCCAGGTCTTTTCCTTGGTCAATGTTACGTATGGCTCCTCGTCTTCAGGCGGGCAGCCAGATCAGAAAGGTCGACATGACCGTTCACAGCACGCGAAGCTGGTGTTAGCTGCCGAGTACGAGGTGCCAGGTACCATTACAGGGCTGGAGAAGGTTAGGATTCCGAACTCCAAAAGTGGTGGAGAGGCAATCCTTGTTTCTAGTCGGAACGCGAAGCTCAGCTTGATAGAGTGGGATCCGCAAAGTCACGGAATAAGCACTATTTCAATCCATTACTACGAGGATGAGGAGAGTCATACGAGTCCCTGGGTGCCTGATCTAGGAAGCTGCCCCTCCAATTTAACCGTTGATACAAACGATAACTGTGCCATCTTTAACTTTGGCATTCACAGCTTGGCGATCTTACCTTTCCACCAGGTAGGAGATGACCTGGTAATGGATGATTATGATTCAGCAGCGCCCAATGGAGACGGCTCTGGAGAAGCGGTTAATGATACTCATCAATCTGGCGGAGGGGACGGAACATCGCACGACAAACCATATGGACCTTCCTTTGTGCTACCTCTAACTGCCCTGGATCCGGTTCTAACACACCCTATCAACCTAGCCTTTTTGCATGAATACAGAGAGCCCACATTTGGGATTCTCTACTCTCAAATCGCTAGGTCAACATCTCTAGCTACAGAGAGGAAGGACGTGGTTTCTTACGCCATCTTTACCCTGGACCTACAACAACGGGCCTCTACGACTCTTCTTACGGTCTCGCGCTTACCGAGCGATATCTTCAAAATAGTACCGCTCCCACCTCCAATTGGTGGAGCACTGCTGGTCGGCGCCAATGAGCTTGTCCATGTTGACCAAGCAGGTAAAACGAACGCAGTAGGCGTGAACGAGTTCGCCCGGCATGCCTCTGCGTTTTCTATGGCTGATCAGTCGAACCTTGAACTTCGACTAGAAGGGTGTGTCGTGGAGCAGCTAGGAAGCGAAGCAGGAGAGATTCTGCTTATATTGTCAGACGGGAGGATGGCGGTCTTGACCTTCAAAGTTGATGGAAGATCGGTGTCTGGAATATCTCTTCATATCGTTACGGAGCAATCAGGTGGTCTGACGATTAAAGCAAGGCCTTCATGTTCCGCTAGCTTAGGTCGGGGTAAACTCTTCTGCGGCAGCGAAGAAGGGGACTCTATCCTCCTCGGCTGGTCAAAACCTTCTTCTGTCACGAAGAAACCTTCTACAGCGAACGAGGGAGTGAGCGAAGAAGCGGCAACTGAGCTCTATGGAGATGATGAGCAGGATGACGACGACATGTATGAAGACGACCTTTACTCCACCCCCCTCAACCCCGCTACGTCCCATCAGGAAAAACTCGTGGTAAACGGCGATAGTACTGGCGACTTTGTGTTTCGACCGCACGACAGGTTATGGGGTCTGGGCCCTTATAGAGATATTACTCTTGGGAGACCACCTAAATCGAAAACCAAAGATAAACGGGACAGTGTACCTGACATATCTGCTCCACTTGAATTGGTAGCAGCCCGAGGATTTGGCAAGTCAGGCGGACTTGCAGTCCTCAAACGAGAAGTTGATCCATTTACAATTGACTCTCTCAAGATGGAAAATGTATATGGTGTATGGTCGATCAGGGTAAATGACCCCAAGTCTAAAGATGCATCATCCACAACGCAGTCTAGGGGTTATGATCGGTACCTTCTTCTAGCAAAGTCAAAAGGTGACGATAAGGAAGAATCAGTTGTGTATTCGGTCGGAAGCAGCGGGTTGGATTCGATTGATGCACCAGAATTTAATCCGAACGAAGACTGCACCATTGATATCGGGACCCTCGCTGCCGGAACAAGGGTTGTGCAAGTGCTGCGAACGGAAATCAGAAGCTACGATTGCAGTAAGTACAAACTTTCAACAGGCTAGACTTCTGTTTATTTGACAGCATTCTAACTTGACCTGAACAGACCTCGGATTAGCGCAGATATACCCTGTCTGGGATGAAGATACCAGCGAAGAGCGCACAGTTGTTCAAGCTAGCTTTGCAGAACCCTATCTCCTAACTATCCGCGACGACCATTCTCTCTTGGTTTTGCAAACAGATAAAAATGGCGACCTCGACGAGCTTGACATACAGGGTTCAGCAGCCTCCGGAAATTGGGTTTCTGGCTGTCTGTATGAGGATAAACTGCGAATTTTCTTTCCCTCCGAGCCAGACTCAGAAGATAAGGCGGGCCACAATATCTTGCTTTTCCTACTGGATGGCGATGGAAAGCTTTCTGTACGTTGCAGGCTCCCTGAGAATATACTTAGATGATAAGCTAATTGTTCGAATTAGATCTTCCGTCTTCCAAATACCGCCGAACCACTGTGTTGTGTGGATAACATGAATCTTTTGCCTACGAATTTACCTTGCGAAGCGCCTTCGAGACGCCTGACAAACCGGGAGACACTGACTGAAATCTTGGTTGCAGACCTTGGGGATGCCATTCGTAGAAACCCTTATATAATAGTATGTGGGATTTCGTTTATTTACATTATTTGGAACAGCACTCTAACGGCCTATTAGCTACGTACAAAACATGACGATTTAATCCTCTACGAGCCGTACCGTGTTACTAGCGAGAATACGGAACCAGAATTGCGATTTCTTAAAGCTGTTAACCATGTTGTTATGGGTTCTCAGCTCGATGTGGCACAGAATGATGCGGGAGACGCTACTCGATCCTCAAGCAAACCTCTACGAGCGCTATCAGATGTATGCGGATACAAGACCGTGTTTATGCCGGGCCGGAATCCGTGCTTCATCCTAAAATCAGCAATCACACGACCACATGTCTTACGGTTACGCGGGAAAGCAGTTCAGAGCTTGAGTGGTTTTCACATTGCCGCCTGTGAGCGTGGATTCGCATATGTTGACGAAGATGTATGGATGATTCTTTTTTATGAAACCGGGCTGAATAAAAGCTAACAAGGAACACTAGGATGTCATTCGCATGTCTCGACTGCCCTCAAACACCCGATTTGATAGCACTTGGGCTACGCGCAAAATCGCACTAGGAGAGCAGGTCGACGGCATCGTGTATTCATCGGCATCTGAGAGCTATGTGATCGGCACCAGCGTTAAAGATGATTTCAAGCTGCCAGAAGATGACGAGTCGCATGCAGAATGGCGGAATGAATGTATGACATCTGCGCTAAGGACCCCTAGATTATGGTAACTAACTTGTTATTTGCAGTTATTACTTTCCTACCCCAACTCGAAAGAGGAACCGTTAAACTTCTGGATCCAAAATCTTGGTCGATCATTGATACGTAGGTTATTCCACAGCTATAAGGCCTTGTTTCGCTCATACTAACTAGTCATCTACCAGCTACGAGCTAGAGCCCGCAGAGCGCATTACCTGCATCGAGGTAATTCGCCTGGAAGTCTCGGAAACGACCCACGAGCGGAAAGACATGGTTGTAGTAGGAACAGCCATTGTCAAAGGTGAAGACATCGTGCCTAAAGGCTGCATCCATGTTTTTGAAGTTATCGACGTTGTTCCAGATCCCGACCACCCAGAGAAAAACAAGAAACTGAAGCTTTTTTCGAGGGAGGAGGTTAAAGGTGCTGTCACTGCACTGTCAGGTATTGGTGGGCAGGGATTCATGATCGTCGCGCAGGGCCAGAAGTGTATGGTGCGCGGACTAAAAGAGGACGGAAGCCTGTTACCTGTGGCCTTCAAGGATACCCAATGTTACGTCAGTGTGCTGAAAGAGCTCAAAGGGACTGGAATGTGTATTGTGGGTGACGCGATCAAGGGCTTATGGTTCACTGGATATTCGGTAAGTGACGTTCTGCTCCTGCTTCATATTAACAAAACGTGCATGACAGTGTGATCTAATTACGTTCTACCTTCACAGGAGGAACCGTACAAACTGGACCTATTCGGCAAAGAGAACGAGAATCTGGCGGTTATAGCCGCGGATTTCCTGCCAGATGGAGATAAGCTGTATATCCTAGTCGCTGATGATGACTGCAATGTACACGTTCTGCAATACGACCCGGAAGGTGAATATCCCCAATTAGCTATCCAACTAGCGAATACCTAAAACTAATATGTCGATAGATCCGAGTTCCTCAAAGGGCGATCGCCTACTCCACCGAAGTGTGTTCCACACAGGCCACTTCGCATCAACCATGACTCTACTACCACAGGGATCCCATTCACTCTCCTCCTCACCCTCATACTCTGACGGTGATGCCATGGACACCGACCTGCCACCGCCGCCATCCAAATACCAAGTGTTGATAACGTCCCAAACGGGCTCGATCGGAATAATCACACCTGTCAGCGAAGATTCTTACCGTCGCCTGCTAGCTTTGCAGTCGCAGTTAGTCAACGCGCTTGAACACCCTTGTGGATTGAACCCCCGTGGATATCGGGCCGTCGAGAGCGACGGGATGGGCGGACAGCGTGGAATGATCGATGGGAACCTACTGCTTAGATGGCTTGATATGGGGGCTCAGAGGAAAGCAGAGATTGCCGGACGTGCGGGTGCGGATGTGGGTGCTATTCGAGCGGACCTAGAGAAGGTTCACGGTGGTTTGGCATACTTGTAGCCGTTGGTATAGTACTCGATATTAAAAGGCTGAATTTTATCATATGTTTGTTTGGATGGTACATTAATGCTGTCGTGATGATACCTTGCGGGGTGTGATCGCAACTATCGTACATTGTGGTATACAAGTATTGAATTCTATAATTAAGTGAAGAAATGTACATGAGAGGGTATAAGATGACAAAAGGAGAACATGCTAAGACTGATCCGGTGTCAACTCTTTAACTGTATCCTGGAGACCAGATAATATTTCTACACTCGGTCAGCAGGTATTCATACAAGTGAAAGAAGAATAGAGCGTACTCTTTCTGTCGGCCTGGGTCTCTTCGACCTCCAGCCTCAGCCACCCATAATAGAGGATCTGGTAGGTGAGCACTGCGCCAAGAAAGACCTTGAAGAAGGGCCTTTTGAATGACGAAAGGGTCATTGGAGCTGCCTATACAGCGAGTTAACCGATTGATGAATCAACATGGAACATTGACACTCTTGACTGGCATACCTGTGATGTCGATGCGAGGGAGGGCGACGTCGAGAAAGGCCGAGGGTGACGTATTCTACCCAGACGAGAGTATATCCTCGGGACACTCTGCCTCGAGCTTCTTATCACCGATGTCAAGTTCATTGTCGAGTTCATCTTCGTGGTTGTGCTTGATATCTTCTGATATATTATTGCTGTATGCCGTGGTGAAATTTCACCTGGCGATGTCAGAGTGATGACTAAGCAACCACGTGATATCTGTGTTATGATGGCCGAAAGGGGCAACTGGGCGGGGAGTCGCACGTTCCCGCAAAGGTTAAGGAGGATAAGCTTCTTTGCTGTTGAGCCTCATGGCGATCGTGGAAGCTGGGGAGCTTGCCTGGGTCAAGCTGTGGACGTCGCGGGGACGCTGGTCGGTCGAGGAGCCCGCGAGGCCCCATCTAGAGTCCCAAACATGTCCAGACCAGCAAGAATACGCATGGCAGAGCTGGTCTGGCGTGTCTGCGGCGGGCGTGGAGGCCGGGGGCGGGCAGGTCGCCGTGTGCGAGGGCGCTCGAAGCTCGCTGAGTGCTGGATGCGCGCACCGCGGGCCCTGGACAAGTTTGGGTGGCAGAATCCTGGGCGTCTTGTTAGGGAAGGCGGTGGGAGGCAGGAGACAGGCAACAGAGAGTGGCGCTAGTCCTGTTTGGGGCTAGCGTGGCATCGAAGTTTGTTGCTCCTTGCGCGCAGGCTGATCTTGTATCTCGTCTTCACCAGCACAACACACGACAGGACAGGACGGGATACGGCTGGTTTTTTGACACTGCGGGTACTTGATCCTGCTTATATTGCTGGTGCTGCTGCCACTGGCTGCCATCGCTTGACTACTAAGGCCTGTGGTCCATGGCCGCGGTCGTGCCCTTGTGTCGAGTTTAGGCCTGTCGCGACAGCCTCGGACTCTACAGCTGGCCTCTGCCCTCGACACTAGCCTATTCATCCGATAATACATCATTGTCCGCGCTAGACAACTGCGTGATATTACTGTCATTCAGCCTGGCACGCCGGTTGCCCGCACTCACAACGCTGCTCCATCGCCGTCGAGCCCAGCTCCAATAAACCAGCTCACTCGGGCATAAAGATACACTTTCCAGCGTGACTGTGGTCTTCTTCTGGCGTCAAGATGCCGCGGAACTTTGAGATTAGCCTGGAAGAGATCGTCAACAGGTCTGATCCCGAAGACGACGACTACGACGACGCAGAACCACGGGTACGCAAGTCAGCAAAGAGATCACGGACCAGATCGAAGAAACGGGCCTCTAGAAAACGCAAGCGGGACTCGGACGATGACGACGACGATCTAGACGAGGATTCTGACCTTTCGGAGGAAGAAGATCAGTCTGATGACTTCGAGGACGAGATCGACGATGACCCGACCATCGAACGGAATGCGCGTGGGTCGGCCAGGAGAAAGGCAGCAGTCAAACAGGTCTCTTATGCCGAGTCGTCGGGCGAGGAAGACGATATTGAGGAGGAGCTAGAAGATAATGAGGAGGAGGAGCCGCCACGGAAAGGGAAAAAACAGAAGTTGATTGTCAAATTCCCGCTCCCACAGCCGGCAATCACCTCATCTGGTCGCGCAACACGTTCCCGAGCTCGCAGCGCGAGTATCCAACAACAGGACGCGGTGAATACTCGACACTCAACCAGGCGCAGTGCGCGTCTCACTCACGATGACAAGGAGGACATAATTGCACTCTCTGCCTCCGGTCGACACGTTGAAACCATCCGCCAGGGCACCCGCAGTCCAGATCCCATCGTGCCGCCTCCACCACGCCCGACAAATAAACTCTCCCACGTCGAGGAAGAGGCAGAAGTGGATGAATCGACGGTCCTCAAGGACGAGGAGGATGACTATGCACATGTGGAACATATTGGAGCTTCCCAGGTTGAAATCATGGAGAGTGATCCACAGGGAGGCTTCGACGACGATGCACCAGCCGTTGCAGCTTCGGATAATGCTCACCCGCCGCCAGAAGAGGAGGCAGACGCACGCGAACCAGACGTCGAGATGGGCGAGGAAGGCTTTGTTCCAGAATCTCAACATGACCGTGTCGAGCAGGAAGAGGACGATGAAGACGATGAAGGCCCGGTGTCACGAACGAGGTCTCGACGAAGTAGGGTCGATGAACCAGCTGCCGAAGAGGCACAGGCTGAAAAGGAAGGGAGCCAGCCAACTCGTCGATCCAGTCGACGAACAGCAGGTAAACGATCCCGACAGCCTGGAGATGATGGCAGTGATTTCGAACCAAATGAGGAAAGTCACGAAGAGGAGGAACTCTCCGACTCGGCCCCATCACAGGCCTCTCCTCAAAAGGATGACGGAAGTGGTAACGAGCCGAATTCTCGTCTTCGCAAACGACAGCGATACACTCACTCCCGTGGCGAGTCTGAAGCTAGGGAAATCGCAGAAGAGCTGGCGGATTTGCGAACAACACGGCCTCGACGAAAGAAGCCAGACATCATATACGAAGACAAGCCTCGACGAACTAGAAAGGCCGTCGACTACCGGCTCCTTCGCCCAGAACTCGTTCTCCCACTGGAAGAAAGCGAAGTCGAACCTGCTGGATCCCCGTCTCGCCGTGGCGGACGTGGAGGTGGAAGCACATGGCAACGAACCCTCTTCTCGACATACGGGCCCTTTGGCGGTGCTGGTCCAATGCCCCTACTCGGTGGTCCTGCAGGCATGGGCGCCAGCGGAGGCGTAGAGAGTGACAGCTCCGACGACGAGTTTGCTTCCCGCCCCAAAGCTCCCGGTGGCCCTGGAGCAATGACTACAACTTCCCTCGCACCTAGCTTAGGCCTAGGCATGCCCGGTCAAGCACACGCTGACCCTGCCCAGGGTGCTCCCGGAGTGCCCGCTAATTTCGGGAAGATCAAAGATAAACAGGCCCTCGCCGACGCTGATCCGCTGGGTGTCAACCCAAACGTCAATTTTGATAGCGTTGGTGGCTTGCAGGGCCATATCGACCAGTTGAAGGAAATGGTTTCATTGCCGTTGCTTTATCCGGAGGTCTTCCAGAGCTTGAACATTATTCCGCCTCGAGGTGTTTTGTTCCATGGTCCGCCAGGAACGGGTAAGACGCTTTTGGCGCGCGCTTTGGCTACGAGTGTTAGCATCGAGGGGAGAAAGGTGACCTTCTACATGAGGAAGGGAGCAGATGCGCTGAGTAAATGGGTTGGTGAAGCAGAGAAACAGCTGAGGCTGCTATTCGAAGAGGCTCGGAGGACACAACCGAGTATTATCTTCTTCGATGAAATTGATGGTAAGCACGGCCGTTGTTACCGGTCAAGATCCTCTTTACTAATATTATAATTCAGGTCTCGCTCCCGTCCGATCCAGTAAACAAGAACAAATCCATTCCTCCATCGTTTCCACGCTTCTCGCTTTGATGGATGGTATGGATGGAAGAGGCCAAGTTATCGTCATTGGTGCCACTAATCGACCAGACTCCGTTGACCCTGCTCTCCGCCGCCCCGGCAGATTTGACAGAGAATTCTACTTCCCACTTCCAAACGCCGAAGCCCGTCGAGCTATCATCGACATAAACACAAAGGGCTGGGAACCTGCTCTTTCACCTGAATTCAAAGACAAGTTAGCCGCTTCGACAAAGGGCTATGGTGGTGCCGATTTACGAGCTCTATGTACCGAAGCGGCCCTGAACGCTGTACAAAGAATTTATCCCCAGATCTACCAATCGAAGGATAAACTCTTGATCGATCCGAAGAAGATCAAGGTTTCGTTCAAGGATTTCATGATCTCATTGAATAAAATCATTCCCTCTTCCGAGAGATCTGCTTCGTCTGGCGCGTCTCCCCTTCATAGCACTGTCGAGCCGCTCCTACGAGAGCCCCTACGCGAGATTCAAGAACGTATATCGAAACTCGTACCCAGGAGGAAAGCACTTACAGCTTTAGAAGAAGCGCACTTCGAGCAACCTCATGATGATATCGGCTTCAAACGCGAAAAGTTGCAGGAAGAGTTCGACAGATCTCGTGTCTTTAGACCTAGGCTTCTCATCCGTGGAGAGTTTGGCATGGGACAGCAGTATATTACATCTGCCTTGCTCAATCACTTTGAGGGTGTGCATGTGCAGTCATTCGACCTACCAACTCTCCTGAGCGATTCGACCAGGTCACCTGAAGCAGTTGTGGTACAGCTCTTCGCGGAAGTCAAGCGGAATAAGCCCAGCGTTATTTGTATCCCGAATATCCGATCATGGTACGAAACTCTCGGAAATGCCGTGATATCAACATTCCTAGGCCTATTACGCTCTATTCCACCCACTGATCCCATCCTGCTCCTCGGTATCCTCGAAGGCGAGGCAGAGTATGAGGCGAATTCCGACATCGTTCGCAGCCTATTTGGCTTCTCCAAGAAGAACCAGTATTTCCTCAGTTATCCTGAACTCCCTCAGCGACGAGAGTTTTTCCAGCCTATTATCAACTTCATCAACACTGCGCCATGCGATTTCCCTGACCCCGATAACCGGAAGAAGCGAGTGATTGAGCGTTTAGAACTTGCGCCACCAGCTCCCCCTAAACCGGCACCGGCGCCTACGAAGGAGGAATTGAAAGCGCAGAAACGGAAAGACCGTCAAACGCTGAATCTCATGAAGATTAGGATACAGCCTATCATGGACCAGATCAGGAAGTACAAGCGGTTCCGAACCGGCGTGGTGGATGAGTCCCAGATACGCTATCTTTACGATGACGAGAATCCAAATGTTGTCACGTCTGATTTACCCGTGGAGGAAAGGAATGCGTTCAGGCCCTACGAGAAAGATACAGACAAAGCCGGTGTTCCAGGTCTACGGGAGACTGCAACAGGGAAATTCTATTACAATCTAGATATCGTCACCATTGAGAAGCGATTGTCTAACGGATATTATAAGCGTCCAAAAGATTTCCTAGCGGATATCAAGCGATTAGCAAAGGATGCAAAGCAGCTTGGCGAACCTGACCGACAGCTAAAAGCAAACGAGCTCTTAGCGAATGTTGAGGTTGATATTGGGGCAATTGACAATACAGATCCAGCCCTGGTGGCTGAGTGTGAGCTTGTCTATACCCGCGAGCTTGAACGTGAAAAGGCAGCATTGGATAAGGCTAAACAGCCAACGGCCAACGCTGATGGCACTATGGGACCTCCAGCTGGCCCGCCACCCCATATGAATATTGCACATGGTAGTCTTGAGCTATCTAATATGTCATCGACCGGGCCAGTTGTTCTGGGCGAACTATTCAACAGCCCCTGTCCTGCTCCTGGAAGCAGGTCTATTGGTGTTATCCCATCGCTAACTAATGGCAACATTCCCAAACTCCACCCACATGGAAGTATCGAGGGCTTCCGACCTCCAACAAGCAATGGATCTCCTCAACTCAAGCCAGTGGAAGGTGATGGCGATGTCCATATGTCAAACTCCGAAAACACCTCCGGGACGCATCAAAATAATACCCAAAATAGCTCATTTGGACCATCAGCGCAACCGAGACCGCCACACTCGTATACCGCACCTTCTCAGTTCATGAGGCACCAATCTGGCCTGTCTACTCTGTCGCAAAAGGGCAATGTCACGCCTATGGCCCCGGGATCACAACCAGGAGATTATGTTAACGATGCCTCGACAACCCAGACAACCTCTGACAAGAAACACTCTGGTCCATCCGATATGATGCATACGAACCCTCATAACTCAATGGCTACCTCTGCCAGATACGATGCACCAGACCTTATGCTCTACCCCGACCGTGCATCAGGAGATGAGCACCTTCCTGAGACCCAGCAGGGCGACAGCTCGTGGGGCTCTTCCCAACAACTTACACCTCTCCACGGCGTAGCCGATTTCCTTCATTCGCAATCTACCAACCTTACCAATGGAAGCCAATCCCAGCCTCGCCATTCTCAAGCATCCCAACCTCACCCTCCAGGCCCTCCGCCTCTATTCGATGCATCATCCACCCGTTCTCCCGCGACTATACCTCATGGCGCGCCCAGCACTCCTCCCCCACGCAACGGCGGATCTCACCGGATATCCGATCTTATCCATACCGAACCAAAACAGCCTGAACCCCCGCGCCCGGACTTGATCGTGGACGAGGACTTTAACAACGACCTTCTTGAAGAGTTCAGCACCAAGACCGGAGGCTGCTCGATTGAACAACTAGAACAGATCAATACCGAACTTATGGATTGTATCTGGAGCAACCGCAATGAGTGGAACAGGAAAGACGTCGCTGTCATGTTAAAGTCGACCTTCCACGAGACATTGGAAGATATAAAATCAAGCCAGAATTTTGTCGACGGGACTCAGAAATTGGACGGTCAATGAACACGAAGGATATAAGAATATATAACAAAAAGGGGAGAGACGGATTTAGATTCTTGTTGATTTGTATATTGATTCTTTCTTCATATAGCCGGCTTCTTGATGGAACAGGGCTGGAAACGCCAGATCACGCTTGAAAGACCTATCTCCTTTTTTTTCCCTTCTTCTTCCTGTATTACATGTTTTGCTTGGTCCACTGGTTCTTCTTCCTTTACCTTGTTTCCTACCCATAGCTTCCCTTGCCCTCTGTTTCATTGAGAGTTATCGGAGCTGCTCGACCATGTTTTATGTGGTTATCTTTAATTTCTCCTGTACAGCGAGTTTGTCGGCGTTCGATTATATTTCATTCTCCTCTACCTTTCCGCCTTTCCACTCCTTTCCCCTTCGCCTTTGCTGTTTCTTTCGCAACCCTGCGTGATTGTATTTTGCCTGGGACATTTACGTTCTTCCAAGGGAGGGTATCTGTTTTATGGTGCGGTCGGTGACGGTATTCCAAGAGGAAATTGGCAGGGAATAAATCCCAGCGGGTCAAGATAATTTGTAAACAGTTCATAAAGTCCCCTGATATAGGTTTATTCTCGTCTTCTGCTAGTTCAAACGGTGTTCTACATGTAGCTGTGGTGCTGGAGAACTGGCCCCTTGTGCGGATATTTTGTAGAGAGCGAGTGGACATGTGACGCCACACAATATTTGGGCTAGGTGGCATCTCCAGCTTCCCGCATCTCAGCGCAGAGCAGAGAGCAACGAGCAACAACCGCCGCTCCGCACCTTCGAGACCGATCAATTGCTGTCTACGCGGACTTTGGCTGTCTTTTGTTTTCGTTCGATTCACTGCCTCGATAATTACACACTACTCGACTCTCCCCACAGCCGCACTGGAAGTGTGAGCTTTGCGCGCAGGGAGCCACGATTCCTCGATCCCGGCCTAACTCCTCTATTCAACACAGATCCGATATATATATACACCTTTCAAGATGATGAGCTGGCTCAACGTAGACTGGCTCAGTCTTACCATCCCGCTCGCATATCTAGCTGTGCTTGTCGGCTCACTCGCAACATTCTCCTCGCTCTACCGCAAACGCAAAACCCGTACGTTAGAGAGCTCCCTTTCCTTTCATGCGTGGAATCAATACTAATGTTTACTCTTACATATTACAGAAAAAGCCACTTCCCTAAAGCCATGGTTTCCATCACATCTCCAGCGCGATATATACCTCTCTATCCTCCATCTAGACAAGAAGGTTCCCGAGACCGTATTGAAAGCAGCCCTGCTACGTCGTGCGGCAGAAGATATCAAGCGTCTTCTTGAGCTAAGAACGAAAAAAGCTGCTTTAGCTGCTTTACTACAGAAGGGGAATGTAGGCGACGACCTGTGGCAGCAATTTTCACGGGCAGAAAAGGAAATGGAAGATGAATTTAGAGATGTTGCTTCAGAGGTACGTACATGTCTAGATTCGATGCGTTTCTCTCCAAGAAGTACAAGCTTCCTCAGTATCAAAGGCTAACCCGAATCTGCAACTTTAGGCAAACGCTTTTGTTCCAGGCTGGGGTCAAGTCATTTTCCAGTCTGCAAACGAGATGTTTTTAAACAATATGGCACGGACCGACATTAATGCTCTTCAAGACACCGTCACGGAAGAAAAGGAGTGGTGGAACCGCAAAAGGGCAAGCATACAAGAAGGCTTTATGAAAGAGCTAGAAGAAGAAAAAACCGACACAACTGAAGGCTCAAAGATCAAGGCTGGCTCTACAACTGAAAACACTCAAATTGGTAGCGACGAGGATACTGTTCTTGTGGACGCGGCCAGCTCTACCACGGGCTCTACGGCCGGCTCTGTGAGCGGTGGGGGCAAAAAGAAAAAGAAGGGGAAGAAGTAAATGAGAAGTTTGTTTCTCTTTTCTTTTTAGATTATTATTCCCCCCCTATGTCTTTTTATTTGACTACATTTACGCCCTTGTTTATTCTGGTAGAAAAGATCTCTTTTGGAAGTTACTCTGTATTGTACATCATTACGAATTACGACTATTCGCGAACGCTTCAAAGAACGAGAATTGGGCCAGTCTTGAATAGTCCAGCAAATAGGTTCTCTTATCCTGACGCTGTTTCGATTAAATTCTATTAATATACATGCTCCCAGTTTGCTATTCCAGTTACCATGAGAAATGAAACCCCCATCCTACCTACCAAAATTGTCATATCTTCCTGTGGATATTTAGACACAGGATCCGAGTCCTCATTACAATCCCATCCATGCAGACTTTGCTAGGTGATCAGTCTTTTTCCTACTAGTTCTTGTCATCCCCATCATCTTCAACTCTGCAAGCGACTGGTAAAATATTGAAAACGCCACACGTTCGTCGCACTTGTCCCCATCCTCTCCGCCAACAATCATGTAGAATGCTCGCCATAGATCGTAAACATTGACTACCGCGCCAGATTCAAGATATAGCTGGTAGAGAATTGAAATTGGTGGCTGGCATGCCGATAAGGGCCCTACTTCGTCGTTTTCCTTAGACCCCAGATAGTCAAAAGGGGTGGACAGCGCTCGCTCGACTGTATGTCGACATCTCGGGGTAAAGGAATATCGAACAGGTGATTTTGAATCGTATATCAGACATTCGTGTAGTAAGAGATTTGTAGGTGTAGCCAGCTTCTCCGTAAGGCAGTCCTGTAATGAATTAAACAGACGGTCAACTAGGTCACTGTATTTTAAATCTTCATCGGACAGTTTGGCTTTTCCTTTTGTCAGCTTCACCCTTTGGCCAACGATGGTAGTGTTGTGTTTCATAAGCTGTGCATCATGCTGGGATCGTAAGGGTGCGTCTCTTTTCTTTTGGCGTATCAACTCTCGGATCTCGTCGAGTATCCCATCCGACTCGACGGAAGGCGTCAGCATCGCTCCAAACGCAACATCAAGATCATCCGAGTTCAGCTTCTTAGCAGCCTCAAGAGTATCAACTAAGATTTTCGACTCAAGAAGTTCCCCATTAAGTGCCAGTGTAATGCACTCTGGGTGGTTCGCCGGTTTCAATGACTTTATATTTCGCGACACTGTTACCAGCCACTCAACGCAGTTCATGGCTTCTCGCATCGCTTGCTGAGCTACTGCAATCCCAGAGAATATTTCTTTGGTGAGGAAGGCATCGTTGTTCATCATCCCCTTTGCGGTTTTGTGATCTTTGATATCTAAGAGGTGTTGCACACGTCTAAGTTGGTTAGTTACACGCTCACAGGGTGACGCTTAACTTAGGGGTTACTAACTTCCGAAATGAAGGTGTATTTCGAATTGCTTCGCATAATTCAGGTTGAAGTTCCTTCAACCTATCTTCCCCCGCAAGCAGTACAGAGAGTGGGTTTGCAAAGAAGTGAGCCATGTATGTATACTTTGATTTATGTTAGCAATCGTCCTAGATGCCTGTGTTTGGGAATAGAAATACCTTGAAAAAATTGCTGAATTTCTCGGGGCTTTGAAAGCAATCCCCTGATTTGTCCATTAGGACCTGGCTCACACCATGTCCCACCCATAGTCCTCTGTCATCTTGGTTTTGGAGGGATATAAAGATGCGGTCTACCGAGTCTCCAAAGTCGTGGAAATCGAAAAGACGGCCTTGCAACAATTTAACTGTAGATCGTGGCAGTCTCGACTCTAAATATGTGACGGAGGTTGCTACGCCGAACAGGAACACAAAAGGTATGCGATCCAACCACGACCTTTAATTTATTAGCAAACCCCTTGTAGGATTCTCATGAAAGTAAAGTCTCACCAGAGTAGGGTAATGAGGTCCGTCAGAACACCGCTATCAAATGCCTCACTGTCCTTGAAGGCTATGACAACCTTCTTGACGCCATTTTTTCGTACGCATGACAGTAGGAGGTCAAGGTCATATGGCAGTAGTTTCGGTCCCTTAAAATAACTTAGTCTAGTTATTTTATAAGAGCAAGAATGGGGTGTTACCGTTCGGGAAGTTATATAATCACGATATCGTTCGATATCCTCAATGCTAGTTATGGCGGATTTGATGATCGTTTTCAGGGCGTTTTTGATATTAGAAGTGTCCCCAGAGTCCAGGGAAACCAAACATGCATTTCCGCCAGCGTGCAGCTTCATTTGGAGCTGCTCTAACAGTCCGCCGGTTGCTGATATGTTTGATCCCACTGAGATCATGCCAGTAGGAATTCGACCATTGTAACTATGGGACGGTCAACAGCTTGCTATCAAAGACACCTATCATAAAGAATGGTTCATACGTTTCTATCGAAGAGTCTTCAATAAATGTTGCAACATTTCTGAGAACTTCCGAGTCAACCTCGCGGAGAATGTTCTATACCACGAGTTAGATTTGCAACAGGTTTACTCCGCATGTCAATCTTACAAACCTGGATTTTACGCTCTTGATCCGACCAGAGTTCCTGGAATAGGTCATATCGTAATTTGACAGACTCTTCGGCTTCATGTCCATTCAAAAGCGGAACGAATGGGGAGATGTCGCTTCCAGATCTCCCGTTGCTTGATGCATGGCCAACTTTGCGTCTCTTGTTTGAGACTCCATTGGCGCCGCCGGTCTTTCTCGCGGGTTTATAAATATATGCCCCCTATTAAACGATTAGACCTAGGTATATCCGAATAGCTGAAAAGCAGTGATCGAACCTGATGCTCCAATCCGACAAGACTACTCTGGGCTTCGTGTCCAGACTGCATGGCAAAAACTGTGCAAATTCAAATCATGCAGGCAAGGGAGACACGATCATACACCCTGATCTTCTCAATTATCTCAATTATCCCAATTATCTCGTATGGTGGTGAATTCTCAATAATCATTCGTGATGCTCGCGTTGTCGCGTTCAGGCAAAATAAAGGGACAGGTCATGTGCCAAGCCCCTAAGAACGACTTTATCAGTTTTTGCTGCTATCAGACTTCAAATCTTTTGATACTCAATCTCGAAGTGCTTGCGTTTTATTCTCTAGGATCTCGATGAGCTGACCACCATCTGCCACATTCATGCGCCGGTTGACTCTACAGGGAGCTCGGTGGCATCAGCATGGCTTGCACAAAACATGCCTCCCTCGTCGCTCTCCATCGTTCGCCGTCCTCCCTCGACCGTTCTCTACCACGCCAAAGCTATATTCCGGCGACGGAAACCAGAAAATAATTGTTCGCAACATCGAACAGTCGATTACCAATAGCAAAGATAATTTTGAGGTGGACTTGGAGTCGATAGAGCGAGCGGAGCAGAATAAAGTGAAGGAACGGATAAAAAAGCTAGAGGATGAGTTGAAGTTGGTCAAGGATGGATTTTTCGCCCCGGATAGCGAGTTTATGAGAAGTCTGTCCGAAGAGGATAGGAAAAGGGCATTGGAAGCTGTCAGGAAATATGCAGCCGAACATAACTGGAAACAAGAGGATGAGAGGGATGAGATTATGCAAAAAAAGCTAGACGCAGAGCTTGACCAGGTTCTGCAAATGGAATTGGACAAGCTGGAAGCAGAGGAGGAAGAACTATGGAACCCGAGCAAGGGTTTGTCGGGTTTAGAAGAGCCTCAGGAGGCTGAGGAGGCGCCTGAAGCTCCTGAAGCTGTCGAGCCGGAAAAAGAACCCTACGAGGTCGAACTAAAGGTCCCAGAAAGTCACCACGCCTACGTTATGAGATTTAACAAGGCCTTGAAGACTTTGGCAGGCACCCCGACTCTTGCAGAAAAGCAATATGCTTGGAAATCCTATCGCCGATGTAAAGAAGCTCTACCCTTTTTCCTCGACATCGCCCCAGAGGAGTCAATAGCCATGCTATGGGAATCCCAGCGTCCTATCTCAGAGCCGTCCGAGAAGATACCCCCACGACACCTTGCAATTTTGGCCGAAGATATACTTGCAACCGGGCGCATTTTAGAGGCGGGCCAATGGGTTGATTATATAGATGCGCTGCGCCGGGACGGACTCGAGGAAAAGGCCCTCACGTTGTGGAGAGAACGTGAACCGGACCTGAGCCAATACACTGCGGACGAGAAGAAACAATACTGGAACCTAGGTGTGCGGTTGTTTGTAGCCAATTCTAAGCCGAAGAACGCCCAAGATGCCGCAATCATATATCTTTCCCTGGATCCTTCTCACAATGCTCGAATACTTATCCCAGTTATCAACTGCTGGGCTGAGGGCGATGGTCTCGAAAATGATGCCCGAGCATGGACGCTATATCTACATCTTAAAACAACTTTGGGGGCCGATATCACAATGGCTGACTATGACGAAGTTAGCGTCGGCTTGCTCAAATCCGGCAAAATCAATCTAGCCCTTGCTGTTTTTAAAGACATGATGTTAACGGGTCAGAATTCTCCTGCCGAGTCGGATGCTCTTTATAAGGCTTCCCTGGGGCTTGTCGGGAAGCTTCATTCCGATAGCATTAACGAAGCGGATGTGAACAAAGTGTCCCTTGCGTCGCTAACAATCCTACCTCGGAAATTCCAAAACAAATTCTTTTACGCCAGTTGGATAAAAAAGCTGATCGGCATGCGTGAAGTTGATGCAGCAGCGAAGGTGGTTGAGTTGATGTATGAGAGGGGAGTTCAGCCAGACGCAAAACATCTTAATGGTCTCGTAGGAGCGTGGCTTCGCGAAGGGAGCAGCGCTGCGAGACAAAAGGCAGAAGGACTCGGGTGGTCAATGATTCAAAAACGAGTCGATCGTGTTTGGGGCAACCAACCCGGAAGCCCCTCTCTCCAGGACGCCCAGCCCGAGGGCCCTATCCCAGCATATATGGAACGGATTGTTCCTGCTGGAAATATAGAGACGTTTTCGATCCTCCTTCTCCATTATACCCGACGAGATAATGACGCCATGATTAATTACCTAGTGGAATGTCTCGACAAAGCTCAGTTACGACCCAATACGTTTTTCGCGAATCATCTTCTTTATAGAGAGCTACGGAAACAGAACATTGCCGGAGTTTGGTCAGGATACAAGAATACGATGTCTACCATTAGACCGGATCTCGAAACATTCGCCTGCCTTTGGGATTGTGGGAAAATCCAGTACGACAGAACACGCTCAAACTTCAATGCACAATTCCCTTCTGCCCGTGCGCTCTACTCAGAGATGGACCGCTGGTATTCAAACCTACCCTCACATCTCCAAAAAGACACACAGGATGCATTCTCAAAAGATCTCTATGATCATATCATAAGATGTTTCTGTCTTTCACTCGACCCCCAGGGAACTCTAGTCGCTTTACGAGCATTAAAGAAGACATTCGGGTTTTTCCCAGATGCAGATACTGCTAGGATCCTCGTTTTTCTAGTAGTACGCTTGATTCCTATTGGCGACGAAGCAACGCTACCTAAACGACGTCATAGACGAATCGCTTCCACTCCCCGCGCGAAAGAAAATCTGCAATATGTCAGCAAACTACTTCACAGGTTGCGTGAACAGAAGACTCTACAAGCCGCCAAGGAGGGGATATATCTTGATGATATGGACCAAGAATTCCACATGGAGTTTGAGGTAGACCTTTTGTGTGACCTTCTGCGAGTTGTTTTACGAAGCATGCCGAGGAATCCAGCCAAAATCGAAGCTGGCATACAAACCGCGGCTAATGAGATGGGTGTAGGCGACCTTTATCTCGGCGAACCACCTTCCTACGATGTATAAAAGTCTCCCTTCTCTCTTCGCTGATACCAGGCGCCCTTTGATATGTTCTGGCGTTAAGTTGGGCTTTTTGAAAGAAAATATATATTTGTAGTTAGCATGCATTGTAATATATACGGGGATATGTACGATATAATTGAGGAGACTGTTGTTATACTTCTACGTTTGCCTTTATGAGTGGCTATAAATAATGCGGCATACTCACGTAGAAATCACACCCATTACACCAAGGGCCGAGGGAGAAAAGGCGAGTTGGCACAATTATAATTGATAACTATGAGAAGCTCTTAATATAGATATTTATTCATATCCTAGGACTACTATATATGTCAATCGACATATAAGCAAGACCACTTCTTTGGCCATGATGAATAATAGAGCATATGAAGTTGGGAACGCTACCGCTGGCTAAGTTAAAATGTCCTTAAAGACCCAAGCACTAGGAAGATAAACAAGGGGCGTTAGAGGAAAGATTAGAAGGGCCATAATAACCATGGACTTCGGGATGTTTCAGATTCTGGTTCGGCTTGCTCTGCGGCCTCATCGGGTTCCTGATTTGCCCAAGAGGGTCTCCTCTCCCCTACCTCCCAGTCCTCGCCTGACGAGCTAGACTGGTTCACTGGGTGGAATATGTTATCTGCTACCAGTGGGCGACTGCTCTCACTAAAGACCATGGCTTCTCTGCGGCGCCTTCGAAGTGCCTGCTCTTCTGCAGTGTTTTCTTGTGGGCGGTTACCGAGCCAGGGCGAAACCCCTGCGGTTTCCTCCCCGTCGACCATCCAGACATCGCTGTCCATATCCGAGCCAGAGTCTGAGTTTGAGTCATAAACTTGCCAGGGACCTCCTCTGTAATACCATTCATTAGTTCTAAACTCGTGCGTCTCGTTGCCAAATATATCCGCAGTATGCTCTTCCATTCTGCTTCCCATCAACCCATATTTCCTAAGATGGTTTAGTCCCTCTTGATCAGACGATATGGTGTTTATTATAGATCCCATGGCCGGGTCATCAGCCCACCACGTCTTCATCATGAAGACAATACTCCGCTTCTTAGATTTATCCCGTACTGCGCATGGGAAGGGGTAGTTTGTCAACCATCGGCTGACAATTCCTGCTTCCAATGCGAGTAGTATGTTCCCTGGTAACATTGAGCTGAGCGTTTTCAAAGCCTTGTTCTCACCGGGGGGTCTGGTCTGCGGGTAGATGGGTGAAACTATGTCACTAGTTTTTTCGGTGTGTTCACTGAGGAAGTTGCATAGACAATCGACGAGGGCGCTAAACGTGGGTCCATCTCTTAATCTTGTAGATACAGTTGAGCGGCCCACTGGAGCGAGAAAAACCGTTAGCTCAGGGCCTTGAAGATAATCCATGAATTAGGTATGAGGTGCAAATTACACGCTGTACTCGATATAAGAAAGCTCAGTGCATTCAAAGCTTTGCGTCGCCGCTCCGGGTCTTCACTGGCAAGGTCATCAAGGAGTAATTCCTTCGTTGAACCCTTGGTTGATCTCTCCGACACGATTCTCAGTGCCCTAAAGTAATATAAGGTATCAGCTTAGATACAGTAAGCAAGATATTTGGGTACGCTTTGTACTAACGCGGCGCGGAGGTCAAAACTAGAGCTCCCCGAGAGTCTCTGGAGCGTCTCTAGTCTCAAGGCTGGGGAGTGTCGTTAGCTCTGGGGTTTGCAGGTCACGAAGCTGAACGACATACCATCCTCGGTTGCTTGGCCGATCACTGGCTCCTCCTTCTCAAGCTTCCTGATCTCAGTAAGATCCTTTACCCGATAGAGCTCAGCAGCGATACCTCGCGCAGCAAAGAAGAGGGTGACACCTAGGGGGAAACAAGTTAGATAAGGACTCTCTCTATTTCGGTCTTTGAGGGCCATACCAAGGCAAAGCCATAGAATCCGGTCATTACTATGCGAAGCCATCACGTCCGTATATTCATCTTCGGAGCAGACGAAAACTCCATGGTTTCTTTGCTGTCTGTTGTCTGTTTCTCTTCTTCTTCCTTGCGCGAAGTTCAAAAGTTGAAGTAAAGAAAGTGGCAGAATCTCCCCAAGGCGGTGAGCAAGCTTATCGATTACCAAATTTCACTTTCTCAAATATTTCAACTTTCTCTCGCCTATTCAACAACGCAGCTCACGACCGCGTCTTTTCACTGCCAACAGGGACCCCTGCGACGGACAATTCGCCATGGCGCCCTCGCAGCTGAAGCAGTTAAAGGCGTCCCTGCGCGAGAAGGGCGTCGTTGGCCCGCAGCAGTCCAAGAAGCAGAAGCAGAAAAATTCAAAATCTGGCGCTGCGACCGAGAATCGCATAAAACGAAATGCTGCCCTCCAAGCGATACGAGAACAATTCAATCCTTTCGAGATCAGGGCTCCTGTTCGGCCGTCTAAATTTGCCGTCACGACCGCAAGACCAGAGAAAAGCTCGGCCCATCGACCCGGCGTTACGAGGGGGCTAGGCGAAGAGAGGGTAATTTATATACACCTAGAATTATTTCTTTTCCAATGGAGCTAATCGCGAGATATAATAGAGAAAAGAAACCCTACTTAAAGAGCTTCAAAGCCGGAATAAGGTCGGCGGCCTCCTTGATCGCCGGTTTGGTGAAAATGATCCGTCCATGACACCTGAGCAACGAGCTGCCGAACGCTATGCAAGAGAAAGCCAAAAGCGGGCTAAAAAGGAAGGACTATTCAACCTTGAGGATGACGATGAAGGCGAAATGCAACTCACCCACATGGGACAATCGCTCTTCGATCTGGACACGAGAAAGGACGACTTCAACGAGGAGCTTAGCGTCACGGAAGACGAAAGTGACTTTGAAAAGGGCAGAAAGAGAAAGCGGATGGCGGAGGAAGTTGATGACATGGACGGGATGGCAGACGAGGATGAAGATGAGGAGGATCAGCCCGAGCGGAAGAAGACCAAGAATGAAGTCATGAAGGAGGTTATTGCAAAATCGAAACAGTACAAATATGAACGCCAAAAATCCAAGGAAGATGATAATGAGCTTCGTGCTGTCTTGGATCAAGGTCTACCCGATGTATTTGCTATGATGAGGGGAACGAAAGCGGCGGAACCCAAACCTGCGCCAGCACCGGTTCCAGCACCGCCTCAAATGAACCCTGACCGTGCGGCCCTACTTGATGGAAAGGATAGAGATGCGGCAGATCGCGAGTATGATCAACGGCTAAGACAGATGGCATTTGACAAGCGCTCCAAGCCTTCGGAAAGAACTAAGACAGAGGAAGAGAAAATCGAGGAGGAAGCAAAACGACTGCAAGAGTTAGAGAATGAAAGACTGAGGCGCATGAGGGGAGAAGAGGAAAGTGACGAGGAGCAGGTAGACGATGCGGCCGAGGAGGAGTTGCAGGAATACTCTGAGCCGGACGATGCCAAACCATTTGGACTTGCCCACACCGATACTGACACGGGTTTGTTTGGCGTTGAGGATGAGGATGACTTCATACTCGATGATGACCTTATTGAGACCGATTCAGCTGCTGATGTTTCTGTTGCTGAGAGCGATATTGAGTCTGAAGAGGAGGAGGACGATGCGGATGACACCGAATTCATTGGAGGCCTCGAGCTCCCCAAAGACAAACCGTCGGCAGCCAGTGGGGGTATATCAAAGGCACAGGAAGATCCCTCTTTGGCATACACTTATCCTTGCCCCGAAACTCATGACCAGTTTCTACAAATTTTGAAAGACGTCGACGTTGAGAACTCGCCGGTGGTTGTTCAAAGGATAAGAGCTCTACATCACCCCAGACTCCACCCCGATAACAAGGCAAAGCTAGGAGAGTTTTCGAAAATTCTCGTGGACCACACAGTATATCTTGCGAACCAGCCGACCAGACCGTCCTTTACGATTCTAGAAAGCTTACTACGACATATTCACTCCCTATCCAAAACTTATCCAGAGGAAGTTGCTACTAGATTCAGGTCACGCCTCCGTGATATTGCTGAGAATAGGCCCCTGGAATTACTACCTGGAGACCTCATTTTGCTCACCGGGGTTGCAACAATATTTCCTACTTCTGATCATTTCCACGCTGTCGTCACTCCATCTATTCTCACCATGGGCCGCTACCTAGGTCAAGGTCCTGTCAATTCTCTTAGGGATATTGCCACTGGAGCATACATTGCTAGTCTATGCCTCCAATACCAAACATTTGCTAAACGATATGTTCCTGAGTTCATGAACTTCGTGCTAAATTCCCTTTCCCTCCTCGGACCAAAGGAAAGCAAAACCAATCCTGGCTTTTTTCCAATTCGACATCCGGAGGAATCCATTCGATTAGAATTGGGTAAACGCACCCCTAAAGACCTTCAGAAACTCCGCTTTTGGGACATTTTCACAACATCTGCAGATCTAGAACATGCCGATGCTGAGAATCTCAAATTATCCCTTATAAGCTTGCTTGTTTCCCTTGTTGATAATGCCGTCGAGCTATGGGGCACCAAGCTGTCTGTCCCTGAGATCTTTGGTCCGACTCACGCAGTTCTACAGCACTTGGCTGAATCGTGTCCAAAGGGTACCCTCCCTTCTGCACTATCAGTCCATATCCGCCAATCTCTTAAAACGCTCAAGACCCTTGTCGCAAACGCCAAAAATGCCAGAAGACCACTACTCCTACACAACCATCGCCCATTAGCAATCAAATCAAGCATTCCCAAATTTGAGGAGTCCTTCAACCCAGACCGATACTACGACCCTGATCGCGAGCGTGCCGAGCTTAGTAAACTTAAGGCTGAGCATAAACGCGAAAGGAAGGGCGCTATGCGCGAATTACGCAAGGATTCTAACTTTATTGCTCGTGAAAGCTTGCGTGAAAAGAAAGAGAAGGATGCGGAGTATGAGAAGAAATATCGTCGTCTTATTGCGGAGATACAGGGAGAAGAGGGCCGGGAGTCAAAACTGTATGAGAAGGAGAAGAAGGCAAGGAAACAATCGCGGAAATAAGGGATACCTTATAGAACAGGCTGATTATGTTTTTTGTATATCGTTAGCTACCAACATTAAGAAACGAAAAAGATATTCCGCGAACCCAGGTTATTATTTGCCAATCCTAGGTTACGAGTATGCAATCAAAATTCTCAGTAATTATACACGCTTGATCAAACTATTTACAATATGACAAACACCGAGTCTACGCTATGCAGTATTACACATGTCTATCAAATAAAAAAAGAAAAGAAAAGAAAAAGAAAAGAAAACAGGGGTATCGCTTCAAAGAAAAACACATGATACGCTCGCTCATTGACTAAGTGCCGGCCCAATGCTTTCCAAATAATCACATCTATTCTTCAGGTGTTCGTTTTCGACTATCATCCTCGTCGCATTCGTCTGGAAGTACAGTCTGTTTACACCTCCCGACGAGCCGTCTGGTGAACTCGTTTGCCACTTGGGACTGTCAGTTGTTCGGTATTTATTTGGGTCAAACGACCGGATGAAACTTGTCCAGTAGCCCTGCACGACAGGAACGATGGGACTATTCGCGGGCCTGAGGTATGTAGTTGCTGGCTTCCGACCAAGGTATGAGGGACCAAATATGGCATTTAGTTCAATCGTATGGGAGGCTCCGTAGCCATTGGAAGCGAAGCGGGGGTCTTGGACGTTGTATTCGTAATTCCAGGAGCTGCTTTTGGAATCTTTGCCCATGGTTCTGGATATGTACATTGCAGGGCATATGTAGCGCATTTCTCCGTAGATTTCGCTCAACTGTGTCCAGTGAGCACCGGCACCTCGGAACTGTGTGTCTGGATTCGGGTAAAGCGAGTGAATTTTCTCAAAATGAGTTGGTTTCAGGGCAGGAAATTGTCGCGAAAGCCAACGGTCACCATCCTGTTGAGTTGAGGTGTTGCGAGGGGCAAAAATTGATCCTTCGTTTGCATCACTGCCGAATATCGTTGGAACATCGATTATTTTACCTTTATTGAACAGGTTGTAGAACGAATCCTGGATAAGGTCGCCATCTATAACGGGGCTATAGGAAAAGAGGGGTGGTCCGCTAGAGTCAGGTAGTCCAATCCCGATGTTTTGAGCCTGGAGTTTGTTGACATCAAGTTTTCGAAGACAGGCTAGAGAGTCGTGGTGGGAGTCGCATCCCGTTCGTTTCACTAGTCCGTCATAGAGATACTGGGATTGCTTGTTGGTGAGAGTCGTTCCAAACGAAGGCGATCCAGCTATGGCTCCATGGAACAGGCCATCGTCGCGGCCACCATAGGCTGTCAAAAGATGTGCCACTGATGCCGCGCCAGCGCTGTGGCCTCCTATCACTACGTGGTCTGGATCACCGCCGAACTAAAAAGAACGAATTAGACATTTCCAATTTCGGCTCAGAATTGGGGGGTTAACTCACCTTTGAAATATATTTTTGGACCCATTGCAGCGCCTTCAGCTGGTCCTTCAGCCCATTGTTTAAACTGCCGCCTTTTTGTATCTCCTCCCCTGGCAAAAATCCATACAACGACACACGGTAGGTAAAAGTGACGACTACCATATTTTGCTCTGAGGCTGTTATTAGGCCAGTACCGTTGAGGAACGGATCACTGTTTAGGTTGAACCCGCCTCCCAGAATAAAGAAGAACACAGGTAGCTTCGAATCGGGGCCCGCGCTTGTTGGCGCAAAAACATTCAGGCGCAAACAATCCTCAGACGTCCTAGGGCCACTTTTGGTGCCGGTAGAAATGCAATGTGGTCCGCGCTATAAGAAGAGGATTAGATATCTCATTCATACACCCATATATATGTACGCGACAAAGTACGACAGTGTCAATTATGCTGCGCAGTGTATATACACTTACATCGTTTGCCCGCTGAATTCCTGCTTCCTTCTTGGGGTCCTGCGGAGCAGCAAATCGCAACTGTCCTACTGGCGGCGCAGCATAGCGAATTCCAAGCCAACTTGTAACATCATGGCCCCCTGGAGTACCCATATATTTCGCATAGTCAAGTTCGACAACAGGGCCATGAGCATTACCATGACCGTGCGTAGGCTTTGCCGAACCCCTGCGATCCAATACCAGCACAAGCGTCACTATGAGGGTGGTTATCAATACCGCCATAACGCCGATAATTATGATAATAAGCCTTTTCCTGGATCGGCTCGGACTTGGCTGGATTTCTGGCTCGGACTTGTCCATTGGGAACTTGCTGAGAGGGACCAGGTTGGTTGAGGGAGTGGGAGAAGGGGCGAATATTGATGAATCCGGAGAGTCAGGGCGAGGGAGAATAGGGGTGGTAGGCGGTAATATACTTGTGTGGGAAGCCATCTTGTGAAGTTGTCGTAGTCACTCTTGGGCGATCAGCCGTTGTGCTGAGTCAGTGTTTCGCAGTTGCTGGATTATCAACTCAGGAGTCCGTCAATGGAGAACTCGCGCGCGACAAGTAGATCGAAGCTGCATGAAGCTGACTATGATAATATGAAATCTCGGAGGCACGATAACGTCTTTGTCATGCAGCATTCATCAAATTAGCTGATTGAATGGCCATGCGATGAGATGACATTCTTCTAAATGATTAGAAATGGCAAGCTTGTAAACGAGTGTCAGTTCGATATTCCAAGCTCCTTTGTATGTGTCGGAGATGCGCTGCGCTTGAACGAGAGTACGGAGTAAACAAAACGAATAGGAGTCGTTGATCAGTTCTAACCAATCCACTCTATCAACGATGGTAGAAAGGGCAAATAATGAGAGAGAGGGAAGAGAAGAGAGAGAGAGAGAGAGAGCCCTAAGACGGAGCCTCTGCCGGGGCAATCGGGGGGATTTATTAAGCCTGCATCGTGTGTATGCTTATATTTTAGGCTGCAAACGCCCCAAATTAGAAACGGCAGATGAAACCAAAAAGTGGTTAGATCTAGAGAGAACGGCCAGCCTCAGGCTAACTGCCGCAAGGGCAAATCGCGGCTTAGGTGACGTGGACCGGCCACAATGGAAATGAAAGCGTGCTAAGGACAACCATCCGTGCAACAGTCCGCCCAACTGGAGAGTGTGCTGCAAGGAGACACGGAGTTTTCAATCGGGCTTTTCACAGCCAACTCTAACTTCGAGCTAGCCTGGACTATTCGTTGGGTTGGGGTTCATTTAGGGGGCCGGCGTAAGCAGCCGCGGTGCCACCTGGGTCGATTGCACCCATGTAACTGGCTGAAGGCCCGTCTGAGAGTCAAGTCAAACCATCGTGCTGCGGAAAAATTAGCCTCCAGGGAGTGTGTACGTGAATATGGGGCCCATCACAGCGAGAGCTGCGATGAGATGAATCAAGCTTAACCCATGTCGAGCGAACTTTAGCGAAAAGCTTGAGTAGTCGGGCCGGGCTGGATCGAGCTTCATGACCATGGGTTGGGGATCCTTCCATTGGCTGCCGCTCGTGACTAAGGGTGGCTTCGCATGCATAATATATAGAAAGCCGCGTAGGGGGCTGTGGTGACGCTGCCTCTCCCCGGGGTGCGGAGTATGGTTTCTCATGCCGCCAGTAGTCAGACTGATGAAGCAACAGGTGAGTAAGTTAGTGACGCGGCTTAACCTCTTTGTCGTGCAACCGAGTATCCTAGATTCACGGAGCACACACGGGGTAAGGAGTACATGACGGTAGACACTCGGTCCCATCTCGACTGCTCCCGTACCCTGAGGGAATAGTTCACTTTTGCCTCTCCCTGCGTTGTTATCTCTTCGACGACGATCCTTCGTCTTCGTTTCTCGCTTTGCTATCGGCCCAATGAAACGCCAGGGCCAGAATCGAACTCCCCCGCGAAACGCTATCCATGGCGGCTAATATTTTCTAGCGACAGTAGGCCGCTCCCGACGCCTCATGCTGACCTATAAGGCAGCCATTCAGCGCTTCCTAGACAATATTCTATGCGGAGTATGGAACCATCCCTAGGTTCAACGGTTTGAGTTGATTGCATGTAAAGTCACTGAGGCTCTGGATAGTCACTTCACATGCTTCCGTAGCGACTAGTCTCGCTCCCTGAAATAAGCCTACGTAAGTATGCAGGGAAAGGCTATTCATAGCTTCACCCTGGATCATTAGTCCACGTACCCCTGCTGTAGGCTTATGTTGTTGAGGCTGTCCCACCATATCGGAGGGTGAACGGAGAAGAAGACCGGATCGTCGAGCGCTCTCCCTTGTTCGCTCTCGTGTGTCAAGACAAGCCTGTGGCGTAGTTGATCTAAGAGGGGAACATGATCCCTGGTCTGCTGGGCCCCGGGGTCATCCAACAGCGACGAGAGAGAAAAGCTTAACACCCCTGACTTTGCCAAAAGCTCCAGCTTAGGCCCAGCTAGGCCAAAGGCATGATGGATGCTAGATCGGTCTACTCACAGCTCACGCCCTTCCGCCATGGCACAGTTTTGTGTTGGTGAGCCCTCGGCCTGGGCGGAAGTACAGAGTACTCCCGACGGGCCGCAGAGTTTGCCAACTGCCTTTTAACCGTCTTCAGCTATGTGTTATCCCAACATTTAACCAGCCGGCTCACGATCGGACAAAACACACTTATGTCGACAGACTATAAATATGGAGTGTTCTCCGTCGTCTAACAATCCAACATCTAGCCAGGGTTAGGTTGCATGTCCACAGCCCCGTGCCTTGGGCCTCCGCTGCAGGCCACTTTTGTCATAGGATGTCTTGCCATAGCTCTTCTGTTGTCCTTCATTTTTACTCCAAGGGTTCACTCTGGGCCTAAAACGGGGCGTCCAGTGTGAGATTGAGTCACGTTCAACTGTTCGTTTATCGACTGTGATAACTGGTCCCACTGTTGAACGGAAGATCCTGCGATGCTAGGGTGAATGTCTAGAAAGTACCCGAGACATTTTGAGAAAATAATTTCAGCTTTCGAAAGCGGAAGACGGGCCAAGGCGGAATGCCCGAGTTGAGAGAACGGCGAGCCCCGGATCAATGGAAGAGTAAAGGCAGTGATCGGGCCACTTATACTGGCCTAATAAGCGAATATGTAAGAGGTGAGTTGCTAGCGCCCAGCATGTCGTGATTAGTTTCAGAAGTTCCACGTTTAGCTGCAACCACGATCGCCCAGCCGCTAACACAAACTGCCACAGTCAAATCACGAAGTGCATCATGAGATCTCATCTTCTGTACTCCGTAGATGGCGCTAGAAGTTCACGTAGGATCATTATATGTAGTGCCGCTATTCCTTCAAATTTCCAGTCACCAAGGTGGATCGGATGATTTGCTGCAGACGTCGCAGTCATACGTTTTTGACTCCGACCGAATAACTTAAAGAATAAATCGCCGAAAGACCACCATCAAGCACGAAAAGTACCCTATTCTTCTTCCAGGCTCATCTGTTCTGACCGCCTATTCCTTACCGAGTTGTCGCTCCTAGCGAAAGGCTGCCTCTCGTCGGGATTTGCCAAACTCGTGGCATCTGGACATACATACAAATATGTATACATTCGTAGACATCGTGAGTCTTCATTGGCCTATGGAATATCGAATGGTTAATTCAAGAGTTGTGTAGCGACCCTAAATGATTAACGAAGCTCGAACCATCGCCTATTCGCCATGATTAGTGGTTTTCAGGGAGCTGTGGCTTAAAATATGAGAAAGTCCAAAGTCAATGGGAGACGAAGGATTCTAGAGCCTGCCTGCGAGTCAGTAACTAGAGCGGTAGCACGCCAAGAATTTGTCGCCTTCGCTCGACCCCCGTGATGTGCGAGACGGCTGATTTAATGGTGTAATTCCGCCTTGAGTACTCCGAGGCGCATTTCTACCTTCTCAAATCCGGTAAAACAGCTATCGACAACTATCGCAGAGACTCATCGAGTTAATTTATGAACCGTGATAGGCGATAACCCGTAGTACCGAATAAGTAGTTAGCGACATTAGAATTTTCTAGGAAGGTTGAAACTTGGATTTGTGGTAGTCGAGCCAGAGCTTTCGCGTGAGTTCTGCATGTACAGTGTTCTAGGAGCTAAAAGGCGGCGGCAGGTTGCGTAACGACAGCGTGTAGTGCAGAGTACTATGACTATGCAAAGGTCACACTCATTTCGACCTCATTGGCATTTTCGATAGGGTTTTGACACGGCAGATGCAGCATGTTCGACATGTTCGTACGCGAGATAGGATACCACGTGTAACGCCTCTTCCAGCCAATAGTACTCGAAAGAGGGCAAAGAGCCTGTGCCGGTACCATTTTAGATAGTATAGATATGATCAATTGAATATGATATGAAGAATAACGTATAGTGATATGACGTATGAGGCGGCGGACCCATCAATAAGGTCAGAGTATTCTGCATAGAATGGTGTGCCTCCCGCAATTAAGTCGGAGTATAAGTGGTTCGCTGTCACCTTTTATCAGCGTGACTTGCAACTGGCGTCATCTCCCCTTATCAGTAGCTGTTATTGAGCCGCGGGCAGGTCGCACCGGAGAGCCTATTGAGCTAGCATAGGTATCATCTGTCGTGTCGGGTCAACAAGAGGTTCCCGCACTCACCAGTGGCGAGGAATTTGAGGCCGAGGAGAGGTGTATATCTCAATTCTCCCGTCTGTTCCACTGAAGCCGGAGAGGTAACGCGGAAGTGTCAGCGTGTATCTGTATAGTATACAACTGGTATAACGGGGTATCCTGGAGTTGTAATGAGTACGGCAGGCCATGGTAGCACAGCTGAGCGTCGTCTACCAGGCCTCACCCGTCTCCCTTCGCGTGGACGCACTTCCACTCCTGCATGTCGTGAGGTTGATTGGAGGTGAAAGAGAATCAAGAAGCAAGAAGTCATGCCTAAACGGTCAGTGCTTATATAATACAAGGTCACGAGGGGAGGTTGCCGATCATCCAGGAACCTTCCTCTTCCGGACAAGAATATTACATAATACGAGGTCCGGTCTTTGCCGAGGTCTTCGCGTCTTGGCGTCCCTTTCCCCGGGTTTTTCTCTTCTATCAACAACCTTGGGAGAAGTTATACAAGTTATCGTGCGAGAGGAGCGACATCAATTGCATCTTCTGCTTGCTCTGCTTTATATTCCTTGTTGCAACAGGACGAGACACGAACGGCGACTGTTACGGTGGCACAGGCAGGCAGTTCTATAGTTCCTGCAGCGAAGTTACACGGCTACGGACAATTAGAACCTCTGTAAAGCGGGGGGTTGCGGTGCGAAACGGAGTAAGCATCCCGTCCAAGAGAAGAGCTTAGCTGATGCTTAACAGGGCCCGGCTTTGGCATATCTCGAAGCGAGATGCATCAATCATGGCATTTAATATCAAAAGAAGCTTGAATCCCAGCTCTTGGTGCGTGCTCGCAGGGCATCCCGGGCCTCTTATAAAGCTCTGCCGGCCTTAGTGCAACGATAGGAGCGACTTTGCCATCGCAATAGAATTCTGGAACCCTGCGACAATTGACTTGGCACTTGCCTATTGAGGTTGGTCCGGCCGATCATTTAATTTCGTCATGGATTAAATGGCATTTTAGCTGTCAAAATGCGAGTTTGGCCCTGGAGACCGTTGCTAGCAGTACAGACAAAAAAACAAGGATACTCCGTACAAAGGAAGCCATACGAGCCTGGAAGCTTGGAGAAGGCTTCCATTGTATGCGGGGTCGATCCGGCCACCGGGACGGTATAAAGGACAACGAAATCCCGCTTCCCGTCCTCCTGGATCGATTTTTCCCTCCCTCCTGTTGCAGTGATCAGGCGGTGGTTCATACAATTGCCATTACCGATCAGTCAGTATGTTGTTCGTTAGCACTGCTGCGGCTGCTCTGAGCAGTGTCTTGCTTATCCAGCCTGCACTTGCTGCACCAAACGGTCTGCCGTCCAACAGCGAGTCTAGACATGGCCACAAAGACCCCTTCGCGGTGCTCGACCCTCAGAATTGGGTCAATCCCGACAATATGACCTGGGCCGACTTCAAGGCTCCTCCAGGGACGAAGTGGAATGACCCATCGCGAAAGGGCTCCATGCGCAACTTCAACATTGCCCTCGTGAACGTCGACTATCCTGATAAGCCATTCACCATTACAATGGCTCCGGAGACCGATGTCTTCAAGAACCCGCAAAAGGGCTCGCCCAATGTCACACGAGACGCCGTGCCTACGTTCTACCGTGATTTCCTTAACAAGCCTGGAAAGCTCAATCGCGGCCACACCCTTCACGAGTACTGGATGGAAGACTCGAACGGCCGTTTCGGTGTCGACCTGACCACCTTTGGTGTTTACAAGATGCCCAAGAAGTCTTATCAGTACGGTATTGGCGAGGAGATGAACAAGGGTGCGTGCCCAATTGGAGAAACCTGCTACTATGAAATTCGTGACGACGCTCTCGGCGCCTGGCGCAAGGACATTGGTGAAGACAAGGCCAAGACCTACGAGCTTGTTTTTATCCTGTCTGCTGGCCAGGACGAATCCTCGACGTGGCAGGAATTCGGCGAGATCATGTTCCAGAACAAGGAAGATGTCACCGCTGCGTTTGGCCCTCCACCAGGTAACGGAACTGGTAACATGACTCTGCCCAACTATGCCAACACCCGATATGTCGAATGGACTTCTTGGGCCTCTGCATCTGCCATCTGGCCAAATGCTGGTGACGGTTCGTCCACCCAGGCTGAGAGCTCTGGAATGGGTACCTTTGCCCACGAGCTCAGCCATCTCCTTAATGTCGGAGATAACTACAACAACCCCTACGGCAAGCCCCTCCGCCGTTCTTTCACTGGCCCATGGTCCATGATGTCTCGGGGTTCTTTCAACGGACCAGGAGGCCCACACACCCGCTGGCAAGTTCCCCCACTCCAGGGTGGTTCCATGGGATCGCAGCACACTCTCCATGACAAACTGAGACTCGGATTAACCACCCAGGAGAGCGCTCTTAGCTTGTCCCGCGAAGCATTGGCCAGCTCCGGTCTCGCTGTCGCCCGTATCACTGCCCGTGTCATTTCCCCAGGAAAGGGAGACCTGATCGGTATCCGTGTTGCCATGAATGCCGATAACGCTCCTAAATGTGATATCAAGACCGACCCTTACTGCGATGGCAACGGCTACAACAACTACAACGTTGAAGTCATCGACCGCATGGGCACCGATTCCTTCTGCCCCGACGCCGGTGTCATGCTCAGCAAGACCAGGGACAAGGCCTTCTCCAACTACCAATGGACCATCGACGCCAACCCCCAGGACATCAAGCAGGTCGACTTCCACCGACCAGACGGCACCCCTGCCATGATCTCCATTGGCGACTACCGCCAGTTGGCCGACGCCCTGTTCCATGCTGGTACCCGCTCCGGAAGTCAGTACGAGTACATCGACAAGGCCAACAAGCTCCAGTTCTACATCGTTGACCCCCACCGCGATGACAAGGGAGTCCTTTCCTACACCATTGCCGTCCGTTCCCTCGGCGGCAAGGACCCACACAAGCGTGGGGTCACCCTTGACAAGGTTGGAAAGGTCTCTTCCAGCAGCTTCAGCAAGCCAACCGACAAGGGCGTGACCTGCTCCTTCACCCTCCACAACACTGGCACCTACAACCCGGCTGCCGGCAAGGTCAAGCATCCTCAGGACGTCACCGCCTACCTCAAGTCCGATGTCTACCGCCTCAAGGCCAGCGTTGAAGGCCGCGGCTGGAGAGTCGAGGTGCCAAACGCCCTTGCTACCGCCGAGTTTGGCAAGACTGTCACCGTCTCTGTTGCCGTTGGTGCTGATCAGTCTGCCCAGGGCAATGCCAAGGTTACTCTCACTGCCACCTCGGAGGCCGACCCTTCGAAGTTCGCCACGGCCGAGTGCAAGGTGAACAAGTCCCATAACTAGATGGGCATTTTCTTCAGCGAGTGCTTCAACCCTTCTTCGATCTACCATGTGTTATCAGCCTTTGGCTTGTATATATGTGATAATCATGGCCATTTAGAATTGAACATAGTCTATCTTGACACCTCTCTATTGCAAGTCCTAAGCACCTAGTCTCCTGTAGATTGTAGGAGAAGGCTCCGTATATAGTAGGGAAGAGGTTTCTACCTGCTTCGGCAAGATAGAGATTATATAATAGGTTATTCAGCATTCTCGGATAAATGATTCTCCGCCTTGGCATCTCACACGTGTCACGTCATGGGCCATCCATTTTGGGAAGGCGGTCAGCCCGCGTTGTTTTATTTGTTTATCATTTCAAATCAACTTTGGACGTCGAGCTTCATTTTTGCATCATATCCAGCTGTATTCACGCCGCCGATGCGACCTGATATTCGCCGCCATCTTCGAATCCGGGCCTCTCTGTCGGCTTTGCCTTGCTGCCAGGGCCTGAGTTTTCCCTGTTTTTAAATTAGTGGGCTTCTTTTTGGGCCAGACCGCGTTAAAGATACATCAACCATCCTTGCTATGATCTTATACTTTACCACGAAACTAGAACTTTCAACCTCGAGCGATTACCTGCATTTCTTCCAGCCTACTATTCTTACTCTCTAAGCCGATCCCGACCTTCTCCCCGCAGTTCATCCTATTCATGCATTCGTCGGGCAGCGGGGGAAATTCTGACCTCTTATTATCATTATTGGCATTTCGCCTCTCCATGAAATAATGGGAGAAGCTATAGAGGCCCAAGACCGAGCCCAAGACCGAGCCCGAGCCCAAGCTCAGAAACGGTCCTCCTCGCAGGCATCAACCTCGTCGAGACGGAGTCAGAAAGCAAAGACTGTCCGGTCGAAACCCCTCAAACGTCTAAGCACTTGCTCGTCGACACATACGGCCACCGATCTCACCTCTTTTCCATCTCTATCCCCAGATCGATCGCCGGAAGGGTTTTTCGGCGAACCGGCGTTGAACCATGCTCTGAGCCGGGCGTTGTTGGTCGAAGAAGGTGATAAAGGGCTGGATGGCGAACGTGGGCGGAAGGCAACTCTTGAGGGCCTCACCACAACCTTGCCTCAGCTCTCCGGTAGAGCTGCCCTATTCAGTGACTCTGCACCCTCCCAGGATGTCCCCGGGTCCCTACACCTAGCGAACGATGACCATATTGAACGCCTAATCGCCCGGACGGGAGCTGTGCGGTTGATACGGCAGTTTGCCCGTGACCTGGCGTTGCGTGATGCGGAGGTATCTGCACTACGGTTGCGTGCTGATGACCGGGAGCGAGAGCTGAAGAAGATGCTCCGTGAAGTTGAAGTGTCGAATCATGATATTGAGCGGCGACTCTATATGTTGGAAAACCCACCGGATAGCTCCCTAGATACCTCAAAGGCCGACTCGGCCGACTTTTCTTCCGGGCAGAGAAGCCTGACCTCCTCTATTGACGATATGATGAATCAGGCGATGTTGGAAACTGTTGGGCCCCAGAAGGGTGATATTGAAGCCACTATCAGGCCTCATCGAACTGATAGTGACCCTAGGTCCGGTAACTCGAGTGCCGGGTCGTCCAAGAAGCCCTCTACAGCTACTGGACGTGGATGGCAAGACTATATATGGGGTACCTCGACAGTGAGCCGGAGACCTAGCAGAGCCAACAGTATGAGAAGCGATGCAGGGGATGGACCTCGCATCCAAGCATCAAATCGACGGAAAGCTCTTGATGGACAGTTATTCCAGCCTCCGGGGCCAACACCAGATACATCAGGTCTTGGAATCGATGGTACGCCAGCATACAAGTCTGGCGACGGTGACGACCGAAGCATCATTTCGCAACGCTCTTCCAACTCGGTAGCTTCATGGACTGTTAAACTATTTGCCGGAAAGGGGAAGGATGGACAGGATGGCGCCCGCAGTCGCGCGTCGTCAAGGAACCCCGATGCTAGAAACAGGAACCAATCACCTGCGCCACGGCCGCCGAAGGCTGCTGGATCTGCTTTGGCTGCTTTGACACGGATAAATGGTTCGACTGGCGTACAGCAATTGTCTGGCCGCTCATCTAGCTCATCAACTATGCGCGGCTCGACTATGAATAACACCTCAAAACCACGCCGCTTGCGGGTTTCAAGTACCACCTCTGGCGCAGGGACTCCGGGAAGTGCACACCCTGACAGTGAGGCAACTAACCTGGGGCCCGTTGAGATGGATGCAATCTTACCAATGGAATCCCGCCCTCCCACTCTTGCCCATATCTATGGAGAGTATAACCCAGGCGACCTGCTTACTGACAGGTTTGGCTTTATCTATGATCAAAGGAGAAACCGACGCCAAAGGGAAGTGAATGCGGGCCGTCCAACGGAGGAAACCTCAAGCGCTACAAATGCAGCTGGATCTGCGAATGTAGATAACAACGGTAACACCGCAACACCTGCGCCCGGTGATGATCTAGAGGGTAGTGCTGCTGGGCTCAGGAGATGGCAAGATTATTTAAAGACTGCAACGAAACCCACAGAATTACTCTCGCATACACCTGCTGCAGGGCCTGTTGTTTCTGTCGAACAAGGCACCCAACCCAAACCTCGTATATCATCGATTGCAGTTGGGAAAAGTGGCGCGGTATCTGTGGTAAATAACTCTGCACAACCATCCGCGTTCACGTCGGCTGTCATCTCGAACCACGCCGAGTTTGCGGGGACAGAGCCTAGGCCCCGTGAAGCATCAACTTCTGAACAGCAGCCAGTGAAGTTATTGCTACAGCGATTGACGGAATTACATGACGCTTCCCAGCAGGATCGAACTGTGAAATGGAATGAATTCATGCGAAAGGTCCGCGCGGAACGACGGAAAGAAGGCGAAGCTACCGCAGCGTTAACGCTTCCCGACCGCTCCAAGCCTTCTCGCGATATGCCTGAAGTAGCTCTAGCAGATGGAGAGGTCATTGGCATTGCAGGTCTTGGAAATAAGGGGAAAATCGGCCGTGCTAAATGGAGAGAGTTTAGAAATCTCGTGCTAGGCGGTATTCCGGTTGCATACCGTGCTAAGGTCTGGTCCGAATGTAGCGGTGCCTCCGCTCTCCGTGTGCCAGGATACTATGATGACCTTGTCAATGGGCATATAACTACCCAGGCAGACCCAGGCGCTACTGCCCAGATTGGCATGGACATCCATCGTACCCTAACTGATAATATTTTCTTCCGAAAAGGACCTGGGGTAGCAAAACTGAACGAAGTACTTCTTGCTTACTCTCGCCGGAATCCAGAAGTTGGATACTGTCAGGGCATGAACCTGATTGCCGGGTCACTCCTGCTAATCCTACCCACAGCAGAAGACGCATTTTGGGTCTTGGCTTCAATCATTGAAAATATCCTTCCACCTCATTACTATGACCATGGTCTTGTTGCATCTCGAGCGGACCAGCAGGTTTTGTGTCAGTATGTCTCAGAGGTGTTACCAAACCTATGGGCACATTTTGAAGATCTGGGTATTGAGCTTGAAGCCTTGACATTCCAGTGGTTCCTCTCAATCTTTACCGACTGCTTGTCTGCCGAAGCACTTTACCGCGTATGGGACGTTGTCTTCTGTCTCAGTGCGCCCGCTACTTTCTCTTCCAATGCCCCCGCGTCAACCCAGGAGCCTGCCGAGGCCGCATCAGGCGTATCCTCTACCAAAACTGCTCCAGCCCCAGCATCGAAGCAAGCCACTCCGCTCTCCACTGTTGACAAAGATGTCACTAGTACCAATAGTGATGGAGGCGGAAGCACTTTCTTCTTCCAAGTTGCGCTAGCATTGCTGAAACTCAACGAGCAACAGCTCTTAACTACTTGCTCAACCCCAGCTGCGATTTATTCATATCTTAACCATCAGATGACGAACCATGCGATTAGTATCGATGGACTAATTCAGGCTAGCGAGGCGTTACGGAATGTTGTCAAGAGAGAGGATGTCCTAGCAAGGCGATCAGCTGCGATTGAGGCGATGGGCATGCCTTTCAATACATCCCATGTGCCAAAGTAAGGACTTTCATATAAACACCCTAGAGGCGTGTTTTCATAAGCAGTTTCATTCACTAAGATTTCATTTTCTGTCAAGCATTTCCTCTTTATTTTCCTTTTTATAAACATTACAAGTCTCTCTTTATGATTTTTCTCTCGTTAGCATTGAGATACCCACTCCTTTCCCTTCTAAGCTCGTCTTTCCTTTAGGTGGTCATACCAGCGAACAATTTCAGCATCTTATCTGGTTCATTTCTGCAGTTCGTTTTCCTTCGTTCCAAGTTTGTCTTCCTCTGCCTAGGCCATTTAATATTGTCTTTTAGATATCCTGTATATAAACCGACGCCGGTGCATCTTACTTTCCTTGTCAATGTGTTATTTACATACATCTATGCCGCTTAGATGTTATACGGAAGAGAAAGCCAATACGATTATCGAGAGTGGAACATACATAATTTAAACGAATCAACCACCCTTTCGGGTCTCATGGTTCCCAATAATTTTCATATTGTGTTAAACCAAATCCGTAGATGCAATTACTATGTTATACAAAGAACTATACAACAGCAAGCTAATATGGCATGTAATATAAGAATGACAACTGGCTAGAAAAAATGTAAATCCATAAGTGATGTGGAAATGGGTCCAATGTATTTTCTACTTTATTGAAATACATATATCATCCCAGCCCTGTCCACGCTCACGGTCATCGCATATGGAGATTCTAAGATTGCTACATCAAGAATAGAATCAAGATGACTTCTTAGTAGCAGTTGCTGCTGTAAACTGATTACGGTGCTCCGTGGTGGACGCGTACTCCCTGTACTCGTAGCACTAGCCTTCTTGTTGGAGGCTGTGCCTGGCCTAGCGGGTGACGAGCCAGAGCTAGGGATCCATTCAGATGTTATCGTTAAAGAGGTTGTCGGATGAGTTGTGTCGTATCTCGGCCGCATTTGGGTCCCATCTGTAACTATGTTTGGGCTACTCACAACAAGCGATGCATCAGGGTGTACGACATCCCAAAAGCGTACATTGCGATCCAAACCAGCGGTTACAAGGAATCCGCATTTGGATCCTTCTGCCGTGCCTTCTAGGTAGTCAATGCCTACAGCAAGCGCAAAGATGGAGTTTCGATCGCCGCTGACGGAATTCCCACCAGCCGCAGTCGGCTCTAGAGCAGCGGAAGCAGGGTGGGTGTTTGTTGCAAAGCGACCCAGCATACCTTCAGGTAGGTCATCATCAACTTTCCACGGCTCATATACTTTCCAACTTGTGTCTGGATTGAGATTTCCTTTTTGCCCAGCGGGAAGTGCCATCTGGTTCACAGTGGCACTGGTTGTCCGATAAACCTCTCTGCATTGCACTTTGTCAATATCCCAGACTAGAATTTCTGAGCCGTTATTTCCACCACCAACGACGCATACCCATCTCCCCCGGCCTTTAGTGGGATGGATGGCGAGACGGCGAATTGGAGTTCCTCCTGGCAACCCCCAAGCTTTCACACGGACACAGAACCGGAGATCCCATAAGTCTAATATTCCATGTGTTGTTCCCACAAGCAGCCAATTGTGCTTTCTATCAAGACAGAAAGTTGTCAAAGTACCATGGCGGATGGGGTTTTGGAGAGTGTAAACCTCAGTCATTGACTTAAGGTCCAATGCGATTATCCGGGATCTATTAGTAGCCATGAGTAAGATTGAGTGTACATCTGTCCGGAAGTGTTCTATCCAGACAGCATGTTCGCCGCTTCCACCTTCAGGCGGTGAAATATGGTACTCTCGAACAAGCTGAGGTTTCCCATAGCGGATAACATCGCGGTGATTCTGGTAGTCAACCCTTACTGCATGGACACTACCATCGGTAGCTGCACTAATAAATGTATATGTATTTTCAACAAATGTCACACACTTTACTTTGGCCCCTGGAGCGTGTCGATGGGTTTGTCGAGACCGTGGGGTCAAGTTCCTTTCTAAACGAGCTGTATCCCAGACCTTCAAAGTACTGTCGTCAGAGGCTGTGACGAAAAAGGCATGATCCGGGGCGGTTGCCACCCGATTGACTGGGCCAGTATGCTCTCCGAACATTGCAACGAGTCCTCCTTGTGGCCTCCAAGGCTTATCAGATGGCTGTCCGCTTGGGCCATGCAACGGAGAGCGATGAGTTGGCGGATGTATCACTGGCCCAAAATCAAAGAGGTCAGTGGGATAATTTTCGGCAAATATGTTGTCTAATATTCTTAAAATCGTTGGATCATTCCCCTGGTAGGTATGGCTAGCTTTATATCGCGGTCGTAGTGCCTGCGTGCCGTTGTTTTGGGGTTCAGGCGTGGTAGTTCTAGATAACTGCGAAAGATCTCTCTGATGGGGAACGTCAACTTTCCCAAAGGCATTGGCGGCAGATGTAGCAGTTGCAGCATTCGCTTTAGAATTTTCCTGGCGGTTCAGGAGGTTGATGGCACTTGAACGGCGCTTTATGTCACCACTTGGTACGCGTAATGAAGGGGTGCCTGTTCGAACGAGCCCATTTCCATCATTACTCGGCTCCACCACATTTTGGCCGGGGGTATCTGATGGTGAGGCAGGCGACTTAGGTGAACCTGCCTGGCCATTGGGAGATGAGGAAATTGGCGAAGCAGTCGGTGACTCCCGGGCTTGCTTGGTCCTTATCGCAGTAGGGCGTAAACTTGGAGGCATACTAGATTCGCGCTCTCCCTGCATAGGCCGTCTCGCTTGCCTTTGACGATCATCATTACTTGAGTCAATAGCCGTCGAGGCGTCAAGCAATGCGTCGGCAATCGTATGTGGCCGTCGTTCTCCTTGAGCGGGTAAGGGCTTTTTTGGGACAGGTCGCTGCCGACTAACGCCTTGCTTCTTATCAAAAAGCACTGTCTGGGGAGTGATGTCATGTTCACTCAAGGATATGATTTCCGTAAGTGGTGTTATTTTATCGTTATCCTCGTCCTTCTTTTTCCTCATTGCAACCCTCCAAATATATTCTCTGAGTGCAAGGAACTTGAATTCGTTCTCTTGCGTCAGCCCAATATTCCTAAGCCTTGATAACCACTGGTCATCCTCTTCGTTTCGTGGCATGTTGCTCAAAGGTGAAGTACCTCCACGATGTCGCAGCTTAGGAATATTTGACCCGCCCAGCGAAAAGGTTCCGTCTCGAGGAGCCGATTTCCAGAATATCCCTTTATCTACACTAGTTGCCCATCCCACCAGCATGTCGAATACATTCTTGGGCAATGGTTTCTTAAGAGCGTCAAATATCTGGATAGCCGATATGTCCGTTGTATTCGTCTTAAGGAACGGTCTGACAAGGGGACTGACAATACAGTATTTATCAGTGGCGGACAAAAAGGCGGTTGCATCCACGACAAAATTAACTGCTGCTTCTCGTATCCATATACTAGGGTGTATAAAAAATCGCACAGCAATATTGAGTAGATCCCATGTAGTAGGACGCTGGAAGAGGCCAAGCTTCGACATTTCAGCGAGTGATCGTAGAACTCGCTCGACAACAAACTCTTCCGGATCTGTCATGGATTGGACTATTAGAGGGAGAATGAACTCTTCAAGGGAGGTGCTGCCAACATAAGCAGCGACGCCAACAACAGTCTCGAAAAAGGCGCATTTTAGGATCCAATCTTTATCGTTCAGGTAGGTATTAAGATGACTTAATATAACCTCGTTTGCCTTTGGGTTGCCAAAGAAAACACAGAGGCCTGGCACTGAGCCAAGAAACGCACGGCGCACCACAACATCTGGATCGGTCAAGAGTGCTTTTGCATGGGCTTCAAAAAATTCAAGTAAGTCTACTCGTGCAACATCGTAGAGGTTATGGTATGAGATTCCTTCTTCCCAGCCTCGTTCAGAGCCCGATGGTACTAGAGACGTTAATCGGGCGTCAGATCGCAATGCCTGAACCATATCAAGAATTTTGAGGGAAGATTGTGCCAGAGAGGCGATGCAGGAAGCATAGGCCGCCCGGACCATAGGCGTAGGGTTCGAAGACGATGCATTAATGAGATGTTGAAGCCTTGGGAAAATGTATTCAGGAATGACGTAGGCGTTGACGGGTGAAACAACCTTCACCATGGCTAGAAGCTGGGTTAGCGTTCTAACGGCGGAGACTTTAACGTTATCTGCACGATCATTTAGTAGCAAGATAATAAACGGCAGTACTCTGTCTAACTTCGCCTCATCTGGGAGTTTCTCAGCAAATGCAAGTAGTATATCGCAAGCCTTGACTCGGGCAGACGATTTACTTGTATTTCGTAAACTCGAGACGACGAGGGTAAGGAATATGAGGGTCCCATCATCTGTTGCTGAGAGAGGCTTTGCGAGTTGATTCCCAACTTTGGGCAAATCCAACTGTAATGGGAATGGTTGTTGTGTGAGTGCTGGAGATGTTATCTCAGACCCGTCCGATAATATCTGAGGAGAAGCTCCGAGAAAGTAAGATATTTTGTCAAAATCAACAAAAACCCGACTAATTCTTTCGTCTACCTCTTTAAGGTCTAGCGGCGTGGACTCGTCGCGTGCTCGTCCTGGCGATGGTTCTGTTATCAACCCCATATACTGATGGAGGAATCCGTAAAAATACTCCGGAAATGCCTTGCGGCGCCAAAAATTGATGCATTCTTCTGCCGAATATCGCGACTCTGGGTTGAGTTGGATCATATGAAGGATCAACTCTCTGATATCCGGATCTTCGATCTCCATGAGCCGCCCTGTTTGCGGGCTGTACTCTCCTTTTCGATATTTGTAGAGCTGGCTAAGGGTAAAAATGGGAGATTCCAGAAAAAGTTCCGCGATAACGCAACCAGCGCTAAAGACATCCATCGCCCAGTTTACTGAGCGGCTGCCAGGATCCTCTCCGGCTTCTAAAAATCGTTCCGGTGCTAGATAACAAGTTCTCCGTCCAGAGGTGTCGAAATAAAAGGAGAAATCGGCGGGATTGTCCTCTGGAAGAAAGGTTGGCTTAAAAGATGATGAAAAGTCCGATAAATAGAGCCAGTTCCATGATGTTACCAAAACGTTCTCGGTTTTGATATCTCCGTGAAAGACATTCTGCGCATGGCAATCTCGTAGTGCACAGATCAGCTGGAACGTCATCCATTTCTTCTCGATATCTTCCAAAAACGGGCGAGTGCTTTTTGGAGTTAGCACAGGTCAAGCTGATGACGGGCTGGTAACAATAAAAAAAACACAAACCTCATTCGATCATAAAGAGAACTATAGATGTATTGGCGAACGAGATAACCTGCAGTACTGGTTTCCAGGATCCGTTGATATCCAAGCGCATTTGGGACACCCTCCAGCAGCCTCCGTTCGCCTACGTAGCAAGCACAGTTAGATATATGGCACTTCCAAGCGTTTAAGAGAGAGGAGGCTTGACCAGGGCGACATACGCATAATGGCCCTGACATATGGGTCTAGCTTTAGACTTGGGTAGGGTTTCATGATAACTTTGACGAAAGCCAGGCCATCGCGATGTCGGGCACGAATACTTTTCATGAACCTAGCAGTCCCTAAAGATCTCTCATAGGTGAGATCCGCAAGCTCGGGGACATCGATGCCCGCAGAGCCCGCAGACAGCGAGGTGAGTGAGTAGCCTTGACCCATGTTGATCGGCCAGGCATCGCTATAGTCTCATTTGAAGAGGTAAACGAGACCCTGCGTAGATATCACAGCATCTATGGAAGAATATAGCATGCACTGATCTTGGCTGGCTGGAGTATTAGCTTCATTAACAGCTCCAACACTGTATCTTGTTTGCTTCTTCGTCCATCTCAAGCAACCTTGAAGCCCAACGTAATAGCACAGATTATGTAATAAATATGTGGCTGGTGTAAGATTACATAACAATAATTGTGGCTAGTGGATATTATCTTACCTAATATGGTTTAAGTGTGGCTGGTGTAAAAAGGTGGCGTAAAAGTGGCTGAAAATTCTGATTTCTTCAGACTTTCTTCAAGATCAACGGTGCATCAGCGTTGGTCTTTTAAAGGACCGTCATGGCCTGCCTCTGGAAAGGCATTATAGCTAATCTGGAAGATACTTAGAGGTGTCTGAAGAATTTGTTCTGCTCAGCTTACTATCTGTTGCTAAGTTACTACTGCCTGTGGAGACGCTATGCCAGAAACACCCTTGAAGGACATGTCAACAATGACATCAATACCCCAGAACTACAGCCTCCTATGAATGCAACAAACCTGCATTAAAGGTCCTAAGCGCCGGTGAATTCTGTCTGCGCCATAAGAGTGTTTCCATATCTGGTGTGTACTAGCCATCTGAAGAAAAATTTCCAGTTGTCAAGCCCTCTGGCTGTTCGTTTCTACTCAGCGCCATACTAACAATCCTAGAAAACATACTACGCCGATACTCCGCCTATTTACAATTTACAATGCAGTTATATGCATTTATATTCCAATATAGTCTTCAATGACTGAACGATATTCGCTGATTCAGTGGGCTTAGAGTGTTTGTTATCCTGCGCAGTATTCTTCGCCACGTTTCGGAAACCGTTTCTATTTTTGCCATGTAACCCAGCCGGCTCGTGGTGAAAAACGTTCATGACACTCTTCTAGGGTCTTCCCAGAGGCTGAAGCCTATCAGCCAGCAAATGGAGGGTATTATGTTCTGTTCCATCGGGACCCATATACCTCTTCCGACCGTACCTACACCGTCACGGTATTCGCATGAAGAAACCTTTTTTTTTTCATTTTCTCTTTAATTTTTAGACCACCTCCGCATATCCCACGTTGACTTCAGTCTATTTAGCCGCCCAGCTATTGTTAGACTCTCTGCATGAGGCAACCATTTGAATGATTGATTGGCGGTGGATGATCGAATATGAATTCGATAATGTGCACCAGCAAGCGCCGGCCGCTTGTGGGACACAAATATATCCACTGATGCCACGGACCCACGATCGGGCATTCCATTTTGCAAAGAACGAGGCACATACTTGTCAAAACCCATACCCTCTTTATCGCAAACGCATTCTCATATGTTCATTCACCTACTGGAAAGGGATGTTGAAGTATCGAGCTGGTTACTCGACTTTTACACCAGCAGCGAAGCCGGATACCCAATCATGGTGCATAGCCATCACCGTCCTCTGCAGGTTGCTAAGAACTTGCATCACTCTCTTTCTAAATTTATCCCCCACCCCCGACGATAGGAAGGTCTGGACGATTGCTCCCGAAGCTCAACGAGCGGTGCTCGCCGCTTGCACACCACGGCACCCAGTACGTATTAGACCCATTCATGGATATATCTCAAGGCCTTCTTCTATTATTCGCGTTTTCTGCATCTGATGCAGATTCTGCCTAAAGTGCCTTGCCAGCTACCAGCATGAAACCAACATGGTTCCTTCATTAACCTACGGAATTAACCGATTACACGACATAGAAACGACATCTGCGGCAATCTCCGACCGACTATCTGGGACCCATCAAGGATTGTCCTATTACAAGCTGAAACTATACAAAGTTCCTTTTCCCGCGGTTTTCCAGTCTAGAAGTGCCTCAATCCACTGTTTTAAGAAACTGGGCATGTGCACCGCCTCAATAGCAAGCATATACGGATGAGGCTACACGGCAACCCAGGTGTTTTGCTACCGGATTAGGGACTTGTCGGTTCCACGTTTGCGCTAGGGTCCTCCGCAGCGAGTTAATCTGGGATATTTCCATGTTTGCGCGAAGCTACGACTCAGGGAATGATCAAAGAGGGCTACCAGACGGTAATATTTTACTTTCAGGCGGTACCCAACCCCGTATATGTACCGTGGCTTAGACATGGAATGTTCGGCCTCGCCCAAGTGAGAGCTCGTTGCCGCCGAAGCTTAAGTGCCCGTTGAAGTAACAAGAGTACGATTTCGAACGTCATTACTAGGTGTTCACGCCCTGGCGTATGCAATGTCACTGTATCGAACGACAATCCTTCTCGCTCCGTACGGGGCTTGTGGCTTAACCCCAAGCTGGCGACGTGGGAAGGCTCCCATGGCTACGAATGCGGGCGAGATATAGAAGCTCGACATTGACCGTAACACGATTTCAAGCGTTCCTATGCGATCAATCTGGTGGCTGAATTGATTGGATAAGAACGACTCTTTTTTAAAGATCCACTGACTAGGACCCTTGTCACCGCGGCTCTCCTGGTCCTATTTGAAATGACTAGGGCGGTCTTGGAAAATCGATTGGATATCGCGGCGAGATTCGCATGGGCGCTAAATATTAAGTGCAGGGCCAAGTTTATTCCGATTGGCCTGTACTGACAGCAAAATACGCCAAGCTTAAGGTCGCATCTGCAAGAGATCACGATTATCAACGAAGGAGGATGTTGCCCCTGGGAGAAGTACAATCTCTTGCCCTTCTGGTAAATATCGTCGGTGGGCTGACCTAGCCGGCCACTATTGCTTGACCCCCTTTCCATTCTCCGTCATCTCTGATTACATCCAGCCAAAATGTACTGTCCCCAATCGCTTAGTGGCTGTATTGGGCAGCTACTATTGGACATGGCACCCTTCTTACAAGGTGTTGTCCGCATATTGTGCAGGGTGGAGTGTTTTTATTCCGTGCTTCATGCTTTATGACAGGAAAATCATGTATTCGAAAAAGGGGGCTATGTTGGTTTACGCTTGCCCTAGGTATTAGATGAGTCCTACCTGGTGCTCACGGCGGTAGCCCTGCCATTGAAACAGCTCTCCCTGCCCACAGGACATAAGGTCTGCCTCACTATCAGCGCTGAGCACAGCCTCAGGCCTACACTCCGATGATGTCAATATACTTCATCATTCCCTGTGCACCGGCCATCTCCACTGGCGCCTAATCTTCCTGCCCTTCGGTCAGGCCATGAGGCGCTGTTCTAGGGATTATTACGCATACGGTCAACGATTGACATATCTCAATTTGATTTACAGGGCACATACTCACCGTAAGTCGCATGTGATTCCTCCAGGGCACATGTACACCTGGAACGCACGCCTACATCCACAGCCCGGACCCCATCTACTGAGGGACAAGCCGGCCGCGGCCTGATCCGCGGACCACTTCACACTGAACTTTATGCAAATCTATCTATTTCCAGCGAATAAGTGATCCTGGGATATCAGGCAGAAGCTTTGAGCCCCAACTGACCTAGACCCTTAAGCTTGGACTCAGCTATCCGTTTGGCACAGTTAACTGCCAATATCCAGTACTTCACGAGCCATCTAAAGTGTACTGCACTTTCTATAATCTAGAACACTTACATGCATACACGGCTATGAAGAATGACGGAGCCCAAAGGCCCTATATTCTACGGATTTCCAAGGCAACAATCCCACGCTAACTATAAGCGTGACTAGATTAAGATGCAGCAAGGATATTCGAAAAATTCTAGCAACTCTGAACCGTTATGAGCCTCACCCCTGGGCAGTACAAGCATCTACGTTTTGATAGACGCCGCTCGCGTTACAAACCGTCCAGTAATTCACTCGCAAATACCCCGCCTCGTTACATAACTAGATATTCTCAATTTTAGCCTTTGCCTGTCGGAACGTGCTTTGGTTAGTCGGAGAGTGCAAGAAATGGCCCCCAGGACCCTACAGATTTGACAAAACTACGTACAGTCAGCTACCTCGACAAGGGCATTTTTGACCACCATTTTCCTCCTTTTGATGGAGCACGATCGTCCACGATACGATCTACTCTGCGGCACTCTTCCTTTCACCCCGCCTCTTCTGTATCTGTCCGCCCCTTATCGTCCCAGGGCTATGCCTCGGGATTTACAGGGTTCTAGGGGCGAAGGTTTGTGCAAGCCCCAACCCAGGCACTCGGGTCCGATTGTCACCCAAACCACCCTCCAACGAAAATCAGTTTTGCTTTTTATGGCTAACTAATTTTGCAATTCCTCGTTTACATGTATTTCCCTTGTTGGCCGTATGGCTGACACCTTGCAGTTGCACAGTCTTTCCCCCTGCCGTCTCTCTCTTTTTTTTTTTTTTTGCATCCCCACAGCGATTGGCAGAGCTCTATAGCCCTAAGATGCAGGTTCCTCTCGGAGAACCGCGACTACTTTGCATGCCGCTACTACAACGATGCGTCCATGGCCCAAACCGCAAATCCGCCTTGAGGCATGTAGACGAATTTCCCCAAGCCTGCGCTTTTGCAGCTTGCCCGATTTGGGCCTGATTACTTTGGTCCCTATGCAGGTGTCGATCCTATGTTCTACTTCTCTTCTCCTAACATATATACCATTATACTTTCCCTCATTCCAATACTCTCTCTCTCTCCCCATCTCATAATACGCCCAGCTCTTCTATAATATTTATATATTCATGATCATGTTGGATGCTTCTATAACGTGGGCTTCTATTGGTCAAGAGACGGACACCATCACCAACCCATACCTCTCACCACCTCCTCAATACTCTTCCACGATGCGCCAATATGCTTCTAGTTACCCTACGACCCCCCAAAGATGTGCTCACACGGACGGAAATTTGATTCAATCTTCGTCGACTGCCGGTCTCGGCCTCTTGAACTGTACCGTTCCACCTACCGGCCCATCTGTATCTCTCTGTTCACCACCACAATCGATTTTTCAAGCTGCACATGGATGGCAAGGAGAGCCAAGTACTGGTAACTGCTTTCCGAACACCCCATCTACCTTCGTCGCGTACCCTGGACTATCAGTATATGAAGGGCTTCGTATGATGCCCAACACCCCGATGGCACCATACAATGTACAAAATAGTTATGTCGATACGTCTTCAGCCGGGTTCCTAAGCCCAGTCCCCTTGATGAAAGTGGCAAGCAGCTCAACTATTCAGTCGAACATCTATGCACACGACATGTCTTCGAACTATGGAGTAACCCCAAGCCCCGGTCAGTCACCACAGATTCTCAACGAAGATATGAGTGATGACTGGGAGATTATTACAACGGATAATACAGCCAAGGAAGCTTTCTATAACTTGGATAACCTGCCCCTATTTCATCAACAGATAAGCCCTCCTGTGCCAGCAAGGCAGCCTCGAGAAATGAACACTCCAACCCTCGCATCGACTCCAGTCAACGTCCAAAGCAAGTCTCATCGTTCTCCACTACGAGCCTCGAACTGCAATAAGACACTAGGGAAGCGGCCATCAGCATCCACCCAGCCATCCAGTGGCGTGAAAAAGCCAGCAAAGAAGAAGCGGACGCTAGAGAACGGGAAATATGAATGCGAACAGTGTGGAAGGCAGTTTACACGGAATTCAAATTGCAGATCACACATGAAGATACACGATCCCAACCGAAGATACCCTCACAAGTGCACAATCGATGAGTGCACCAATAAGTTTAGCCGCAAAACTGATCTTATTCGACATGTTGATAGTGTAAGTCTTTGGTGCAGTTAGATGTTTTGTTTCAGTTGGTACTGACTAGATATGTACAGGTGCATAAAAAGTTGAAGCGGTTTGGTTGTGACCAGTGTGGACATCGTTTTGCTCGACAGGACACATTACAACGGTAAGCACATCATTATCTAAACAGTACTAAGATCTCAATGCTAATGTACTATATAGACATCGTGAGGATGGCTGTCGAAGGCAACAACAGCACCGACTAGAACAGCAGCAGCGACAACAGCAAATAGAGATGATGCAAGATATCCAGCAGCAGCAGGAGCTAGCTGACCCTGTTGCTCAACCTGAACTAGGTGGTGGCCAGACATACCCCATGACATCGATAACTTACCGTGAACCAGTATCGGCATACACCACGCACCCACAACTTCACCCAGGGCTTGTCCAGCCGTACCTTGACACCAGTAACGAAACCTTCCACGATTACATATGAATTACTATAATGGCGACTACGCTCAAACGACACGACTCCTAATGAAGTCACTCGAGTCAAAAAGCAACGGTCAATAGATCTTTTCCTTGGCCTTTCTTACTTTTATTTGTTTTTATTCCCAAACATATAGAACGGTGCATTGGATGAGAACATTATCTACTCCATGTTCCTATTTCAGTTCATGAAAGGGTGCATACCGTATTTACTTATTTTCTTTTTTGTAACCTTTTATTTATCTCCCCCCCCCTTACATTCACAGGCGCAGCTGGACGGGTGATTGCTGCAACTCTTGCACTGAACTTGTTTTCATATCCCCCCCTCATCTATCCGCTTCTCCTCCCTACTTGGTGCATACTGGCCCTCCAACACATACCCAGAAGGGCAAAGTGGCCTTTACTCCCCCGACTGCGAATTTCTTTTTCCTTGGCCCCGGAGTTCGAGTAACAACGCTTGATCCACTAACTTCCCGCAGCGAGTCTTTTGAGTTCTGACATTTTTTCATACTTAATCGAGCGGTCTCTTTGTTCCAACGCTTGATCGATCAGCATAGCAAACAAGCATTTTCAAATTTCCCATTTGGCCCCCTCCCGTGTTTTCCTGATTTTCTGATTGGACGCCTATTACCGCCAGACTTTTCTACCCACATATGTCAATCAGGAGTGGTATATGTTGGCAAACAAGCGATAGGCCTGGAGGAGACGTTGCTACGCTGCGGGGGAAGGTGATGGCCCCCTTTTCTTTCTTAATATCCTGTTCTTGGGAGGAGCAGTGCTGGGATCCAGCAGGGGACGGACGGATCGAAGCATACTTTAGATTTCATAGGTTAACAGGAGACGAGAGTAAGCGCTGGCCGTTGACTCTAACATATATGCAATGGAATTATTAATTTTGCTGATGGCTTCTTTTCTTCGCGCTCGTGGGCTGCATGCGCCCTCCCTTCCTGCTCTGTTGTTGTTGTTATTCATCAAACAAAGATTTTAGGCGCCCAGTTGCCGGATGCGGCCTAGCGCCTTCCCTATGGGCCCCACTTCCTTCTAGACTTTTTTCATGCAGGAAGGCCCCACTTAACTTTATTTCTTTATTTTTTAAAAGTCTTGGCGCCTTCCGTGTGTCCGTGCTTTCCTTTTCCTTTCCCTTTCCGTCCTTTCTCCTTTCTATGTATAGGTGGAAAAGATGAAACAGGATCACCCTCGCCTGGGGCAAAAGGACAAGGAGCGCACTGCCAGCCTGTGAGCCAAATATAGGACCGTGGCTGGCTCTGCTATCTTTGGCTCGCCTTTTCTCTCTGCCATGGCTGCTTGAGCGTCCGGGCCTGGTGTTTTACTAGTCGCCGCCCTATCCACCCTTTTACATCTTATATATAGAAAGGATAGGCCACAAACGTATACAACAAACTGTTATAAATCATGCATCCAACAGATTTAGATATGTACCCCGTAACTAATTTCATTTTTCTATCCTTTTTTCCCTCTTGGTCCCGTCGTGTTCTGATCCAGCCCGTTTGACAATACTATTCCATTTGCAGCCGGCCCTTGCCTAAGCCTTATGGCCGACTGCATATCTTGGATCCCTTTTCCCTCTCTTTACTTTTTTTCTACCCTGACAATCGAACCGTGAACCATGGCTGAAGATAACGCTTTGGACTACAGATTTTCTTATCGGAGCCCCCCGACGCGTCGATCAGATAGGCCGTTTGTTCGAGCAATCCGGGCTTCGACAGCTTTCTCAGCAACGAGTACTTTGCTTATTCTACGTATTCGTTTCAATCCCTGTCACATCAACCTTCCATGCAGCCTTCTAGAAGGGGGAGACTCGTCCTTGGCCGGTTTGGTATGGTCTCTTGCCGCCCGGGTTGCAATATGCACGAGATGTCCTTTTCCAGTTCTGCATCGACCAAAAGGAATGCGCTGGTCGCTCTTGGGTGAACACTAATACGCATACAGTGAGAGCCCGTTTGTCGGACCGAGCTTCTGGCCCCTTAGCAACCTCATGACCTGAAAAAGGCAAACCCACTTCGCTTCCCGTTTGCATGGCATTGCAGGGCTGGTGGGAGTGTTTGGATGCCTTCACTGTTTACTATCAGTTTACGGCAGGACGATGAAATAGTATTGGCTGCCAGCTCATGGGGGCCACCTACATCGACAACAACTATCTTCAGCCCCAAGAAGCCCTTTATTGACGGATGCTTTCGTGTTAGCGCTAGCCCTGCACCATACGTGTGATTGTTCGATCCCCCTTCTAGAAGGATACATGCAGTGAAATATACACTATTAAAAGTCAAAAGACAGGATTGACAGTGCAGAAATGCTGATTTCCGCTGTCGTTATGCTATCGTGACTCCGGGTATTTGGAACCAGAACCCTGAGGGACCTTCGGATCGTCGATGCATGCACGCGGAATGATTCTCTCGTAAGAGCCAATTGCATTTCTTCAGAAAGTGTTGCAACAACCAACTTTAACCAACGCTTGCCAAACGTAGGCGTCACTGCTGCACGTAACCCCTTTCAACCCCGTGCATGCGTCTTATAGATTGATTGCTCATTCTAGCCTCCTTTGAAAGGTCTGACAACATATACACGTCCCCGTACATTCAGATGCTGATTCAGAATGCAGTCATCTACCGGTAAACCCAGGATAACAGCCTCGATTGAAATTGGTACTTGTCTGTAGATCGGCTCTCCGTTTGTTCCTCTGGCCTCAGATATGCAGCAACGCGAACTAGCAGTAACTACTCCAGCCGTCGAGAAGGCTGGACGGTTGGACAATCGGAGGTCAATGATATGCATCGGCCTCTCGGTGTTGGCTCGGAATCGTATCTTGCTATCGACGTATGGGGCGAGTGTTTTTCTAAATCTAGGAAGCAGTTAAATTTTTCCAGCGACAGTTGATTATACAAACCTGGCGACATTTGCAAGGCCCTGAAGAGTCAATTGCAGCATGATGTACGTAGCAAGGATCCCTCCCATGCATCGTACGTGCAAGACTGGTGGTCACCAACGCCCAGCTCGCGTTTTCACATCTGCTTGCTTCCGTGAAGGGCATGCAACTCATATAGGATGCATCTCAGCGGAATGTTGCATTCGTATAGAACTGAAAATTAGCCCGAGGGGTCCAGCGCGTACCCCTGAACCATGTATTGCAAAGCAGCTCTCCTCTAGGAGTTCATGGCAAGGACCTAGCTTATGCTGTCTATGATCGTAAATCGTACTGGGGGCTGTCCCTGAGCAGATCAAGTCAATTGGAAGCTCCCCCTTGCCGCCGTTGGGGTCGGAAGCTAACAGATCCTGGAGCCGAGCTTGACCTCCGGACCAGGATGCCCGCAAGTTCAAGATAGCCCTTACCAGGCGTCTTGACACTTTTGAAATGAGCTCATGACAGATACATCGCGATCCAACAGTTTGCGCGGGAGTATTGGTGGGATGAGGCCGAATGTTGACCAGGAAATAGGATTTTAATCTGATCCGCCGGGCTACCCCACCTATTTCAATATCAACGCCGCTCAATTTTGCGCCCGACTTCTTCAGCATCCCCTCGACAATTTCGCATCTACGGCCTTGATTATATATTAGCGTCGACTGTTATTGATTCCTGCCTGCATACGCATTTCGGAGACAGCCATTACCAGCCCCCGTTCACGGTGTCCGCATAATCCGAGTCCATCTCATCGGCCTGATCCCTCGACTCCTCCGGTTTTTAACCCGAATCCAGGCAGCGCCAACACAGTGCTGTCACCATGACCACCGCCACAAGTGTAACCGAGGCCATCACGGCAGAGAACGTTGTGAAGTTATTCCCCGATGTCGACACGCAGTTTGGTGGTACGACCTCTGCAAGGGTGGGGGGAGAGCTCGATGGCTACGATGAGGATCAAGTCAAATTGATGGACGAGATGTGCATCGTCCTGGACAATGATGACAAGCCGATTGCATCTGGGAGCAAGAAGACTTGTCAGTTACAGTCCACCAACGTTGAACTCGTTCAGCATACTACAATTATGAGCAAACTAACTCCGTCTCTTTTTTAGGTCATTTAATGACAAACATCAGTCGCGGACTGCTTCATCGCGCATTCTCTGTCTTCCTATTTGACTCGAAAAACCGTCTTCTCCTCCAGCAGCGTGCCACGGAGAAAATCACGTTCCCGGATCTATGGACCAATACCTGCTGCTCTCACCCGCTTGCCATCTCTAGTGAGATGGAGACGACTGGATCGGGGTTAAATGAGGCTGTGAAAGGCGCGCGCTCTGCTGCACGAAGGAAACTGGACCAAGAGCTGGGAATAAAGGAAGCTCAGGTTCCTGCGGATAAGTTCGAGTTCCTTACCAGGATTCACTATCTAGCCCCTAGCGGCGGAGATGGGAAATGGGGTGAACATGAGAGTGAGTAGCTCTACCTTTGAGACTCGGCTGGCGTACGGGAGCTAACACCGCGACGTAGTTGACTACATCCTCTTTATCAAGGCCGACGTCGACCTTAACCCCAACCCCAACGAAGTCCGTGATGTCAAATATGTTACACCTGAAGAGCTGAAGACGATGTTCAAGGACCCCAGTGCCAAGTTTACTCCATGGTTCAAGCTTATCTGTGACGACAAGCTGTTTGAGTGGTGGGAGAACTTTGGTTCTGAGTCGTTCAAGAAATATGTCAACGACGACAAGATATGTAGAATGTAGTTTGAGGGAGAAATATATTGAATACGAAGGTTCGGGCTCTAAAGAATAATGTTCGGGTTATTTTTGTTCACTCCTATGAATATGGAAGATACTAGCTAGATATATGTCAATGCTATAATTTCTGTTTATTACTTATTTGATTAAAATATGCCCGAAAAGAATGATATAGCCACAAACCTTTACTAAATACGCTGAAATGTAATAGCAGTCAAACGCTGAGAGAAATAAAAAGAGTGAGCGAGTAACGTGTCCTTCCGAAAACCTGTTCCTGCTCCCAAAATGATATGGTATAATGCAAATTAGGGTGGTGAACCAAGGGGTATCAAGCGAAAATGAGCAATGCAATGCCGTATAAACCGAATATAACCATCCTGACTCCGGCAACCGGAAGAAGCTAAGTTGACATTGTCCTGTATATATAAAATTAGTACTTCATCGATTGCGAGGTTCAGATGAGTCGTGGAATCAACGAGCATAGCATCCACGAGCGTGGGTCTTACCTGCTGTTAGTACTCAAGAAGAGTATACAGGTCCCGATAATAACGGTCGCAACGATGCAGAAAATCACCTGTGTCTTCCAGCCGCTCTGAACCAAGGCAGCACGACGGCTATACTTGGCCAGGGTATGGATGTAGTTTGCAACCCCGCTGATTATAGTCCCAATAGACAGAACCCAAAACAGTATCCCAAGGGGAAGTGCATAGTGACGTTCTAACGCGGTAGGCTGGGCGCGGAGATGGAACGACAGGACGATGGCACTCGATACGATCGAGAGGTACATGGACAGCCGAAGCCATGCTAGAAAAGTGCGCTCGTTGGCACAGTGGTCGCGGGCATCAGATGCGTTGTTGTCGAGCAGCAGAGATCCGAAGATAGGTTGTGTGAAGACGACCCGTTTTTTAGACGCGAGCTGCCTGTAACTCTATTAGTTCGCTGCCAAATAGCATATGAAACAGGGTGGTAGGGGTCGATATATCGTGGGATACGAACTTGGTGACGTTCACCGGTTTGATGCTGAGCGGGTTTGATATCCGGTTGTAGGGATGGGTGGAAGCCTCATCCTCGATATCTGTGTCTGGGGCGTGCGGCATGGTCCTGATCCTATACTCTTCTATCACTCTATCTTCGCATCCGGGTCTCGAACATCGCTCTCTTCAGGTTGTTTTCTTCTTTTCTTCTTCTTCTTCTTCTCTTCTTCTTCTTCTTCCCGATCCGGTGGTCACGAGATCCTCCACACGTGACTTGGCTTGTACTTGCCCCATTCGGGTTCCGCTCTTCCTTCGACAAAAGAAGAAGAAGAAACCAACTTACGAAGTAAATATTTCGATATCGACTGGGACGACCGGGATTGCGAACAGGGGAGCTGTGGGCACACCAGATGTCTCGTACGCCCTTGTGCAACTTTTCATCTTGCTGGGCCGGAGACTTTGGATAATTGCTTTTGCGCAAGCTGACGAATAAAACTGATCCTCTGGCCGTGCGGCTGCTGGTATGATTTCGTTTGACCGTCACTGATACGCATCATCGAGCAGTCAATTGCAGCCGGAGGTCATCAGGATGCCGTCTCCGCCGAAGAATATCCCCTCGCGGGCCATCGGTGATGATGATATCGAGGGCGGTTCCCCGCTGGCCAGGACGACCAGTAATTCTCACTCCCTGGCAGGTTCATATAGGAGGCCCAGCTTCTTCACGATGGGCGGCCCTCGAGGAACTGTCGTCCCGCATACCCACGAGGCGGATAACCTGACCAATGCCGAACGAGTGCGAGCACGAGAAGAAGAGCGAGCTTTGCTGGAGGATAATGCCATACTATCCGGGTCACCAAATGCAAATAGACGTACATTGAAGTCATCCACGAACCACGAAGCTGCGGTGTTTACTACCGGTCCGACTGAGGCGACCTCACTCTTGGAGAGCGCGCAACCTGCTGCTAACGGGGCCGATGGAGCTATCGATTCGGCTGCTGATTCCATTGACCAGAAGTGGGAGGATGCCGTAATGGCGGGATTGATCCAGACCTCATGGGCGAGAGAGTCAAAGGTCCTGGTGGAATACAGTGCTCCATTGATACTTACCTTTATCCTCCAATACTCCCTTACTGTCGCCAGTATCTTCACTGTGGGACACCTGGGAAAAGTTGAGCTAGCTGCAGTCAGCTTGGCTAGTATGACAGCAAATATCAGCGGCTATGCAGTCTATCAAGGTCTTGCAACTAGTTTAGACACTCTTTGCGCACAGGCGTATGGGTCGGGAAATAAGAAACTCGTCGGCCTCCAGACGCAGAGAATGGTCTGCTTTCTCTGGGTCATGAGCATACCAATTTCTGTCTTGTGGTTCTTTGCCGACCATGTTTTGAAAGCCATTATTCCTGACAAGGAAGTTGCTAGTCTTGCTGGGCTCTACTTGAAGGTGGCCATCATTGGAGCTCCCGGATATGCGCTCTTTGAGGCTACGAAGAGATACGTGCAGGCCCAAGGTTTATTTTCTGCATCCCTCTATGTTCTCCTGATCGGTGCTCCCATCAACGCGTTTTTGAACTGGTGTTTCGTTTGGGTATTACCTCCTCTATCATCTTGCTCGTTGCTCCTAACTAACGTTTTACACTAGAAATTCGGATGGGGTTTCGTCGGTGCTCCTATCGCGGTCGTTGTCACTGATAATCTCCTCCCAGCCCTCTTGTTCATTTACATCTATTACTTTGCCGGTAGAGAATGCTGGAATGGATTCAGCTATCGAGCCTTTGAAAACTGGGGCCCTATGGTTCGACTCGCTCTCCCTGGCTTCCTTATGATGGAAGCAGAAGTCCTCGCGTTTGAGATCCTCACCCTCGCTGCTGCATACTTGGGCACAACTACCCTTGCTGCCCAGTCAGTACTAGCAAATATTGCTGGCATCATGTTCCAAATCCCCTTTCCTCTATCCATCGCCGGAAGCACCCGAATCGCCAATCTTATCGGCGCCTCGCTCACAGACGCAGCTCGCGTTGCCGCAAAAGTCAACATGGCCGCAGCCATTGTTGTGGGTATCATTAACGTTATTCTCCTATCGACCCTCCGCTTCTATATTCCTGCCCTATTTACTTCCGACGAAGATGTGATCGAAATCATCGCCGCCGTCCTTCCACTTTGTGCTTCATTCCAGCTCTTCGATGCCTTTGCAACCAATTGCAACGGTATCCTCCGTGGTCTTGGAAGACAGTCTATTGGAGGATATACCCAGCTTTTCTGCTACTATGTTGTAGCGCTTCCCATTAGTATGGGTACCGCATTTGGACTCGGCTGGGGTCTCTGGGGCCTATGGGGTGGTGTTGCCGTAGGCCTCTTCCTTGTTGGGCTGGTGGAAAGTATATTCTTGACGCAGACCGACTGGGAGCGCTCGGTTATTGAAGCCCAGAAGCGAAACGAAGAGGTCTAATATGGTATCTACTATGCCATCTTATTCCTTAACCTTAAAAAGGTCCTCATATGCACTGGCATTCTCCTCTAGTCCTTTCTCACCCTACTTTGTATCAACTATTACATATGTTTTGATACTTCCTCTTTTGGATGCTATATATATACAATATGTATTTATAGCTTACATCTTGTACTACCCATGTACTTATTTGATGTATTTTTGCTTGTTTTTGGCGTGGCCGGTTTCTCCTTTGGTGGAAAAAAGGTCTTTAAGTTGGGAGGATTAGTCTATAGCAATGCCCATTATTAGCGGCCAGTGGTACAAACTAACATGAACTCTTCAGGCAAGCTAAAGATGGCCCCATATATATTTTAGTAGTAACACAAGGCACGAGTTCCAGGAAGGTGGCGTCTAACCAGTTTATTATGCTATATCCAATATTATACCAACTCCAAATACCGACCTCCAGCCTTCGACGCCTCAAAAGGTTTTAATGAAACATGTTTATCAACTTGTATTGCCCGTAACAGGCATATCTATGGAAATATATGAGAAAATTTTCTCAATAGGTAGAATAAAAAATCTAACAGCAGCACCATGAAACTCCAATATAGAGGCCATATGACCCCGGAAGCAGCCCCCGTAAAAAGAGAAACCCAGCCGCAGTAACCCAATGCATCCACCTATCCCAATACTTTCATTTTCTTCTTCTTCTTTCCTGACCCATCACCTTTATCACCACCTTTCCTGCCCTTCTGCCAATCCCTCCAGCTTCCAATACGTGTATCCCTCGTCTCTTCCCATGCCTTCTCATCGTCCCTTTTCCTCTTCCTCGCCTCCAATTCCTCTTCCTCTTTCTGCTTCTCCCTTCCTTCTTCCTGCATCCTACCCTTCAACTGCCTTCTCCGTCTCGCTTCTTCCTCCAACAACACATATACCGTCTTCTTTCTCCATTCTTTCTTAAATGCTTCCGTTTTGAGCTCCGGAGAGTCTAGGTTATATTTGTGTTCTCTTATCAGCAATCGTCGTGCATCTGCTATGCATTCATCGAGGTGCGCCCGCTGCTTTTCGTCAAGTAGTGCTGTTTGCGCTTTCTTTAGACGATCGAAAGCATCGGGGGCGGCTGGGTTGGAGGTTTTGTCAGGATGGATGAGGAGAGATATTTTTCGATACTGGACTTTTATATCAGAGTCTGGGACGCCAGGTTGGAGGTCGAGGACTGCATAGCTATCAGGTTGTTAGCTTCCGTTTAATTTTAAGCAGAGATAAAGCGGTAGCCAAAGAAATTAAGCGGTAAATCACGTACGCATCTAATTGAAAAGCATTTCTTATGCGATCGATCTCCGCATCCTAGCCGTGGTCCATTAATTAGCTATGGCTATCTCGAAGCGCCCGGATAGCCTTACCTTGTTGAACTCAGAAGCTTCCTTTTCCAGAGAGTTGAGCGAATCAAGCGCTTCAAGCTCGTCCTCCGCCGCCATTGTTCTCACCTTGCTATAACCGATATCTGACTATAGCTTTGATTCTTCTGTTTAGGCCGTTAAATGCGATTAACTTGACTCGGGTTGATTCGGTTTGATACCTTCCAAGAGCACGCGCTTTATCGATAAGATGACTAAGCTGTTCACCAAAAAAGGTAAAAAGTTTTTGATGAAGCAAAAAGTGAAGATAGAAGTGAAGGAGGACGAATAAATTCAGCATTCCATCCAAAATGGCGAGGGATCAGTCGTCGCGGAACGGAAAGGCTTCATCGAAAGCCCCCCGCCAGAATCCCAGAACCCTGAAACGAAAACGAAATGAGGATGATATCGCAACTCTCAAACAACGAGTTGCAGACCTCGATCCTAAAGCTCCAATTGAAAGCTTCACCGAACTACCGCTCTCCGAAGCGACGAGGCTAGGACTGTCTGCTTCGCATTTTAAGACTCTGACGGATATCCAATCTCGCGCGATCTCGCATGCGCTACGTGGACGAGACATCCTCGGCGCTGCCAAAACAGGAAGCGGGAAAACACTGGCATTCCTTGTCCCTATTCTGGAAAACCTATATCGCAAACAATGGACGGAATACGATGGGCTGGGGGCCTTGATATTATCACCAACTCGCGAACTGGCAATTCAGATATTTGAAGTTTTGCGGAAAATTGGTCGACATCATACCTTCTCGGCTGGACTTGTGATCGGAGGGAAAAGTCTGCAGGAAGAACGAGAGCGTTTGGGGAGGATGAACATCCTTGTGTGCACTCCTGGCCGTATGCTACAGCATATGGACCAGACGGCGGCGTTCGAAACGGATAATATACAAATGTTAGTACTAGACGAAGCAGATCGGATCATGGACATGGGTTTTCAAAGCACGGTAGATGCCATTGTTGAGCATCTTCCGAAAGAACGGCAGACAATGCTGTTCAGCGCCACGCAGACGAAGAAAGTGTCAGACCTTGCACGACTGAGTTTACAGGATCCAGAATACATTTCGGTTCATGAAGCTGCTACGAGCGCGACGCCATCAACCTTACAGCAGCACTACGTTGTGACGCCGCTGCCAGACAAGTTAGATACCCTGTGGAGTTTCCTTCGAAGCAGTTTGAAATCCAAAATTATCGTATTCTTTTCCTCGAGTAAAGAAGTCCGATTTGTTTACGAGGCGTTCAGACATATGCAGCCAGGTATACCGCTTCTGCATCTTCATGGCCGACAAAAGCAGGGTGCGCGAGTGGACATCACACATAAATTTTCCACGTCAAAAAATTCATGTCTATTCGCTACCGATGTCGTTGCAAGAGGTCTCGACTTCCCGGCTGTCGACTGGGTCATTCAGCTTGATTGCCCTGAAGATTCTGACACCTATATACACCGAGTCGGTCGAACAGCAAGATACGAACGAGACGGACGGGCTGTGCTCTTCCTAGAGCCCAGTGAGGAAATAGGCATGTTGTCACGTCTGGAACAGAAAAAGATACCGATCGAGAGGATAAACATCCGAGCAAACAAGCAACAGAGCATAAAACACCAATTGCAAAATATGTGTTTTAAAGACCCGCAGCTCAAGTACCTCGGCCAAAAGGCGTTTACATCGTATGTTAAATCAATACATATCCAAAAGGACAAGGAGGTATTTGACGTGAAAGCGCTACCCCTGGAGGAGTTTGCAGCGAGTCTGGGCCTTCCTGGAGCACCACGCATTAAATTTATCAAGGGAGAGGATACTAAGTCAAGGAAAAATGCGCCGCGACACCTTCAGCTTGTGTCAAGCGATGATGAAGATGAAGATGAAGATGGGGAGGGTGAGGACGGAAACACTGAAAGCAAAAAGAAGAAATCCAAGGAGCCGGAAGTGCGGACCAAGTATGATAGGATGTTCGAGAGGAGAAATCAGGACGTTTTCACGGAACATTATACCAAACTTATTTACGAAGATACAGAGGCCGGGAACAGCAGCAAGACAGGCAATGCTACAGCCGATGCTGATGAAGATTTTCTTGCCGTTAAGCGGAGATACGACGTCGAAGAGGAAGTTGATGACCCGACTACGAAAGACTCTGATACTGGTATGCAAGTAAAGAAGGTTGCCGGGGGAGTTCTAGCAGTGCAAATTGCTGGTAAAGATCCACTTCTTATCGACTCCAATCGACGAGAGAAGCTACTTCAATCGAGAAAGAAGCTTCTCAAATACAAAAGCCCCGGTAAGAAACTTGTTTACGATGACGACGGCAACGCCCATGAGATCTACGAGCTGGAGGATGAAGACGACTTCAAGAAGAGAGGTGATGCTGAGGCACAGCGAGCCAAGTTCCTTGAGCTTGAGACCGAACGGGCGCGGCTGGCAGATGTTCGCGACAAGGAGATTGCGAAACAGAAGAAGCGGGAGAAAAAGGAACAGCGACGAGAGAGAGCCAGGGCAGAACGAGAGGCAGCGGCCGAGGAAGAGGGCGCCGGACCAGTGGCTGTCCTTGCGCCCTTTGAAGGGGAAGAAGGAGGGGAAGATGACATTCCCGACGGTGAAATGGAAGACGTCAAAATCCAACCTCCGAGCAAGAAACAAAAGAAATTCCGACGAGATGATGAAGAAGAAGCTAGCAATGGACCAAGGAAGAATACCAAGATCACGTTCAACGAGCCGGCTGAGGTGCAAACGCTGGAGGACCTGGAAGCGTTTGCAAGTGGCTTGCTTGGGTGATGGCTGCCTTTCTCTTTGCTTTTATTCTTGTATTTTGGTATTCACGATGCTTCATTCTGGTATCCCGCGATGCATACGAGTATTTATTAGTAAATAGAACAATCCGGCTCGCTTCTAAGCTCGTCTATATCGGTCTGCCAGTGTATTCTCCGTCAATCGGATGAGGTATATGATATCATCCATCCGTCGTAACCAGACCTCCGGGCTCGATCCTCTTCGGTAGTTAGCAGTAAGCCCCTTCCCATGCCAATATTCTCCGCCGTTACATCGCATTCTTTGCGGGGGTGCGGACGAAGAAGCCAGCTGAATGGCCAGGACTTGCTTTATCGACCAGGATTGTACGAGATGTCAGTCCGAAGCCAGCACCCCTGACACAGCGCCTGGGCGAAGGGACCTGCTGGATGACTTCCGGTGACCAGCAAAGACGCAAGGATGCAACTCTTTAGCTGTCATTATTGATGCTCGAGCAGCCATTCGACTCTGCGCTGCATCTACCCCAGAGTCGAGCCGCGTCCCGCTTCGTTTCTATACTGGCCAAGCCGAAGCCGAGCAGCTAAGTATATAAACACATCTCTGCTGGCTCTTGGCTTAATAATAGAAACTTCCCGCCTGTAAGCTTCGGATCCATGGATGCTGCGTCTCTTTGCTGGAGTCTTCGCTGGAGCTTGAATGGCGGAGGAGGACCAGGGCAGCACGCAATAAAAGCATCGAGATTTTCCGCCACCTGCGGGTAATGTAACTTCGCCTTTAGACGTTTCTGTAGGCTCGTCAACCTTTATCGACTTGATATGCATTGATCGAGAGTTGAGCGCGAGTGCCGTGTTCTGTGACTTCTGTCTGATATCGACTTTTGCGAGCTGCTGGCGTTAATATATAAAACGCACATTTACCCGGCTGAGCTTCAGGCTCGTCCGGATAGTTCATTTCTGCGCAAACAAGATACACAAGAGACAAGATGGTGTCCTCTGGGGTTCAGGATGAAATCAACCAGCCTGTCGGCTACGAAACGCGCGATGTGGAAAAGTCGATGTCTCCAGAGCAGCAGGAGAAATCAGATGGCGCTCCCCTGGTTGTATCCGACAAACTCGCCCGCCAGCTCTCTGCTCGCCAGGTCCAGATGATTGCGATCGCGGGCACGATTGGCACTGGTCTCTTCCTGGGGACTGGAAAGTCGCTGGCTACCGGTGGCCCTGGGTCGATGTTGATATCCTACTCCATCGTCGGAGCAATTGTCTTTGTCACCATGTTATCACTCGGTGAAATGGCGACGTTCATCCCGATTGCTGGGTCTTTCTGTACATATGCTGGGTATGACTTCCTTTGCCATCTGGAAGATTTTAACGTATATATGCTGACCGTCCTGCAGACGTTTCGTGGACGATGCCTTTGGCTTCGCGCTGACCTGGAACTACTGGTTCAACGATGCGGTTGCAACGGCCGCAGATCTAGTAGCCTTGCAGCTTCTCCTGAAGTACTGGACCGATAATTTTCCCGGATGGGCATTCAGCTTGATCTTTCTTTTTATATTGGTCGGACTGAACATCGTATCAGTTCGAGCATACGGTGAAGTATGGATTCAACCCACCCCCATTATCAGATACCACCCAGCTAACTCGCCTGGCTGAATAGATGGAATACTGGCTTAGTTTACTTAAAGTTGTCACGATAGTTGTAAGTGTCCCTATGGCTTCGGTCAACAGCCAATACGGTCAGGTTAACTAACAGAGTACAATACAGATTTTCATCATTCTTGGAATCGTCGTCAACTGCGGCGGGAATGTGGATCATAAGTATATTGGCGGCAGCCTTTTCAATAAAGGAGATGCCCCCTTCGTTGGCGGAATTGGTGGCTTTGCCTCCGTATTCGTCACGGCCTCATTCGCATAGTGAGTTGCAGTTACACCAAGCATATCATATATCTATTTTAAATGCTAATATCTCGGTCAGCGGAGGAACTGAATCCATCGCTATCACGGCTGGAGAGACCAAGGACCCCACCCGCAACATGCCAAAAGTAATTCGCAACGTCTTCTGGCGAATCCTGATCTTCTACATCCTCGCCATCCTCATGATTGGCTTGAACGTCCCATATGACTTCCCAGGCCTTACCACCAAGGACTCCAGAACCTCTCCGTTCACCATCGTCTTCCAGCAGGCAGGCAGCCGTATCGCAGGCAGCTTCATCAACGCTGTCATCGTAACTAGCGTCCTCTCAGCTGGTAACCATGCACTGTTCGCTGGCACGAGATTGCTTTATACCCTCGCCGTGAATGGACACGGCCCTGCTATTTTTGGAAAGCTTAATCGATGGAAGACCCCGTGGATTGCTGTCATAGGCACGTCTGCCATAAGTGGGCTTTGCTTTGGAGCAAGTTATATCGGAGCTGGGCAGCTGTGGACTTGGCTACAGAAGTAAGTTTCTCGATATTCACGAATATATCATATTCCCGCCTCCTCCTCCCCTCCAATAGACAGTGCTAACTCTTTTGCAGTATCGTTGGCGTATCCAATCAACTCTCCTGGATGGCCATTGGATACTCCTCCCTCCGTTTCCGCAATGCCGTCCGCGTGCAAAATCTCGAACATCTCCTCCCCTTCAAAAACTGGACATACCCTTGGGGACCCATCCTATCAATCGGCCTTAACGGGCTTCTCATCCTAGTTCAAGGCTGGTCATGCTTTAGCCCCGAATTTAAACCGGTTGACTTTGTCAGCTTTTATATCCAGATACCAGTCCTATTGCTAATGTACTTAGTCTGGAAGTTTGTCGTGAAGAAATCTAAACTTGTCAAGCTGGAAGAGATGGATTTGCTTACCGATAGATATGAAGAGGCCCGCGTGGCGGGCGCAGCAGACTTGGGAGGCGCATCTACTGCCGTGGAGGTAGACGATGGCTCGAATAAATGGCAGGGTAAATTAAAGAGGGCCGGACAATGGGTGTTTTTGTGATTTTTTAACATTTTACATTTTATTTTGCTTTTTATATAACCACGCCGTACATATTTGGACATTATCGTTGGAAATTACATGACGTTCTAATACCGCTTCTCTTATTTGATACCCGGGGGCTTCTAAATCACACTCTGCTGTTTGATAATTGTATTGTATATATTAGAGTCATCATAGACATTAGAAGACCTAACTAAAGAAACCTAACTAAGGATGAGTATGTACATATAAGGAGAGCCATGATCTGTATCTCTACATAGATGGGAACAGAAAGGGAGGGCTAAATAGCATATCAAACACAATTCAGGTATTAAAACAAGCTATAGGTATCTCTTTATCATAAAATCCAAATGCTTCTTTCCTCGTTCATGCGCGTTGGGTATAGACTGACACAAAGTAAAAGAAAAGACATAAATGGTATTGCAAAAAAAAGGAAAACCCAAAGACAAAAAAAAACCAAAAGCAACAAAAAACCTAAAACCTAACGTGACAAGGATAAAAGAAAATCAAAGAGATGATGGATAATTAGATTGACGGGAAATTCAGAGGAAAAATGATGATAGGGGTTACAGTTCGAAGCAATCATATTAATCATTAACCATTTCGCCCAATTCCATTCTCAGGCGCTTGGCGGGGCGGGCTTCTTCTTCCTTCTGGCTATCTTCTATTGGAGTTTGTAGTTGATCAGCCGGTGGTTTCTGTAACCCTGTGGTTCGTAAAGGAGGGAGTGATATTGGGGATGTGGGTGAAACGTGGGTGGAGCCGCTCAGAGCAGAGCTACGGCGGTATGGTGAAATGGGATTAGAAGAATCAGATGTTGAGACAACTCGGTCTGGTGCTGTCTGATGCCGTTGTTCTGTTTCCAACCATGGCAATGAAGGGAATCGTCTGGGTGCTGGTACATCTTTCGGTGGAGGAATATCAGAGCTAGCTCTTGAGAGAATTGGAGGCAACTTAAAGGAGGCCAATCCTTGGTCTGTGGTCGGGTAACTAGCAGGCCAGTTACTGGATGGCCCGGGACTTGAGAAGTAGGACGAGTCGGTCGGACTCCGCGGTTTATAGGACATGTGCGGCGAACAAGAAGATCGGGGTCCTTCTCCGGGGAATGAGTGCATTGGTGACATGCGGCCCATCGGCCTTTGTATTTGATTCTCCCGCGCCTGATAATCGTGACTCGGCGCCTGGGTTGCTGGTTGTTGGCCACTAGAGACCGGCCGCCTCGAAGACAAGCTAGCTTGGGCAAAGGGTGATGGAGATGGTAATATCGGAGGGGTCCATAATGGAGGTTGCATAGCGGTTGTGGGGCTCGACCCTATTCTCCGTTCTGCCTCACCCTCACCCAGAGACCTAGAATGGTTGAAGTCCGTACTTGGTCTGATTTCTCTTGACGAAGGGGTTCGCTTATGCCCCCGAACAGGCCCCAGAGTACCAGAAGAATGTTGCGATACTCGCAATATGCCTGGCTGTCCATAAGTTGATTCGTAAGTTCGAATAGGGCCTTCCTCAGCTTTTAAAGGTGGTCGGCCACGTCGCTTATGCGTAACGTCCACGCATGATTCCTATAAACCAAGGTCGATTAGTTGACACATATATTTACGGAGGTTGAATACACTAATTATTTAGTAAAACTCACCTCTTTTCCTGCAACGACGCATCGTCGGCACGGCCGCGCTGAATCGCATCCTAAATGTTTTCTCTTGCAATTGACACAAGCAGACGCAACGTGCGCTTTCGCTCGGCGAGTTGATCGAGGTGGGAGGGTTGTCGTCCTTGGAGATATGGTCGTGGGTGCCCCAAATGCTGGAAGTAAGTGTGGTGGGCGGATGTCATTCACTGGTGGAAGCCCGTAGTGCTGAACTGACTGAGTTGCCATCGGGGGCTGCCTCGGGTCGCTAACCACACGATCTATACCCTGCCCTCTACTCACATGGTGGCCTTGATAATCATGGTGCGATTCGGGAAACTTCAGGTTTGATGGTGGCGAAATGGACCGCCCTGAGTGTCTCAAGCCATGGGATGGGTCAGATCTGTATTCTGGAGGTGGAGAGCCTGACATAGGCGGGGAAAGATATGGACTCCGACAGCTGCTCTGATAACGTGCGTCCGACACACTGAGACTTAAAGAAAATCTTAGTGGATCTGACCCAGAGCGGTGGGCTTGTCCGAATGAGTCGTTAGGGAAGAATCGGGCAGAGGGTAGGCACTGCATTAGGTATATTTCTGGAGTGTAGGGACCTTAGGTCTCGGTAAATCCGCAATTTAATGAACAGGAGGTAATCGAAACTGCCGATTTAGTTGTTCAAGTTCTGCCGGGCAAACGTGTTAACTGCGAGATATGTCTCTGGTGTTTAAAACCCGACTTTCATTAACCATAGCGGTCAAAATTTCCGATCTAGGAGAAACTGTTCAACTCTGGCGCCTGAACGGCGAACGAACCAGCCAAGTAGCTTGCACAGGCCGTCGAGAAGTTATGCTGACGTCGGGGAAAGAGGTAGTCGATGCGAGTGTCTGATGTATATCGGCGGATGCAGGGCCACAGTGCAGCGAGACCCAGCCAACGCTATTTACGGACGGTGAATCTTTGGTAGGAAGCAGTGCTAGATAACCCCCCCGGCCTTGACTACTTTCTTATATCCTCGATTGGTGGTCGAGGTCGTAAAAAGAAAGAGTTTGATGAGGCAGAGCGTGGGTATAATGTAGGGCAAAAATATGGCGGATTAGAACAGGTCGAATGGAACCAGGTTAAACTTCACGGATGTGCTTTCCGTAGGGTGTATGTACGTTGTTGATGGATCAAAGATGACGTCTGTTACAATTCTCAAAACTGTTGCCAATCGAAAAAGAGAAAAACATCCCAGGACAGAGTTGACTAGGTATTGAGTTCAATGATCAACGGATCGGGTGTGACCGTCAAAGAGGAAAGCAAGGTTGCCTCTTCTGCTTGTCTGCGAATGGATCGGGAGGGACAAGCCAGGCCAGTGTATGGGCGGTGAAGGTAGAAAGGTAGTTTGGGAGATGGTAAGCCAGAAGTCAATGGTGCCAAAGGAGAGAAATAAGAACAAGAGGGAGAGAGGGAGAAAGAGAGGGGAGAAGAAACAACGAGATCAGACAGGAGAAACCAGGTGTATTAAGTGGTGGAGGTGGTAGTAGTTTGTAGAGTAGCAATAAGACTGCAGCATGGAGGGTCAGGGGTCTGGCAGGTTATGGACGGCGTTAAACGTAACCTAAAAAATTCTGGTTGAATGAATTAATTAAGCATTAAGATAACCCTCGAGAATGCAAAATTGCGTTCTTATAACGGGGCCCTTTTGCGCTGGCTGTTGTTTAAGTAGGGGAAAGATGACGGCTGCTAGGGGTGCTAATGGATTCCACCATGTTTGATACAATGGATAATCCCACAGAGAGAAGACCTGAAGAAGTACCGAGAATGAAAGAACTCTCGATTGTTGAATGCAGATAAATGCCCTATGGTAAAGAAAAGTGATCGTGAGCCAATCTCCGCTAGTGGAGTAGGCTGTGTGTGGGGTCACTTCTTTTTTGCTGAAAATAAAAAAGCAAAATGTATCTGGGTGTCACCATCGTGATGCTTTCCTAGAAGAACCGTAAATCAAAGTTGGTAGGGTCTTGGGCCGCAGAAAAATTGCAAAATTTGTTGCCGACAGGAAGTACCCAACCAGGGGATATTCATCACGCTGCACATCGTATCCGCAGTGGAGAGCATGGCCTGTGCAGAACGACCAGGGAACGATATCCTCGGGCAAATATATGACGGCGAGGCAGAAGCCAGGTACCGTTACTAGTGGAATTTATACCGTGGATCACCCACTGGCATGAAATTGTGGACTTCGATAAGTCGCCATCTCGACCTCCCACCACCAGACTTGAGTCAGGGTGGGCGCTAGCCTGAGTTAACTTGCTTGGGCCTGATCTTCGCCTCGGTCGATCATATATATGTATGTCGTCGTTTTGCATCGGCCAGGGACGAGTAATAAGGCAAGGATCATCTAGTAAGAGCTTGCACCCTCGTTGATCATGATTGGTAGAGAATTTTTGTATGAAATTGAACAAAAGTCTCAATATATCTATCATCGAGTATTTAGCAAAGCCATCCAATAAGGGTACTGAAATATGAGAGAGATCAAGCGGACCGCCCAATGGTGAGCTGGCCATTCCTCAATATGTGAGCCTCTTGTGGCGATGGCTAAATTTGCCTGGTTCACAATTTTTCAATTTTCATTTGCCGAACCAGCTAATCAGGTGGCAGAGAAATGGGGGTGGCTTGCATGGTTTGGCGGACGATAACTGTGTGTGAGAGAGTACCTTCAAATCTACTTACAGGTGTCCAGACGGTCTCGAGTAACCAAGTGGAATGGGACAGAAAACTGCCGTGAAAACGAAGCTGATAGTCGCTCCACTCCGTGCGTCGGCGCCAGAACATGAAACCCTGGGAACAATGGAGTTAACCACTGGCCAAGAGAGCTTTGATTTTACGCGGTGCCGACCCGGTTGAGGCCAGCAGGGAACCCGAAGGTGAGAGAGAAGCCGAAGCTTGACGTTGATGTTGATGTTGACGTCGAGGTTGACGTTGAGGTTGACTTTGACGTTTGGAGCGCTTCCCGTTTCGGAAGAGCCTATTGTTCCGTTGTCATACATATACAAAAACAGATGCACCACCACCACCAAACATCGCCCTCAAACAGATCTATCATCATCGACGAAAAAGAAATCCCGATATCAGTTCCGTACTCCGTCTGAGTGCTCGATCCCCCATCATATGAGACAGAATTATCCCGGCGCAAGCTAAATGGCGGCTATACCTTCACTTTGGGTGGTTAGAACACCGGACGCTCCTACGACAAGGTCAAGGTCCATAGCGACAGACGACGACGAAGACGACGACTGCTTGGTCTGTGGAGTGCTCAGGAGGTGTCATTCTCGTCCTTAGTGCGTGTGCCCGCGTGTGTGCCTTGTTTTAGAGGCGCTCGAGGTGAAAGAACCCT